CCGAATATTGGCATATATCGACAGGGGCGGGAGCAGCAGAGTGAGACAGGCACACACCAGGACCAAACTGTGTTCCGCCAGGCCAGATTGCTTGCTCGAGAATCAATACACCGCTACGTCAGCTCACTTTGGCCGTCCAAGTCCAAGCCGTGTTTCCACAAGTGAGGGAGACCTGTTCCCTGACGCGGCTCCTGTTGCAGCAGCCGATGGATGAGCGCGCGGCTCGTGTTACCAGCTCCATCGCTGCTCGCCTGTGGCCGTTGTCTGCAAGTTCCCCAATGCAGGCTGCTCTCGACGCCCTTCTCCACAGAAAAGTTTTCCTCTCGAAATTGCTGCGCTGGCTGCTGCGCGGGGAGTCGGGAGTGTGGGTTTCGCAGCGGAAGCCAAAAGATAGGGCGCGCTAAGGGCTGCATCTGCTCGCGTAGGCAGCGGGCTCCATCCCCGTGGATCGCAGCCTGCAAAGGAAACCCTGCCGACACGTGGATCGCCTTGTGTCTGGGAAAGGGGCGATTGTCGACAGGATCGCTGTGCTGTCTGCGCTGCTCGTGTGCCGACTCGCAGGACGGCGACCATGTGCATTTTCACCGCGACGGAGTCATAATTCCCGTCTCGTTCGGGCCGGCCTCCAACCTTCGAAAGCGGCCAGGAACACAGGCGGCCGGGACGTCAACCGCGCCCATTAGCCGGTGGAGCTCATCCCCGAACGGGAACTATGGCTTGGAGGATGCGGCCCAAGTTGCATTCTTGCAACGTTCCACCGGCCTGACGGGACGTAACCTGCCTTCTCGAAGCAGAACCTGGTGAGCGGAACAATCTCAGCTTCGTCGACGGCGGCCTGAGAACGGCCAGTCAAGCCATCTGTGCGAGTTGAGGCTCTGTCGTGTCCGCTTGTCAAGCTGGATTGCGATCAGCCACAGGCAAGGTCGATCGCCCATTCCCTTAACTTCAGCCAGTGTTGCGACTCTGTGCGAAGCAAATTCTCATCGCATCGATCCTTAGTCAAACGAGCTGCAACTTTGTTTACCCGGTAACAGGTACATCTTTGTGCTTCGGCAGCTGCTGTGCGCCCTGCTGCGGCCACCCAAGCTCGGTGTCCTGCGTCATCTCATCATACAGCATGGGAATCCGGCTGCCTGCTGCTGCTGCTGCTGCATGTACCCGACCAGCACTCGCAAGGCGAACGACGAACGCCAGTTCTCCGTCTGTGGGGCGTTCTCGTAGCTACGCCTTGTACCTTTCTCCACCTAGGGACAGCCAAAACCGTAAAACGGCTGCCACCTCATCCGCATCGGTCACCAACAACCCAAAGTCAACATCGAAACATGGTTTCACAATCCAGGGGTAAACAAACACTACAGGACGCTACTGTACGATCCGGTTGCCTAAAACGTGCCTTCGTCGCCCGGTCGCATCGCGGATGTGGGACGGCGCCGTCGCTAATCCGACCATCGACGCGCCGCTGCACGTCTAAACGCACTGCGAAACTCTCTCGACGTCTCTCAAAGCATGGCGCACGGGCGCTGGCGAAAGGAGGACAGGTCAGGATAGGACACATCCATCGCTCGTCTCGTCTTACCTACTCAAATACCGAAATAGACGTCCTGCGACGGTGCTCTATCTAGCTTTAGCTTTGCGATCTGCTAATGCTATCGAATGGATGGATGGGGGAGCTACACCCCCAGCCGGCGTCCCATCCGGCACACATCTACAGGACGGGCCTACCTTCCAACAAAACAAAGCGCACCGCCCAACAAAAGATATGCACTGCACTCAGCTCACCTGCAGCGAGCGAGCGAGCGATGCAGCCCAACGAAACGATCGCCAGGCCCTCCCATTGCTGACTGACTTCGGTCCTTCTCGTCGCTGCTCCAGGGTGCTGAAATACTGATCGTCTGCATCGGATCTGCCTAGCATAGCAAGCTACCGTGGTATTCAGCCCTACGAGTCCTTCGTGCCGCAAGCGAAAAACAAACCCTGGACTTGCATGCATATCTCCCCTCTATCTATACACAGCAGATACGTACATACGTTGTAGACATGATTTCTAATACCCCCTTCACCCCACCCCACCTACACAACATGATATCAGCCTCGCGTACCCCCTTAGGGCCTTGCTCACGCACTCTCCACGCGTTCGGTATCCTTCCTTCGCTTTGCTTTCTGAGCTCAGCTCAGCACCGCTGATGTCAGCGCCACTATGCGTGCATGCATGCTCAGATGTACGCATGCTGACCTGGCTTATCGACGCGCACCGCACACCACCTGCGCCGTAACCACCGTAACCGCCGTATGTGATTGTAATCGGTGCGGTGCGGGCGGGAAGTCCACGTGTAGCCCCACAGCCGCTGCCTTTCCGCAACGGTCCGCACCGCATGGAAATGTAGTGTAAGCAACCGCGATGTGGGTTGAGATGACTGTAAGGTAAGGCTGAGGTGAGGTGAGGCGAGAGGGACCTCTCTGTGGGGGTGTGCTGATGCTGAGTGCGTGAGCGGGAGGTGCGGGAATACCTACGAGCATGGTGTGGTGAGTCTCGCGCGACACCGCTTTTTGACGCGTATGGGAGTATCTGTGAGATGGAGGATCGGACGAGGCGGTTTGAGGCTTATTTGACAGACGGGCGTTCCGCGTTATTATATTTTCCACGATATAGACGGGTATAGACGCCTTTGTCGGGTATGCAAGGGCGGGAAAAGAACGCAAAGACAGGACCTGCATAGTAGAGCAGAGATCCAGGCACGCGTTGTATTTCTAATTCATTGCCGAAGAGAAGACGATGCTCCGTTGCACATTGCCATGTCCACAGGTTGTGCCCTCATGCATTGCAATCTGACCTTCCATCAGGTACGGACCGTGGGACGGGATGCGCTTGCTGGAATCGCTGTGTCTTGTAAAATGCGAACGTTCAGCAGGGTCGTTCCAGTGACTGAATCGCTCCCAGGACATGGTAGCGGTAGTCAGCTTCGCAGAACCTATCTCTAGAAACGTATGTTTAATCGTACTCACACTCATAGGCACCGTTGCCTCCCTCATTGACTGTCATATATCGCCATCCTACATAGCACACATAACATTCCTAAATCGACCTCGCACTCCTCCAACCTCGTTACGTTGTCTTAGTAAGAATTTCAATCTGTGCAGCACGTTCCCTTCTGTGAAGTAATCACTCGATGGATTGGACGACTGCGATGCGCAACCCATCAGATACATGCAATTTTTCCAAATTAATTCCGTAGTCTCATTGCAAGGCAACATTTGAAACAGCTTCCTAGTTTTACATAGGGACATGGAGGTTGACGGAATACGAGAAACGCACTACCACTACCTATGCTGCATATTCGGCACTCCGATCCGATCCGGTCCCAAACTCAAACTCCCTTTAACCTTCCATCGACAAGTTCCCTCATCGCCAGCTATACATCTCACCTTAACCCTAGACACCGTGCTGCAGCGCTGCTATCCACCACGGCTTCACCTTGCGAAAAAGATCACACATGGACAGTGTACATAGTTATTCCCTAGCTCGTAATGTGATTTCAGCATTTCATTTACTTTTACACCGACCTTAGGTACTACTCCTCACCTCTCGCGACCTCTCCTCCAACCCAGCACCGTCCCGATGGTCTCTGTCCAAACACAGGACGTCTAACCTGCACTCGGAACGCCAAAAATGCATGTCCAGCCACAGACACACACACCTACACACACACATACACACACACATACACTCTACCTCACAGCTACAACCCGCCTTGCAATCACCACAGTAAGACTACGAGAGGAAAGGCGAAACACAGCAGCTACCCGTCCATCCTGCCTAGCACGCCTTCTCCTTCCACCTCCCACTCCCTCACCTTGGCCGCCACTACGTAAGCTAGCTTCCCTTCCCTTCCCTCCCGCGTCCTCCAAGCGCACATGCACAAGAACACTTCACCCTCCACAAGCCCCGTCAGCCTCCGCTCCGCCTTGTTCTTCAAAAGCAGCTTGAGCCCATGTCATCCTTTCCCGAGGCTAAGACGAGACGAGACGACCCTTTTCTTTTCTTTTCTTTTCTTTTCTTTTCTTTTCTCCTCTGTCGAGCCTGAAGGTCTCTCTGAGTGAAACGACCCAAAGCGCGGTAGCACCGATACCACGCTTCTTCGTCTGTGTACGCCACGCGACAGGAATCCATACTGCGGACATAGCGTGGGATGTAAAGTGCAGCGCAAGTGCAAACGCGCCAGAAATCCATACTGCGAATGACACCTGCATAGCGTGGGACGTACAAGTGCAGTGCAAGTGCAAGTGCAAGTGCAAAGAAAGGCGCATGAGAGTATGCCATGCCTTTACTCGACGTAGCAAACACAGACTACACTCACATCACAGTCCAAAACAGAAGAGCAAAGAGGTCAAATGACGGAAACCAGCGCCCGTTAATGCCTACCATTACCACCTGTTAATTCCTACCGCACTAATCTCAACGTCACATGCACACATTGTACAATCATAAACCATTACTGGGACACTGCAGCAGACTCGAGAGGTAATAGGATGCGTGGTGCGGTGTGGCCTATCCACCTCCCTCCCACGCATGCATGCAATAATACTATCCCTATCCCCATCCCTTTCGAACCCAAAAGCCCAAGTTCAGCCCCAACGCCACATACTCATACGTAAAGTCGGGGTATTAATGCAAAGAAAGCCATAATCATAAACTCGCCCTTCCCCTCCCCTCACCAATTCACAAAAGACACACTCGCCGGCGACTTGAACCCCCCTTTCGGGCTCTTGACACCAGATTTCTTCTCAGACACCTTGAACAACCCCATTAAACTCTGCACGCTCTTCGAACGCGTCATATCGTACATTTCAACACTATCCGCTGCACCGCCGATATCAATTGCAAGCTTATAATTAGAAACCGGCGTAACAGAGGACGTCTCCGGGACGCCTTCCTGCACGGCCGCCAGGTTCCGCTGCATATTGAGATTCGCCGTGCGATGAGCATGGTCCATCTGCTCTTCCTAAACAGAGGAATGAGTGCCGTCGTTCGAGGTTACGCCCCGTTCAGGCGACGACGTAGCCGCGCTGTCGGGAACGATGGGCTTCTCAGTGGGATCGGTGCCGACGTCGTCGCGCGTGCGTGCGTGCGTGGACTTGGGGCCGTGGGCATCGATGTGTGAGAGGGAGTGCCAGAGGAGTGCGGTGCTAATCACGTCAGTCAGTGCACGTATATAAAAGGGGAAGGGACAACGAACCTAGCGAACGTAGCGAGCATGCCGGGCCACAAGAAGACCACGCTGGCAATCGCGCGTCCATTGTTACGATACCGCATAGGGCTGCCTCCATACTCTGCGAGTAGCCTCGACACCGTCGCCGCATCGGCACCTGTGACGTACGCGGAGCGGGTTGCGACGATGACGGTGTACGCTAGAGCGCAGGCGAGGGTGAAGAGGCATGCGAGGACGGAGCATATGCGCCATGCCAACTTTACCGCCTTAGATTCCATGCGTTCAGGCCAAAAGAGGTCAAAGAAGAAGGCCGAGCCGAAGATGGTAGCGACGTAGATGCCGACAAAGATGTTGTACGAGGCGATGCCGATGAAGTCGTCGTTGTGGACGGTAGTGGTCTCAGCGCTGGGTGAGTGCGCTGCGACGTAGTCTTGCTGGTCAACGTAATCTGCGGTCTGTTAGTTATGTAGAAAGCGTGTTGGTGGAGGGTGAATGCATACCACTAAGTGCCGCTGTACCCAAGCTCTCGCTCACAACGCAGAAGATCATGGCGATCTGGTAGACGATGAACTTTGTCCGGCGGAGGTGGTACTCCTTGTTCCACATGTAGCTGTTCTTGAACTTGCCCCATTGCATCTCCTTCAGGTCCAGGCCCCATATTACGGCCATGGTGTGCTAAGTGTGAAGAATGTGTCCGAAGTAATCGAGCACAGAGGAATAGAGAGGGAGTTGAAGGCGGCTGTATTATGACGGCGCGCTTGTACACAGAGGCGGGGCGCGGGGGTATAAGACGTTGTGTTGGAGATGGGTTGTGGGTGGTTGGATGGTGGTGACACGGTCACAGTTAAGTTAGGGCTTGGAATGTTTGCGTTTGCAATGTGTGGAGGCAATGACGACCGTGCTACTCGACAACAGGCAAGATCGTGGGATCAAGTTGGGCGAGTTGAAACAGCGCTGTGGTCGACTTTTGTCAACTGACCAAGCAGTCGCATTTCCGGCCGATCAATGCTTATTTTCGCCGTTGTTTTGCACAAGCGCCGCATTTATCAGCGCCGTTAGGGCTTGTCCGGAAGCTTCGCACGCCAGTGAAATGCGCGTTCCGGCAAAAAGCTGCATGCGGGAGCCGGGTGCGACGTCATAGCGGGCCGGGGTTAGCCGCTTTAGCGAGCGCTAGCGCCAACGATGTCATGGTTGTTGAACCTCCGCGGCCAACAGAGTACATGCGAATTCACAACTTCGACTCTGGCAACATCTCATCCGAGTCATCCACCAGCGTGCTTAGCGAGCTGCGACGACAGTGGGGAGACCCTTCACCAGCCATCCGTGCTTCAGTTCACATCGTTCGCTAGTCGCAATCTGCCCCCGAAAATCCTCGTAGATCTTCGCCCTCCAGCCATACCGTGTACATTATCACATTGCGTCATGCGTGGTAACCGCAAATCCCACACAGAGAGCATCTGTTGACACGCAGATTCGATATTGATAATCGTTGAGGAGAACTCCACCGCCACACCTCGAGCGCTCCAGCCCATGTGCTCTCGGACGTCCTCGTGCGAGCGGGACCGAGCAACGCCACCACGCAGACCCTTGGGCCCGCGGGGACTTTCGAAAAGCTTGTCGCGTCTTCACACACGCGCTAGCGTACCAGATCGGACGCCGATACGCGCGAGGACCGTTGGTGCTGTCGTTGGCTGACAGACTGCATGCCACGCGACTGAGGAATCATCTGCTGGTGAGCCTTTTCTTGCGCGCTTAGCTTAGCAAAACTGTCACAAAACTCTACCTTGTTTCCACTATACATCTCTGCAACAAAGGTAATACTCTTTCTGGCTGTAGCTAAACCTCTAGAAAACTCGGCAAAGATGTTGAAGCAAAGTTTTTGAGATGTGCTGCTAAGGTAAGCGCGCAGGAACTGGCTGACCACCTGGGTTGCTGCACGATCATGTGTCATCTAGATGGTTGCTGTCTCAGCGCTTTCGCGGGAGACCCTGCGTTGGCAGAGGTCCGGGATGCTCCGGGAGGGTCTCAGATGGCGCTTGTAAGTGAAGCATGGGAATCGTGAGAGAAAGAAATTCATGTTCTGAGGCTGACTACGAACGAAAAGGCATGAGCTACCGTCTCAAGTCATCCTGGATGGCCTCGTTGCCATCCACAAGACGCCTTTCGCTCTTCATCATGCGCATGAGAATCCACCCTAAAGTTGATCCAGACCACTCACTCCATAGTCGCAGAATCGCCTTGAAGTGGTGTTTCGAACTGAGATTCTACACCAACGTGCCAAAAGGATGAGTACCCCGTATCACCTAGAGCGAGCAGACAATGCAAAGCCGCGAGTCTTCGCATTTGTGCCTCTTGCTTCTCATCTGAGCGTAGTCCATCCGGTGTAAATTCTTAGGTTCGCTGCCGCAATCGACAGTGTCTAACAACTACTTAACAGGAAGTTTGATCATCATTCAAAGAAGGATGCTGCTAGCCTACTACAGTTCACTTTCACCACAACAATCAACAGCAATTGCTAATTACCGCATTAGGAAGTTCATCCATCCCTCCCAGATCGTCACTAAAATACTCCATCCCCAGCACTCACACCCCCTTCCTCCCCTCCACACTCGGCTTCAATATCCCCGCCACAACACCATCCGCCACACCCATCGGCAAAAGCGTATACAGCAAAAACTCCTGCACCCAATGCCCAAAGTACCCCACCACAAATCGATGTCCATGTCCGACCCGCGCTAGCGTAGCCCTAGCCATAACCTCCGCCGTCGGCATGAAATACCCAGGCTTCATGTTCGGATCTTTTTGAAGTTGCTGCGTGTACGTCCCACCGATGATCACTTCGAGGATCTCAACGCGAGACTTAGCCTCGGCCTGCTCCGCGGCGAGAGCCCTGTTCCACGTGTGCAGCGCGCCCTTTGTGGCTGCGTAGCCTGCGATGTACGCTTGGCCGATTTGCGACTGGGAGCCGCATGTCAGGATGAGCGTGGGGTGGGAGTGTGCTTGGAAGACGGGGAGGATGCGGCGTGTAAGCTTCATAGGGAACTTGACGTTGAGGGAGAACACGGCGTCGATTTCTTGGCTGGTGTAGTCTTCGAAGTGTTTGAAGTTTGAAGACAGGACTGCTGTGCCGCCGACGTTGTTGACGAGGATGGTGAGCGGGATGTCGGATACTGTCGCGACGATGCGCTCGATGTCGGGGTCGGTGAAGGAAGAGGCGTCGACTGCTATGGTGCGGAAGCGTCGACTGGGAAAGCTGGCTTTGAGTTCGGAACGGCATCGCGCGAGTTTAGTCTCGTTGCGGCCGTGGAGGACGACGTTGGATCCGCGTGAGGCTAGTTGTTTGGAAAGCTCCCAGCCGATTCCATCGCTGGCTCCTGTTACGAGAGCCCAGCTGGACTCTCCATTAGATTCCTGGCGGAGGTACTTGGGAAGGCCAGAGCTGTAGAGGTAGTGGATCAGAGGGAGAGGCATAATGATCGAAGTATTGAGTTGGAAGTCGTTGGCAAAGTAAGAATGATTGAGGTTGTACTGAAATGCTTTCAAAATGGCTGATATGGCTCGAGATAGTCACAAAGTCGCTGTGGTTTTGTAGTTGCTGGTGTCAAGTCACTCGTCCTGGCATCCACGATGAGCGGGCCAGCTCGCAGTATTTGTACCCAACGCCCATGCCCTCTCGCACCATACTTTGCGACATCAACTCACCAGTATTTGGTGACTTTCCGTTACTCTTGGATGTCCACCTCGATGCTCGGAGGGTTGTTGATGAACCATCGGGCTAACGTTGTCGAGCAGCGGAGCGAAATCATGCCGCTGCTCCCCAGATGGGTAGCGTCCGTGCGTACGGACGAAAGAAGGATGTAAGTATATAAGCACGAAAGTCGCCAGCTTGCGCGCGTAGAGCATCACATCGTCATGATTGCTTTATTCGCTGGACGATTCTCGGTTACAGCATTTCAGCCGTTGTGGGTGTGGTCTTGATACGTCAAACCTACAACTTCTCAGGAAGCCTGCTTCTTCTTCGACCAAGCTACCTCGTCTGCGACCAGCACCAAGCTGGCATCTTCAACGACCGGGCTCACCTCGTATGTGACCAATAATAAGCCGACACCTTCGTGAGCAGTGCGCTCCATGGTACAATTCTCGTTACTGTGGCGTTTGGATCCTTTACGAGCGGAGTATACGGAAGAGCAGCGATCCGGCGGGGCTCAGCCACATTGCCAGGAAACGGGCCAGACGAATACCTCGATATCCGGATGCTTCAGCTTTCGCGATTTGACCACGATGCCACATGTCGGCAACTCTTTTGCAGGGCTACAAGCTCCACTTTCCCAGGACTGCGACTAGGCACAGGGCTTACTGTCGCATGAGCCAACAGCTTCGCTCATGCTACCACTACAATCGACTCGCGCAGGGAGAATTCCGTCTTCTGCGTGGCCTTCGCGCCCGCGACGGCACTCTCTCAGGCGAGCTCAAAACATTCCGCATCCAAGCGCCAGAGACGCCGCCATTCAGGGCTATTTCTTATACGTGGGGTCCGCAGGTGCTTCATAAGACGATTAGCCTTGATGGATGGCAGACACCCATACCCGACTCTCTCCACCCGTTGCTGGATGTTGAATGGCAATGCCCGATAGATGGCTGGTGGTGGGTGGATTCTCTCTGTATCAACCAGCGAGATGACGCGGAAAAGTCACAGCAGGTGGGACAAATGAAGGAGATATTCGAGTCAGCTGAAGGAACGACCGTTTGGCTTGGAGAGCAGAGCGAAGATAGCGAAAGGGCTATGAACTTTTTGCGTTATCTTGGGGACGATTTCTGGAAGCACACTCGTTTGCACCATACCTCGTGGATGCAAACGCTGGCTTCTAGGCGGGGGCAATACCGCTCCGAATGGGGCGCAGTCGAGCGTCTGTTCCAAAGACCTTGGTAGCTATACTTTTCTGGTGCGGTCACCCATTTGCACCTGACTGATGGCTGCAGGTGGAGACGTGTCTGGACCGTTCAGGAGCTTATTGTTTCGAAAGCCGTTGTTTTCCGCTGTGGAAGAAGCACCCTGGACGGAGACACAATGAGAATGGCAATCTACGCGATCTGGATGTGCCACAGAGCAAGTGGTGTTTTCCGTTACGACGCTCAATGGAACCGCAATCGGATCGTTGAACGTCGTGAGCATGCACACACGGCAGACCCCTCCTTGACAGCTCTTTTAGCGTATCTAGGGGACCACTTCTCCACGGACCCTCGAGATCGGTTGTATTCGCTCTTGGGCCTCGTTCGAGATCCTGACCTCATCGACAGCTCCAGTTACGATATCACCGCTCCAGCATTGTACACGAAGTTCGTCAAGTCTTTCATAGCGAAATACCAATGCCTGGACATAATTTGCTTCGTTACAACCTTCCATGGCTCCGGTGGATCTGTCGGTCCACTTCCATCGTGGGTTCCTGACTGGAGCGTACCTGCTACACCCTTGGTTGCGCCACTCATGGTCAGCCAGGGTGCTCGACAATGCATTGGAAACCTGCGACCATTTTGGGCGAAGAGGCTTTCAGCCGAGTACTTTGCGTCAGATGGTGGAGACATGCGCATTTCGTTCTTGCGAGATGACCAAGAGTTGACTTGCCACGGTGTTCTGCTAGGTACCATCGACGGGCTATCCAGTGTAGCCAATTGGATGGCCCCCAGAACAGATGAGAACCGCAAGACGGATGCTCTAGTCCAAGCGACGCCCCCTTCCGCCTCGGGCCCACATTCAGCCATCGACATCACCAAAGCCATCATGCGCTGCCTAGTGTTAAATCGACAAGACCACTACTTCAGCCACATCGCGCCAGAAGAAGAATACTACAACGGGCTCCGCTCCTTAGTAGACGAGGCAACAACCCCAGGCAGCAAAACGCACACACACTTCACATCATGGTTCCTCGCCAACCGGACATTTCAAATAAGCGGCCTTTCTCTCGCCAGCATCTTCGCCCAAGCTTCCAGCACCCGCCAACCCAGCGCACACAACTTCCTCGGGCGCTCGGAACGCTACACGTTCGCTTCGCGGTTCCATGACACCGTGATCAAAATGGCGAGACGGCTTGTTGTCACTGAGAACGGTCTCCTGGCGATGGTCCCGAGGAGAGCGAAACAGGGCGACGTTATTGGCATACTGTACGGGTGTAGTGTTCCCGTCGTGCTCCGGAGAGCCGCAGGGACAGCCGCAGGGACAGCCGCAGGGACAGAGCAGTACATGCTTATCGGGGAGTGTTACCTCGATGGCTACATGAACGGCGAAGCACTCCATGTATCCAGGCCCCCGTCGTTTGAGGAAACAGTTTTTAAACTTGTCTAAGGAGGATGACCGAGTCGCCGTGAAGCCATGCATGCATGCATGCATGCATCTGTCCGAGAAACCACCTGATTTCGCTCCATGGACTATCGAAGGTAAACATAAAAGAAGGAATTTTGTGTCGTGCGCTATCATAAGTGTCTACGACGCAACGCGTCTAATTACCAAGCTCTCAGACCTGGGTGACAGAGCAAACACATTGGTCGTCGACGATATCGTGCGTCTCGCAGAAGAAGATATAGACCTGGCTGAACACGAGGTTATCGACCTGGTAGAAGAACCCTCAGCCATTCAGTCCGTAAGACCACCAACAGGTAATTATCCTCCCCCAGCAAGCAGCGTTAAGATCACGCTTGGTGTTCCGACGGGATGACGGGTCAGAGGAAGCCTCTCGTGGCGAAGTTTCCATCTCATACTCTTCCGGGTCTTTGACATCGTCCGCATCAATGACATCGTCCGCATCAATGACATCGTCAGCCGCACGCATCTCGCACAAGACAGCAGTCATAAAATAAAGAGGAGAATTTGTACTCGCTACCAACATCTACACCATTGTTTATCCCACCCACCTTCCCTTCAGCCATGCACCACCCAATGATATAATACAAGCAATTGAAGGCCTAGTCGTAAAACCCAGCCACCCAACACTCTCCCACCACCCCATTTATCTATCCTCCAGATCCATCCCACCCATGCGCCAAACCCATAGTGCGTCAGCCACATAAAGATGAGCCGGACCCAACCGAGGTGAGATGCTTGCTTTCGCAAAAAAGAACGACCCCAAAAATGCAGCGCAAGCGTGATAGAGAACAAAATGGCTAATGTTACAAACAAGAATGTCGGCCGTGAAAATCAAAGCAATGTGTACTTTTAGTCATGTCCATGTAGGTCGAACAGATATCAATGTCGAAGTCGCCTATGAGGAAGGCTTCTGCGTCCTCCTCTTAGGGTTGGCCGCAGGAGTCCGCTGCTTAGGCGTCTTCTTCGGGCTCTCACCCTCGATGTACTTCATCAGCTCGTCGATGCTCCGCTGGTCTACACGGTTAGTGCCGCTTCGCGGGCGGTTCGCAGTCGTGGTCTCGTTGGCAGTCTGTCCTACGGCGGCCTGGGGGCGGAGAGCACCGCGGCTGCCGAGCTGGAGACGTCGGATTCTACCCGATTGAAGAGCTTGCGTCTGCTTGGCTTGAGTAACGGCACTCGTAGTGAGTTGCTCTAGCCACTGCTCCGCCTCCTTCGTGTTGCGGTCCTCGGCGCCTAGGACCTCCTTGAAGATGGTGTATGACTCGCGCATACGGTTCATAGCGCCGCGCATGTCTTTAACAAGCGCAAGCGACTGTGCGGTCTGGAAAAGGAGGGTAGCCGTGTTGATTGAGTTCTTGCCAGATACCTCTTCGCAGATCGAGAGGGAGGCTTCAAACCAAACCTTGGACTCGGGGAAGTTCTTCAAGGTCTGTAGCATCACTGCCGCGTTGTTGAGCGTCGTGATGGAGTCAGGGTGGTCGACGCCGTAGACAACCTTCCACAGCTCCAAGGCATGGCGGACGTAGACGAGAGCAGTTCTGCCGTTGCCAGTGGCGTGCTCGAAGAGGGCGAGGTTGAGATACGCCAGAACAGTGTCGGTGTGGTCAATGCCGAGCGTGCGCTCAGAGACGATAACAGCCTTGTGTGCGAGCTCAAGTGCTGCCGCCTTGTCATCCAGGTTGAAGAGCAAGTTTGACAGTGTGTGGTAAACACGAGCAACTTCTGGGTGCAAGACACCGTAGATCTGCTCGTGCAGGGTAAGAGACTCCAAAAGAAGCTCCTGTCCTAGCTCCTTCTGATCCTGAGCGACAGACATGCGACCCGCTTCGAGAGCCTCTTCAGCCAGCAAGCTCTTCGGCGAGCCCTCCTTGACGATTGGGACGATGTTAAGAATGTCGTCCGCGTGGAAAGTCTGCACATTTTGTGGCGCGGGACTATCAGCGCGAGCAGGTGATGCAGTCTTGCCCTTCTTCTTCTTGCCTGAAGTGGAGTTGCCATTGGCGGTAGGGGCAGCATTTGATGTCCCATTCACCACCGTCTCCTTCGTGAAACCGTATTCCTTGTTCTCGAGCTGCAAGCCAAGTTTCAGGGCGATCTCACGGAGCATCTGCAGTTGTTTGCCAGGCTCAATCCAAGCGTCATCGAGTTCAAAGCGGTACCTGAGAGCGACTTGCGCAACAACCTCCTTCTTGACATCTTCAGGAGTCAACTTCTCGAAGCTGAAGTCGTTTTCAGGGTAGAGTGTCTTGAGGTCGGCATCGCTCTCAGCTACAGGCTTCGCGTTCACCTCACCACCGAGAAGGCAGTTGAGCAAGTGTGCGACGCATGGAGCGGCGAAGGGAGCAGATACATTGCGCAGTTTCGCGTTGGCGAAGTGCTTGAACCCACGAGCAATCATCTCCTGGATTACGAGACGCCTGAGCGCCTGCAAGCGCGGGTCCTCTTTGTCGGAGAGTTCCGCCAACTCACCGAGGTAGCGAATGTTGATACCCCGCTTGTGCAGAAGAAGGCTCAGGGACTGACCGTCCATTGGGAATCCAACATCGCCGTCTTTGAGCTCCTGGATCAACCGCGGCATAACCTCAAAGAGCAAGTGGTTGCAAGCAGCGCGAACCTCGGCTTCGTCCTTGGCCCACTCGGCCTTGTCCTCGTCGGTTTGGGGATGTTGGCCGCAGAAGACATCTGGGTTGAGAGCATAGTGGAAGCCAGAAATGTCGACGCGGTCTTGGTCCGCAGCTTCGGCCTCCTCCTTGGCGACCTCGTCAGACTCGCCTTCAGGCTTCTTGCTGCTTTCCTCCTCTTTCTCCTTCTTCTCCTTAGAAGCTTCGCCCTTCTTCTCGAGCTCCTTCTTCACGTACTCGCGAAGCTTCAAGCGGCCAAACGACTCAACAAGCTCAGGGCGCAAGGTTGCCATGCGGTGAGGGTAGTCCTTGCCTTCCTCCTTCTCCTTTCCATCCTTCTCCGGTTCGCTCCAGTGCTCCTCAATCCAGCTAACATCAATGGGTGTGAGGCGGTAGAGGTCGAGGGCATATCGCCGTCCATCGGTACCGATAAGACCCTTGGTTTCGACACTACCCTCGAGCTCGTGTCGGACGTTGTCCTTATCCCATACAGGATGCTTCTTAACGCGGAGTGCCTTGGACAGCTGCTCAAATAGGGGAATGAAGGACTTGTCATCTGCTACGATTTCCTTGCCTTCAACTGCGCCATAGTCGATCTGGTGCTCTCCCGGGTCACGTTGCTTAAAGATACCCGGCACAATGCTCTGACCGACGATACGTTTGCCGAGGTAGTCGACAACGACCGTACCAGACGTGAACAGGTTGGGGATGTCTAAGTTGTTGACGGCACGAACACCGAAGACATCCTTGCCGACCGCCACACGCGCAGCCTCGTCGCCACCCTCAGTACCAAAAGTGCCAACACCATCAGCACCGAAAGAGTAGAAGATGTTGTTATAAACGAAGATCTGCGCGTCCTTGGCCTCGGTTGGGTTGAGGGGAGCAATCTCTCCGCGGGCTACGAGCATAGCTCCGCGGGTGGCAGCATCGTTGTAGTCGGCGAACAGCTTCGAGGTAAGTCGCTCACGGAAGACACGGTCCTGGACAGCCTCCTTAGGCATCTCCCGGGTGGATTGGAATTCCTCATTCCAGTCTCGGAGCGTCTCCGTGTTCTCCACACCTGCAATCAGATAGCTCTCTTGAGTCCGCGCAAGATCGGGCTGATGTGTGGTATGCGTAGAGTTAGGCGCAGGGACCAACCATGGGTTGGCGGGAATTGCGTTCGAAAGCTGAAAGAAAGTGAGCGGATCCCGCTTTTGCGTGTGCTCGAGGTATGACTGAAACGCTTGAGAGAAGGAGGGAGAGAGCTCTTCGAGAAGAGTCAGAAGCGAATGAGCTGAGTGTGCCTTGGGTGCTTGCCGAGGGGACGGGTCAAACTTGGCGTTGGACGACTTGTTGACGTAGAAGCCCGCGACCGTCGATGTGATATGGTGCTGCTCATTTTCGTTGGTAGTAAGAAGCAGATATAGGAGGTGGCCCTTGGATCGCAGGTGGTACGGCGGGGGGTTCCATGGCGAGACAGAGATGGCCTTGATAGTCTTTGGCGCAGGCTCCTGAGCTGGAGCTTGCAATGTCTTGACCGAGCCACCAGCCTTGAAGTCGTAATCACTCAAAGGTGTCTGGTCGGCCTTGTCCTCCTGTGTTTTTGACTCGTCCTGCCCAACAGTGTCGTGTAGCGACAAGCCCGCCAGGATGCCGTGAAGGGCATCCGTGCGGTCACCCGCAGCGCCGATGAGCTCCCGTACGCGAATGACGTGCATCCGTGCCTCTTTCTCGGTGTAGGGGTCCTCAACGAGGGTCAGGACGGCATCGGGTTTGAGACCCGGGACCTCGGATAGCTCCACAAAATCGTTGATGCGCTGGCCGTCCAGCTCCAGATGGAAGCAGGAGTACTGGAACAGCTGGGGTGTCTCAATGATGGCCTGGCGGAGGTCTTGCACCTGCTCCTGGGTCGAGATCTACTCTTCATCAGCCGTGTTTCCCTCTCCAACTGTGACTCAACGTACGGTGATCGCGTGCTCGTATGGCGCATGCGGTAGCTTGATCGTTATCTGAAATATATCTGCACCACCGTCAATTCAGCTCCTCCTCACGGTGTTTCATCGTCCAACGTACTCTCGGCGTGGCCATTGACGGCCTCGTCTCCTTTCTGCTCTACGGCGCCCTCTCCGTTGGTCTGCTGGACAGCATTCGACTCGCCGGCTTCTGCTGCAAAGGCCTGGTCAGCTTTCAAAAACTCCCACGGCCGCATGGTGTCCAAAAAGCGTATTGTCTGGGGGCGGTGTGGTGCGGGCGTGTGTGTGCTCACCTGGCTTGGAAGCGTCATTGTTGGTAGACATGATGGCGAAGAGGGAAAGAGCAAGTGGTATCCGATTACAACTCCAAGAGCGCAGCTATAGGAAGGAACGGCTTTCTACTGTAAAGATAATATACAGAAAAGGAGGATTAATGTACAATGGAGGCGGCAAGTGGAATGCGAGAAGGGAGACAGCTGGAGCTCGATGGTCCAAAACTTTTTCCAAGCCGAGTCGTGGACACGGGCCCGCATCCCGCTAACCCGGGGCGTCTCCGAGTCTGCCGCTGCCGAGCAGCCCTGTTCCTTCCCATGCGTACGGATGATGCGCCCCCAACGTGCGTGGTGGAATGAGTGACGGCATTGCGCGCCTCTGGCATCGTCCTGGGACTTGTACATGCGTCTCGGGCACCGTCAAGGCGGGCACCTCACTCGAGGGACGGCGCATGCGACGACTGCGCTTCCCCGATCCATCCCGACGCTGCACTGGATGCACTGACCAGTCCCACGTCCCCAGCGACACCCTGAAATTGCGATTCGGCGTCATGGCGGTCCGTGGATTCATCACCTACATACAAGACCGCGCTGGGGCACGCTGACCCTCGATTGCCGCTGGTAGCTGCGCACGCATGTCCTTCGTTCGAGATTTGATTGCTGTCGCCTCAATCGCGCGCGCAAGCCTTCCAGCGACTCGTGTGGGCCGCGCGACACATACAGTAGCTGCGCGTCAATATGTTTATGCGGCGCTGGTCCGCCCTCACCACTGCCATTGCGCGCGGCCATGGCTCGTTTCAACGCCAGCACCCATATCCCTCCGTTGAGCGGTTACAGCCGGCTGGCCGCGCAGCCTTGCAACGCCAGCAGCCCTCATTCGCCCGACCTCTCACCGGCCAGTCTGGTAGGATAACCACCGTGACGTGCGAACCGTACAATTTCCTGACATGCGCCCGCAGGACCACCAACGCCCGGTAACGATGCGCCTAATCCCGTAGACGATGCCACCGAACAGGCCAACGAGCAAGAGGAGGGCGGAAAATGGCAGAAGTACAAGGGAACGGCATTCAAAATGTTCGAAGCAGCTGCGACGACCGGCGCCTCCATCCTGATCCTCGGCTTGGTCGGCTACAGCTACACGCGCTACTACAAGCACAATGTGCTATCCAAGATGGAGGGTGCCTTCACACCTGGCGATCCTGTCCTCGAATTGGCCGCGGTCGGCAAAGAAGTTCCTCATGCACCGCAGAAAGACGCACCCGGAGGCCACGACGAGGGAGAGTATAACCGCTGGATACCCCGTGAGGAGCAAGCGCGCATTGACAGGATCATGCGCGGCGAAGAGAAGGGCCGCTACCATCTGCTCATTGGCGAAAAAGGCACCGGGAAGAGCTCCATGTTGATCGAGGCCATGTCCAAGATAGACGGCGAAGGCGTTGCCATGTTCGAAGCGCACGCCGATCCTGAGATATTCCGCATTCGTTTGGGCCGGGCTCTGGATTTCGAATATCACGAAGACAACATCGGAGCCCTGTTCTCAATCCGCGGACCGCGCGATGCGTCAGCGCTTCTGGACATCGAGCGCGCGTTCAACAAACTGGAAAAGGTCGCTCTGAGACGCCGCGCGCGCGTCGGCCGCCCACTGATCTTGATCGTCAACCAGGCTCATCTGATTAGGGACGATGAGAACGGTCGGGACCTAATAGAGCTCATCCAGCAGCGAGCCGAACAGTGGGCAGCTTCAAATCTTGCGACCGTCATTCTAAACTCGGACAAATATTGGGTATATGAGAGGCTGAAGCTCCACGCTACTCGCATGGAAGTAACCCAGGTGTCTGACCTCCCCAAGGACCGAGCCATGCAAGCGTTGAAAAACTACCGCATGAAGTACTGGAAAGAAGCCACCCCCGATTCTGTCCTCACGGAAGTCTACAACAGGATAGGAGGCCGTTTGACATTCCTGAACCGCGTGGCCAAGGCTCAAGACATGATCGTCAAATGCGACGAGATCTGCGAGTTGGAAAAGACTTGGTTTCTGAACAATTGCGGCATCCTCGGCACGGAGATGGACGACGACGTCATGGACCAGCAGAAGTACGCATCGACAGCCATGGTCCTTGCTCTCGCACTGCACAAAAAATACGACGAAATGGACAAAACATACGACGATAAGATCGGCCATATCCTACCTGAGATCCCGCTCCACCAAGCGCGCTACATCATGACGCGCGCCGACTTCATCCACCAGCACCACGAGCTGTCCATCTTCGCCATCGACCGGCACGCCAAGGTCCGCGCCGACAGTGTCCCCATGCAGCGCGCCTTCAACCAGATATGCTCCGAACCAGGATTTGAAAAGTTCCTCGAGGCGACCCTGGATCGTATCGGCGATATCGAGAGCTTGGGCAGGACGAAGGAACTTACGTTTAAGGACTTGTGGGAGGGTGGCAAATACAAGATCACGAGCAGGGACAAGAAGGGGAATGAGGTGGGTGTTGTTGAGATGGAGACTGTCGCGCCGCCGGAGGACGATGATGAAGGTGGTGACGACAAAGACTAGGCACACTGAATGTGTCAGAGAACGACGTCGGGTTATGTACAGGAGCCGGTCTAATGCGAATGGGAGGCGCATGATGCGTAACATGAAAACCAGCTGTATGACCACGCTGTACGATACGGATGGGTGTAGGTCTATTGGGAGGTCATGTCGGTTCTCAAGGGCAACGCCGGGATTAAGGGATGAAGATACCCTTCCTATGTCATCGCTGTATGCCTATTCTCTTTACTTCTCTTTGAATGTCAAAACTTCGTCATTGTATGCTCTTGTTTCCTTTCCCTGGTTTCCTAGATTAGCATATGGTATCTACTATTATTTCTATACGTTGTGTCCAACGTCGATCGTAACTTCCCACCATGGCTTTGTCAGGAATGGCTCCTTCTGTCGAAACTACGTGTTACACGTTACAGCGGCCGACCCCAAAAACTGATTCGGTCGCGTCAGCTTTGAGACACGTCCATACAGTGTTAGTTCGTGGCCTTAAACACGTACTATAGCGTAAGTTACCCTACGCTTCATGATTATACACGTATAGCTAATCTAGCGCTCATCAGTCTGTGTCTTCTAAATCGGACTTACTGCATGGCGGTGAATCATCCCACGCCCAGGGCGACCGAGTCGCCCAGATCTCAACCTCAGTAATCGCACTGCCTGACCAAAATGCATACAAATACTTTCAGCCTCCACAAACCGGAATAACCGAACCTTCACAATCGTCGCTCGCTCACAGTAAGTCCCACTCTTTCACATCCCGCGCATGCGGCACCCGCTCCTTCCGTCTTCGTTGGCACCACACTATGAACCGCGTTCTTCACTTCAACTTTATCCGTGCATACGCCCGCACTCCCGCTATAAGACTGATAAAGCTCACCTCACCTCAAGTCTCACTGTACCAGCGCCACACGCGAACTTCGAACCGACCGCCCGCGACCCCTCACCGCTCGGCATGCAGTTCCTTCAGCTCCTCGGCGCCTTGATCTGGGTCGTTGGCTTTGCTGCTGCTCTCCCTCAGAGCCTCGTCAATGATAACGCCGTCAATGACCCTGCTCTGAACACGACACTACCGGCGTCAGTGGTCAATGATCCCGCCACCAATACAACATTCGCAAATCAGACACTGTCGAATTCTAACTGCACCTCGAGCGGAGATTGTGGAATTACTGGCCCTCTCCCCCCCATTCCCGTCACCGTCGAGAACCCGGTGGATGCCACTTGCCGTGGCTCAGACATGTGCACCAAGGCAGGTTGTCCCGGTGCCGGAGATGCCATCAGGCACATTATCGAAACCCTCAGTTACAGTACGTTGCTCCATTGCTCACAGAACCTCATAAGCATCCATGCTAACGCGCGCAGTGAAACCATCCGCAAAGTACGCGAAGGGCCAGCAGATGGCCTGCTGGTACTGCCAGCCTATGGGACCGCTTACTTGGGGAAACGGAAAACACAATTATGGTATCGTAAGTTCTCCACACATGACCTTAACATCTTTCAACTTTTCCGTAGTCAGCGCGAGCTGACAGAAGTAGTGCGCGTGGGTAGAGGGCCCGGATGGCAGCGCAATGACCATCGACGATGCCTGGGACCTGCTCAAGAACCTCCCAAAGGAATGCACTCAGTGTAAGTCTTTGCTAACTAGCATGCGCGCGAGAAGCAGCGAGCTAACGAGCTATCAGGCGGTCGCAATCCTACCAGGGACAAGGGCGAGATCCGCGTCGACTATACCGCTAAAATACAAGGTCACTGCAAGAATCGAAACCACGACGACCCTATGGAGGGGCCGTGTCCGAACTACTAGGGTCATTTTCCGTGAAAGCAACTTCTCTCATGTTGCCCTGAGTCTTCGATAGCTGGTGCACGTAGACGGCGTTATGAGAGCGGAGGGTGAAAGCCCACGCGGCGTCTCCTTCCCGCATCTGAAAGGCAGCAAACAGCGGGTCATTATGCAGCATTAGTCGTTCTACATGTCTGAAATCTCATGGGGAACGCCTCAAACGATCGCTCGGCGTGTCGAACCGTCAATCGTGCTGAAATTCTTCCTATCAGGCTTAGGCCCTCACCAATGTTTTATCTACTCTGCTCACTGACGCTGAATAGCTCGTCGTTCGTGACTACCATCGTGACGACTATTGTAACCCACTATTACAACCACTGTTGTAACTACTATCGTAGGCACTACCTCGATCCTGCTACACTCAAATCAAACGCTGCATTCAGTAGATCGACCAAACACAAATTAATTCGCAGGACAGACGTAGCTGAATCCCGCCTGCTCGCATATATGTCGCATACAACAGTTGTGTCCAGGAAAATAGTACGCTGTGCATATCCAGCAAAATGAGAAATTGGTATCTAGTATCCAAGAAACGCTCCCTATTTCACAGTCCCCTTCACCGATGCTAATCATGCCCTGACGCTCTGTCATGCTCCCTCATCCTGGGTCAGAGTCTCCAGTGAGCCAGTACATATCGCCCCTACTGTTCTTATTGTTTATCCATCCTGAGTCTCTCGTCTTCTTTCCTCACGGCTCGGCGTCGCCAGTCCAAACGAACCACCACGCGCAGATATTAGCCGCCACAATCCAGACAGAAGCATAGCCCGCAGACCCGATGACTTCACTGCCTTCCAGCGTTGCGCCTTTGAGAACGGTATTGGCAAGCAAGAAGATGCTCAACACCGCAGTCCGCTGAATAAGCGTCCTCGTGCGCCGGCCGAAGAACCAAAAGTTGTGCTTCAGCGTCTGCGGCAGTGTCGCAGTCGCAGGCTCGAAGTCTCCCACAGGAGTCGCAGCCCCAGTGTCGGGTTGCGCGCCGATAGCGGGGTCGAGCAGAAAAGCTTTTGTCGCGTAGCCTGCGATGAGGAGCTTGGGGACGAAGGTCGCTGCCTGGACGTCGTGCGCGAGCTCGACGCTGGGAAGGTCGAAGTGGTTGATGAGGAAGAGGGTGAGCCAGTTGGTCTGCAGCGAGCTGTATAGCACGGTGGCATAGACACCGACGGCGAGTGCAGTGTTTGACCACGAGACCTGGAAGCTGTTAAGTAGGTAGCGGTTGCGGAGCGGCACGGCGGGGTTGTTGACGTCCGCGATCGGGCGGAGGAGGTATGTTGGCACCACAATAGCGATGACCTCGATGGCGATGTGGGCGAATGCGGTGAGAAGCGAGATGTTGTAGAAGGTGGTGAGGAGGAAGGCAAACGGGATGTTGATCACAGCCGTGAGCGCGCCGATATCGAAGTCTGCACGGTCAGCACGTTCTCGTCAACGCAGGCATCGCGGCGCGCATCTTACAGTCGTATTTCATCCCCCACGCGACAGCAATCAATGCGATCTTGGTTCCAAGCCGGATAACAGGATCTATTAGCTCGCCAAAACCCTCCTGCTCTTGTCCTGGGCGCGGAACCTTGCTCACGGCTCCAAGCTCGTGTGACAATACGTTTTCCGCTCCACTCCAGAGCGCGCTCTGCAGGCAGATGTTCAGGATGATCAGCATGGGAAGGCGCACAAAAGCCGGCAGCCTGGCGCGTCGCGAGGCGCGCGGGACAACGGTGGGCGGAGGACGATCAGCCATCTCGAACGGAAGTATAATTAAACCGGTAGAGAAGGTGAAAGGTCGCGACGTAGATGCGCGATTTGAAGAAAGTGCGCCGCGAGCGCTGGGACGTGGTGGATAAAGTGCGGTTTGTTGTTTGGTCGTCAGAACGTCATCAACACGCGAAGCACGGACCATTCGCAGTTTTCCCAGCCATCTCATCTTGCTTCAGATGTGCGATACTCCACATCATAATTGAAGATTTTTGTCCGCGGTTTTCCTGCTCATTTGATTCTTGGTTGCATTTACGGCGCGATATTCATCGCGATGGACGCTCTGCCTTTTTGACACGTATTCGCGCTGCTGCTCATTTCACCTCACACCTCGATGCTCTTCACCATCATTTTGCCTGCCTGACGCTTTCCCAACTCGCTTTTCCATTTTTGTTTTCGGTTTTGGTTTTGGTTCAGGTGCAAAGCTCATAAGGGACTGAACCCGTAACGATTCTCATCCCCAGTGGCGCAAGGACATAGTCGACAGTCAATAAGAGCGCTTGAGGCGTCCTACCCTAGCATGCCCACGTCGTTCCGGTTTCCTTGCCACCTGGTCGAGACCCCGCGCTCTTCTCCGCCTTGTTGCAGTCCAGTTGCTGTTGGTAATGACTCGCTTACCAACGTAACACCGAACCCTTGAGCAAATGTGTTGATATCTACGCCCGCACACCCATGCTCATCGCCTACAGCATAGAGTCGCAAAGTAGAGCCGTATATTATAAAAACATCACATCTTCCAATGGTCGCCAGCATGGAGAACCACTTGAGAACATCGGAACTTGACCGAGATTCAATCAGCTCACACCACGCTTGATAATTCAGACCAGCGGTTTCTCCCGAGACACAAGCTCACCGCTCGAAGACCCGAGATTGTACCGCGCAGTTTTAAGCCTCAAGATGCGGCTCAAAGTTTAGTTTGCTATTGCCCCACCGCATGGCGCGTTGGGAACTCAACCTTTCACCCTCACGTGCGTCTTACCCGTCCCGTCCGCCAATCAAGTGGGCTGGGGTTACATGGAGTGTCCCCCACACTGTGCACCATCCTCCCCACGTCTACCGACAGACAAGCATCCGCAGCCCAGTGGCGTGCCGACAATCTTTGCCGCCTTCCTGGGCACAAACCAATTTGCAAATGGTTGCAACATCTTTTCTTCCCCGCACTAGCGCACCGATGCGGCTCGCTCAATGCGGTAAGATGCGCTGTCTTGGCTGACATTCAAGGAACCACCTTCGCAATGTGACCGTTTGGTAAGCGGAGGACGGCTCCTGGGGGTGTGGAGACTCCATGGGCAAAACCTTCTTCCGCCAGCCGCCCCGAGACGAGGGATCATCAAATAAAAGCGTCTCGCCGCCCTCCTTCCGCTTTCATCCCATTTCTTGCTTTCGTCTGGTCGTTGGTGGGCACTCATCATGGCTCCCTCAGACGTGAAAGACCTTGATGCGATGGAGCTGGAGCGGGTTGGCCAGGCCATCCACGCCAGCCAGATGGACCCCGAACGGAGGAGGCAGGTCGAAAAGAAGCTGAAGATGAAGCTCGACTTGCGATGCTCGATTTTCGTCATGATGTATATTATGAACTACCTGGATCGGAACAACTTGGGAGCAGCTCGTCTCAAAGGTCTCGAAGCTGATTTGGGTCTCGACGACACCCAGTATGCGACATGCCTCAGCATTCTATACGTCGGCTACATTCTCATGCAGATCCCCTCCCAATATGTAAGAAACATATGGATTTTAGCTGAAGTTACCTGCTTATACAGATTACAGGATCATCAACAAGATCGCCCGCCCGTCGTGGTACATTGGCACCGTCATGCTCATCTGGGGCATGATCTCTACTCTCTCCGGCAACGTCACTTCATTTGGAGGCATGGTGGCCATTCGTTTCTGCATTGGCTTCGTCGAGGCGGCTTTCCTCCCTGGTGCCCTCCTCATTCTATCGAAGTGGTACACCCGCCGCGAACTTACCAAGCGCAACGCCATCCTCTTCTGTGGTAACCTGATCTCCAACGCCTTCAGTTCCCTCGTTGGCGCCGGTGTGCTATCGAACATGGAGGGTACGCTAGGACACAGGGCGTGGAGATGGCTGTTCTGGATTGAGGGCGCCGCGACGATGTTCATTGCGCTTTTGGCGATTTTCATCCTGCCGGACCTGCCGCACAATACTAGGGGCTTCACAGAGGAGGAAGGTGCCGTGGCTGTGCTCCGCATGACCGAGGATGTCGGCGAGGCAGATGTGGATTCTGAGACAATGGGTGCCTTCACAGGTCTCGTCATGGCGGTCAAAGACGTGAAGATTTACGTCATGATGTTGACCTTCACGGCCTACGTTGTCGGCCTCTCCTTCAACGCTTTCTTCCCCACGCTCACCGGCACGCTGGGCTTCGGATACGTTCCTACCCTTTTGATGAGCGCCCCTCCGTGGGTATTCTCCTGCATCGTCAGCTTGATCAACGCATGGCACGCTGATAGATGTGAGGAGCGCTTCTGGCATATTGTCGGCCCCATTATCGGTGGCATTGTGGGTTTCATTATCAGCATGTCCACGGAAAATGTTGCTGCACGTTACGTAGCGCTCTTTCTACAGGCGTCGGCCTACGCAGGCTTCATCGTGTTCTACTCCTGGATCTCCTCGTCCTTCCCTCGTCCGCCGGCGAAGCGTGCCGTCGCAATCGCGATGATTAACGCATTCTCGCAACTTGGCAATATTGCCGGGTCTTACGTCTGGAACATGAAGGAAAATGGGTACAGGAAGAGCTACGGCCTTGTCACGTCGATGTTCGGTGTCACCATTGTGGGCTGCTACATCTTTAAGATCATTCTCGAGAGGCTGAACAAGCAGATCGATGAGGGTGAGGCTGCATGGGTCACGAGTGGTGATGTAGCTGAGCAGACGGCAAAGACAGAGGGTGTCACCGTGGAGGAGGGCACGAAGTTGATCAGAGGGTTCAGGTACATTATCTAAGAACGCACGAGTCTACAGCTTCATAGTTGCGACTTTGCTATGATAGCCATCTTCTCCATCGACTCGTACTTCTAGCCGCAGACATCCGGCTCAATAGACCATTAACGATTTCTAAGAAGTGCACACATTTTACACATTCTCGCGTGACCTCCCTCCCTCCAAACGTCAAGGGCAAGCGCAAGCGGGGCCCCGCTCGGTCCCAATTGCACCGACCCGCCTAGTGCCACACCGTCGCCTCGAGCTTCCCTCTTCCACGTGTCTACGCTCCCTCCAAGCCTCTTTGCACCTTTCCGTACACACACCCTACACATATCCCGGCACGACCAATCACAACCCTCATCCACCATGTCCTCCAAAGGCCTCTGGCAGCCCAAACAGCCGGACTCAGCGTCTATGAACAAAACGAACCAAGGCCCCCGCCGCATCGGCCAATGGCTGTACCTCAGGCCTGAGAAAATCGAGGAGTACAAGAAATGTCATGCAGCTGTCTGGCCTGAAGTGCTTGCCCAGATAGCAGACTCGAATGTTAAGGATTGTACGTATTCATCTATGACAATCACATTCTCTACCTCGAAGCCGCAATGCTCCCTTTCTATTCCTGTTCTCTCCTCTCCCGGCTGTTTTATAGTAGAGGGTTCCTGACATGTGACCATAAAGACTCGATATTCCTAAGTATGCACCCACGACCCACACTCTTCGCGAGCTTCAAGTACGTGGGGCACAAGTTCGACGAGGATATGGCGCGGATGGCGGCGAATCCCAAGGTGCAGGAGTGGTGGCGTATGACGGATGGGATGCAGGTAATTCCTTCCCTGCTGTTGAAGATGAGGTGAACGAGGCGTGCTAATGAGTTGTATAGGAGTCGCCTGTGGACGGCGCGGTGGGGAGTGCGAGTGGGCCCGGGTGGTGGGGACAGACGGAGGAGGTGTTTTATGTGGAGTAGGAGAGGAAGTTGAATCACGAGATAGCTCTGGTGTATGGTCATGTACATGCAGTTGATGACGGGTTGCGGAGGTGGAAGGAGAGCTGACTTGATCGGGGTCACAAAAGAGTGATGTCAGACGCATCACACGTTTTCTGCATGGGTATACGACACGTTGTACATAAACAGTCTAAAAGACAGATGTGCTGTCCCTTTCGCAGCTTGGAGGTTTGCACTGTCGTGTTTACTCGTTCTGGTGTACCTTTGCTTGACCTAGCCACCCTCTCTGATCGCTTAGGCAATCCCGCTGACGACATTTCCTGTCTTCTTTATTCATACTATGCAGGAAGAACATACGGGTATTGAACAAATCGTTCTTGCTTTGCTAAACGTCGTTTCATGTTACTAATGTTGGCCAACAGGAAGTTTCGGCATTAGTGCGAGGGATCGTAAAGAAGGCCTAACATACTGTGGCTCAATGTTCTTGAGCGCCGATACGTAAGCTCTCTGCTCGTTTATACTTCCTTCCAGATTCTTTGAGATGGCTCACCTTTCTCATAACATTATAGCGCGGTCGACCAGCTGATCAAACATATCCGTGAAACTCGCAACTATGGCAGTCATATCGACCAGGCTATTCATACGGTAGGCTACCCGACCAGAACAGAAGGGGATAACTACATGTCTGAATGCCTTGGCGGAAAGAATGGCTTGATCAAGCTGGTCCAATCCTGCGACAATGATTGTCAGGACTACGAGACGGACAAGGATGACAGTTGCGGATAAGCTTAAGTTGCTGCCCGGTTCGTTCGGCATGAGGAGGTGGTACGATGACGGTGGATGACCCAGGATCGGTCTTTTTCTTGTTATGATGTGTCGCGATCGGCCGTTACTTGTTGATGAAACATTGACTTTCATGGAAGTTGCAAGCGCACTCTAGCGGAAATGGAAAGTCGTAGTTATAAGCATCTCACATCTCAGCAAGATAAGGCTCGTCCTTGTAAATCGTATATATGAGGGTAGGTACATGGAAAGAGTGGAAGCTCTTACCAGAGCAGACAAGAAGAACAACAGGTATGAAAAAGCCAATGGAGATACCCTTAGCTAGATCGTATGACTGGACAAGCAAAGCAGGGAAATGGTTCTTCGTCTGAAACCCTTCCTGATCGGACCATACCTAACTACACCAGCCGAATGAATCCCACCAGGTTTGAACGAAGAAGCTGGTGATGCGGTTAAGCAGCAGCCTAAGCAGAAGATGATCCTGTGTCCCCACCGACCGACCGGTCGCCTTCGGCTGGAATTTCGGCCTCATTCTGACGTGGTGCTTCGAATCTATAGACGAAGTAACATGCGTATTTGTCGTTATTCGGATCCTCGAAATTCCTCGCACCCTCGACTATCTGTCCATTTTTCTCAGATTCAACATAAATATCATCTATGGACATTGCCCATTTTTCCCAGTAGGTTGAGATGAAATGCAACCATTCTGGATGGATCAGGTTGATGTCAAAAGGGAGCGTTTCTTTCCCCTTGTAGAATAGGCCCATCGCGACCTTCACAGACTGGTTGTTGTCGATGTCTTTGATCAAGATGTCCCCGATGTCGAAACGGCCTGTGACATCGAGGCGTTTATACGATTCGACGTTTTTGGGACCATCCTTGATGTTGCTGACAATCTTTCCACAAGCTTCATGGATCAACTTGGCAACCACCTCGGGTTTTGGATTGCCCTTAGATAGCCTGTATTCAACTTGCGGTGGCATGTTGAACTTAGGTCGTCAAGTCGAAATATTCTTGGCTATCCTTCTAAGATTCGCAGTTTCGAATGTTTCTCGTTTCTTGATGTGTGCTCTGTGCGCGTATTGTGCATATAGGTGCTTTGAAAGCTAAAACGTGATGTTTTGTAGAGAAGTAAGTGCTCGAGGGTGTAAAAGTTATACTCCCCATAACGGGTCTGTGAGTTGAGCAGTATGACTCCATTAGTGTTCAGCTCGGCAGATATGGATGACCTGGCGAGGAGGCGCGTGTTTAATTAGCTTGCGCGTCCGTTGCCGAGTGTGACTGCGATTTGAGCTTTCGCAGAGTGTCAGTCACGCAACAAATATGGGTTTGTGTTGCTTTCCGCGGGAGCCTCTTCCCGCCACGAGCAGCAGACAAGATCTCGAGGTACAACTGCGGTTCAGCATCGCAAGAACCGACCAGAGAGGCGCAGCGGAAGAAGACCGCGGATAAAGCTTTCTCAAAATCGCGTTGGAGTGATGTGTAGCCACGGAACAAGCACAGCGAGTGAGTCGGTCAATATACCGAGAAGACAGAGCTTGAGAGGAAGGTGGACGAGCTCCCCGACGCCCTTGCCACACCGTGCTAATTTCTCTCCAACAATTTGACTTGGGCTTCTCATTATTCCTCTAGGACCCTGATAGCCTACCGAGCCTGGCTGCTTGGACTCATCCGCATGGCGGTTTCCTTTCTTACCCAACATGATCAGTCTGTGCATTCAGATACAAGGTTTTATAGATCCAATGCGAAGATAGGGCTAGGACTCTGGCACATACTGCCCCATGCCGCGCGTGTTACCGCGGCAGTAACACTCGAGTCACTCGGTAACGTTACACCATGACTCCAGGGCCCAACCCCAAGCACATGGCTGTTCTTCATCAGAGACTCGGGCACTGTTGATGCGTCACAACGCTCGAGTCACTGAGACACGCGCTCCGTGATTTCAGGCCCTAATCCCAAGCACAGGGCTGTTCTCTGTCAGAGTCTCGGGCATCGTTAATGCGTCAATGCTGTGCAGTCATCGACATGAAGACTCAGAGGCCGCACGGTGAAGGTCGTTCAATACTACTATTTATTCTCCGTACTGCTCTGCAGCTTCTTTCTTGATCAAATCCTCTATACAGTACACGATTTGCTTCAAGAGTATCGACACTTTGTCTCAAACTTCTACACGACGACACAAACTCTCAACGAGAATTGCCCGAACTAGTAATGAAAACTGCCCAAACACCCAACCCTATTGTGCCATATTTGAGATTCGATGTCTTAAAGTCTATTCCTCTCCGCGCCGGAGTTGAGCATGAGTTCATTTTAGTATCCTCTGAAATCAAAGAGAAAGTCGAAGACTTCAAAACCGAAAGCACAAGAGTTTCGGTATTCGCTAGAACAGAGCTCGCGAGTATGCTTAAAGACATCGAAGGGATCAAGGTGGATCCTCATATCGCCGAGAAGAGATTGCGATCGGACTCGGAGACATACGAAACGATGTGGACTTTGCCTTTCGAAGTTTGTCTTTGGATGGGGACGCCAGATGATTCCTACTGTGAGCGTCACCGTTGAGGAACGATAGACCCGAGAATTTTGGAAGTTGCTAACACAATCTAGTCGAAATCGAACTAGCTTCTCCTGTCGCAGAAATCAAAAGCGAAGAATGGGTCCTACAGACCCAAAGTATATACAACAAATGTGAAGAAATGAATTATGGAATATCTACTCCGCCGAGTACCTGCGCCACCCAAGTTCATATATCGCCCTCTAAGAATTGTTCTCTGAACGGTGTCTGGAGCGTGGACGCTTTGAAATCGATTGCAAAAGCGATAGTATATTACGAAAGATGCGTCGACGCCCTAGTGGACAGTCCTCGTCTCATAGTTGGGCACTGTGGAATGTCCAATTTTGCAAGCGTAATTTACCAGAGCAATGTCACGGATGCTCGAGATTGGAAAGAAACATGGGAAAACAACCTAGCGGACACCTTACTAGCCATGTGGGCTAAAATCGATGCATGCAGCAGCGTAGACGACCTCGCCAAATTAACGTGCACTCAAGTCCAAGGGTCTTGCATAAACACATGGGTGAATGGGATCGGTACCCGCGCAGGTCGGACTCAAGACAAACTCGATAGAGACTTCCGTTGGAACTTTCGGCCCCTTATCGACGAATCAGGCATGTGGGATCCAAAGGCCAATCCTGGTTCTCCCCACGTACTGGGAACGATAGAATTCCGACAACCAGAAGGCTCGAGCACTGCTGAGCAGGCGATCAGCTGGAGAGTGTTCGTGGCTGGTTTCGTCCAGGCAGCTTTGTGCCTTCACGAGTACGGGCTCAATATGGCTTCCCATAGCCCGACGGTAGGAGACTTGAGAACCTTCGTGAGAGAAGGACTTAGGATGATGGCATACGACTCGTCGAGAGTGGAACCGGTGTTTGTCGGTAAGCTGGGACTGCAACCTTCGAAGATCACGTTTTCTACGATGCCAGGGGGTTTCAAGAGATATGATGTTAATTAGGGGGAATGAGAGCCTCTAGCGCTGGTAAGCTGTCTACTATGTCGCTATAAAACTCGGCGACGGGGCAATGGGTCTCAATTAAGGTCATCCTGAAATGCAGTGGACCTGACTAGGTAGACTCCGTCTCTCTGTCTTTGGTTAATTTTGCTTCTATTGTTGTTGTTACTTTGTTTTGGTTCTGGTTCTGGTGTTGCTCTCTGGTTCTCGTGCTTCTTATGCTCTGGCTTACTTACATGTCGATAGAGGTCATTCAACATGTCGATGGAGGTCATTCAACATGCCGATGGGGGTTATTCAACATGTCGACGGGGTTTACTCTTTGTCTGATTGTTATTGGGGTTGTTAGAAATTCTGCTTTCTTTTGGTTAAAGGCTGATACTCTATACCCATGAATACCAGCCGTTTTTACAAATGACCCTGCCCTAGATTTGCTTAGTTAGTACAGCTGAGTGGACCTTATACTCCCTTCTATTGACTCAGGAAGTTGTTGGACTTTTTGGCGTAGCGTTATTGAAGTAAGGGTTTAACTGAGGTATTGTGTCTGATTCACGAGATACGAGATACAATAACACCCCAAACCGTTTCGTATGGAAAGCTAATCTCAGCCTACCACGCGAAACACCGATAACCCAAATGTGCTGATTTCTTGCTGAAGCTCTGTCCACGATCCCAATACACATTCGCGTACCATCGGTTCTCGTTCCTCGTCCTTGCGTTCAGTAACAAGTGACAGTATGCTCGTATCGAAGGCTTGTGATTATCTCAGCAATATTCGCACCGTAGCCTCGGAAAACTGTGAGCCTGTGGACTGAACAATGGTACACGCTGATTCAACGTACGAAGGCGCCGATTCTGATTCTGGTGTTGCGCAATACCCTGGCCACGGTTCTGGTTGTGATGTCAGTGTGCGTCTTTGTATTTGGATTGAGCGCATTACCAGCATCTCCTCAATTAGCCATTGGAACCTTCTTGGCCCAAGGCCGTTATCCAGAGTCTCTATATCAACTCAGCCAATGCACGTTATCTTTGGACAGGCTCGGCGGTGCAATTTCGTATGATAGACGAGAACTCGGTGCCCACCGGAGGTTCCGCATCGACTTGAAACTCTTAAAAAGATCGAAGATATAGCCGACACATACCCAGATTGTCTATTTCGTCCACGAAACAGACCATCTTCAGCATCTGTTATACACATCGCAATAACACTTCTCGTATGCGGGACAGCTTATCAAAGTTAGCAGTCGCGCATCTCAACCCTAATTCATCGAATACTCACTAAACGGGGTCTTGACCAAACAGGATGTGCCAAAGATACTCGAACACCCGGCCACTTGTCTCATCTTTTAGCGGAGTTTCCATCAACCACGTATAGTACTTTTTGTATTCGTCCAACGGCCGCTTCTGCACTTGCTTGCTCGACACGGCAAACTGCGCACAGCAAGGTGTCGCCAGTACGTGGGGTATATCCGTGTTGTTGAACAAGTCTCTCCACGCATCCGGCATCGCTGCTTCGATTGTTCGATGGTCCTCAGGCGGATCTCGAAACGGCATCACTTCGTGCGGACAGCCGGGATCGTGAACGCAACGCAAATTCGCGTAGCCGTTGCTCTGGATGAAGTTGATGTTAAGGGTTTGCAGAGAGACTACGTTGGAATGCTCGTTGTTGTCAGTGTGCCAGGCGAGCGGGTAACCGTCTTTATGCGGATGAATGAACGCGATCGTTGAAGGGAGGTTGTTGTAATTCTGCACGATGTATGCGAGGTATGCATTTGCTTCCATTCCTTTGTTCCGAAGGATACGTAGAGTGCTGTTAGTGAGAGGATCCAGGGTCGATGTGTTTTGCGGAGTTTCGGTATCGATGTCATAGATGGCTGATTGCCAGTCTTGTAGGTCGGTATGTACCCAGCGTGTGTCGTCTGTTGGAAGCCTTGCCATTACTACGACGTGATCAGGTAGTGATGGGCTAGGTGTCGCGACCGCAGTGCTTTGCGTCAGTGTGCTTGTATATTGAGGTGTGATGGAGGCCGATGATGTTTCCTCTTTCGTGCCGCCATGCGCATTGTCCTGCCCAAGTATCTTTTGCTCTTCTTCTGCTTCTGTTGCTTCATGTTGCCATGGTTTCTCAGCAACGCTGGCCTCGACAGATTCTTCTGGGATATCATTGAAGTGGGCGTCAAAGAGGAACCATGCGCAGAGCACGAACACCGCTACCACAATGATTTCAATTTTCCTGCGGGAACGCATCATCGCTTATTGGCGGCAAGTGAGTGGGGTACTCGAGAGGTGATCGAATTGGATGTGTCTATTTGGTCGGGATATCGTGGAGGCTCCGTGTTTGCGTCGCGCGCACGTGCGCATGTGATATAGGTTGCCTAGAGGAGATGCCGGTTACCAGGAGGTGAAGAGCAACTGGGTCGCGCAGCCTGAAGCACCTTCTCAAAGGGCTCTTGCAATGTATAAAGAGAGGTATACGTTGCAGCCCGCAGTCTAGCGATGTGGTATTGCGGCACAGCTTGAGGTCGGCGCTAAGCGGTGTTGAACAGTTGGTAGATTTGTGTGGTCGACGCTAGCCCTAGGCGATTGCGACGCAGCACGGCATAACTTGACTGCAGTATAACACTGAATTTGAATACATATGCTACGCCAATCATTTAGGGGCTATCGCTTGAAACCGCATTAACACATTATTCTTCTACGCCGCAGTTCCTAGCTCTTTAGTCCCTCCTTACGTCGTAACATTCACCATCGAGCATTGCAATGGGCCCCTTGGTAAGCCTGTCACCACTGTTTCTGGGAGTCTTTCACTTCTTGACCTTTGTGGAGAGTCAGTGCCAGCCACAGCCCGTTGTCGCACGTATCCAGAATGTATCTTTGCCCAACGGAGCCTTTGTAAGAGGGATTTCCATGACTGTCGGCTCCAACGACCAGAATATCTCATTCTTCGCTAGCAGGTAAGTCTTGCAGTATAAGTCGCAGGTTTTGATACAATCGGTCTTTTAGATACCTCGTTTGCAGTAACAAAATGTACCAAAACCTCGAAGAGCTTGCGGATTCGGTATGGCTAACTAGCACCGCTTATAGCGATTACAGCGAGACCTACATCTACGGGACCAATGGATATTGTACAGACGTCTACTCATCTGGAGCATGCGTGACATTCCGTGGTGGCGCATACGACAAAACAGTATCCTCTACGCACGAATCCATCGTTAATCGACAGGATAGTGACGGTTTCGAAGCGGACTGGATAGAAGATACTCTTAGCTTTGGCCGCAACACCTCACTGTCTTCCTTCGGATTCGGCGTTCCGCAACAGGATCTCAGCCAAGCGTTCACCAGCCAATCTCAGCTTGGCTTAGGTACGCACTCATCCTTTCTGCGAGCACTCGTATCTGCTGGTGATATAGGTACAAAAGCATACTCCATGTTTTGGGGACTGGTCGGTGGTCCCGCAGAAAAGCAGACTCGGGGGTCACTAATTCTCGGTGGCCTGGACAAATCGTTGATTGAAGACCAAAACGACAACTTCACGGCGTCACTGTTCCGGAGCAGTAGGTGTGGGACGGGCATGGTAGTAACGATTAGCGACATCCTTCTGAACTGGCCGAGTGGTAAGAATGAGAGCATCTTCATGGGACGACCGGAACCAGCGACCATACAAGCGTGCATCAGTCCCAGTTTCGCAGGCCTGATGTCCCTTCCACTAAGCTACTACGAAAGCTTCTGGTGGTACGCAGGCGGAACTCCTCCAGATAATAAGAGTGAGGCGAGAAGCTCCGGTATCAATTACTTCACGATGCTTTTTGACCGAGATGATGCGTAGGTGCCGTACCGATTCAGTTCGAAAGGTATACAGCTAATCACCATGATTTAGTTACTACGGTGGTATGACAATCCAGCTTCAAAACAGCATCTCCGTAAAGATTCCCAACACCGAACTAGTCGTTCCCGACACTTACATTGCCGCCGATGGCTCAGTTCAGACGAATACATCGGTCAGCAACGTCGTAATCAACTCGCTTCGAAATGAAAATGACGACGATAATGACAATGACTACGATCTGCCGGTCCTTGGCCGACTGTTCATGAGCTCTGCCTACCTATTGGTCAATCAAGAAGCTGGGAGGTTCTCCGTCTGGAAAGTGAACTCAAGATCGAAGACTTCCGATATCGTCGCAGTGGATAAACAAAACGATATGGTCAGTGAGTTCTGCGCGAGCTCTACGGGCGGCTCGTCCAGTGCTACATCCTCGCCCGCGTCTTCCGTCATACCTGCGCCACAAGATAAAGGGTCCAAGCTGTCAGGCGGCGCAATCGGTGGGATTGTCGTGGGTGCGGTGGGAGGTATTGTCATACTATGCACCACTAGCTTCCTTTTGTACCGAAGACGAGGATCAGGCGTTGCTGCGACAGGTATAGTACAGGAACCAGAGTTGCAGACAAAAGATGTGAAACCGCCCACGTATAGTATGGTGCCAGCAGGCCCTCAGGAACTTGCTGGAGATTAACGCAATATAATAGAGCTGGACAGTAGAGCCGTCGATGGTCGTAGAATAGTTGATTAAGTTATGGCCTTCAGCGACGTATAGTATACCTTAATGCCTTACGTCCGCTAGAAGAGGTGCATTCGTAGAACTTCTCCCTAAGTGTAAAAAATCTAAAGCATAAACCCCCATGGAAGATTGGTCGAGAAGAATGGGAAGATTCTTTACTTGTCTATAGTACAGTCTAATTGTCAAAGAACACCATGGTCTATTATACAGGGAAAACAGTCCGCCCCATATCAACACTAGGCGACACACCCCATAGCTCCCGTTATAACAAGCCCCAATAACCCCAACGCAACCTTAGTTGGGACCTGGCCGTGATAAGGGTTCCCGCTTGATCCAGTCTCAGTGGCCCCCGAGGAGGTGGCAGATCCAGTCTTATCCTCGTCGTCCTGCGAAAATGACGCGCCTGTAGCTGTCGCAGTGGGATATGACGTCGCCGTTGCTGTAGCGTTGGTTGAACCATGGCACCATACATCCTCCCAGGCGACGCCAGCCTTGTAGAGACAGTCGGTAAGGTCCTGGACGGACTGGTCCACGGCTAGGCTGTACAGAGCGCAATCGTTATAGTATGGTAGGGGACCGGCAGGCTTCGCACAGGTTTCGAAGAGAGATTGATAGTTTTTGATATTTGGGACAGCGCAGGCGGCGTCTTTGGTTGGGAGTTCGTATTGCCCGTTGCCGCCGCAAGTCGCTGAGGCTGCTGCCGCGCTGGTAGTGGTGGATGACATCGTGGGAGGGTCCGATCGCGAGAAGATAAAACGATTGGTTGTGAAAAGATAAAACGAGTGGAAAGATGTTAGGAACTATCATCCATGAGTACTCCCTATTCATATGCTGTCACTCTTGCCAAGGTTCCGAGGGCTTCAAGTGTGGTTCACATGCGCTGCCGGCTATTTATAGTCGGAATAACTGGTTTCCGAATTAAAGAAGCAATAGACATCGATAATCGGCTTGGCTGTTGTTGAGACAGCTGTTTAAGATGCGCCTCTCACCTTTTCGATTAATCCAATGCTCAAGCACTGCCTCACAGCGTCTGGGGTGGTACAGGGAGCTTGGGAGGATCGACGTTGGGTCAGTGAAAAATGAAGAATCCGCAGTATAAATTCAACCCAGTATCTCCGGCAGTTAGAGATATAAACGAATATTAACATCATTCTTTGGATACTCAAGAGGTTTCTTTCAACATGACTCTTTGCTCACTGTCATTACTCTTGTTGGGGCTGCGTGCGCCGCCAAGGTTCGAAAATCCCCATCAAAGTTTTAATATTCGTCTCCAGTGTGCTGATCGTAGTTGACTTGCGCGATGGTACTGCTTCGAATTCTCCAAGTTGTGGAGTAGTGCGAATTGGGGGGAGTGCCGACCGGCACTACCCATTCTTCTTTGCAATCGCCGCCGCTTTATCGTCGTGCCGTGCGTCGTGCTGTGTTGTGTTGCAGACTCCCATATATGTTTATTAGCAGCTGACTCTGGACTTTACATTGCGGAAGGCCGGAAACAGTGACTTCAACGAAGCAATTAGTTGGGCGACGCATAGAAAATTGGGCTTTCCGTCTATTTAGATATGAATAGTGTACTGGCGGACCAGTAATTGCGTGGGTGACCAGCAGCGAATATGCACTGTTATATACTTGTATGTTTTTGCCTTGGTTGGTTTTTGTTCGGCCTCTGTGTGCACTGTTGACTGTCAGCCTCTACGCACTGTTCTTGTGCGCGGAGTGGGCCCCGCCTAATTATGCGTGGCAAGAACGCTGTAGAAGTCAAGCACAGCTTCCCTAAAATCAAATAGCCCGCACGATGAAGATTGGAGGTATCGAGGCAGACGAAGTCGCAGCTTATTTGTTGATGTCGTTGCATGATTCACGAGGGCTGGCTTGACGTGCACGGTGCTTCCCCTTTTGGGTGCATTGCGCCAAGCCACCATCAGCCCTAACCCCTGCTACGGGAACTCAACCCTGCTCCACCGACTTGTCGATGTCATTTCCACAACAGCTCCGCCTCAATCCCAGCTCATCTCTGCTTCACCATGGACAGCCTTCCGCAAGAGCTGGTGGAGCGCATTTGCGGCCTCTTGACCCGCAACGACCTGAAGAATACGCTCACTCTTTCGCGAAGCTTTCAGTATGCTTCAGAGCGAGCATCTGGAGCTTACACAACGTTCGACTTGAACTCAGAAAACACACAAGACTTCAAACAGCTATATGCCGGCCGGCGGTGGGCGTACCTTCGACATGTACGATACCAGACGCACATTCCAGCCTACGACGCAGAAACCGAGGACGACGAATATTACCAGAAGCATCATTGCCGTGAATCATCGCAGGAGCTTCAAAAAAAGGACGAGCAATTCACTGAGCAGATAAAGGACCTTTTTGACACCCTCAAACTTCTGGAAGGCAACGCATCCGAAGGGAAACTGCAGGTCACCATTTACGCACCAGTTCGGGAGGTCCGTGAGGCTAGTCCCCATCGCAAGTGTATAAGCTGGCGCCTTCACTTACTTTCTCCCGAATCGCTTCCAAGTCTCGGCTCGGTACGAGCATTGCGCATCGAGGACCCCAGAATCATATTCCCCTTGGATGACGACAAGTCACTGCTTAAGATTGACCTGCGGGTTATTGTGGATTTGGCTGTGAAATTCCCTCATTTGGAATATCTGGGCTGCAAACTCTTTGCTGGTAGCGGATGGACGCCTTATTACAACTCGGAAGCGCCTCGAACGTATAGCCGCGAATGGCCAGGCCCCCTACGTGATACGCGCCTCGACTTTGCAAAAGCCATTGAGGATGCCAATCTGCCTGCAACGCTGCGTGAGGCGCAACTTGACTTCCTTTGGCCCATGACGTCGGCCGAGCGAATTGACCATGATGAGAGGATACCGAATCTTGTAGGCTCGAATGCGTATGACCCATTCAGCAACAGCTTGAGGTCTCTTTCGCATCGCTTACGAAGGCTGGAGCTGAAGGCGGTTGCTGATGCAAGTTTATTCTGGCCCTCTAATGGTTCCGCATCTTACCCGAACCTGGAAAGCGTCTGTATTGTGTTCCACATGTCAACTCCAGCCGGACGTTGGTATTTTGATGGTCCTGAGGATCTTGGCCATGACATTGAAGGAACTGAAGTTAACGAAAGATCCTACCCTCCTCTGGAGGACACCGCAGACGATAAGGCTCTCGATGAAGAAGTCGAGGATGACGGGCTGGACATTGAAGTAGTCAACAGCAAACAGTTCCGCGTCCGACCGAACGACGATGTCTTAACTCCATTCCTGACCGCCTTCGCAAAAGCTGCCGCTGAGATGCCTAAGTTGAAAGAAGCCTGCTTATGGTGCCCACTCAGATGGCAGGCGGGTGACAGCTATGGAAACAGCGACGAGCTTGGAAAAGACATCTCAAAATGGCCCGATCGACCTTTGGCTTGGGGTATCACATATATTGCACCAAAGACCTTCGGTTTTCACTTCGAAGGCCAGCACTTTTCGCAGTCGCGACAGCTATTCTGGACTACTGGGCCGTGGCGGCCAAGTAATGAACTTCACGATCTCTTTGGTCGCATCGGCGACCAGAATGCGGAGCTTTTAGAGTATTGGGGACTGGAAAACTACGGCAAAGATAAGTTGGCTTTACGAGACGTCTTCGATCAATTTCAAATCTACGGACGGCGGCACCCAGGTTGTGCATGGCCTATCGATAAGTCATTCATTGTGCACAAGACACTGCAATGAATGGCGATCAGAAGCAGAACACGCATGCGCACAGTCAGACTCGACTCGGCTACAGTCGCTACCCACATATTGAGTAATACAAGGCAGTTGTTTGCGAAATACCGTATAATTAAAAGAATCGTGAACTCCACAAAACGGATGCCTAATAACAGAAGGGCCCCGATTTTGTAGCTTCACCTCCAGCATCCCAGCTATTATGAGGGCGATGTCGAACGACAACAATAAACGGGCCTTCCTGTGAAATTGTAGTTCGCATTGTATCCAGGATTAACGCTGTGTTTACGATCAAAAATAGCCGTTCACAACGGCTTGGCGGCTGCAGATTCAAATGTGGGGCCAAATTCAAACCTCCAGGCTTTCATACAGCTTCGACGGCAAGAATACATACTTCGCTCAAACTCGGAGTCACTTGTCTGTCGCAGTCTAGAAAGTTCTGATATAAGCTGTAAACTGTAGAGTCCGACGGTGGGTATTGGAGATGTTCTCCGATGGAGACACGCATGTAAGAGTCGGAAGGGCCCCGTTTGTACATACGAACTCAGGGTAGCAGTCATCAGCGCGTGCCTAAACATCATCCCTAACCCGAAACAAGCTGTAGGGCTGTGCTTTCATCGTCCACTCACGGAGTATTGCGCGGCGTCAATTCCAAAAAATCCACAGAAGGATCCTCGATCGTCGTTTCAGGTCGCGAGTGCGCGCATAAGCATGGGGCGGAGTTTAGATTAGGCTTACTTGGCCCAGCCTAGCGCCTGAAGAGTCCGATCCGATGTGAGAACTTGGGGCGGGTGGATGTGCGCAGGGGCATTGGGGGCGAACATCACCAGATGGGAGCTGGGCATAAAGATTGGAGGATGTCAGGGCGTTGTTGCTTCTGTCTACGGCGCTCAGTGGCCTCATTCCCTATCGTACACGACATTCTTTTTTACAGTCACTCTTTGAGGCTCAGTTGGAGCAATACACTCGTTTCCCACATCATTCTCAATCGCAATTTTTCTTCCTAAAATCTACATTTGGACTTGTGCGCATCGTTCCCGGTATGAAATTCACAGCTTCGCTGCTGCTCCTCAGCAGCAGTCTCCTCCCTACGGCCCTCGCGCAGAACTCCGACTCAGAAGTTACCGCTTCGTGGACAGAGCAGGGTGTTTGCGCATACTTCTACGAGAAACCTGGCGCGTGGAAGTCACTCGCCGAAACATGCGTTAAGTACTGCGAGAACAACGGCGGACATGGTTACTCTGAATGCGACCATACGCCATACGCGAGCATGAGCCTTCCCGACGGCATCGACCAGAGTATCATCAGTAAAGATGACTCAGGCGACGTCTACGTTCCGTGCAAGTGCAAGTGCGATAACCCTGATGTCGAGGGAATCGCTACCGCTATTCTGGACGTTGTTATCGAGGGGTTGAGCAAGCTCGATGAAATCATTTGCGGTGTCTTCATGACGGCCATGGTACGTGTCATATTATTCTCCACGGCACGTTGTCCAGCATCCGAAATGCTGTGTTCAGATTTCCAGTTTCAGATCACTTGAACTTCGTTGATTTATCGTTCAGGTGTCCGTTGTCGAGGTCGGCATCGATCTCATTCCCGGAGGTGCGGAAGCCACTGCAGCAGCCAGAGGTGTCGAAGCAGTCAAGTCCTTCACCGAGAACGCTCTCGATGTCGCCGACTCCATGGGTAACTGGGTCGGCAAAGCCTGCGGTATCGACGATCCGAACTGGCCCAACAGCATCTTTGATGTGCTCTTGACATCTCCTGATTCCTTCGGTACGAGCATTGGGTGCAAGAAGAAGAACAAGGCAGACTGCAAGAGCGTTGATCCGGTGCCGGATAAGCCGAAGACGAAGGGTGGCGATGACCCAGCTACTAAGGGACCTGACCCGGCTACAAGTGCGCCGAACGCGGACCCTACGACTGCGGACGCGCCGCCTGCTACGTCTGATGCTGCTCCACCTGCTACGTCTGATGCTGCTCCGCCAGCCTCAACCGATGCTCCGCCTGTCTCTAGCGATGTTCCTGTTTCCAGCGATGTCCCTGCTTCAACCGACGCTCCTGTCTCGAGCGATGTCCCAGCTTCAACTGATGCTCCTGTCTCTAGCGAAGTCCCCGTCTCTAGCGAGGTCCCAGTCTCAAGCGATGTCCCTGCTTCAACAGACGTCCCTGTTTCCAGCGAGGTCCCTATTTCTAGCGATGTCCCTGCTTCTACCGACGTCCAACCCACGAGTGTTGACCCTTCTGCCAGCGTCGACCCTTCTGCTACACCTTCAGTCGACCCATCAGCTACAAATAGTGTTGACCCTTCGATAACATCCAGTGCAGACCCATCAGCGACCAGTGGTACCGCCACGACCTCTTCATCCTCGTCCTCCGAATCTTGCGGCTCCGGAAGTACTGTGGTCCAGAGGCGCGGTGCTTCGCAGACCGCCGGCGCTCCGGCGTGCGAGGCAACGAATGCCTGCGTTATCACCAACCCCGACGTAGGAGGTGAAGACCTTGACGCCGATTTTGCGGATGCTCTCGATGCCGTATCAGATGTTGCAGACATCCTCAGGCTTCGTGGAATTGACGGCCATCGTAGCCCACGTAGCCTTTTACACAAGCGTGCACCGAAGAGTGGAAACCCGTGTTCCGCCAGCCCCGGAAACGAGGCTTTCGTCCTCCAATCAGACGACTATCCCTCAAACGGCAAGCTTGACGCCAATACCGATTCCTGGGGGTACATTAAGCAGAACAACAAGTGTGATTACTCGTGGCTTGATGGCAAGCCGCAGATCACTGGTAACACGTACGACAGCGAGCATGTGATGGAATGGCAAACAGTTACCGACTTCTTCAAGAAGCTGAATGCCAAGGGTGGCCAGAAGTACGACCACCCAGACCCCAGCCAACCTGATGGAACCAAGACCGACTTCTGCACCTACTGGATCCAGTCCTGGAGTCTTGATGCAGGACAGGAATTCTCGATCAACAGCAGCGCCCCTTACACCCCGTGGAACCACATTAAGACCGTGTACCCTGGCAACACTCTTGGCGCGGCGTACAAATCCGAGATGATAAGACTCCAGAGGAACATCAACTCGACTCCCAGGTCCAACGTAAGCCGAAATTGCTGCCGATGCGTTGTTCTGTATACTGACTGAGATCCGCAGATGTTCTCCGACAAGAACGACTACATCTGGACAAAGACAGACATGGACAAACTAGTCACGTCGAATCGAGACAAGGTCCTCGAGCGCATGCGCCTCCTCCTGGGTGTACGCACCTACCTCATGAATTCAAAGGTCAAGGAAATCTTCAAGAAACAAAAGGAGCGCATGGGCGCCATGATCGGCCAGCTCGATACAGACATGACGACCCACACGCGCACGCAGACCGTGACAGACCCCGTAACGGGCACCACGTCCACCGAGACATTCCGCCCTTGGGTCAGCCAGAACCTGTTGACGGAGTGGAACACGTTCATGGACTCGAAGTGGACGGACGCCACGACGAAGCACGCGAAGGTTATGAACTACTTCATTAACGAGCTTGATGATAAGCATTGCCAGAGCAGGGCTAAGCAGTCGACGGCTGATAAGCAGTTCTGCTCGAACTTGAGGACGCTGCAGTCGAAGTACAACACGGCGACGATTTTCTCGCAGCCGTGGTAGATGTGTTGCTGTATGAGTGCTAGGCATGTTGAGATAGATACCCTTGTATTTGTAGATGCTAATGTGGAGTTTTGATTTTTCTCCCATTGTGATATGCTGTACTGGAGTTTGGAGTGTGACTGTGAAGGTGCGATACTCTGATCTCTTGCGGGATGGGACTATGTACAATAAGATAGACCGTATGCAGTATGTCCCTGCTGTGACGTGCGTTGGGGCTGCTGCAGGAGAACTGGCACGAAGTGGGCTGGAAGATTCTGACCTAACGTGAGAATAAGAACAAGTATCGAACCATATTGAAAACTTTCAGAACTACATGTGGCAATTTTCTCTTATCGTACAAAACCATGCGCAAAACACATCTAGTCCCCACTTCCACTTCCCTCTCCCACAATCGACGCCGCATATTCAAAGATACCCTCATTAGGTTCGCATTCCGTACCCTTCGCAGGCAGCGTTCCTTCGAAGAAGTATTCACGGACCGCTTCGATAGTGCAATTCGAAGGATGACTCATGAAGCCATGCTACACTCAAACATTAGCCGATGTATCCCAAAGAAACATAACAAGTGGAGGGAAACTTACACCTTGCCCCTTGTGCGTCAAAAGCACCGATCCCTGGAAGCCCGCCGCAACCTCCCAAGCCTTATCAAGGGGTGTAATAGGGTCGTAAGCGCCGTTGACGAAGAGGATAGGATAGCTCGTGTTGATGCTCTCGAAGTTTCCTTCATATTGCTCCGCTGCCTTGAATGGCCACTGCGAGCACGGCCAGAACTGCGGCGAGAAGGCATCTGCGAAGGGGCCCTGCTTTGACTGCGCTGCTAGTATGGAATACATGTCTTCTGGCTTCTGAGTGCGGAACGCTGAGTCCGAGCAGCTGACGCCGTGGACGTTATTGGCGCCCAATGACCAGGGGAGTTCGACGTCTGCGGTGTTGGTGGCGGCAGTAGTCGCATTCTTAGGTATGGTGATGATGTAAGAGTCCCAGTCTCTGGCCAGAATTTGCGTTAACTTCGGAAGGAGAAACTCATAAGCTTGGTCCGGGCGATAGAGGAACCGCATAATGTTATACTTGGCTTCTTGCAGAAGTGGGAATCCGCCTGGCCGGAACCAGAAGTAGCTCGGGTAAAAAAGGTAGTCCTCAGGAAGGATGATGGGGTCTTCTTCCAGTTCTTGGAAGACCTCTGTCAGTGCGTCCATGATATCTGACACCTTGGTGTCCGCGCCGGTGAAATTCGAAATGCCGGGGCATAGCTCAGGGCCTGCGTCGATGCAGTTCTGGAGCCAATTCTCAAGTGACTTTTCAGTACCGGATGTAGCTGTTAGCCATGAGCCACTGTAGTAGTCATTGGCGCGAACGTTGCTATCGAGTAGCATGCGGTCGATGCGATCGGGAAACATGGCAGCGAATGTTTGTCCGAGAATGGTGCTATACGAGCGACCCCAAAACCGTAGCTTGCCATCTTCGTCCAATGCGTCGATTATGCGAACCATATCACGAGCGACGAATGGGGTACCCAAGAAGCGACCAATGTCAGCCATGCCCTCGGTGTTTGCGCATGAGCTGGCGTACCACGTCCCATCGTCCCAGGCCTTGGTTTCGAGGAAGTTCCACATATCCACGGAAGCAAAGGTGGTATCATTGTTCTTGATTGGGTGTGCATTCGATGTGAAGTTTGTCGTTGTGTTCGAGCCTTTGGTAGCGTCGCACGCGAATGGAATTGTGCGTCCGGTGCCACTGTACATCGTTAGAGTTGCTACTTTAGTTGTAAAGCGGGCATAATTCTTACCGTGTGTCAAATCCAACAATGTTGTACTGTCCATTGAATACTTCATCACGATACACATGGCCCTTAGTAGCAATCTCTTCAACACCGGAACCGCCGGGACCTCCAGGATTAAATATGATGGTACCTTTGAATGGTTCCTTTGTTGCTGACTGCTTGATCAATTGCAGTGTCAATGTGTTGTTGTTGGAAGAAAGATCCGTATAGTCGAGCGGTACTTCGAGGGTTGCGCAGTCAATTGGACCGGCAATCTCCTCTGTGGTGTTCTTGTCGAAGGGTAGGTCGCATGGAGCCCATTTCAGCGTTGGCTCTGACGAGTTGCTTGTACCGTACGGTAGAGCTGAAGTTGAAGTTGAGAAGGAGACAGCGAATGCTGCGCTCCATGCGAAAGATTTGGATAGCATGATTAGTGACAGTGGGTTTTGTTGTACGTTCCGAATGAAACTGACGGTGCGACTTGATACTTCTTATACATAAAACTGCATTTTAGTGCGCCATGACGTCCTTCTAGGCGATGCATGCGTATACGGGATGATGCTCTTGAGGCGTCCATCGCTGTAGTGAGAACTGAAAGACGTGCTCAGACTAGTGCTAATAAGAATACTTGATGAGCCTCGCGCAGCCTGTCGATCACACTCCCAATCGAGTGAAAAGAGTGTTCAAATCTTCCGTTGGAGGCTCTTAAATGCACAGGGCTGAGGCTTCGCCCCCATAATGACGGGTCGATGGGGCCGAACATTGGATGATCAATGTCTCCATTAGGAATTGCCCATGGCCAAGAAGTGGACAGAGCGCGACTATGCGTAGCTTGCCAACATTGGACCTCGCTGTATTTCGCTCTATGGGGACAGAACATCACAGCCGTCTATGAGCGGCTACTTTTTGTGCTTTCAGTAAAATTACATTCTTGTATGCATTGCTTTTGCTGGCAGATCAAATTGGCCTCGGATATCAATACAGGTCGAAACAACCCCACGGTCAGTTTGAGACTACATAGCAGCAACTCAACAACGGAATTGTACGGTGCCATGCTCTGATCGACAAGCAGAATGCACCCTGATATGGGAACATTCCACAGCGAGAGTGAAGCTTCAGCAAGCTTGGCTCGTTGTGCGGCAAGTGGAACTTTTCGACCACTCAAATGTCGCAAATCTTTATACAGCATAGCAGACCTAAGAATGTGAGCTGAGTTACATTGTAGCAGCAGCAGCAGCAGCAGCGTGTTTTGGGTAATTGCCCCTACCTTCATCCCTTTTGTACCTACCATAGGTGCTCAAACGGCGCGATTTCACAACATTCCCAGAAAATTCCTGAGTAATACAATAGCTTTGCGGAACTTCGTCTCATGCCGCCAGATTCTACTTTCTGGGTGAGCAATACCCGAACTGTGACGGAATGGAGTTGAAGAGGTAGTGGTACGGTACACACTATCAGAAAGAGGCAAGCCGAGGCAAAGCGGCATTTGGCGGGGCACCGCATCCCACTCGCTGGCTCGTTTACAAGCAACCAAGCAGCACTACGGCCGTCTCCGACGCCCAATTGCGGCTCCTATCGCGTGAGACATCTCACATAGTCGTCTTCAATCCTTGCCCTCCTCTTACGCCCCGAGTACACACCACAAAATGGCAGCACAACCAGAAGGTCTGACGCCTGAACAGCTCGCGTTTTTCAACGACAATGGCTACCTACTCATTCCGGACGCCTTGTCGCAAGAGACGGTCAAGGAGCTGCTGCAGGATACAAACAAGATGCTGGACGACTTCTCGCTGGACGATCATCCTATGACGAAGTTCGCGACCGGAGGCGACGACGGCGAAGGACACGTTGGAGACAGCTACTTCCTTGAGTCTGGAGACAAGGTGCGCTTCTTCTTCGAAGAAGGTATTCTGATCTTCCACACCCTCTTGATGATACGTCTCTGACAACATGTGCAGAGGCATTCAACAAGTCCGGCGAGCTGACCAAACCGAAAAAACGCGCGATCAACAAGATTGGCCACTACCTACACGAACTCTCGCCTTCGTTCCGCAACATGTCGCTCTCCTCTCGTAACGCTGCCATCGCACGCTCGCTCGGCTTCCGCGACCCGCAATGCCTGCAGTCAATGGTCATCTGCAAGCAGCCACAGATAGGCGCCGAGGTCCGACCACACCAAGATAGCACGTTCCTGTACACAGATCCGCCGAGCGCAGTCGGCTGGTGGTATGCGCTGGAGGACGCGACGGCAGAGAACGGATGTCTAAGCTTCGCAGCTGGTAGCCACAAGCGGTCACCTATCACGAAGAGATTCGTACGTACAGGCAAGGACGATGGCGCAGAAGGCACGGGCTTTATCGATAACGAAGGTGCGCAATTCCCGAAGGCCCTCCAGCGGGAACAGAACGGTGCAACGAACGGCGAGTCGAATGAGGAGGAGTATACGATGGGTGAGGTCAAGGCAGGGACCCTGGTGCTGATACACGGCAACATCCTGCATCGGAGTGAGAAGAACAGCAGTGACAAGAGTCGCTTCATCTATACGTTTCATGTTATCGAGGGGCATCAGGCGTATGACAAGAAGAACTGGCTGCAACCGCCGGAGAAGGGGTTCTCGAGGTTGAATGCGTCGTAGTACGAAGCGATGATAATGGTATTGCATGGACTATGACTTGCTTTGAACACACAATGCTATGCCAGCGAGCACGAAGGCCATTCCGATCCATGTATCTGTTCGTCGTTAGCTTGTTGTACGATAGCGGGCTTGGTGAATCGTGGAGCCTAGGTTGACTCGTCCCACCACGCATGCCCCAGGTCGTCCATGTATAGCGTGACAAAGCTTACCTCTGCTTATGACCTTCTTCTCTGCCCACCATTCTCCCAGTACTGTAAACAAGAACGCTAACGAGTTCGTAATCGGCACGGTAAGACTCAATTCTGCCTTTGTCAGTTGATGTGCACACCCTACGCCTTCTGAGACTTACCAGCTTGTCCAATCAATATAAAGAACCAGACACTCCCCGTAACATTCAACAAGAAAGGCACCGCATACGCCGGCCGACTGAGCACCCCAATGACCGCCCACCATATCCCCAAAACTTTCCTCTTCAGCCACGAGTTATTCGGGTCTGTGAGCGATGGCCGTGCTGGAGGCGTATAATTTATGGCTGCACGGCGCATGAAGGGTGTCGTAAGGCCCCAGCAGGCACCGACCATCAGGAAGCCCAGAACCCAGCGGAAGATAGAGGGCTGTGGGGCAGGCGTGGCAGGCGTGTCGGGATCCATTGTGCTGGCCTGCGGGTGCTAGACTATGCGCGGTACGATGCGGTGCGATAAAAAAACGTGAAAAGCAAAAAAGAAGATGGCGGTACGACCCAAAGAGCTTTGCGCGGGTGCTGCTGTGCGTCGTGAACCTCGTGCTGTCGATGCCGCCCACCAAGCGTTTGGGAGACGTGATGCCCTCGTTCGGAGCGGTCGTGGAGATACGGAGCAGGCATGGTCCGTGCGCTCGACCACTCCATTCATCACCAACCTCCGCTCTCCTCTACGGGTCTTGCCGTCACATCAACCGTTGAACCGATGCGGGAATACAGTCCTGTCAGGGACATGCGCTAACTGTGGCAAGCGCTGCTACCCAATGACGCACAGTACCGTGATTCGCCTCCTCCGACAGCACAATTACGACCCCTCGAGGACCCGCTGGGCTAGTCTCACCCACAGTTAACAGACTCTTTCATCCATTACCATGGACCTCGCATCACGCAGGTCGTTCCGTATCGTATGTCAGCTCTGGTTACATCTCCATCGAGTCATAGTCTCAAACTTTCATCCTCTCGATACGAAGTATTGCTTTCCACTCGCTTGGGCATTCGACTGTTTGCGGTCTGGAATCATTTCATTCCACCCAGCTGGAACAGCAGCGGCCAAAAATTCGCCAGCCACCTCAGCTTCGGCCTTCGATAGAGAAATGCCTCATGAAGAGATAGTGCAACAGGAAGTCGATGCGCTTCGACGGCCGCTCGCCGTATGAAACTCCTTTCAGTGACTGCAGCTGTCTGTCACTGCCATCTCCTGTATGACACCCGCCTGTCACACAGCTACCGAGCTGTCAGGAAGCTTCTTAGCAAGAGGATTGTCCTGCTGTGTGCCCCGCGGTTGCTGAGTGACAGGCGGTTGGGACCTGGAATGCAACGTGGAGACCCGCAAAGCGGCTGTTTGCGGCATGCAACCCACGTCGCCACACCTTCAGTATTCCCAGCCACCCGCAAGTCTAGCCGACCGTTGACTTGTAGACAGACTATGCAAAGTAGTCAAACCGTATAACCGTCCCGGAAATATCGGCTTATGTCAACACCCATTCCTCATTCATTCGCTAAGTATAGCACCGAGCATTCCAGGAACTGATGAGGCTGGCAAGAAACCCATGCACCACCATGCAGCAGTATATATCGAGTATAGGTTTGTTCGTCTATTTGTTTACCATGTTTGCTTTTCGTACCATTGGTGCGTTCGTCCCAGTTGTTGCTGCAGCCTCCTGCAAGGTACAATAGCCACATTTACACGCTCTTTTTCGCCTCCCTCGCGCAGAACTTGCTTCGCGTCCCACTCCCAGCTACCTGGTATTCCCAGAACACGTGAAAATCAGCACCTTCATGTCATCCATCTTTGCGCCAACCAGCTTCCCAATGCGGACAAACATCGACAAAGAGATCGAGGCTATCGACCTAGATCAACTTTTTGACCAAACCGTTGAGACAGGCTTGTTTCAGCAGTATAGCGATGCTACCACGGCCCCTTCCAGCTCCGACGATTTGTCGTATCTCTTCGAAGAGCCTTCCTCGAACGGGAGTAACCCGTGCGACACGACAGCCTTGCCCAGTTGGGGCACTCCGAATGAGGGCGATGCTTGGCATAAGGCTATCCATCGACTTGGGGAACAAAACGTAGCCTCGCCCCTCATTGATAACGATTCTTCCTCAGTATACCCTCACAGCGACGGCAAGGCTAGCTTGAGCGATCCAATATTGTCCAGTTTTGAGGAATTGTTCATCTTGGACCATCTCGATTCACGGCCTGCTTCTCAGCCTTCCTCACCAAAAGTGCAAGTTGAGAAGCCTACTCGGAAGGCTAGGTCTAGTCCGGACCGATCAATCCGTGACCGTCACGGAGTTCATAAGACTGCTCACAAAAAGTCCGCGAGTGCGGGCAATACCGTCAGAATGATGCGGCCTTCGACCTACCGCGCAGGCTTCCAGGACATCTGGACTCGCAAACTGGACACTGCGGCCGAGGCTTTCAATCTACATATGCCAACAAATGGCATCCATTCGCCACCTCCATCGACCAAGCTCATCCAGGACGAACACTCGACCGGTTTCTTTCCTCGTGAACCTCAGCCTTACACCATCGCCGTCTCTCCACTGGCAGGCGACGCGGGGTCTTCACCAGGTATCCATTCTGTGAACTACCAGCTCACCCCTCAACCTTCACCAGCCGTCGATCAAAATGGAATGGCAAATGCGTTTCAATTTTCCAACGACGGGATGGCCGGCGCGTACATCACCAATGCGGCTCTTTCAGCCTTGCACACCCCGCCCCCATCAAATCGGATACCCGCTGGCGCCTGGAGCTCCGACAAGTCACCAAACGTAGACTTCGGTTCATTTTCCTCATCTCCGAATTTTCAAAATACCACGAAGACTACCGGCTGGTGGAGTGGACCTAACACACACTCCATACCCGTCACCGGGCCCTCTACAACATCTACCTACCAAAGCCCGCAGTCGCGCTCAGCTAGCCAAAACATGGGATTTGGCACATCTCCCAGCTCAGTGACAGGACTGGGCATCTCATGCGACAGTGCGAGTTTTGGCGGGTATGCACCAGAGATGAACGACAGCCAAAATGGTATGCCTCATGCAGCCTCGTCCTTCGATATGCCCCCCTACGCCGCTGTATACCCTCCCACTCCAGGAATTCCTATCGGTCATGGACCCGCCAACCCGCCATCACGTTCACCTTCTCTCTCCCCACAACCACGCTTCACCAGACGCCGGCATTCTTCTCACCCGCACAACCGCACCGCATCCCGCCGCAAGTCTTCAGGATCCAGCCAGCACTCCGCTCAAGCTAGTTCCCGGGGTATATCTTTGGGCGGTGGATTCGTGAATTTCACACCAGACGACAGCAGGAAGATACTAACAGGCGTGGCACCGAGCGGGAGTTCCAAGACGAAAGCGCGACGGGAAAAAGAGGCCGCGGAGAAGAGGAGAAAGCTGAGCCAGGCGGCCGTGAAGGCAGTAATGGAGGCGGGCGGAGATTTGTGGAGGCTGGAGAAGGAGGGACTACTTGCGCTAGAGGGCTAGAGTTGCGGTGTCCTTGACTCCCCTGATTTGGGGTTGAGTCGGCGCCGTTGGACTCGCCTGATGGCACAAGTAACCTCGAACCGCCTCAGATACTCCCGTTCACCACTTGTGTGGGTCTCTGATGGCGGCCTTTCTTGTAATGAATTCGCGCACGTAATTGCGCAGTGGGCGGTTTCTATCGGTGTTCAGGGAAATGGGAGCGCCCGCACGGCTGCGGTTTGCCTTTTACTATCGCTGGGGATGTAATGCGTCTATAGCGCGACGAATACATACTGCTTCCTTCTAATATAACAGAAATCTACCTCTGCTCTCCCTCCTACTAATATTTCCACGTCTTAGGCTGGCCCAATCACTATCATCCCCAGCAAATGTAACACAACACTATTCTTCAATTCTCCTCCATCAAACGCCCAAGAGCAAACACACCGTTATATCACAATTCTACATCATGCGCCCACGTGTCGTTCTACACCGCAGCCCGTAAGCCTCTCCTTCCCACCTCGAAACACCAACCGCCAGCACACGTGCGCGAGCAACTCACACCCATTGCACTCCACAAACACAAGCCTCAGGCCTATCTCGAGACATTCCACAATGCCACCCCAACCGCCCGACGGCGTCTCAGACCCCGATCCGTATGTCTCCCATCACACATCTCTCTACTTCCTTAACCATACCCTAACGTTTTTTCGCCAATACCCCCACCACCTCTTTCCTCCACGATATGCAATTAATCTAATTACTGCTTAGTCTCGATGTCCCCATCGACACAGACAACCATATCTCTACATTCATCATCGCGAGCATTGTGTTCGGTGCTATAGCGGCTGTGCTGCTGGGTGTCTTTGTGTGCGTTGTGTGGAGTGGGGCGCTGGGGTGGAGAGAGGGTTTGACGTGGAGGGGGAGAGGTGTGGATTTTGGGGCAGGTATAGAAGGGCGGGTGGGGGCGGTGATGGGGAGGATGGATGGAGCCTTGCGTGACGAAAATGTAAGGTTGAAGCTGTTGAGGTGAGAGACATATGGCGTGCCAGAAGTCATATGTACCTGAGACAAGAGAGGAGACTTGCATTGGATAGCGTTCCATTGGCAATGTTACCTGAGTGGAATCTGGCGCGCGGCCCAAGCGGCGATGACTCGCTCGCTGGGCGTGTAGCCCAGACTTGTCTCGCTATCTTCGAAGGCTATGCATGCGAGAACAAGCCGTGCGGCGGTGTGTGGCCGCCCGACGCCGCTGCGAGCGTCTTCTCTGGCTCAGATGTTTCAGCATATGGCCATGCCGTACTGAATGTATCTGTGATCGTTCTGCTACCCGTTGATCCTCTTCACCCGCCCATCTCCAAGCGACCCAGGACTGCTTCCACAACTCCTTTCGCGCCTCCAGCTCGATCCGCACTACCCATGACCTTCTCTTCTGCGTCCAGATCCACAGCACCCTCGTACACACGTACAATCATATCTTCGTCCACGCGCCGTCCGCAAGCCACGAGCCCCTTGACCAACGTGCTAACCCTCGTAATCTCTCTCGCAACGCCAGGCTCGATCTCATCGTTCTGACTCGAGTACAGCGTCTCCGAAACGCCCTGTTCCAAAGATGTAATGCTAACGTCCTTCTCATCCTGCTTCGACTTGTTGTGCGCAGACACAAAGATGTACCCATTGACACCCAACACAACGTCAATCTCCCCAGCCGAAGTCTGCAGTGTGAAAGTCTGCCTCTTGCTCCTCACCACACCTCCTCTCCTTGACAAGATCCCGCCGCCCGCCCCGCTGAGACTAGTGAACAGTCCGTTCCTCAGCTTCCCATACTTCAGACTCCTCGTGTGCAAACTCGCCGTGTTATCCCCGTGGAGACTCTGCACCTCCGCAACCAACAAATCGCCCTCGCTGAAGAACGTCCGGATATTGAGTTCATCGACCGCTGTTCTTCTCCGAAGGATACCACCGGGCAGGTTGATTGCGCTTAGCGGCAGACTCGCCAGCATGGGCGCCGCGATGTCCACCGTCCACTTCTTTGTCTGGACCGAGACAATGCGGCCGACGACAAGGTCGCCAATCTCGGGCTGGTAGCGTGCACGGAGAGGCTGAACGGAGAGTAACTTGTTGGTTTTGTGTAGGTGTCCGGCGACAGTGGAGATGATGGTGGTGGTCTCGGCGGGGACGTAGGTGCCGTGGCCGCGCATCCATTGCGGGTCTGATGTTACAGTCTCGCCGGGCGTCACGATCGAGGTTGCGCTCTGGATGGGAAGGCCGTCGTCGTCGCTCATGTCTTCATCCGAATCTTCATGCTTGAGGTGCGCGGTCGCGATCGGCGCAGAGGGTGGGAGGATTGTGATGGGCATTGTGGACAGTGGCGCTGTTGCGAGTGCGGGAGGTTTGCGTAGTGGGCGAGCGTGCCACTGTAGGTGTCTTTCGAACGGTGGAGGCGTGTATGCGACGGCGAGATGCGCGTGAAGACTGTCGGGTTGCAGCTCTCGAAATTTTGGCGGGATGCCTTTGGTACAAGCTACCCTTGCACGCTTCGTGCGGAAAGAGCCTAGTGCAAAGGGCGGGCGCGATGGAGGTCCGGCATCAGCCACCCGTGCCACCCTCATTCAACGTCATCTCATCCAGCATCAATTCCAATCATCCTCCAAACAGATCAGGTGACACGTCGGCGCTTGACGGCTGGTGTGGAAACATCAACAAACTCCCAGAATTGTTGTTTGAATCGCAGAATACCTCTAGACACTGCACTGGGCAGTGTATATGAGCTGGGGATCCCTGAGCTTACCTGCACCAGTATGATTGTCATAAGCTCGCGCATTTAAGGTCAAATACTAATGTGATCTATTAGTAACCCCCTTCTTCAAAGGCCTTCGGTCTTGAAGTCCATCGGAATCGAGGATAGCATGCCACCACCCAAACCAACTCCCAATCCATCACCTTATCAAGAGCCATTTATCAGAGTTTTGGATGAGGCAGCACTCATCAACCATGAAGATGACCCGAACTACTACGCCAAGTACCCACGATCTCTGCTATCAGAGTCCACTGTTGACTCATTCATGACCGGGACTGGAGACGCCATTTACCGATCGCTTGTACCGCTCTTGGAAGCTACGAACCATGAGCTCATTCTGGTGACCTGCTTCTGGGCTCGTTCCTCCACCCTCGAAACATTGAATGCGCTCTTGCGCAAGCTGTCCGAAAAAGCGATACGGCGCGGCACAGACAAGATCAGAGTACGCCTGTGTTTTTCTTCATCGTCGCTCTTTCAGAAGTTGTTCCATAAGCAATCGATATCGGGCCAAATATACTCAACTAGTTCATGGACCAAGCAGTTTGGACTACCAGACCCGAGCGAACTTGGCGGTCTTGATCTTCAGCTCAAATCTATATTCATACTACCCTTCTCCGTCATGCACCCAAAGTTCATGATCATCGATCGCAAAGCCGTCGTGTTACCTTCCTGCAACATCAGCTGGGAAGAATGGTTCGAAGGCGCTATAACATTTACCGGCTCTACTGTTGAGGAATTCGTCAAGTTCTACAAACATTTCTGGTTACGAACGGATATGCCTGACCTCCCCGCATCAACAACATATGACTCCAAGCTCGGACAGGCCGACACCACAGACACGCAGAATCTCGACCACGGACACATCGTCACCCGCTTTTCCACGGCATCGAAACCTTCAACTGTCTCCAAAATCCCCACAATCTTCCTCCCCTCCCCTCACCGACGGAATCCGCGTTTCCATCCTTTCGCCTCATCCTCCGCGATCTCCGCGCCTCCAACCCCACTCAACGCCTTTGTCCTCACGCTGTTAGCCAAAGCGGAGAGAAGCATACGCATACAATCTCCAAACCTTACCGCACCGCCCGTCCTCACCTCTATACTAAAAGCTCTAGAACGAGGCATAGACGTGCAGATACTGACCTCCGAAAGACTCATGATACTAGAGCAGCTCGTCACAGCCGGGACTACAACCTCCCGCTGCGTCAAGACACTTGTCAAGCGCTACAAGAAGCTTGCGCGGAACATAGTAGCGGGGCAGCGCCGTCCTGCGACTGATGAAGAAGCCGCCATCTCTCCGCCCCGGCTTGGCCGCCTTCAAATTTCGTACTTCGAGCCCATTGGCGGACTCAAAGGACGTGGCGAGGAAGGCGGTGAACCACAACAAAGCCATCTGAAGATGACGATCGCAGACGGCGAGGTTGTGGTGTTAGGGTCAGGGAATCTTGATCGCGCGAGTTGGTTTACGAGTCAGGAGCTGGGGGTGGCGTTCTTTGATAAGGGGCTTGTACAACAGGTGGAAAGTGTATTGGATCGGGCAATGGAGGGGAGAGCGAGGGTTGTGTATGATAGCGCAGCGTGAAAGAAGATACCTTTGTTATGACCACAGGAGGGGCACGAACGTAGAACCGGTGATCAACGGTGTACCTATCATCAGTACGTGTAACCTTGTATTTGTAGTAGATGTAGATGCCCTCTCTATCGCGCCGAGCCTTCCAATCTTGAAAAGGCGTCTTATTAATATCTCGCGTCCATACCCATGGACGTGCCCTAGCATCATTGAGAACCCCGTTCAACGAGGTTTAGCTCCGAATACTTGCGCCCCACCGTTGTGCATTCCCCGTCTGGATGGTGACGCACCCCCCATATCTGAAGTATATGCTTCTACTTCTCCTTATGAAGAGGCGCATGTCCTCATAGGCTCGCTACCTTTGCCAACAAAACCTCTTCAACCTCTTCCACTGAATCTCAGAGGATCTCGATTCGCGATGCGCCTTCTGGCTACTCACGTATCGCTGTAGCCAGATGCGCACCGCAATCTTCAGACTTTTCGGTATCGGCAAATCCCGCTCGTTCGTGTCTTAAGTCAAGAACTACGGAAGGTTCCCGACACTGTAATAGATCCAACCGCAAGGTCAAAAGACAGGCAAACGTTGGTTTGAAGACGGGAAGTTCAGACCGATGAGTTCAGTCTACGGACAATCTCATCAAGATCGAGTTCTCCGTGATGACTGCCCTGCGCAGGACCCTTAGGTTGATCTCTTCGATTATTCCCGCTGAAAAGACGGACAAGTTTGGACCAAATGTAGTAGTCAGCGTCCAAATAAGCGTAGAGCGCTCCGAATGCGGCACCGGCCAAATGAGCCTAATCGATCGGTTAGCTATGGAAAATATCATAGATATCCACAGTAGCTTACAGCGAATCCAATAGCTTCATCACTATACAACAATCCGTTCAAATCATTAGCAACTTGCCATCCTAACGTCGAGGCAGATAGCAAAAACGAGGGTGAAGTCCAAGGCTGCGCGAAGCAAGACGCGCCGAAAACAGCCATCGCAACTCCGCTGGCGCCCAAGCTGAGCGGCATCCTCAGGTTGAAGCGAGAACTCCATAACCGAGTCCATCTGACATATGAGACGGCGCGTTGAGCATATGAGCTGAAGATAGCGGCGGAAACATAGAAGGCGACGAATTGGTAAGGACTTTGGCCGCATACTTGGAGCAGATGTGGTACTTCGGGAAGCAATGAAGCCATGTTGGCGGAGAGGTGCTTGATGTCTGTGTGACAGAATGCACAAGTCAAGAGTGTCCATGTCCCACGAGGCGTGTCTGCCAACCTCAAGACGTTGCGGAGATCGCGCTGGCAGTAAAGGAAGACAGAGAGATTGAGGCCGACTACTGTCAGAGACAGACCTCTGTGGGTGACGAGTGGCGTGGATCGGCGTAGAGCATATTGCCTCCTCTTTTCTTCTAGACTGAGAGCGTAGGAACCGTCGGTAAGACGATTGTGAATTCCTTCCATTGCGGCAAGCCCGACATAAGCTGTGGTAGATGCACTGAGAGCCCATAGCCCGGGTTTCCATAACGCGATAGTGGGTGCAGGTTGTGGTGGATTTTCGCTCAAGAGCCAGGCGGCCCCAATAGCCGGGACCATCCACCACATAATGTTGTTTTGTTGAGATAGAAGGGAAAGGCGCGTAGTGACATTTGATGAGTTGACGCGTTGGGTAAAATGTCGGCTTGGAGAGCATTGATCGTTCTAGCTTCTTTCGATTAGCGCGATGTTAACCCGATCTGGCGTTGGGAGTGCCTGATGGGCTGAAACTTTTTATAAGAGGTTCCAAAGCCATGAAAAGGTGGGGAGGAACATTTGTGAAGCATCGATAGTCTTTGATGTGAACTCTTTTGTTGTGTTTATTTGAAACAAAGGACGTGTGCGATAGAAAATTATGCAATGTGCAAAGAGCCCTGGAGTTGTTCGAGTAAGACAACCTCGGAGATAGCTATAGCTGAGTTTCAAATCACGTTCGGAGGTCAAGCGAACATGTCGGAAAGACAGTAAGCTTGGTAATATAAGCAAGAACTAAAAGGCTCGCTTTTTGCACTCGATAGGCCCTTGGAAGGTGCATCCGGGATCTCGGGCAATGAGATGAACCAATAGCAGATCGTTCCGAGTTCCAATAGCCAATCACCATCGGTTCCGAACGCCTTCCGAGCAAAAGGCAACGCTATCTCGACGCTCTCCGAGCAGCATACATACAGCGGCAATTAATATGCTATGCATGCCTGTGCCTTTCACGCTCTTCACACGTTACTCGACAGTTGCATGATCATTTCATCTACTCGTATGAACACATTCTCATTCTCATTCACGATTCTTTTTCGATATGCCTGGTCAAGACCGATTGTCGCAAGACGAAGAGAGCCGGAGCGGGCCTCTCTTCACAGAGGTATCGAAAGAGTCCGCGGCATTCGATGACATCACGGCGCCTACTCAAGTACTCTCAAGCCTGCATCTCCCAAGCACCAAGATCATCGGAGATGCATCCTCTGCATCTAAATATCCCGGTCGGCGTGCGCATAACGTGGATCCTCAAAATGCCTACCAAGGATCCGGGACAGATGCTGACCCATTTCTCGTTGAATTTCGCCAAAACGATCCCGACAATGCAAGGAACTTCTCTCCAGCCAAGAAATGGTACACCGTCTTCGTGGTCACTATGTCCGTCTTTGCGGTGACCATGACATCCTCTGCATACTCTGGCTCCGCCGTCGAGGTGAAAGCGGAATTCAACTGCAGCCAGGAAGTTTACGCTCTCGGTCTTGCGCTCTTCGTGCTGGGTTTTGCAGTTGGACCGCCGCTCTGGGCACCACTGTCTGAATTATACGGTCGAACGATATGGTACAAGATTACACATGCCGTCATGGTGGCATTCGTCGCCGGATGCGCAGGGGCGAAATCCATAGGCTCACTGCTGGTGTTTAGATTCTTCGCAGGCGCTTTTGGAGCGTCCCCACTCTCGAACTCAGGAGGATTCATTGCAGATATGTTTGGCCCTCATGAGCGAGGTGTTGCGATGTCCATGTTCTCCGCGGCGCCGTTTCTTGGACCGCTCCTCGGTCCAATGGTGGGAGGCTTTATCAGCGAAACGATAGGCTGGAGATGGGTACAAGGTGTGATGGCCATATATATCGGAATTGTTTGGATCGTTGGATCCTTCACATTATCAGAGACGTACGGCCCGGTCATCCTTCAACGGAAAGCAAAGCGATTGTCGAAAGAGACTGGAATGAAACACATCAGCATCCTCGTCAAAGACAAGGGATCGGCTGCTGTCACTAACGTCTTTACCAAGGCATTACGGCGTCCTTGGGTCCTCTTATTCCGTGAGCCGATCGTATTGGTTGGATCGACATATCTAGCAATACTCTACGGCACACTATACATGTTTATGGGCGCCTTTCCGATCATATATCAGCGCCTCCGAGGCTGGGACGAAGGCATCGGCGGACTAGCTTTCCTGGGCGTCGCTATTGGCTGCTTGATTGCTCTTGTGTACATCTTTAGGGATAACACTCGATACAAAGCACATGGAAGTAAGGCGACCCCCGAGACTCGCCTACCTCCAGCGATCCTAGGAGGCGTTATCCTCCCCATCAGCATGTTCGCTTTCGCCTGGACGAGCTTCCCCAGCATCCACTGGTCCGCAAGTATTATCCTTTCTTCCGGATTTGGATTCGGCATGGTCCTCATCTTCATCTCCATACTGAACTACCTTGTCGATTCGTACACCATCTATGCCTCATCGGTCATGGCTGCTACCGCAATGTTCAGGGCATTCTTTGGGGCGGCTTTTCCTCTCTTCACTTCTCAGATGTATAATAAGCTTGGGATCCACTGGGCAAGCTCGATCCCGGCATTCTTGACGTTGGTCTGCATGCCATTTCCCCTCTTGATGTATAAATATGGCGAGACTGTTCGGCTGAAATGTAAATATTCGAAGGAGGCTGCTCTTCTCCTAGCAAAAATGGAGAGAGCCGACGAGAAGAGGGATGGGGAAGATGGTAGTTCAGAACAAGAGGTATAGTCGAGAACATCCACGTAGAGCTGAAGGAGACCACTTTGGAGACTTCGCGGAGGTTTCCGATGTCGTAGGTAGTCTGAGAAGCTTCAAAAGCTGTTGTTACGCATAATATAGTAGATATCAAATATTGAATTGGCCTAATTGCGCTTGCTGTTGCTTAGCCCAGGATTCAATTGACATCGTTCACCCAATACATGTCCTCCGGACCGAATGCAGGGTTATTCGGATCAAAGCCGATGTCTCGAAATATATCTTCCATAAAGGCATTCGGAGGTCCATCCGATATAGTATCGCCGCTCTGCACGACTACGTTGTGCGTTTCCCAGACCTTGCTCGAGATGTTTTGCAAGACTGTTATGGACTGCGCAATGAATGGACTGAGATGTTTATGGGCCTGGAGTATAGAGATAGCTCGCTCCCAAGCCTGCAATACTTCGAATTGTACTGAGAGATCGGGGTGAAGTTTCGCGGCAATCAGAACGGTAGCAGCTATATGAGTATAATAGACGCGATACCACCATGCTGGTAGCAGACTGTTACCTCCATCTTTATTGTGGTGGTCGGAGATCAAGGTGATTATGGACTGCGCGTTCGAAACGCAAAGGTATGCACACTCCCGCACTAAACGAGGAGCTAAACCTTGGTCCGCGCGACTGTTGGTTGACTCGGACGAGCTTGACAAGCAGAATCGAACCAGAAGAGGCCTAGAGAGAATCATTCGACTGTGTGCAGTGCTGTAGTGGGTTAGTCAGTGTGATCGTTGTCTTATAAATGGCTGGTAGCTCGATAGGCGCATTGACGTACCGAAGACGAAGTGCAATAGCCTGTTTCTTATGCCCTTCATCGTTTGAGGCATGATGCACTCCAGGTCGCAGATAAGGAGGAAGGCCTTGCTCCCACTTAGAGAGACAAGTATCAAAATGTAATGCAGTCTCGCAAGCTTCTCTGTCCCTTTCCAGCGGTAGAAGACCGACTCTCTCTGAGAAATTACTCGGCGTCGAGGTTTGGTCGTAGAGAAGGGGTACAGCACTATTAGTTATCTCGAAAAGCTCTACCAAACTCATAAGATATTCGCTGGTGGGAGAGTTCGAAAGCGTCTCGATGTCTTTGCGGCAAACGTCTATAGCTAAGAGAGCTTGAGTCTTCGGCACCATAGCTGATCTTCCGTATGTCATTGAAAATTGTCTAGTGCACGCATTAGTCACTCAGGAGGACTGTCAGAGAACAAATGGTTTGTGGCAATCCCACTTACCTGTCTAGGTAGATACATGCCAACCATACCTGCCTTTGTCTTGGAAGTTCATTGGTAGAAGGCCCAGGTAATGGATCTAAACGATGCAGCCCAAGAGACTGGGCTACAAGGAAAGCCAACCCAGCGATCATACAGGTCTGATGCGCATTATTGGCGCACTTCAAATAGGATCCCATGAGTACCAGGCACTGCACAAGTCCAAGACATGGCTCTTCCCATATCATTGCATTAGGGCGATGCAGTGAATTCCAGGCCCGCTGAAAGTACGTGCTGCTGGTCTGATCTCTCTGCACCGGGTCTATTGATTCATGAAGCTGAGTGGCCAGGGCGAAGACAACATTGAGAATGTTGAAAAATACACGCTCATAAGCGGTGTGCAAGGTCCCTGCAAAGTACGCAATATAGCATTTCTGAAAGTGATCTTTGTCGAGAAGTGGTTCCAGAGGATGCACATGCCGCCAGAAGATATCTACTAGCTGATCGGCATGACTTCTGGGTGGAAGCACGAAATCAAGATCCCCAATTGCCGTAGTCGCATGATTGATATGAGCGGCAGAGAACAACGGCGCGTTGGTCACCGAAGTCAGACCTGGAAAACCTCCTGCTGGCAATCCAAGTCTTGCTTCTACGGCGGCTCTCAGCTCTTTAGTAAAAGCCTGATTGCTGACACTTCCGTAGGTTTCGGTAGCACACCGTTTTTTCGGATGAGTGGAGTAGCTTAATTCAGAGTTAGGCTCCTGAGAAGGTGTAGGTGTTGACGTAGTCTCTCGTTCCGAACGATGTAAGCCCGAAAGAGGCGACCACTCTTGGTCCAGAGGTGGAGGTATTTGCAGCGAATAAAGTGAGATATCCGAGTTTAGAGCTGAAACACCACTAACTCGCCCTCCGTCTAAGCTATCAGAATGAGGTTCTCGATAGTTGCAGCTTTCGAGGGGGCTCTGCGTTTTCTGGCAATTTCCACAAGCTATCGCCAGAGCATTAGCCACTTAAGCAATGCAATGACCAGAAGAGTTTGGAGCATGCTTATTTAGAAACACATACCTGGTCGAAGGCCGTCACATTTCACTTTTCTGCGTCGGCAAAGCTCGCATGCCACGTTGACCTTGTATCGTCTCTGCCTAAGAGACGTGGGCGGCATCACGAATGCCTCCTGTCATTTAAAAGTCCAATCAACTGGAGAGACAGGACGAAGGGGGATGACCTATAACCCAAAGCTAGGTTGGAGCGGTTCGCACGTCGAAAGTGCCGGCCACGCTGCAGGTGACAATGAGGCTCGCTTTCGGCCCGACTCTCTTCCGCTTACAGTACCAGAGGTCACGTGAGAAATCTGAGTTTCTGACAAATCAAAATTGGGCGGCCCATTGCTGGTTAAGAAGCTTCTCTACATTCGTAACCTCGAGGATCAGTAGTCAGTAAATTGTCACAACTTTCGGAGCTTAGACATGAGGCGAGTATGAATTAGTAGAGCCATTTCCACACCTAGACACTTAGTCTAGGCTATGCATAATTTTGACATTGTGAGTATAATCTAAATTTAATGGCGTCATTCAGTTGCGATATACGGGAGTAGCTTTCGTGATCATTCGACCTTTACTCCAAGGATCTTTGGATTAGATTGCAGCTTTGAATACAAGCGGCGTTCCATAGAAGTATATCGGCAATAGTTGACTGGAGTGCGTCAATACGGGGATTACCAAGCAGGGAAAAGAGACATTGAGTGACCCGAACTTGTCTCTTTAGCACTGCGGAGGCGAAGACAATAGTTCATTTTCAAGACATCGCGCCAACCTGGTAGAATAATGTAGGCTGCAGTCAATCACTATGGGCATCGTCACTCTTTGAACAATCCATAAAACCATGCGGGGTCTCAGTGCATTTTGCAAACAAGCGCAGGACTTGGGTTGTAATCCAATCGCAACATTTGGTGATTGGATTGTGTTCTACTAAACGAGTGACTATGGGTTGAGACAAGGAAAACCAGAACAAGTCGCACAATAACACGTCGCACGAGTGCGCACAGTGCTCGGCAAGTGTTCAGTCCACAGGTCATCGTGAGCTACATGCCGAGACCATTCCACCAATGTGTCCATCATTGCCAGCGGAAAGCCTACGCCAGTATCTTGGGGCGCTTGCTACGCCCGTTGAGCGTTTCAATGCCTAGAAGCATCCGTCGGTCTTATCCGGGTTGCAGTGGTGAATACCGGCATCGCCAAATGGGCAGCCTGCGGCTTTTAGCATTCTGTCCGTCTCGGGAAAAGGACTACCTACACCAGACGCCAGCGCAGCACCTGATAGCCGCAGAGTCACAGTAATCGCCGCTACCTTGGCACTTAGAAGAGGGTCAGTTTATGATGCTGTAGCTGAAAAGCTGTAAACGTACGCGCTTCTCCAGCTGGAAATACTCGGGAACCGCGGGAGCGGCTGCACCCAGGGTGGCGAAGACAATGGCGACAAGAGCGAACTTCCTATGAAGCACTTTGATCAGTTTCGCGATCTTCAGTTCTTTTAGACGGGGGAAAGCACATTTTGATTGTTGTTGTTGAAGACCGGTTTGTAGTGTTGATGATCGAGTGAAGTGTGGGACTGAAGCTTGAAGTGAAGGCTTGGGAGTGAGTGCGATGAAGGTTTTGGCAGGGAGAGGAGGGTGCTCTTATACTTTTGCTGGCCATCTCGTGCTGTGTTTTTGCACGCTTCAGTCAGCCCTTTGTCTCTGTCCTTTACGGCTTACAGCTTATCCATCCTCCTTCATGCTCCTAGACACTGCCTTGCTTGTCTTTGACCTTGTCGATCCTATACTCAAGTGTCATTATGATGGGCTCTTCACCATCTGACTGGGATCTTGTCATCCTAACTCCGCTTCGGTCAATTGCGGACCTGTCGGAGGCGGTCGGATAACTCGATCCGTCGTCAGACTGCAACCATATTGGACAACATTAAGTGGATCGTGCATAGGATGCTTCAGCAACTCGCATTCTATGCCATGTCTTCGCGGCTGTGACTTCGACTGCTTGTCGATCTCTAGCTCAGGTCCTTCAGCAAGGTTACCCAAGTGATTGAGACCATGACGATATCCCGCTCACGCCCCTTTGGAAGACCCATTCATCGGCTCACCACTCAGGCTGTGCATACCTTATTCTGGACACGCCTTTTGCTGCCAGGTGGATGAGGATTGTTTCACCTAGAGGTACTGTGGCAGGAGCGTCGGGATGGCATGTACTTAGCCTAGCGGTGCATGCCCACCTAGCACCTTACCTTATACTATACAGAATGGATACCTATTATCCTGCAGAGTTCCGGTCCTGTGCCAGGTACCATGAAGTCTTTCATTATCATCATTTCACACATTAGCTCATTCATGATATCCGTCTCGTTCAGTCTATACCGTGAGCCGATTCAAATGCAGGCCTCCACTCTCCACATTAGGTTGTGGGGTGCTAAATTACATGGCCGTTTTCCGGGCCCGCTTCCTTGCTGAGCTTAGGGTTTACCGGCAACCCAAAAGGACTGACTTTACTTTAGGCTGCATCTGACTTCTTCGACTATTTAGGATCCTTGAGGTTACGTAACTAAAAAAGGCGCGTACACTAAGACTGAACCGTGTACACCTGGGCATGTATGCCTCTTGTGGAAAGTCATTTTATGACATGCACAAGGCTGAAGAGTCAATGCGGCTCCGAAGGAAGAGCGATCCGCCGAGTCATGGGTAATTGCTGCTTCAGATTACTTTGCGCATCGCGCGCTCACACATCCAAGTAAGCTGAATCCAAGATCGGCAAGCACGTGACCTTGGGGTCCAAATCTGGAAACACGGAGTAGAACTAGGTCTGACATGCGATTGGAAGGCTATGGCTACCAACCAAAAAATAGCGCTGACAATCGTCGATTTACAATCGATGTATGGGTTCTCTTCCTTGTTCTTATATAGGTAAGCGCAAGTCACATTGCATGGAGGCAGTAATGTGCGAAGCATAGGACTAGCATACCCAGTTGGCCGGAAAAAGTGGATATTGACAGAGCAATGATTTGTTGACGAAGGGGGGATTCACGTAGCAGATAGGAAGCAATTTGCGTTTTGCACAGCCCGCAGGTTTAGTTGCTCCAACTGCGCACGAACAAGAAGAACAATGCAATCTCGTATGAAGACGGGAATCTCGATATACAGACACACATTGGTGAAGCAGGTATATACAGCTTGATGGACGTCTCTCTTAGATTGTTTTGTTTGTTCACCATGCTCTTGCCAGCCGTCATACGATCCAGGCAGGTATCAGTCGATTCAGGCTCTAAGCCTCTAACACAGTAATTGACCCTACCGGAGCATTCAGTCTGTTAGATTGTGAGTAGTCGCAAGCATAGCCTAGAGCGAAAATCGATGAGGACCCGAGTAGAGATGTGCAAGAGACCTGCCGATCAGATTGGTTCAGTTTGAGCGGAGAGCGAACGCTTGTTAACGCTTGAAATGTGGGGAACATACGTCAATGACCAACATCATTCCGCTATATGAATGTTTCGGTCGGAAGAACAACTCGGAAATAACGTTCGAAGTGAGCGGGGTTCGTATAACTCCATTGAGAAGCTTACGACGGGTCCACCGCAGGCTCACAGCATTCCAATCGAGACGTGCACGATCTAACCCATCATGTATTATGTCATTGCAAGATGACCTGCAGGCCCACAGATACTCAAGTCTTTCAAGCATTGGAGAGTCCAAAGGATGATGCACCTAAGTGCTTCTCGTAGGCTATGCTTGCTACGACTCTTCGGTATCGAAAACCCAAGGTCTTAAACTCGGCATAATAAGGAAGAGCTTATCGGACATCACTCTGGAGCACCTCTTCTGTAGTGGGCCCTACCGGACAAACGTAGTGGTGGGCTCTTCCACGAGCACAAGCTCGGGAATTGTAACATTCAACTAATTATGGTAAGCCTCACGAAAGGAGACTTTCACCTTGTGCAGCAATTATTCTACCCTCCAAGCGTTTTCGTCTGCACTGCAGGCACCGGATCTTCCAAAGTAATTATTTTAGCGACTCGAGTGCGCTTTAGGTGCGAAACTATGCAACGACGGCTCAGTGGCGTTCGCTTTAGTCCTGTATATCTTAATTGCAAGCTCTGTCACGAAGTGTTGCTTCACTGTCTGTTTCAAGGTAGTCTTGACTTTGTTGCTGAACGACAACGATATAGACCATGATATACGCGCCTACTCATTGAATTGAGATAGACGAGGATGAAGATCTCTACATGCACTGTGTTGCGTGTGGGTGGTTCATAGAAAACATTTTGTGCATTGGGAACTTGGGTAGCTGAGATACTCATCGATCACGCCAATGTCCATTTGCCTCCAGCATGAACCATAAGTCACGCCGAGGTCCTTCTCTCCGGCTCTTAGGGATTTTTGGGGGACCAAATACTCATCCAGTTCAGATTGCACCTATCGTTACGTCCACAGTCGTAACTTCTGGTGATTCTGAGATCATGGATATTAACTCATTCTGTCCGGGTCAAACCTCAAATATGAAATGACCTGGAGGTTGTAATACCATCTAAGAACTTATAAGTCGTTTCGTTAAGACCCAATGCGATTCCTTCGAGATTTTAATAGACGTTATGTTTCCATCCTTGAATTCAGCGGCGCGAATGAAACCTACATACAGGCTATCATAGGTACATTCCTTGGATAGTATGTGGTCCTCGCGCAAGACCATATTCGAGTGACCAGCTGCATTTATCATGTTCGCGCTAGGCCTCTACATCGCCTGTGCTTCACGATACTACGTTAAGAGCTTAGGGACTGCCTCACCCTCAGATAACATATGGTACCGAAGATTTGAACGGCTTCTTTCAAATTCTTTATAGTATCGAGTTATTGGCCTGCGATGAATTCATCCGCACTCGTCCACGTACACTTTAGTTCAACTGTCTTCACAGTAAGATTACCGGCGTTGGCTCTCACTGCTAGTACCCAAATGGTTAGCGTGAGAACTAGCGTTACTTCCCAAATAGATCGTGTAGCCTTGTTTTGCCAGCACAAAACACGCGAAGCACTCAGGCCAGAACTTCGCGAGAATACCGTCGCAGCTCCTTACAATTGAATCTCTACTAATATGGGTACAGCTTCAAGCAAACAACAGGTGCCGACACTCGCAGCAAAGCTGTCCGCCAAAGCGAAAAAGAAGTACAAGAAGATTCAAGGAAGGAGCAATGCGCTAGAGCCTACCTCGGAAGCGCAGTCGCGACCCGAGACGTGTCATTGGAACAAGCTATCTACGGAGCTCAAGCTACTCATCTTCGAATACTCGGGCCTTGTAAGTAAACACGGCATCACTTGATGCGTTCACTTTGGGAAAGCTATCACTGATTATGTGCTGCAACACAGATCTTGGAAGATCCTGTACGCCATCCGAATGCGACGGGTGCGAGTGCGAAATACCAGCTTAGACAGCTCAGCTTTGGTCTCGTGAACAAGGAGTTCAGACAATTGAGCCAGGACGTTTGGTACAAGAAGAATACGTTCGTTGTTGCGCCGGTCTGGGTCACTGACTGGATAGACGCCGGCCCAGTAGGCCGCACGGTTCTCTCATACCCAAACCCAAGCCATGGCCACCTCGTCCGGAATCTTCAGGTAGAATTTACCGTGGGTTGGGGACGTGGTACGCTTGAGACGCTTCGATGTTGGGAGGGCCACTGGCATCACCTCTTACGCCCAAAACCACAGGCTTTGATGTCTACGACGGGCATTCACATTTGGAGCGACAACGAAGGAACTACTCTCGTCGGTGCATACAAACCTTGTAGCTGTGGAGGACTTTGCCCTCTGACGTTCGACGCTACACAATGGCAGAATCACTTCCCCTTCCTCGACAAGCTCACGATAAACCTCCGATGGGGTAATGGTTTTGAGAAATGCTTTGCTGGATGCAACTGTCGCTCGCACAAATGTCACCTTGGATGTCTTCATCGGGTATTCGTCTCCCGTATGATACGGCTGATCAGGGTCTCAGAAATAGTGATCAGTGCGAGGGAAGTGGATGTACGCGTTTTTTGTGATTGTGGGTTGGCAGCCGCATGCTTGCGGTGTGTCATCAAGGCCAGAGTCGAGACGCGCGATGACTGAAAGCATGCATCAAGACCAATGCTCATCGAAGCGAGTACTTTGATGCTTTTTGAGGGAATGCTTTGGATAGTCTATCCGCCTACTTGTCAACGAACTGCTACAAGGCGCTGTGGATATCTCGGGATGAAGAAGGAACGACAAAAGGGTACAATCGCTTTTAGTGTCGTCCTGCTTGCGAGTGCCGTTGATTTGGTGGCTGAACACGGGTTGATCAATTTGGGTTTGCGATGAGGAAAGAAAAAAAGGGTACAATCGCTTTCAGTGTCGTCCTGTTTGCGAGTACCGCTGTTTTGGTGATTGAACGAGGGTTGATCACATTGAACCTGCGAAGAGGAGCGATGGTTTACCTGCAAAAGCTTTTATTATGACCGTGGGTCATTGTCAATAAGCTAGCAGCCTTTTCAAACACTGTATACACTATGCCAGTACTGAACACTAATCTACCTAAGCGTGATGTGCTTCCGCTCCAAAATCCGCGTACTCCATGCTCATACAGTATACTTCGACACGCCTCGCGCATGTTTTCTCCGTGTGCACTCTGCGCCCTTGTCTTGATCGTATCAAAAGGCTGTGTCAGATACACCGTGACAGTACCAGCCAGCGCTCCCATGGCGAAGGTCAAGGGGCTACTCTGCTGCAAGCCATTCCGCCGCGCCATCTCTTTCTCTACATTATAGAAACCCATCTTGATTCCAGAAGTCGAGGCTTGTTTCAATGTCGTCGAAACTAGACCGTGATATAGGCTTGAGAGGCCGTGTGTCCGAATCATGAGTTTGAAGGCTTGATATTCTGAGCGGTAAAGCTTGTTCGTGTTCTTTGCGTCCTCGATGAGCAAGGTTTTCATCCGCTCGGTTGGCGTGACGGCCATGACGCTTTCTGCTGTACCAGCTAGCACTCCGGCTAACACGCCGCGGGCTGGTGACAGAGCACCGTTTTCGTCGGAAAGATAGTTGCGAAGACGGTAAAAGGTCAAGAGACGCACACTGGCTTTGAAAGCACTTCCAATGACCATGCTTGAAGAGCCGGTGTAAAGTGCACCGAAGCCTTCATTCTTCACGACGCTCGCAATAACCGAGAACGGGTTGTGGCGTGTGGTTGGAGCAGTGTGTAGCTGCACGCGTGTTTTGGCGAATTCGAATGGATAGGTTGCTGCCGACTCCACGGCTCCTGCGATTGCGGCAGAAGTCATTGTGACGCCAACAGATACTTGCTTCGCTTTAGGTACAGCGGCCTCATGTTGGCGAGGCTTTTGTGGCCGGCTGAAGCTGATAAAGGTCGAAAATGGGAGACGGAGAACAGTGGGCGAAGACATCTCCATGATACTTGTAAAGTAGATCCTTTGTGCAATGATTGATGGACAACATGGCTGTGAAGTGCTTTAAAGCGAGCTGCGGACTTGAAGAATTGATGTTGATACTGACCACCACGGAGTCGACGCTGAGGCTGCATGTGAAGTCAGATTCGCTTGCTCCCGCGGCTTGGCTTGCCGCGGCAAGCGTCCTCAGCGAGCTCTGCCCACCGTCCCCAACCCCGGAATACTCCACAACCATCTGCGACCATCTCCACAGACGTTGAGGCATCATGGAAAGTCGTGAGGACATGCGTCCGAGGGCGGGTCGCAAATGGAAACGTTCACCCGAAGCCTGTACGTTCTGTCGTCGAAGAAAGGTTCGCAAAATCCGGCCCGCGGGCAGCCTCGTTGCACGTGACTCAGAGACATCTGCCCATCCTAACTGTCACAGATCAAATGCAGCACGGAACGACCAATATGCATGAATTGCAAGATGCATGGAAAAACGTGCCATTACGCGCCTATCGATAGCGGCCTCCGCATACGAAATGTTCGTCGGGAGGAGCCGGTCGAGTATACCTCTCCCGCGGCAACAACTCCGGAAGCAAGCATGACATTGTCCGAAGAGAGCTCTCCCATCACGAAACAGTCTGAGGAATGGACTGAAAAGGGTCTTGTCGCAGAAGCAGCACGCCAGCGTCAATTTGAACAAGTCAATGCTCGTCTGGGCAAGCTCGACTTTGATGGCGTAGAGCCAGAACTTGGCCTTCACTTGTTGTCTCTCCATTGGAACCGACAACACCATTCGTTCCTCATTACATATCGCCCGGCTTTTATGCGGGACATGGCTTGCAATGGCCCATACTTCTCGAAACTACTACTGAATGCCATATACTTTAGTGCAGCAAAGTTCAGTCCACGGCACGAGCTGAGACGAGAACGCGATAATGTTCGTACCGCGGGTTGGCGGTTTCGTGAAAGAGTTCGGGAGCTTTTGGGTGGAGCACTCGACAGAAGTGACATAACCACGATCCAGGCTTTGTTGATCATGACCAATTCACTCTTTGCGCTTGGCGACGAGCGCAGTGCTGCTTGGCTATACGCCGGCTTAGCTTTTCGTATGATCGTTGATCTAGGCATGCATGTGGAGTCGCCGAAGCTCACTAGCTATCGTAAATTCTCGGATGAGGATTCCGAGATTCGAAGGCGTGTCTTCTGGGCTGCCTTTGGTAGGTCGACGGACCATCAAACATGACTTTGCACTGACTTTCGAGAAGTGGTCGACAAGATTCAGAGCCTGTACCAGGGCCGGCCTGTTACTATCAAAGAATCCGATACTCTAGTACCTATCAAGTTCCTCGACACTTTCGAAGAGTTTGAGCCCTGGACACCTCTTGCATATTCCACTCAACCAAGCGTGGCTTATCCGGGTTCTCCATCGTATACGGTCTCTACATTCCGATATTTTTGCGAGTTGTCGGTAATCCTGAGTGACATACTAAGCAGCATCTACACAGAGAGAAGCTTTCAAAATACCCCAGGAGAGCTTTCGGCCAAGCTAGAAACGATCAATGCAAGGCTGGCAAAGTGGTACGACACTCTACCTGGACATCTTTCCGCTACTTCGCAGAAAGAAGAGATAACCCCTCCACCACACGTACTGAACCTACAGTAAGCGGCCCTTAAGGTCCTCGCATGGATTTCCATCTAATCTCCAACAGAGCCTTGTACCACGTTCTCGTAATTCTTCTGCACCATCCTTTCATTACTGATGGCCATCATTATCACGCATATCGCAACATCTCTGCAAAGTCTCTCAAGGCATGCGCCACCGCCGCTAATGCCATCGTGCAGCTAGTACGAGCATACGATAAGGCCTTCAGTGTGAGGAGAGCTCCGTATCTCATCTCCTACGCAACGTATATGGCTGCAACAATCTACGTGCGTATCGCAGCAAAGAGGACTGCTGGATCAGATGCGCATAGTAGTTTAGGGACTTGCCTGGCCGTGTTTAATGAGAATCAGCAGACCAACTCAGCAGTACGACGTGCCAATGCACTGGTGCAGAACCTTATGAAGAGACTTGGTGTGACGGTGCCGAACACCAGTCAAATCCACATCGACAAGAATGTAGAAGACGGCGAACACCCTGACCATATGGCTGCGACTGAACATGGGTCACTAAGCCAAGAGCCTGGCCTCCAGGGTCTCGACATCGATAGCATCATACAGAGCTTTGTCCGCGAAGCCGAGAGTCAGCAAGCAAACCGAACGACACTAGCTGGCTCTGTTGATACAACGACGCAATTGGACAGCGCCACTGTTGCGCCAGACATGACATCTTCCACTCAGCAAAACAACACTGGCGTATTGCCGTACGACTACACTGCGACTTGGGGCCCTCCAGGCCAAATTCAACCGCAGGGTGAGGGCATGATGTCTCTTGATGATCTATTCTACGGCTTCAATAGCTCTGCTCTGGACAGCTTTCCGGTTACACCCATGCCAGGTTGGGAGACTTTATGAACCTCCAGCTAGGTACAACCACATCCGTCTCATGCAGTTGGATCTAACTCATTGTTGTTACTCCCCTCCAATGTTCCCTCTCCAGGATTTTGTCGTGGGCTTGCTGAGCGACTCCTATGCGCACCTTGCCTCCCCAACACTCCGCACCATTCAGCTGCTGCATAGCTCGCTCTGCTTCCTCCGCACTTTCCAGGTCAACAAAAGCGTACTGTATATCTTTGCTGGTTCCGTGCACATTTTCTCGTGGCCATTTCACCTTTGAAACTGCTTCAACGGCAAATCCTCTGAACAATTCGCGAAGCTCAGCATCAGAAGTATGTTGGTTGGCCGGCTTGGGCATGCCGCTCACGATAAGGCGGCGCCGTCTGTGGATTGGTAGAAGCAGGGATTCCGGGTCTTGCTCGACTGGAGAGAAAGTAGAAGTTCCCCAGCGTGTGAGCTGTAGCTGCGTGGCTGTCTTTTGATCGCTGTTTTTCTGCACGCAAGGCTTGACATGTATGGGGCGGTTGAGGACCGTGGTGCCAGGGAGGACTTCAAGAGCTTTGGTGGCCTCTTCAGGAGTGGCGAGGTCAACGAAACAGTAACCAGGGCTACGATTCGTGAAGCGATCGACAGCGATGTCGATGTTCACACTGCGTATTTGTTGTCAGTGAATTTTACCTGTCAAGTGCTTTGCGCAAACGTACACTTCAAGTCCAGCACCTGTGAACAGTCCCTCTACGTCGTCTCTCTGCGCTATGTACGGAAGGCTGCCCACATACACGCGTGTTCGACTTGCTGGTGGGCGAGAAGCCGTTTCATCGTGCTGTTTGGTGTGCTCCCGGTCTATTATCTTGCGATAGTTGGCGTTCTGTCGGGAATCTTGGTGTCGCGAAAACTGCAGGTTTGTCTCTCCATCGTCAAAGCTCAAGGTGTCTTGTATGCGCCAATTCGTTGAGCGGAGCGCGCGGCTTATTGAGGGGACCATGCTGGTGACCAAGTAGATTCTCAAGTACGATAGCTATGCCGAGACGTGCGGCTTTTTAAAGACTAAAGAGTATGTGTTTGTTTTGCTACGCGACGGCGGGTTCGTGCATGATTGAATTTGGAAAGAACAACCAACGCACTGCCAAGACCGCCACTTCAAGGTTGCAATTTTCTTTGTTAGGGCCGACGCTGTAGAGGAATTGAGAAAAGAACTATATTTTCATGCTGCTCGAGGTTCTTCTACCTCATCACCACTCCTTCATCGCCCCAAGATTTGTCTCACCCAGGCGAACTGCAGCTCCGCAAGCGTTTCACTCCACAATCTTTCCATAGCCATTCTACCATCACAGTCATGCAAGACTGGTGGGAACCTGCAAGCTTTCATTGTTTGACCTCAAGAATAACCCTTTCTTCACAAGCTCACCCAGAGACCTTCCAGAACATTAAAAACCCGCCATGACTCTCCTTTCCATGCGCAGCCACAGCATCAATATAAGTCCAAGCTGCCACGAAGTCCCCGACGTCAGACCTGGTTCGACGGTGTTGACGATGGTCCTGCCCGCTGAGACAGATTGCGAGAGCATTACACCAGGATCATGACGAGCAGTTTCGAGAGCCCGTAGCGCTCTCCTTCTGCAGCGAGTCCTGAGAATGGATCGTCGAAGTTGGGAATGAGCGGCTCGGCCTTGCGATTATCGAATGAGGCGAAGAGAGCTGTACCGGAACCGACAACGGTCAGACGGCCGGGTTCGGAACGACCGGTGTGAGGCGGTGCTGCAAGGATAGGTAAGAGAAGGACTGACAGGAATGTTGTCGAGAGATAGTTGACTTGGAAATCTCCTCGTGGCCTGTTGAACGGTTGATGCGCGATACGAGTCCGCTTCCAACACCGGCGTTCAAGATGGCTATGTCCAGCCCGGGCAGCGCACTACATCTTTTCGCGAAACCTTGAATAGATGGGTAGGATAGCACGTCGAGCTCCCATACTTCGACATTGCAGTCTGGGTATGCTTGGCGGATTCGTGCAGTTGCCTCTTCGCCCTTCTTGGTGCTTCGTACCGCCATGATGAGGTGGGAGAGGCCAAGCGTAGGTAGCATCTTTGCGCAAGCCTGTTCATGCCGCTGTTGCTTCCAGTGATAAGCAACAGTTTGTCAGAAAAGGAGACTTTGGGCTCCTTTTCGGGTTCCTGGTGGTGATCTCTGACGCCCTCGATCATCATGCTGAATGGGGAAGCTTTGTATGGTGGTAGTGACATTGAAGCCATAGTTTCGTCTCGATTCTTAGTGATGCTTCCTAGAGCGTTCTAATAACGTGCTGGAACCCTACTAGCTAGAACGCACTCGCTAGGTAGACTCCCTTATTCACCAGCCATTTACCTTATTTGCACTAGTAGAGCACGCCGACAGTTATCTAAGAAACGGAGAGCCCTCTTGGGTATTGTAATCGCGGAAACCCTCCACCGTAATGCGACTCTCCTCCCAATCATCAGAACCATGGAAGGTAGGGGCAGAAGTTTTGCAAAGTAAAATAAGCGTGCTCACACCCACTGCCGTTTGTGCTCGCGTTTTCGTTTCCGATGATCCACTTGTTCCAGTCGTCTTGTTGTGATGGTGTTCGCGGCCTTGGTTTCGCCGTTGCTGCTACTTGTTGGTCCACACCCGTACGTGTGGATGAGAACCAAAGCCCCACACAGACAGGCACGGCGAGTCATTCATGTATGTTTGAGGAATCCGCCTTCTCAAGGATGCCTCACGCTAGCCTTAGATACTTCTCGAGCGGAAATATGAGAACCATTTTAGCGCTCGTTTTTTGGCATGCCGTATCCAGGTGTCTCAGGCTGCATCTTCGAGGGGATGTATTACACGGCTCGCCGATTAATCGAGGCGCATTGACGGCCTGCGCATGACCTGCGAAAAAATGTTGACTGACCGGTTCGTATACACAAGGCCGTGTTGATATGATCCCAACGAATCCGATACTTCATCGTATGCGAACGCCGATAGTTTGGTTTGACCGGTCTGCGCTTCGGGTTGCTTGGGACTCAAAGAGGCTGGAACTGATGACTTGAGCCAATGGAAGCCGTCGCATGCACAGCAAGCAGACGTGGCGGGACGTGTATCGCTAGCCCAACGCATCGGCTTGGCAACCCTGCTGTATCCTAATCCACGGCCACAAGGGAAGATGAGACAGCTTGGTCATAAGGAGTCACCGAGCTGTGACGATCCTTAAAAGTTGGATCAACGATACGGGCTGCATACGTCCCGCCTCACCATCAGCCGGTGCATCCGCTCTCAGTCGCCAGTTTGCACCCGAACATCCATCAGCCAACTTTGTTCCAATTCCTATGCGTGTATCACGTATGTTTAGCTCCCACAACTCACTGTTGACTTTAGATACGTACTGATAGATCATATGATAAAAGCAACGATGCCAGCCATATATGAGACACCTCTCGATACCGATTCGAAGGAAATTCGCATCGTCAAGCTCCTCCCTAGCGCAGACGCCGAATCCAAAATCTGTTGTGAATTCGTACGCGAGAACCTTGATAAAGATCGAAAGGATGTATTGCCTTACTCAGCTCTATCTTACGTCTGGGGGAACTCTAGCACAAGACGGACTATCAGTATTAACAACGACACGGTATATGTCACGTCCAATCTCTTCGCAGCACTCAGTCGATTCCGCCATTCAACAGACACACTTCTTCTATGGATCGATGCGCTGTGTATCAACCAAGATGACATGCAAGAGCGCAATGCACAGGTGAACTTTATGGGGACGATATACAGGTCGGCTAGACAGGTTTTGATGTGGCTAGGAGAAGAAGAGGACGATAGCGATTTAGCTATGGAACTTATTCAAGAGTATGACAGCCATAATCCAGCCTACATGTCTCGCCACAACCAACTCTTGTGGGATGAGGATTATGAACCATACTGGAAAGCTCTTTTGTTGCTCTTCCAACGGCCGTACTGGACTAGGGTCTGGATTGTCCAGGAGATTCTTCTGGCTTTGGTTCCAATGATATGTTGTGGCTCTCGCCGAGCTAATTGGTTGGGCCTCGTTGGCATTCTCACGGCTGTTACAATCCACGACAAGTTCGGTACGTTTTCCCCGGCTAACACGAGGTTATTAAGGATGATATCTGGAGCAGAGCTTCAGATAGAGTTAGCCAAAGCACATTGGGACATATATTTCAATAAAGACAGGTCTCTTTTAGGTGGATTTAGGCATAGTTCCGGTAAAACGTACCTAAACGCAATGCTCTTGTCGAGAAACAGGCAAGCGACCGATCCACGGGACCATGTTTATGGCATGATGGGTCTGCTTTCATCTCAACGTCTAAAGGCAGATTACGATCTCTCCATGTTTGATATATATCGGGATGTAGTACGCACGATAGTCCACTATTCCGACAGTCTCGATATACTTAGCGCATGCCAAAGATCAAATAGGGATCCCGACCCGAAAAAGCGAATGGAGACGTTGATATTTGCCTACGAGCTTGAACGGAAGTTCAACCGTGCACTGGCATCTTTCAAACGGCTAACCGAGATCATCGAGAAAAGAGAAATGGAAGATGAGGGTGTGCAAGCGAATTCGCCTGATTTGGGAGATAATTCATCATTGGGCCATATCAAGGGTGAAAGCAGTGTACAGAACGAAGCGAACAATGAAACAACAAAGTCTCTCGGGCAAGACACCCAGGATACGATGGAAGCTAAGAGTTCTATGGAGATTCAAAACCCGCAAGATACAAAGGCAGACTACAATGCAGGCGAGGCCCAGGACATTGACGAAAGTGAATTGCATGAGTGCGCTACCGGAAGCCAGGATGCAGAACAGCTGGTAGGGTTGAGAGACTCACATGTTCGGCCACAAAAAGACCCAATTGAGAGAAAGAGCGTCCAAAACCACGTCGACACGGTAACAGATCTGATTTTCAAGGTTACATCTCTCTCTTGGGTCCCGGACTGGAGAATACCTGTGCCCGAGGTTGCATACTTACTACTTCGCAACCTCGAAAATTGCCACTATAAAGCCGGAGGGGAAGCAACAAGTCAACCTCAGTTTCCAGGAAGATGTACCATTGTAGTCTCTGGGGTCACTTTCGATACTGTTAGCGCCGTATCACTACCTTGCGAAGACACAAGTATGGAATCATTTATCTGTAATTCCGTGCAGGATGCGTGGACTATGTGGCGTAGCGGCGCTCATCCCCGTCATATCTACAAAAATGAGATGCTACAGCAAGACGCCTTCCTGTACACCCTGGTTGCTGCAAGGCGTTTGAACGGTAATAAAGGGGCGTGTCCAGTTCCAGTCTCGTGTTTGAACGAATTGTTTCATTTGGATCTTTCAGACGACACTCCTGAGGGGAGCGAACTCCAGTCATCTGAAACTTCACTTAACGAGGATGACGAATTGCCAACGAAAGGACAAGTTCTCGCCTTGTTGAGTCTTTGGAAGCATTTTAGATTTTGCTTCACAGCACAGGGATACATGGGTCTTGTTCCGATCGGGACTCGAGTCGGTGATATCATTGCGGTTCTCTTCGGAGCAAGAGTGCCGTTTGTGCTTCGCAAGTATGACGGCATTGATAGAGATATGTTCTATCTTGTAGGCGAATCTTGTAAGCTCTATAATTATGTCGGTCACTGGAAGGGAATGTTGCTAATAAGTGCTGTAGATGTCCACGGAATTATGGAAGGGGAAGTAATCGAGGAATGGAACCACAGAAAGGAAACTTCTACCGAGTTTTGCCTTTTGTAGTACTATTATTACGGTCGATCAGCAGATTAATCTTCTGTTGATGAAGCAACTCTGTGGAGTGCACGATCTACCCTTCCAGCATATTTATGGCGGCACCGGGTCTATTAATATCTACACAACGTGCTAACAGCCCCGACAAGAGGCTGTATGAAGTGGTCGTCCATTTTGTGCATGGCCCTCGGCTCCAGCTTTGAAAAATGTTGCCACTCCCAAGGCGCATCCACTGCAGACTGCCACAACTGATTGCGTGTCTAATGTCTTCTTAGGAGTCACCTCTTTCTCCATAAGTAGCCGTAATACGCGGTCCTCTCTTCCGAATATGGCTACAAAAAGAGCATGGCGATGTTTCCTTGCTATTGCATTCAGATCTACATCTACTTATACAAGGATACAAGCTGATAGGGCGGTTCGCGAAGAAGTGGACTACCCTGATGTATTGGGGGATCAAGGAAGACTATAAGTCAGCGTCTGAACCGCGACTTACTTGACAACCATCTTGCAATTTCGCAATGCAGTGCATCCTATGGCTATGTCTTTGTCGTAGGCCCATATAGCACAAAAACCCACACGTCACGTTGCCTTCGAGCTTCACAAGCCACCCTTTGACGCCGCACTGTTGTCCACTCTTTCATGTAGCTGGTGGATTCCAGCCTACCGATTGACTACTGCAACAGACAGCACGATACTCGTGCTAAGAATGGGTTGGCCAATGGCTCGCCATATCTTTATCTCACGGCCTACGGCATTCTGATGATGAGCCAGCAAGCTGCTCACAACTAGCTGCCCGCGGTTGCAGCGTGTTCGGATCGATCCGCTACTTGCGGCACGCCCGTTTAGGCTCTGCGACTACCATGTGTTCATACCGTGTTCGTGTCCTATTCTAGCATATTCGACACCGCTCTTATTGCAGCCTTCTCTCTTGAACTCGCAATGAGCGTTGTACCATGTCACATTTCCAATCATTATCTTCGCGAGCACTGCAAAGCTCATGCGTTTTGTGTATACATCCAGCGTAGCGATATAGTCGCTTGCATGTACATGATGTCCCTGTTCCATGTCGTAGAATCTCATGGTCCCGCCATGAAATCCCAAACTTTGGCTATGATCAAAGTTCCAACGCACCGGTGGAAAGTCTCGATTCGGTAGAAGAATTTCTTTGCCTTGACATGCGTGCAGTGCATTGCGTTACTTCCCCGTATTGGCATACTTTCGTGATCGAACCGATAGTTTTCTATTAACTTTTGAAATTATACAAAGCTTCTTCCTTTGTCCGCCTCTGCAGCCTTTGTTCTATCTACTGTACGTCACCTCCGCTGTTTGCGTCTTCATTATACCCCCGTGAGGCACCGCTCTATTACTGTCTCCATCGGCGCTGCTGCGCAAATTCCCTTCCTCGTTCTCATGCGCATGTGGCGAACTACTAGCATCTACTAGTGTCTCCATCATGATGTCAGAGTCGTACGGCCCCCTCCTCCTTGAGCTTCTATTGCCGCGAGAACCACCGCCAATGGTCACGATATCCCCCCTTGAGCCTTTGGAGTAGTAATTGGAGTCTTGGATGCTGGAGAGGAGTCCTGGTGCAACGGTCCGTATGAACTGGCGAACGGTCGGAAGGGAGGCGCATATGATCAAGAGGTTTGCCTCGATTGATACCCAGTAATTGATAGGGCCTGCAACCCAGGTAGAGTCTACCTGTTCGATCTCGGTGACGAGCAACGCTAGGCGGACGATCGAGGTGATGACCGTTCTAGATGAGTGCGACCCATGTTAGTGTAACCGTGGCTGAGCAGTGCGATTAAAGACGAGAGGAATATGGATACGTACATAGAGCCTAGGACAAACATCAGAACCAGTCCGATTTTCTTGCTCCGCGACATCTGAAGGCGAATGACCATCGGGATTGGAATCGCGATGATAAGACAATCGACAACTACCCCGAAAGCCGCGGTGGCTTCATACAAGGCTGGGCGATTGATGCATGTACCACCGGTAACAGTAAGGTCCCACCCCATTGCGATTGGACTGCATGCAAATATGGAGGCGAAGAAGATGCCGGTGCTTGCCCCGACGCTGATGAACATGGTAGCGTACGTGGCCCATTGGAACCATTTCATTTGACTTTGCAACTGAGTATAGAATATCAAGAGCACAAGTTTTGCGAGAGCAGTTGGCGGGGCGTATACAATCGTGTGTATGTACACGCCGTACTAATCTGAAGATTAGCAATGAGCATGACGATACCATTTCGATGGCACGTACAAAATAGTTTTCTTGAAACTTGCTGAAGGGCATCTCCCATGCATGGACTCCGATGTATTTTCGCACAAAAGCCCCTACATCGCATTCAGCTAGATGTTCTTCTTGGGATAGGAGCAGATCACTCACGGACTATAAGAGCCTGAATAGCAATGGAGAAGACCTACGTGCATTGTAAGAAAGGGATGGAATAACCCATGGGCTCATGGTTGGGAATCATCTCACCCATGCCACAATGAGGATATCTGGTTCTCCGATTCAGCAGCTTTTTCGATAGGAAGCAGAGATATTTAAGATACTCACAGTCGTCGATTGTCAATCGTTTGCGCAGCACGGCCTTGACATACAACCGCTGACCTAGAAACAGGAGAGCCAGGAAACCGCCCACACCTGTGAGGCAGTAGCAGGTGACATTCCCGTTTCTCTTGGGGTTATCGAAGTCGACATCGTAGCCCTCAGGTGCAGGTATAATGGTGAGGACGCCTTTGGTCATGGACAGCTCCATACTGACGCTAGCGAAGGCACCTAGCCTGAGGAGGTGAGGAGTGGGGAACACAACGGAGGTATGTCTGAGAGGATAGTCGCAGGTTGTCGCTTGTGCTCCCTGACGCTGACGGGCGGAAGAGGCGGCACTAGTCCTATAACACTACAAGGAGCAGCGTTCGCTGCTTTACTCATCCGTCCTTCACGTTTTCCGTCTCATTTTCCTTCAAAGGTTCTCTGTTCGGAGATAGGTCCACTGATTGGCGGCCCGCTCCCGCTTACTGTCGCCAAGTTCCCGTGCCACCCATCTGGACGGTTCGTGGCTTACAGTGTGGCTGGGGTAGTCGAACCATTCTGTAATCTTCTGCATACAATAAACAGCCACACGCTGTAGCTGCGGCCTATACTATTCCCCGAGAAAAGCTAAGGGTACCGACAGACGTAGAATCGGCGCCATACACCCATTTCTGGGTTGGTGCGTTAGCTTATCTCCGAGCTACAGCTTCCTCGTACAGTCACCTACCAGGTTGATCAACAAGGTTACCTAGGCAGTAAGACACGTTTTGGGAAGCCGTTAGTTTTCTGATTGGACAGTCTCTGCTAACAAGGTTTAATTTAGCCTATGCAGCTCGCCAGAACCCTTTAGAGGCCGCTGATGCTTATGCTATCCGCCGGTATCTATTCCGAATGTAAGCCATGATTGATTAGTTCGATATATTTTTGTCCGCTCTGGTGTTTGGGCAAGTGCGCGCAAGTCGATATATGGTATTGATCTCATGGTGCGCCGATTTGCTAAGATACGTGGGAAGATTTTGATGGTGAAGGGCGTACACAAGGATTGGTATGCGCCAATGTGGCGTTACGATGGAAGGATCTGACCTGATGCAAATCGACCCGCGTTCGTGCGGCGCCTGGTCACTGAGCCCAATCGCCACGCTCGTAGTCAACACGGGTCATGGATCTGACCACAAAAAGTCGGCCTGTTCGGCAGGGGTAACACGCAATGCATGATTGAGATATAGCCGGGCGGGACATGCAATCATTCGAGTTCGTTTCCTGAGACCGTCACAGTCACACACCACAACCTCGGGTTTTGGAATCTCAACATGTTATTGTGTAACAGCCTTACTGGGTTGCTGTTGCCCTTCTTATATAGCGCAAGTGCATGGGGCGCAAGCACACGCAGCGGCGTTCGTCACTCTCCTCTTATCCTCTTCTGCTAAACTAACGTAGTCTTGCTCATGGATACTGACGAAGCCCTCCAGTGTGACCAACTCTTCGCCGCAGGACTGCAAGACCTGGTTCTCCTACGCGGGTCTGCCGCTTACGTGGACCGCGAATCTTCTTACTGGGCGGCCAACAACCCACTGCACCCCAGTTGCATCGTCCAACCCCGCAACACCGAAGACGTCTCGCGCGTAATCAAGGTGCTTGCCAAGGCAAACAGCTTAATTGCCCTTCGCAGTGGTGGCCACACCCAATGGACGGGCTCCAATGACATTCACAATGGGATCACCATAGACTTGGGCCGAATGACTACTGTAACGTACAACCCCCAATCTAAGCTTGCCTCAATCCAACCAGGGCCACGATGGGGTGACGTCTACGAAGAGCTTCTGGAATATGGCGTCTGCGTCCCTGGTGGTCGTGATGGTAACGTTGGCATTGGCGGCTTCCTAACTGGAGGTGGTAATTCGTACTATGCCGGTCTATATGGTTGGGCTACAGACAATGTAGCCAACTTTGAGGTTGTTCTTGCTGATGGTTCTGTTATTGATGCGAACCCTAAGTCGCACTCCGACCTCTTTAGGGCTCTTAAGGGAGGATCTGGAAACTTTGGCATCGTGACCCGCTTTGATATGTATACCTTTCCAGCACATGATGTCTGGGGTGGTATACGCGCCGCGGTCAGGGGCAAAGGGGACGAACTTGCACAAGCTATGGTCGATTTTACGAACAACAATAAGAAGAACCCGGAAGACGCATATATCATCAACTACACCTTCAATCCTAGCTCCTCATCGGACGCTCTGGTCGCTCACGTTGTGGTCGATACCCATGGAGTCGTCAATGCACCAGCATTTGAGCAGATTTTGAAGATACCAGTCATTATGGACGACGTCAAGACGAGAACCATGGCAAATATGGCAAACAGTTACCTGCTTCCTAGTGATGAGCAGTAAGTATGATCATGCACCCTACTCCTGACCCAGAAAAGTCTAACTGATAGTCTCAGGCAAGTCTGGTTTACCCTCACGTTCAGAAATGATGTGAGAGTCATCAAAAAAGCGGGTTTACTGCATGACGAACTGGTTGAGGAACTCAAACGTGAGATGCCAGCAGGAAATTACACGACCCAGTGTCTTTTTCAACCCGTTCCCACCCTTTTCACGGAACACTCGATTCAACGTGGAGGCAATGTACTCGGGCTCGACAACGTCAAGGAAAATGCGCTGATGTGGCTAATCACTGGCTCCTCGGAAACTGCTGAGCAACAAAAGATCATGCGGGAGAAGCTGACAACGTTTTACACTACCTTGGACGCATATGCGAAATCACTAGGTCTCAATATCGCCTGGCAGTATCTGAATTACGTGGATCAGACACAGGACCCACTCAAGAGCTACGGTCAGCAAAATGTTGACTTCATTTGCAAGGTTTCGAAGAAATACGATCCGTCCCAAGTTTTTCAGAGCAAGGTAGTGTCGGGTTGGAAAATTTCGAATGTCGGCACATGATTAGAGCGGATTAGCCAACGTAGAGTGTCTAGGTTGTGCAGCTTTGTCTTCCTATGTAGCCTCAAGGCTGAATCTCATATCATCGTTACCCTATAAGGTTTAGAAAGCACGAGGCTCTGCATGTTGCGCTGACTACGGGCGGTACGGTCCGGCAACGGTGGCGCCACTGTTATTCCCTACGGTAACGGTTTGCAAATTTTGGCCCCTATCGGGCAACAAGCACCCCTGTAGAAGTTGTTATCACTACTCGGTGGTTTGTTTTTCCCATATATCTCACGGTGGGGGTTTCGGCGGTGAAGAATGCAGACCATTGCCAAATTCGGCGGCTTTTTCTTCGGACTTCATGCATCGATGAGTGTGGAAAACTTTATACCAGTGATTAAAGCAGCTTCATAGCCAAGTCAAGCGATTAGGCCTCCTTCGGACTTCATGCGTTGACATGTGTAAAAAGCTTTGCATGCAGTCGTGGGCACAGGAACGTTTGATGAATCTTATTCTAGCTTGTTTGCACGTGCTGCAGGCAGCACCCGTGGACATTGGAGCGATCTGACGGCATTTGCCTGTAATGGAAGGATAGTACGTACCCTTGCTGGATCTTAGCAGGGTGGAAAACTAGGCGCGACTTGCGCAAGTAATTCCAGAAGATTCAATGCAATAAGCTTCCAAAGCGACAATCAGCTGCTTAACTTGGCGTCCTGCTCACTCAGCTGTGTATACATTTAATGAGCTCACTATCGCATCCTTCCACGCTTCGTATCTGAGTGAATACACAGCCCATTCACTATGGAGTACCAGTTTTCTAAGATTGTCGACCCATCATCGTTTGATTCCAAAGGACTTATCTCTGACATCCCGGTTCGGAAGAATCTTTTCTCTGAAGCAGAGTATGTTGGAACGTTCCGTGCTCAAGAGGATTGGAATGCTTTTGTCGCTCCTCTGGGGGAGTTCAAAGGCGGCCTTGATCCTACGTATCCCCTGATGTCAGTGGACGTACCCGAATGTCGACCGGAACGCCTCGAAATGGTTGCGTATGGTAACGAATTTGCATTTCTATACGATGGTAAGCACGCGTTGCCAGATTCTGTCCTTAATGCTTACATTTCAGATGCCATTGAAAGCATGGCCCATGATCAGGTAAACCCAGAGAGATATTACATCCCAAACTAAGGTCGCGATCTTTGACACGGTTCAGCTCGTTGAGTCAATAAATGAATGCATAAGGCTGTTTCTTGAAGCCGCCGAAACTGGGCATATGAACCCCCAAGGAAGTGGTATACACAATATGCAGGCCCAGATGTTCAGGGAAATGGCGGCGATCGACCGACCTCGCGCAATGGTCACTATGAAAGCTTGGGCTGAGTTTTTGCGGCTCACGTCCAGCCGAGATCGCCAAAAACAGTTCGAGAGTCTGGAAGAGTACATTCCCTTCAGAGTATGGGATGTTGGACAGATGTCAGTCACGTTATATCTCTCGTTTGCTCCTGTAACCATTCTAACGACACGGAAGGCACATGTTCGGCCTCATCACGTTCGGAATGGGCTTGACGATCCCAGAAAGCGACATGGACAAGTGTAACAAAGATACAGCACCGGCCTGTGCAGCCATTGCTCTGGCAAACGATCTATTTTCGTGGGATAAAGAACGCGATTTGGCGAAACGGGACAACTTGCCACATATCGTCAACGCTGTCTGGGTCATCATGGGGCAATACTCTGTCAGTGAAGAAGAGGCGAGGAAGATCTGTCACTCCAAGGTCGTTGAGTTGGTTGAAGAGTATAAAGAAACTGTGGAGAGGTACAAGAACGATCAGTCGATCTGCCTTGATCTCAAGAAATACGCTGAGGCACTACTGTATAACATCAGTGGTAACCTTATCTGGAGTTTGACCTGTCCGCGGTATAATCCGGGAACGGAATTAAACTCCTGCCAGAGGTGGATGCAGAAGCGGCTTACGCAGCCGTGATAAGTAGGCTTTCTTTAGCCTTCTTTTACAATTACGGCAGTAGACAAGGATTAGATCATAGATGTCAGTACATATGTACATCCGTTCCACTACTTGTAGAAGCAGCGCTGTATGTACGCAGCATAGCAGCCGATTCTGTCAATACTCCGTATTGAGGCGACCTCCACGTGCTATGAAAGTGAAAACGCTCAACATACTGCTCTCTTCCTACAACGGCACGCGGCGGCTACTTTATTTCTCTGTGCGATTAGTAGCAGCCTTGTGCGCCTTGGACCCGACAAAGGGGAAAGTTGGCTCGGGGCTTAACAACCGAGCAACATAGAGAGAACCAATCATCGCGTCTTGTTTAGAAGAAAGTAAGACCCGCTAAGCAAGCGTAAGGCGCTGACTGTGCCGCACTGCATCTGCCAACCTTCTCGTATAATTTCTTCGGGCCAAATCTCATGTATCCAGACATGGAGCAGATTGCGGAAAAGCACAAGGGCCTCATCGGAGGCATGTCAAAGATCTATGACATTCTGATCGCGATGCGCTATCTCTCAGCTAGCGACGTGATCCGGCCTCCCATCGATAACCAATCTCTGCCCTTCTCTCAGCTGCGATCATTAGGCTACGAGTCCGAGGTCCTGGGTCTGGTGCAGCAATTACCTGCGCTTCGCAGTGAAGTCGTCTGGGGCTTTCAAGAGTGGGGCGTGGAGCTTCTTCCGCGCTCGAAAGTCGTGACTTACTTTTCGCATCCTGACGACCCAGACTTCCTGAACGACCTGCTATGGGGCGATTTCTACAAGACCGATGATCCAAACGAAATGAAGTGGTTGCATCCGTGGATGTTGAAGCTGACGGAGTGTGGACAGAATGGCTATGGCACGAGTCTGATTTACAATATCCGAGACCGTACGGCACCTTTAGTGACTTTGAGGACCTTATATGCTAATAACACCCAGAGTCAATCATAGAATGGACCCAGATTGGCAGAAAATATTGGGACGATATGCCCAGTCGTCCTGCAGAGGAGGTCCTATCAGAGATAGCAGAAAAGTTGGAGAGTCTGGAATGGGTGCCATACTATGACTCGGACGACAAAGCAGAAGCGCCTCTCTTCCAGCGAAAACTTGTCGAAGACCCTATAGTCTTCCAGAACATCTGGTCTGGAGGCATCCGCGTCCCGGGGGAGATTGCCGCTGCGATCGAGTACTTGCAGAGTGAACACGGAGATGCCGATTGGCTTCGACAGAGCATCAATCGTTGGAGAGCATTGCAGATGCACTATGTCGATAGCAGATGGGCCACAGGTGCCTGGGACGCAGACGCTTTTTGGGAAAAAAGGGTTGCGTGGATTCGGGAACTGCACGCTTTAGAGCGTCAGCGGCCACATGGTGCGTGGTCGGATAATCAAAAGTACCTCGAGCATCCCATGCTGCCAGACTGGGAGAACAGACACTTCGATTTCTTCAAGCAAAGTGCGGGAGACAGAGCCGTCTAGAGAACCCTTCGACGGCTGTCCCTATGCATTCACGCAATAGGCGTAGTCCGGCCACAAGTCACTACAATCCGCATCCAGCGCTGTTCAGGAGGAAGACTCTTTCGCGGAACCTAATACAGATTTCCCCTCTTTCCTCTCCTCTTTAGTGGCTGTAGCAGCAGCCGACTTGGTCAGTCGCCCCTGCTCCACCTTACCAAGCTCAGTCAAGATGCCGTCCTCGGAGAGATTCCGGACCGGCCCTCCAATGTTCTTAGCCTTAAGCCAGTCTCCAGAAATTGCGAATCCCGGTCTGCCGCTGAGGTCGATCCGCTCACTCAGTAGTATCTTATCACGTCGTGGTGGGCCATCTCTACTGGCAGCCGCGCGTGCTAGGACTTCTTCTGCAAGGTTGCTTCTTCTGTGAGGAGCATTCGAGGTTGACCAATGGTCTTGTGGCGAAGAAGATAGGCCGTTGTTAGGGGGTGGAGAAGGCAGTGACGACGATTTAATCGGAATTGCCGTGGTTAAAAATATGAAGGGCAGAGTTGGAGAGACTCCGTTCCGAAGTTAAACCTTTACAAAGGAGCTCGTATTTAGTGTGTCACCCTTGGCTACCTTACGACTAGCGAGGGTGGTGACTTACTAGATACGAGCTCCTTCGTGAATGGACAACAGACAGCAGCGTTATAGTGCCTAGGTATTCCAAGTAAGCTCGGCAGAGTAATTCTTTCATCATTATTATATTACTCTATAACTTTACCATAGTTGGTTCCTGATATACTAAAATCGGTAATTTTGTCCCTTTAAAGCCTTTGTAAAAACCTACCCTATGCAGGAAGCTTTAAGACTTAAATCTACCTCTTCTAGGTATCCGCATAGGCCGTATTTATTAGAGCGTGTATTATATAAGTACTGGCGAGTAAGTTACCATAATTTTTCCGTATTGTATATCTCAATCTTCCGCAGCGTGTACCTTGAATCTGCTTCCAGACACAGCACAACAGTGACAACAGGTCTTTGGACAAAGCTCAATTGGGCCAGTAGCCAGCTTTGCCAGGACACTGAACGAAATTTGCACAGCCCACTTTGTACGTCTAGGGGGTCCAAACCTACCATAGTTAGTCGACTGCTCACTGGGCCTGTTCGACTTATTGAGTCTTACCAGGGTGGAACTTTCGACTTCGAACATCGAAATGTAGGCATCTGCACCTGCACATCTTCTTCAAAGTCTTCCTCGAACATTGCAGCCAGTGTGTTTGGTCTTTCCCCCCTGATAAAGCGTTCGTGCTTCCGCATTAAGATCCCCCCTTCAAAATCCTTCTTCAGGAATCCCTTTCTCAGAAACTCGAATCCATCTCCATATGTGCAGGCAATGATGGTTTTTCTCTCACCATGCTTGTCAATTGTGTCCGTCCAGACAGGCATATCCTGGCTGTTGGTGCTGTTATTCCAAGACACATATATGAAATTGTTCTGACTACAGAGCTCCAAACACATTGTGTAGTCGAACATTGCCATGATACTCGATCCTTTATCTCTGTGGTTGATGTTGTCGGCAGCCATATAAAGGGCACGTTGCATTTTACATCTTAGATCTCGAATTAGGATGTCCTTTAGAAGATAGCCTTGGGAGCCCGGACAAACGTCTGTCGGTTGAGAAGGATTCTCAATTATCAAATTCTGGGCCACAGTTGCCGCAGTGCAGAAACATAGATTTCCGGAGCTTATTTGTAGAATCAGATACATAAGCTCTTCCGTAGGAATCTCGTAATCCACCTCAAATTGATAACCGTCCGTGCAGATCGAGAGAAGCGAGAACACTCGGTCTCGAGGTACACTGCAAAGTCTGTTACGAAATTGAGATAAGAGGCAGATTAGGGAGAGGCCTTGAGTGTCTTGAGGCTTGCTCATCACCTCTTTCATATCCAAGCACGCATTGTCTCCTTGTCCAGAGGAGATGCCGTAGTCATCGAGGCTTTGAAAGAAGGTCTCCAGTGAAATTGTCTGATCATTCATGGCTAGAGTCTTCTCCCTGGCTAGAAGGACCTCCTGTAAGATCCAAGCACGGTTCCAATATTCGTTCCAGATCATATCACTGAGCAATTCTCCCGCTTCATGAAAGGCTTGATCTTGATCAGGGGTACGACATATTGAATCGTTGTTGCTTAGTACCTGTTGCCTGAGGGTCGAAAACACCGCACACAAATATTGGTCAGAAGCAGCGTGTTTACCAAGCCATATGATCACCTCTTTGGCCGTTGCGTAGATGTTACCCATCTCCTGAACTTGATGGTTTCTTTCTGCTGCGTTGTTCTGGTCGATACACAGGGCATCGATCCAGAACCATTTGTTCACGTCTTGTCCTTTCCTAGTCCACGTGGCCAGGAAGTCAAAGAGATTTTCACGGACGTATTTCGCTTTTCCGTCCACGAAAATTCGTCGAGTCGCCCGACCGTCCCCCCATCGGTAAGAGAGGCATGTATAAGTGATTGCGTCATCATTTTCCCACTCATACGAATGATATATCGTAAGGCGGATCTCATCTTCGGTAGAATCGTTGCAGATCTGAAGCAGGTGAATACCAGTGTAGCCCTGGCCATGCTCCAAAGGCGCATGCACGAAAGTACCCACTTGTTCAGAATCTTGGCCTAACAGAACATTCCTCGAAGCCTCATATTCTTTTCCTATTATCATGGCGTTGCTTTCGTCGGAATGAAGATAATGTGACATGATGCAAAATTGAACAAGGCTGAGTTACACGCGGAAGCGAGCCAGAGCCCAAGTAGAAGGCTATGTGTAATGAAATCGCTTGAAATTTATTGGAGGAGTGATGGAGTATTAGAATAGCAGCAAAGAAGGAATGGCACCATTGAAGGAGAGTAGGGCGAAAGGTAAACGGCGTGAACGTGGCGGGGTCAAGTACAGTCACACCTCTCCAAGCCAGCACCACATGCAACCAGTGGTCTAGACCCTATGGTACCTACCCAGCCTCTCAACGATTTGTGGACGAGCCTGCATGAACACAGTTTTTAGATTGCAGTTAACCAAGGAATTTGGCCACCACTACAACTACATGCACGCCTATGTAATCATGCATCGATAGGACAAACAAGTATGTTGAGCCCATGCGCCCTTGCACTCACTTAGCCCAATCATCCGTACGGCAAATTTGGAGCCAGAATCGGATATTCTTAGAACCCAACATGTCGGAACTGAAATAAGCGGATAGAGGTATACCTTCGTATCGTAGCGAAGGCACACGTACAAACTGGTCGACACCCTAAGACTCAGCATCGGATACGAGGCCCTAAGGCCCTCAGCAACGTTCGACATTTCGCTATGGCATCCCGGTTTTGTATAAAACGGTCGCACACGGTAACAAAACATCTTGCTAGAATACTTACGCCGGACAGACTTAGACAGTCAGAATAGACCAGCGTAGAGGCCGAGACACACAGCAGCGGTTCAACTTTTAAGAAGTGCGGGCGAAGTATAATAATGACATTCGTGATGTACTCAAGCAAGGTGGAGAGTATCAGTCACAATGCTCAGAACGTAGAAAAGTAGTGTGTAAAGTAGACGGAAGCTGAAGATGTGCAGGTGGCGGGGTCTGGATCTTATGGTACCAGCCGAGCCTATTCCCAATGCTTGTTCCTCGCTTTGCGCTCCGAGGCCACACGTTAATCGACCAGACCTATAGTACAGTCATTATATTCTTGATCTTATAGCGCCTAAGTAAATTTTCGACCTACAATCGATCTCGAACACCTGTTATGTAGTCATTGGTAAAAGTTCCTCCTCCTCCACCTCAAAATGGCTTTGAGTCACGCACTTTGATTTCAACAAACCAATGTAATATGTTCGTACTAATATAACCTACCTGGCTATAGGTCAAAGCGTTCATACTCATTTGTTGAAATCTATGAACCAGAGCTATGATAAAGTGGTAGAGCAACTTTTGTAAAGCACTGATATGCACCCATCGATAACCTAGCAAACACACACACAGAAGGCACCGCACGAGGCTCTCTCTCTCTCACCACAAAGCAGCGTAATCTCTCTCACAATATCATACGCTCTCACATCCTCGCTCCGACCACCAACAGATCCTTCCATCACCCACCACCCTTGCGCATCCTCCAAAGCTCATTAACAAAGTAAAAGTCTGATTAATCTACTAAAGATAAGGATATCGCGTCATGCACCCGACTACACAAAGCCCTTACTATATACACCATCTCAATGCCGAAGCACAGCCTATGCAGATAACACCATCCATCCCTCCTTTCGATCCCATGCCTTTAAAAGCGCAAAAAACGCCTCCCAGTTCCAGTCCAGCCCAGCTTTGCTTTCCTTTCCTTTCCTTTCCTTGCTAGTACACTACGGTATACCCGACGCCTAACAAAAGGAACAAAGAAAACGATGGGGATATATGTAAGTAATGTGAAAAGTACTAGCAATGCCATGCCATGCCATGCCTTCCAGGAGAAAAAAAAAAAAAAAAAAAGGTAAAAAAAAGAAAGAACCCAGACGCACCTACAGAATGCACATTTTCGAAAGTGAAGCTGCCCTTCATATAAGGCAGCACTCCCTGCGCATCCTCGCTCTCTTACCGCAAACAGGCATAACCCCCTGGTAGGCATCCCCCTCACTTGCATCAACCTTCCTCTTCTGTCCCCTCTTCATCACCCACCTCCACCATCCCCACAGCCTCTTCCCCCCTGACGGGATGTCTCGCGGCCGTGTGAACGGGCATTCCTCTCCTGCCGTGCGCCTCGTCAGCTCTAGCCACGTCACCCAGCAGCGGCGCAGGCGCCAAAGACTTCAACACAGTAAATCACCGCAGCAACAATAAATGCATGCAAGCGAGACTCACGCATTGCCCACCAGCGCCCCCGCACCCTGCACGTTCCACCCAAAGTCCAAAATGAGCGTCCGCCCGTCCTGACTCGTGGCCACGACGCGGCGGTAATCGCTCTTGGCGCTGAGGATCCAGGACGTGGTCCAATTCTCGTACGTGGCGTACACGGCGCCGTCGGAGTAGTTCGCTACGCGGATGCTTTGGTCGTAGCTGCCGCTCACGATGCGGCCGTTGAAGGCATCGAGGAAGAGGGAGCGGACGAGCCCGCCGTGGCGCTGGGACGTGTGCAGCGTGTTGCCCGTCTGGGCATCGAACTTGTACACGACGTGATCGTTTCCGCCGGCAAGGACGTACTTGGCGTCGTCGGAGAACTCCACGGCTGCGAGACCGCGGTCCTCGGAGGGGAAATCCTTGATGCAGACACCCGAATCGAGGTTCCACAGCTTGGCTACACCATCGCCCGAGGCTGAAACGAGCAGGTTGCCTCGGAGTTGTACGGCGTTTACGGGGCCGCGGTGACCGGTCAGAGTGCGGACTTGTCGACCAGTTAGGCGATCCCAAACAATGATTGCGGAATCTTTGGAGCACGAGATGATGTGTTTGTCGTCCAGGCAAACGTCGAGGACACCGGCTTGGTGACCACGCAATCTGTACATTGGGACGTAGTCTTTGCCAGTGATGTCCCAGACAATACATGTGTGATCCGAAGAGCCAGTCACCATGATGCTATCATCGTATTGGAGACAGAGAATAGAAGCGTCGTGGTAATCGGCAGGCACGTGGTACATGTCGTTGCCCCTCTCTGTACCATTGAGCGAGGGGTTGTTGACAACCTTGGCTCTGTGCGTGTCCATACTGGGAGGGGTGTTGTTAACAGGGCGATGTGTCGGACCGCCAATGACCTTGATGCACTCGTACGTTGTCATATCCCATACGCGAATCGTTCGGTCACGCGACCCCGTGATGATCTTGGTCTCGTCGAATTGGCAGCAGTAAACGGAGTCGGTGTGTCCATTGAGATAGATCGCGGCCGGAGTGGCAGCCTTCCATCGCCTGTCAATCGTCTTTCGTGTTCGGAACATTTGCTTCCAATCCTGCGCTGGTGCATGCCTTCCATTCTTAGTGAATCTGCCCACGCCAACGCCTCCCATTTGGATTGGAGTCGGTGAAACGTGTACCGTAGGCTCGAACCGTCGTAGAAAAACATCTTTCCATACATGCGGAGAGGTTGCTAGATCGTTCCAGTGCTTGGAAACTAATTCTGCCTGAATGAGAGATGGGGCATCGAGATTCGAAAGAATAAGAGTAGTAATTTCGGCGGGTAGGACTTGTAGCGGGTCGACTGAGGTGTCATTAGCAGGTTGAACATACTTTGCTGAGAACGGGGATAGAATGAGTGGGGGTATTCCCTTGTGTGGAGATCTCCACTTTGTCATGCTTCGTGCGTAACCACGGTTCGTGACATCTTGAGGGGTGAGAGTAACTTACCCATCTTCTTCTCCTGCAGGACGCTATCCGCGCGGACGATGGGTGAGGAGCACATCATGCCCACACCACTCTCGTTGTCGTTGTCGACTTCTTCGACGTTCGTCTGCGACAATCCGTTTTCTAAGAATTTACGTGTCTGTTCTTGCTCGCGGCGCATCTGAGACAAGCGGGCGTCGTTTGCCGCAGCTGCAGCCTGGCGCGCAGCTGATCCAGGTAATAGTGAAGGATAGTTGGACGGAATAGGCGGCGGCATGGGGTTGTACTTGGCAAAATCACCAGACGGGCCTGACGCGGCAGGTCGACGGCGGAGACTGGAGAAGCGTTTGAGCATGGAGATCTTGGAATTCACAGGAGGCGTGGTCGTGTCCAATTGTGGAAGGGGCAGGCCAGAATCGTGGTGCGGAAGCGGCAACCGCAGCATGTCTGAGCTATTCTTTCGAGCAGAAGCAGAAGACGAAGGACCCGGTGCATCGAATATCGCACTTATGGAGGGCCGCCTGGACGACGAAGACGACAGCTTGCGGCGGATCTGCTTGAAGCCTCCCTCAAACATCGACGTCGCCCGCGACAGCGACCTGGAGCCACTCGAGGCATGGCGAGAGTGGTATTCCTCGCTCATGCCCTCGTGGACGGCGCCCAGCGCGTTGGGGGCCTCGCGCGCGTCGCTGCCATTGGTGCTGAATGTCTGCGAAGCAGTCCGCTTCATGCTCGGTTCGAAAGCCCGGGGCTGCGCTGAACTGTCGTCGGCGGCAGACGAGGTCTTTGGGCGGTGGGCAATGGACGGCCGACGATGCATTTCCGCAGCGGCGGAGCGGTGTCGTGCGAAGGGGCGGGCTTCGTGGCTACAGTGGCCAAGGGTCTCGTTAGCAGCGACTGCGCGTGTCGACTGTTCGGACAGGCCGATTCTGGTACGCGGGATCTCCTTCGGGTGGGTGGCACGCGGGCTGCTGCGACGATATTGTTGTACGACTGGGCTTCTAAAACGAGGGCAGGTCGTCGCAGGGGTTGGGCCTCAAGGGAGCGTGGGTGTTGATCGACGGCGAACGGGCGACAATGCGTGAATGCAACGACTAGGAGATGTGTACAACGATGCAGGGAACGACGACAGGGACGGCGGTGGTCAAAGGGAGCGGAGGGGAGAGAGCGGCGCACACTTCGGTCTTAGAAGGTGCCAGGAGGATCTGAGGAGCGATGGGCGTGTGCACATGTTTTACCTTTATGCTGGAGCCACCAGGGACGGGGGACCGCGCCAGGGTGAAAGACGCCGCCTCAAAAATTAGCGGACGCTGCAGATCGTCGTCTCGCCTGCCCAGGGCGACCAGCGCACTAAGCACGGCGACGCACAGCAACACGACCACGGCCATTGCATATTGTGCACCTACACACGCATAAAAAGCCCGCCGTTGCCATCGCGCGTCCTGTCATTGCCTCGCAGCGTGCATCACCTGCGTCCGCTGCGGAGGCCAGCCCACACTCACCGCCCCGGTCGCTCCAGTTGCCATGACGAAGACATGGCCCTCGCCGGCCATTCCGGCTCTGTACCGCATCATCTACCTGTACCTCGAGCCCGTCTCGACGCTGGTCGGAGCCATCTACGCCCACCACTTCCAGTCTACCTATTTGCAACTGACGCACGCCGACTCCGCGCCCGTTGAGGCCATGCCGCTGGGCACTTCGATCGTCCTGACCCAGCTGGCCAACTTGTACTTCCTGCTTTGCCTCAACGAGGCCCTGGTGCTGCGCGCTACCACGGATCTCAAGGTCTGGAAGACGTTCCTCTTTGGCCTTCTCGTAGCTGATCTCGGCCACCTGTATTCCGTGCACCAGGTCGGAAGCTGGGTCTACTGGCGCTTTTGGGACTGGAACGCGATTGATATCGGTAACGTACCGTTCGTGTACCTCCTAGCCGTCTCGCGGGTACTGTTCATTCTCGAGGTGGGCTTTGGTAGCACCGGGGCTGCGGCAAAGAAGAAAGCATGAAAGCAAGAACAAGTCGTACCCATGTAGTTAATCGAACTGCTATGTAAACAATCACACCGTCCCCATGTAGATAATCAAACTAAACAATTCATCACAACAACGTTCCCTGTAGAATACAAAGCAACACATCACACACGTCCGAGGTAGACCGTACCCCATCACAAACACCAAGCGACCGGACAGCAGTCACACAACGAAAACCCCGTCCCACCGTGCACACCCTCTACCCGTCCTAACGATTACCCCAGAAAGGCCCGTCCCCACCGACCCACTCCCTCGAATCCACACTCACCGCCAACTCCGACCAACGCATCTCGACGCCTCCCCTTCCAGAACCCTTCGTATCGAAACTACTGTACCCTTGACCCAATCCAACCCGCGGAAATGCCCGCTTCCTGCACACTTGCACCGCTCGGTATTCCATCGTTGAATCCTTCCTCATAGTCATGACGCATTGACTGTAGCTTTCCACGTCGCGCGCCCCGTGATGGTTGGCGGTGTATACATTCCAACCGCAGCCGCAGCAGCTCAGCCCTACCGCTTACCTCACCTCACCTCACCCTACCCTCACCTAAAATAGCCCTTCAGCGGTACGCAGACGCACCGCGACGAAACGGAACGAGCGCAGCACTCGCCACATCGTTACCCTGCATCTGCCTCGCATTGCGTCCGCCTCGCCCTTGTCCATCCTCACCGCTCGCTAGACCTACCTAGCCACCGGTGCACCCCGGCGCGCGCACCAGTCGGAGAATTCCCACGGCTGCCCTTCGCGCGCGCGCCGGCACGTAGACTCTGCTAGCTTTTCTGCCTTTTACCGGAGTTTTCTCTCCGCTTTGCTGCTGGCGGCGGGTCGCCATGTGCACCAGTGGGTTTTCTTCGCTGCCACGTCGAGTGCGCATTCCATTTCCGGAATCGCCGTGGAGAAGCCAGGCTAAAAGTCAGGCGATAAAGCGAAGAAGAAAGGTCCAGAAGGTCTCAACATGTTCGGCGAACAAAGGCAGTGAGCGTGCAGCGTGCAGGTGGAGGTACGTACCCCAACGGGTTCCCTGGTACGCATGCACCAGTGTGGGCGGGCAGCCAACCGGGGGCTTTGTACGCCCCTCATTGTGCGGGTGGTCCTGCCATCATTAGGACTGGCGAATGGAGAGCGGCCGGATCATATCCGAACGTGGGTATTGAAGTTGTACTTGACTCGCATGTTGAACTTGACACGACTGGAAATGCATGAAGATGGGTCGCAGGCATATCTGAACTATCCCCGCATATATACCAAACTATCGAACTTGACACGACCGAACATGCACGAAGACGGGTCGCGGGCATAGTTGGGCTATCTGAGCATATGTACCAGAGTCATGATCTCGAACTTCCGTGTTGAGCTTCGTACCGCGGGTGAAAATGCACGAAGATGGGTCGCAGGCATATTTAGGCTTGTGGGGGCACTGAACATGCACAAGAATGGGGGCTCAAACATGATCACAGGCATACTTGGGCTATCTAAGCACATGTATCAAAGTATTGAACTTGACACGACATTTTGAAAATGCACGAAAATGGGTCGCAGGCATGTCAATTGAGCGCATCACCAAATATCATGATCATTAAAGTATTGAACTTGACAAGGGTGAGAACGCATGGAAATGGGTCTTAAGCATCCTTGAATTATCAGAGCATATGTATCAAAATATTGAACTTGACACGAATGAACATGCACGAAGATGGGTCTCAAGCATACTTGGGCTATCCGAGCATGTATCAAAGTATTGAACTTGACTCGCACATTGAACTTGCCACGAAGGAATACATGTATGCAAGAAGATGGGTCGCACGCACATCAAATCAGTGCATCAGCAGATCAATGTAGTGTATCACCAAACATCACGCTCATCAACCGTGTCCTCGTCTCATAAACAGAACATCAATATCATTTCGTCCACTGTGCACATGGCGAAAAGCCTCCTAATGACACACACCGCCCAACCATCGTCACCTATAGCCAGACCAGAGGAAAATGTTCGCAATAAAATAGGAAAGACGCCCTGAAAAGGGTGTTACATGGGTATAATTAACCGCCGCCAGATTCCAAAAGAAAAAAGGTAAATCGCAAACGTGAAAGATCCATACGCAAACATGGTGCTGAACCTCGCCTGAGGTAGCCGCAGATCCGCATAAGCAAGCATTACATAGAAAACGCCTGTAGATATGAAAAGACCTGCCCGGGTAGTTGTGACCCAGATTTTCCACGCCCACCGTCCTACGGCGGCGGTTTCTCAAAGAGCGCCGTGGCGTACAAGTAACGAGAAAAGCCAACAAAAGCATTGAGAGTATACGCAGAGATGATGGTACATATGTGAAGAGGCGCAGAAGACAACATGCCAGGACTAGACAGAGATGCCAGGCATTCCACCCATGCTGTCCATGGCCTTGTCGATGCTGTCAAGGTCCATCATCACGCTGTCAGGGTGAAACGACATCATGTCGTCGCTTTCCATAGCCGGCAAGGTGACGCCTAAAGCCTCGAGGTCTTGAGACAGCATCAAATGAAGAGGAAGTGCGTCGCCAGTCATATTCAGCCAGGCTTCAGGCATATCGGCGTCTTTGAGATCAAGGTTGATCTGCAAGTTATCGTTCTCAGATATGTCCGACTGCCGCGTGGACGGAGTGTCCTTGGAAGTAGAATCCGGTGTATCAAGCGGCGAGCTAGGTCGTGACCGGAGCGCCCACGAGTTGTCCTCGTCCTTGAGATCCAGTGTTGTAAGCGGCCCGTTCGTATCGAGTACAGAGTAGATATCGTCATACGAGAAATCGAAAAGGGATACCGGGACAAGCGGCTGGACATCCTCTTCCAATTCGGGTCGAAGCTTGGGCTGTACGTCAGACTCCTTGTGTGTGGCCTTCGTGACGCTGGCTGGTGTTGGTTTGCCAGGGGCGCCAGTGCTCGGTGTGGCCACTTTGATAGATGCCTGGGGTGTCTTGAGAAGATTGGTTGAAGGGGAACCCTTAATGCCGGTCTGTGTTGGAACACGGGTCATTGGCGTAGCCGCAGCATGACCGGCCGGAGTAGCAGCTGATTGCGGCATGCCAGGAGTGTGCGCGGCCTTGATGGGTTGCGGAGGCGCGCGAGGTGCAGTGGATGCCGGCTTATTTCCACGAGCAGCTACAGCGGGATCCTGCCTAGGCTGGCCAGTCTTCGGATCAACATCCACATATTCTGCCATGGCCTCCAAAGCAAATTGAACAGGATCGTCGATCTTGGTGTGGATGTGGCTGACGTGAGTATCCAATTCAGCTTGCGTATCGAATCCACGCATGGAGTACTCGCAATCAGAGAATCTGCATTTGAAGGTAGGCTTCTGGGCAGCCGGCGGCGCTTGTCGTTTGAGCTCGGGGGAATTGCCTTTGCTAGAGCTGATGCGCGGTGACTGTTTCGATGCAGGAGTCGATGTCTGGCTGTTGGGATCCATCTTCTGCCTCTTCTTCTCAGGCAACGACAAATGCGTGAGTGGCTTCGCGCCTTCAAAATATTTGGGAGCACCTGAAGGTGAAGCACCACCAAGCTGGAAGGGCGGCTGACTCGCAGTCGGTGCTGGGGGTGCCTTTTGCTGGCGCTGCTGTTGTTCAACGATCTTGAGGTTGGCCGCATTGAGTTGCGGCGTCACTGCTTCCCGTTGAGGCTGTTGCTGGTTCTGTTGGCCAGGTTTGGCGTGAGCTTGCTGACTGGCCATCCTGGACATAACTTTACCAACGAATTGAAGTATGTGGCGGATGTTCATGCCAAATTCCGTTTCCGTCAAGGTCAATTCTGGATGTAATGTACCGTCTGCCGGGTTTAACTGCCTCAAGAGCAGTATTCGGGCCCTGATCACAGTTCTCGCAAGGTTCTCAGACTCAGGCGATTCATACGAGATAAGGAAAATGCGCAAGGCCTGTTCCACCTTCTTGATGTGAGGTAGCTTCTCCTTGATGGTTTGTTGCAAGGTTGCTCGCACGTCAGGGGAGATGTGTTGCACGTGGGCCTTGGGAAGTCTGCTCTCTTCTTGTTGGATCATCATCTTGAATTTCTTCTCCCTTTCCGGCTCCTTGAGCTTAGCGGAAAGCTCTTCTTGACTCGGCAGACGTGGTCCCTGTGACTGCTTGTTTGAAGCATCCTGGGCCTTCATGAGGTTGGCGCGCATCTGCGCTTGTTGCTGCGGTCCCATCTTCGACATTTGCTCCTGGGTCAAGTTCACTCCTTGCTGTGATCGAGAAGGAACCATGGCCGGCGCTTGCGGTGCTGCATTCGGAGGCTGAACTTCGCCGCCAGCATCAGCTCCATCGTCATTAGGTCGTTTCATGCTCTTGGTCATGTTGGCCTGGGCGTTTGGCTGCGCCGGTGGAGCTGGCTGGCCTGCTGGCTTCGTCTGCGGGGCAGCCTGGGCGGGTTGGGCCTGTGCTGGAGGCGGCCGTGTTGCTTGTGGACCTTGTCCGGCCATCAGGCCCTGCGGCTGGCCCTGATTCCGTTGTTGGTTTTGCATGTTGAGCATTGTCGCTTGTTGCTGCCTCCGTACATTTATCTTTTGTTGCATGATGAAGTTGCGAAGTTGCTCATCGGTGGCATTGGCTTGTTGCGGGGGCAATCGCTGTCGCCATGCCTGAATCTCCTGGGGAGTAACTTGAACAGGGCCAAGGTTGGCCATGTTGGGTTGCTGCTGGGGTGGCCGATTAGGAACAGAGCCTGGAGTCATCTGGGCTGGTGGTGCAATTGGCCCCATATTGTTCGGTGGTTGCTGTGGACGCTGTCCAGCCATACCATTTTGCTGTGATTGCTTCATCAAGTCCTGGAAATGCAAGACTTGTAGCAGCAAAAGCTTCTGACTATCGACACCAGGAGTGAGGTTTGGATTTTGCTGCGTCCAGCTCTTAAGCTGAGCCCAGGTCTTGATCTCCGGTGGTAATATCTGCCGTATCTGAGCATTGAGGGCACTCGGCGGAAAGATTCGGTTGTCAGTCATGGAGATGATTCCTGGATTTTGTTGAAGCGTTTGCTGAGCATGGAGGAGGCGGGCTTGGTGCGGAAGCTGGCCAGGACGTTGTCCCATAGCCATCTGTTGACCACCCATAGCGCCTGGCATCGGCTGTCCCAAGCCCCCTGGTCGCATATTCCCCATGTTCTGTCCGTTCATGAGACCGTTCGCCATGCCTCCCATTGGCATGTTCTGTCCGGGGTTCATCATCATGTTGGGCTGACCGTTGGGAGGTTGGCCTCCTGGAAAGGCGCCGTTGATCATGCCTCTTTGTCGGGCATTGGCCATGTACTGACCGAGGATGTGACGAAATTGAGGCTCGGGGACCTTCAGTAATTGTTGTTTCACCATAGGATCTAATTCATGAGGTATCATCTGCATCCGCATCTGCTCCGTCAAAGGTTGGCCTTGTACGCCAGCAGCCTGCTGAGCTCGTTGCTGAGCCTCTCGCATGAGTTGTGAGATCTGTGATTGGTCCACCTGGCCTTGAGATTGGGGTGTCATTTGAGGAACGTGAGCTTGAGGACGTTGTTGGGGCGTGGTGGGGTTTGGTTGGCCAGGTGGCACCATAGGACGATTCAGCATTGACATTGCTGCGTTCGGATTGGGGGTACCTAGCGGACGATTAAGGCCTCCCGGCTGACCGTGGAGATTGGGAGTTCCCATCTGTTGTTGTAGGTTCTGCTGCTGCATCGCCTGTCGAGCCCGTGCTTCCGCCTGAGCCTGAGCGGCTTGACGTTGTAGGTTGGCGTTTGCATTCTGGAAGGCAGCTGCTTGCGCAGCTTGGCGTTGGGCCATAGCAGCATTCTGCTGCTGTCCAGGGGGAAAGTTGCCCATTTGAGCACCGACGTTGCTGTTGTTGTTGCTTGCGGGAACGACTTGCTGGCCCTGGTCCTGCACCCGCATTGCTTCATTTTGCTGATTTGCCAGAGCGTTGAAGTCGAACTGCTGACTGGTTTGGCGCTGGTTGGCATTCATTTGATTCGCCATCTGCCCTTGCTGCATACCACCGCCCGCCTGATTGGGCTGAGCCTGGTTCTGTAGTTGCACGAGCAGTTCGCGAGAGATTTTACCATTTTTGAGCATGTTCTCGGCTTGCTGTCTGAATCTGAACAACAGAGGGTTGATGCCCCGACTTAAGAGTTGCTGCTTCTTATCCTCGGGCCAGTTGTTGACCTCATTCTGAAATTGCTGTCGGATCTCCGGTCGTGCTTGGTCCATCAAGCGCTGAGTGAGGCGTGATATGATCATGTTTTGTTGTTGGGATGGCTGCTGGCCTTGCTGCAAATTTGGCTGTGGGTTATTAGGCGCCTGTGCGGGGTTCCCCATATTTCCACCCTGCGCACCCATGGCAGACTGGCTCTGCGACATGGGGATGGCAGACGCCTGCATTTGCTGTCGGAGCTGAGGATTCGGAAACCCTTGCTGTGGGGTATTCTGACCCGGGTTCTGAGGGTTTTGGCCCATCATGCCCATCTGCGCGGCATTCATTTGGTTCATCGCGTTCATGGGATTGTTGGCATTAGGGTTCAGGCCCTGTAGCTGCTGCTGGCGAAGGCTCTGCATCGTGAAGAGCTTTTGTCGGAGGGTGGTGTTGTACTGCTCTTTTGTTTGCGATTGCATGAAACTCGCAGTCTCGAATTGTAATGATTGGCGCAGAGCATCGTTCTCGTGGGCGTCGGGCTTGAGCAATCGGTAGGAAGTGAAGAACTGCAAGGCGAGCCCTCCTCGTTCCTCGGCGGTGATTTGTTGCTGCCAGCCGGGAGGAGCCTTCTCTTGCGCCTGGCGGTAGTGCTTGAGCAGCAACTGCTGTATGGTCTGCTGGCGGTTTGCCTGCTGGTTCCCCTGCATCATGTTGGGGAAGTTTGGGTTGTTCATCCTGGAGTCGGAGGCCGCCTACGGGGCAGCACAACGGGGAGCGGCACTGATGGTGCGGCGCAACACCGCGTGGACGTCGTGGAGCTCTGCGGGCATGCAGAGGCTGTGCAGTCGAGGAACCCAGAACACGAGAGGAAGATTAGCGGAGAGTAGTCGAAGCGCTGTCTCAGGCCTGCGTAGGAGAAGTGGCGCCGTGAGCGGCAGGCGACGACGAGAGCAACGCTCTGATCAGGTGGGCGGCTACTGTGCCTGCAGCATCCGCGTGGGAAGGGTGAAGGTGAGTGAGGCGTGAGGCGTAGGTGCGACTGCGAGGGCTCCAGGGTGTGTGCGAATGTTCCGTGTCGATCTCTCGAGGCGGAGAGGGCGGTATGGCGCAGGCCGTGCAGAGCCAAAACAGCTGGACAGGCGTCAAGACGGTCGTGGGTGTTTCGGCTCCTGGAGTGTTTCGCGGCGAGCACAGTGCTGGGAGCAGTGCGTCGCTTGTGCGGAGCCTGGGGGTGTCAGTGAGGAGAGTTGGGGGACGGTGAGGGCTGCTGAGTTGGAGTTGTGGCAGATGGCATGGGCGCCCGGTGCAGGCGGCTGCAAGTGCAAGTGCAAGTGGACCAGCAAGGACAAGGGTCAGGCCGAGCAGACCCCAGCAAAGCGTCAAAAGCACGACGCCAACAAACTTGCCCGCCCGCTGCTGGAATTAACAGGCTGCGTGACTGGCGAGAATGCCTGGGGATTTCGATTTAGGCTCCAGTATCTGGGCGAGAGAATTCCATTGTTCTCGAGACGGGCGCTCTTTCCACTGCCTGGGCTCTGCGGCAGGCGCGAGCACGACGGTTGCGCCCGCCGCGTCAGGTGCATTCAGGTGCATCCAGGGTGGAGCCTTCCGAACATGTCGGCCGCTCGTCAAGCGCAGGCACATCACCACGTCGCCCGCCAACCTCCACGCTGTCTTCCTCGCGCAGTGCCTATCCTCTCTGTCTCGTCGTCCCCAGCATGCGCGGCGGGGGCGATGCTCGGTTTCACCTTTACTCGAACGCCGGCTTCGTCTGCTCGAGACTGTCATGGCTGCAAAAAGCACAAACGCACGCCACCGTAAACAGCCAGCAGAGCAGCCGAAGACTGCACCATCTGCGCAGTATCGCCGTGGCCTGCAGACGCCATCAAGCCTGCTCCTATCGACGCTAGCCAAGCTGCCTGCCGTGCCATGCGCCTGATCCCATGATGCGCCGCTCAGGTTCTACAGAAGCCAGCGCTCGTCCAAGCCTTTTGCGAGCCTGCGTCGCCCTCACAGAAACAGCGAGGCACCTTTGCCCTGCGCGGACGCTGTGGCTGCGTCGGCCGTCGCCCTTAAAAATAGGCGTCATCCGCCAGCGAGCCCAGCCCAACTCCGATGCCAATCACTGCCTTGGGCCCATGATATCATGGCAGAGCACCACCCGGTATCCTGACCATGGCCTGGACGACTTCCGATGCTCTGTGCCGGACAGCTCGCCGTGTTTCATTCCTTTGCGCGTCTCCATCTAAACAGCACAGGCCATGGTGTTGAAGACGACCGTTCCGACTAGCCCACACCAGCTGAAAGCGGTCAAGTCGCGAGCGGGAGCTCATCAACGGTGGGACCACGCGTCGAGTCAACGCCGCCCACTTGCCTGCGCCGACCGCCTTCGCAGTTTCTTTTGCCTTCTGCTGTCGCCTAGAAGCCTGCTATTTGAGTTGCGAACACTCGCGGGCCCTCTCGTCGACCTCCTGCCCTTCGCTGTCGCTGTCCTTGCTGGCCCCGTCGATCACTTAGCCGTGTTCCCTGCATCGATCTACCTTAGCGCGGCTCCTGCGCCCGCTCTCGTAAACTTCCATGGCGCGCCGCTTCCGCCGCCCACTCAAAGTCAAAGGCGTCCATTAACTCGCAGTGCACGCTCCATGGCTGCATCTCTTGCGACTCTTTTTGTGACTTCCCTCTCGATGGACTCGACAAGTGCAGCGACATGCGCTGGCAGGCGCCCGGATGCAGTCGCCCCGTAGATGCGAAACCATCACAGTGCACATCGGGTCCAGTTGCCTGCCGCTCATCATGCACAGGAGCTCTCAAACATTCTTGCGCAATGCCCGATCTGCAGTCGCGTCTAGAAACACCACGTCCGCTCTCTGGAATGATACGCGGTTCGATAGAAAGTCAACACAAACACTTCAGCGTCCCCCTTTCAGTGGCAATTTGCACCGAATAGATACAGCTGCCCCGAGAGTCTATTGGATCTCGTCTTGAGCTGAAGGCCTCCGAGATTGTTCAGTGGCTTGCCAGGGTTCATACGGCCATGATCCCTGTCCGTGGCCTACTTAGGCTAGAGCCATCTCGCTCCACACAACTCAAGCGCTCCATCAACACCACGTTCAGGACCCAATACGCGAGACGATCCCGCAAACGATAACGGGCAAAGCAGATCGTCGAGACCCTCGTATCGTTCTTACGAAAAGGTACTGTTCTTCTTCCTCTAAAATTTGCAGTCTCCGGTATGAACCCCGACCAGCCAATGAGAAGCTGAAGTTCCGTTTGACATCACCCTTCACACTTCGGTCACATATCGCCGATCCCCCACAGGTGAAAAGGCGCATTGGGAATCAATCGCATTCATCCGTGTGCGTTCAGCGCTCGAAAAGGGCCTTTTCGATACCCAAATGCGGAGGCACGGAGTTCCCACTGGGCATCCAACACCGCCATGACCACATAGCTGCATGCATTGAAACCCGCCAATATACTCCGATCACTCAATATAGTCCGACCACGAGCGCCACCGCGACCTGAAAACATATACTTCCGAATCCTCTGAGGCGTTTGAGCCGCATGCAGGCCCCCATGACTTCCCCAGCGTGGGATCGATGCCATGCGTGCCGACGAGTGGCCGTGAGCGAGGCCGTTGCACGGGGAGATGCACCTGTACATATGGCCCGTCGGGGGCGCCTTGGATGATTGGTGACGCGAGGTATTTGCCTTCATCATGCGATCTATGTCGATGTTACTGTCATGGTTGTCGAACACGACGCACTGATGTATACGCTTTCCTTATGATCTCCAAGCTCGCGAGGCAGGCCACAGAGTATTATCGCACAGTGAGAGCGTTGTTAGGCGTCCTCCGACCCCAGACCATTGTAAGAGTTACTCGGGGGGACTATGTCGTGCGGCCTGAGTCTATGCGGCCTCGCGCACATCTGCGTCCTTTCATGCAGGAGCATTCCTGATGGAAAGTTTCCAGCGTGCACGGCTTTGGAGCACGAGCGCCCTCTCCTAAGTCAACGTGCGCTAGTAGCAATGCTAGCCTTCTCAGAAACAGTGGTCGCGGTGTGTACAAAACGCGTCCTAGTCCAATAGCCTTTCCATAAGAGTGATCGCGGTGTGTACAAAGCGCGTCCTACTCCAAAGCGTGTATTGACCCGATGCAACTGAGAGAGACTCAGTTGACATTCAGAGATTTCAAACGACTGCAATCTTCGGGATGCAGTCTCCAGTAATGCATGCAGACGTTCATTCCCACCCCACATCTTCATGATTGAGATATATCTTTGGTAGCATAACGACTAGATACATGGATATTGATATCTTAACACCACGTTGGATTACGTGAACCAACGACAGAGGCTCGTACCATCTCCTACTAGCATCCATTCACAGTGCCAGTCTAACTAAGTTGGATGTATGATAAGATTGCAAGCCTATAGTGTTCTGTCTCTGATCTCGATGTATTTATACCCACTGCAGCATGAAGATATACAAAAAACCTCCTCTGCGCGACATTCGCGCCACACCTCTAAGTCGAATACATCACTCAAACTTGTTTCCGTCGATTCGAAAAGTCCATCCACGTCTAAAATATCCTATTTCTTAACCGTGAAGTAAGCCTGTGCAGCGCTATTATATATTTGTTAATATACGTTCGAGTTATGTGTGAAGTGGAGTATCTTCGCTTGGACAACGGTGATATTTAGGTTTGAGGCATGGCTGAGTCAAGGTATGTGTCTTGACATGAGTGCGATTTTACATTTTTTTAAGATTGTCGCGGTTTGAACTTGGCCAGGGTAAAGGAAACTCGGCATTTCCATGAAAGCTGTCAGCTGGATGTAGCAAGCTCCAATATCGATATGAGGACCCGATTCTGTGAGCAACATTGTGTCGAGTGAGCGACCAGTGTGTTCAGTGGCCGAAGACGCGCCATTAGACGATATGCTGTGCTCATCTGTTCGCAAACGGGTGAGTGCGCGTACTGTATGCTATCCAAATGCAAAGTCTTGACTGGGTCCTTGTAAATCTTCAAACACGGTACTATTAACAGCCACATGATCCGAATTACTTTCTGATATTATGTTGTGTCTTTCAGTCTTACTGCCTTCCACCACCGTAGCCGAGATGTTCATCGAAACCAGATCCATCAATGCATGCTACCATTCAACAGTCTAGCGTTACCGGTACGGAAACAGCTCTCGTGCTGGCGAGAGACTAATGCTACTCGATTCGATTATTGCAAAGAGTCTTGGTGACTTCCGAGCAGTGCTAGGATTAATAATAGACTGGACTGGACACGGTGAGGAGAATGTGAGGAACTGGGCATGTAACATGTATAAGAGAAAAAGAGGGCCTGGGAAAAGAATTGGGGCATGTTTTCGATATGGTCATGCTTTGGTGTTTTGATCTGTTTTGACCAATGGTAAAGGGAATGATTACAACTCATATCGAGGTAAGCGGGAACATATACTTGAGAGGTAGACGCGCATAGATTTTGAATTGCATAAAGAATTACTGAGGGTTCATGTTGGTCCTGGTGCAGGTCCTGAAAGAGCTTCTTGTTCTTGAAGGGTATGCTCCCACATAACTGGTGGCTGCTTATCATCTGCATAGAAGCACAATTCGCTCACAAACCCTCCACTTGATTGCGAAGAAAGAGGTGGGCAATTTAACGAGAACCAATGAAGACACTACAAATACTTGGTACAGGCTCGATTGAATTTGATGTTAGTCTGCTGATCGAGGTTCCACCCCGCTATGATACAATCGGTTCCCCAGATCCAGCTTGTCTATGCATTCGGTCCACCAGGCGACAAAAGAAAATTCGATTGGGAGAGACTGATCGCTTATTTCTGGCCGAGGGCGGCGGCTCGCTCGTCTTCGATCTTCTGGTAGTATGCGTCACGGTGGCGGACAGCAGGGACGTGGTAGCCTTGAGACATAAGTCAATGAGTTGTCCAGAGGCCCTTGTGGATTTTGCGATGCGGGTCATCCGCTCTTCGCTCACGTACCGTACCACCAGCCATAGCCGGCAGTTACCCCGAGGCCTGCACTTGCTGTTAGCGAAGCTCCATACGGCTCGCAAACAAGCTGCAGAGCTCGATAAAAAGCTCATAGAAGCTTGCGCGAGACCTTATAAAGGTTACGAACCCATAGCAACGGAGAGGTCGAGCACAATGGTGCGGCGGAGCATCTGGATGGCAGAGGTTAGCTTCCAGTCACAGGGGCCGTGGGACGCGCGCGGGCGCTCAATGGCAACACATACGCCGGTGATGGGTTTGACGGCCATGGCGAAGTCGGTTTGTGGTGAGTGGAGAGGGTGGTGGTGCGGGTGCGCGGGTGGTTGAAGCTTGTAAGGACGTAAAGCTGGTTTGACGTGAGGTGCCGTGGGTGGAGTGATTGTACCGCTTGGCGCAGTGGCCCGTGCGCCCAGAACCCGCGCTTTGGAGTTGCGACATCAAAGACAATGACCGTCACTGGCACAAAGTGAAGGCGCCCAAGCCTTCACCCCGCGGTCCGCCTATTCATCATCACCGTCAATATCTACTCCCCTAGCGCAGCAACGTCCGAGATCACAACCTCACGCGACTGTCGCTCACCCGCTACAAACCCTCGTCTGTGCCGCCCACACGACCCAACCTCCCTCTCGCCCCGCCAGCGACACGCTTATGCCCGGAATCATATCGCCCTTGAGTGCCTCAGGTACCGGCACTGTTGCAGGAATGAAGCGACCGTACGAGGAGGTGTCGGTGCCGACGTATGGCGAACCGCACCCGAAGAAGCGCAAGGTTATACATCACCTTCGCCACACGCAGCCCGTCTCGCACTATGTCGAACCGCTCGGCGGAGGGTTTGGCGCAGCAGATGACGAAGAGTTTGTCCATGCGCACCTGCAGCGCGCGATCGCAATACAATGCAAAGGAGTCGGCTTCGACGGTGCAAAGCCAGAGGCCGTAGAGGCAATGGCCGCTAGGGTACACGACTGTATGGCTTCGCCTATACCATTCCTAGCAGCGCATTGCTAGCTTTGTGTTTTGCAGGTCGCTAACATACATAGACATGTCGAACTTCACCGACAACATTCGCAAGTCCATGTCCAGCGCCAGACGTACCGTACCGCTACCTCATGACTTTGTCTACGCCCTCAACTCCGTAGGTCTCACTGGATCGGGAGTTCTTGAACCACATCTCGACACCGGCGACTTGCCAGCCTCCTTATTACAACCAGCTTTTGCGCCTCCAGAACCCGCAGAGCCCCCACCACCAGACCTAGAGGGCATGCTCGGCCCTGAGCTATCCGGAAGAGCAGACAAGGAAAGCAGAAAATACATACCGGCACACTTCCCCGCATTTCCGCCGAAACACACATGGATGGCAACGCCCGTTTACGCCAAGCGCGAAGTTGACCCGCATACGATACGCGAAAGAGCCGCAAAGGAGGGTGTTGAGGCAGAGAAGAGCTTGCGACGGCTTATGGAGAAGAAGAAGGAAGGAGATCGGAAAAAGAACGCCTCACGTGTGCAACCCCAACGAAGCCAGGTTGCAATAAAGCGCGAAGAATTGTGGAGAACATGCTTGAGAGAAGCATTGGAGGAAGAGGAAGAAGACGAGACCCACAAGCTACGCGAAGCGCAACGGAGAGACGCGCAAGGTTATGCGAGCGAGCTCGACATTCAACTTATTGAAGAGGCCAATAAAGCGGCTAAAGAACTTCGCCAAGCCGAGCAGGACGAAGACAAAACAGCCACAGAAGAGGCTAAAAAGGCTGGAGAAACATACACGCCTCCAACTTCGGAAGAACGTAGGGAGAAACGCATGCAGCAGCGTATGGAGCAGCGCGTGACCGTGAATTATGGCCGCCAATTTTGGAGAAAGAATAAGAGGGATCATTGAGGCAGTGGCGCACCAGTGCAAAAGAGCACATCAGATTTCTGAAAGGACATTTGGATATGCCAAGTACATCAACATTCAGCAAGCGCACTGCGAGAAACGTAATGAGCGCCGTGTAGCGAGCGCGGGTGAAACCGCAGCTCAGTGCCTGCTTCAAAACAGCGGGGACATTGTAAAAGTCTTGCGAAGCATTTCTAGCGAGGCGTTTGGGTAACAATATCTGCATTGGCGCAGGTAAGGTTGATGAGCATTCTCATGGCGTTTTGTCCTCGCCCTCTTTCAGTGGGCGGTTGTATTATAGTTTATTGCCGTGTACAAGAGTACACTTTTAGGCCGCACCAGACATTTCGAGCACAAGTCGTGCAATTGATACCTTATCATACAATGGCCAAGCTCTCGACGTGGTATCTTACAGTGCACCAAAGCGTTCGATGTCGTCCGCCTCTGATCTATGGAGCGGTCTCACGATGGAACTTCTCACACCCACCTTTCCACATCTACACCTCCTCTTTGCTCTGCCGTGCATCTAATCCCTCCCACGCCGTAGTCTCCACATGCAGTCCATCTCTACACCTGTACAAAGATCAGCCTCGTGCTCCCCGTAAGTCGCAACGCCAAGCCCATCGTCCCAATCAGGAAACCACGACCACAAGACATAACTCACACTCTGTACATGCGCACCACCGGATCGCAAGTAATAATCGGCTGCGCGCCCTTTACTTTCGCTTTGTGAACATTGCACTTGTACTGCACCATCTCCTTCAACGCACAATCTCGCAGATCGGCAATTGGCGGCTTCCGCGGTTTGCCCTTCGGAAGAGTGTTGATTTCTGTCGGGAGGGAAGAAGCTGGGTAAATGGGGGTGGGCGGTGCCATTCCTTCTCAAAAGGCGAAAGATCGGGAAAGGAGAGAGTTTGTTGATGAAAGGGGAGGGCGGCAGGGATGGCGGATGCAGGTGGGGCGGAGGGACTGGGTGTGAGGTTGCTGGGTGAGGTTGAGGAGTGTGGGTTGGGCGAGGTGAGTACATCATCAATACACAACATCAATCATGCTAAGCAGTAGTAGCTTCTCACCTCCCTAAGAGCACTCATCCTCCCGACTGAACAAAGCAAAACTTTCAATATCCCGGAACTCGACGCCTTGCTACCTACACCACAGCTAGCTCCACCAGTTCAGATACAGCAACACCACCCGCACTCCGACGACGACACATGGAATCCTAACCCGGAACCGACCCGCGAGCCTCACCGAGTGGTAACAGGGAAGAAAAAGGTCCCCACGTCCTCGAACTCATCTCCCCCTCACACCCACCACCCTCCCCTCGGGAAAACCTCCCTCCTGCACCTCATAACCACGCACGCCATCTTGCCCTCCACCCTCTCCACCGTCCCCCTCTCAGGCCTCAACGGCCTAGTCATCCTCCTCGACCCCCTACACCACTTCTCCGTCCCCTTCCTCGCAACAACCGCCCTAGCACATATCACATCCCGCTTCAAAGCCGCCGGCCGCGACGTCAGCGCGTCGACCGTGCAGAAAGAACTAACGCAATGCGTTAAAAACGCTTTAAACCACGTGCATGTTTTCCGGCCTGCGAGCTGGGATGGATTACTGTCTACCCTAAGGAGTCTGGAAGGTTATCTCTTCGACAGTAAAAGGCATGGCTCGAGGCACAGAGCTGTACATTCTATCGTCTTCGACGATGTAGATGCTTTTATCCCCGGCATACGCGGGCTCCCATCTCTACCGGGAGGTGGGAATGCATTAAGCGCCGCGTCTGCACAATTAACCCGCGAGCTGGAGAAGCTTTCTTCCGTGTTATCCTGTGCGGTTATTACGACGAGCCGGTCTACCACGCCGGGGGGCTACCGACCAAGTATGCCGCTGAGCTGGCCGAGTACTATGCAGCTTACGCGATTGGCAGTGAGGCGCGTCGAGGTGCTGAAGTTTGCGCCGGGCATCAGTGTGCAGGAAGCGGAGGTGGAGCGGAACCAGCGCTGGGACGTAGTGCAGAGGGGACGGTTTGAGGCGTGGAGGGTTGGACAGAACCGAGATGGGGAGGGGTTTGTGTTTAGGGTTGGGCGGGGGTGACTATTGAGGAAGAGGAAAGGTGACAAGGGAGGCGGGTATACGGCATGGTCCGAGTCTTCAGAGGAAGGACGAGACGATACCTGCAATATGGCATGGGGCAACGAACATGGCGATGTACGACGATGGATGATATGCTGATATGCTTCGCATTCGAATAATTGGTATGATACAGAAGAAATACACGTCTTCCTTCCCAGCTCCGTAAATGCGTACAATGCAGGTCCTCGTAGCGGCCTCATATCGTACACTTGTGTTCCGAATTCTCTTTATACAATGCCAGAACGCTTGCCCAGCCAACGATGTACATCCTCCTGATCTAGACATCTCATCAATGTCTCCATCCCCACTTTGTAATCTTCAGATGTCGCTCAGTCAATGCCAAATCACGCGTCCCTCCCCAAAGCTCCTTCCTCCTCTCTCTCTCATGCCTAGCCTCCCTCCTCCTCTCCCCCACCTATTCCTCGCCCTCTCATGCTCCCTGCCCACTTTCTCCGCCTTCTCCACATTCTTCGCAACCATCCCCACGAAGAACTGACTGCACCCGAACTTCTCCGCCAGCTTTAGTCGCGTCCACCGCACGGGATCTTCCGCCCGCAAGCGCTGTATCTCCTTGATGTCCACATCCGTAAGATGGTACTTCTTCTCATACGGTTGACGAACCGGTGCAGGCAGACTCGTCGAAGGCTTAGGCGGAAGGGCAGAGGACGCAGAGAGCGGTGTGCCAGGAGACGCGATGGGCGAAGTAGCTGTGCGATGTGCGCGCTGCGTACTCGTTGACAAGAAACTCGCATACAGCGCTCTTCTCCTGTCGTTCTGCGGCAGGAACTTCAGCGGGGTGTGGTAAGCGCTGGGCGCCGACGAAGGCGGATTAAATATAAGGGTCGGTTCCGGGCGATTGGGTGTGTATGAGGGAGCTTGCTGGACGGTGAGCAGCTTCTTGTGTCGGCGCGTGGTGGATTCGTGGCGGCATTGGACGCGAGGGAGGAGAGAGGGCTGCCGTATGCCTGTGCTTATGCGCACGGCGGATTTACATGTCGACATTGTGGGTTGAAGGAGCGGATGGTAATTGCCCAATGGATTGGGATGGTCGCGCGTGAGCGAAGGGATGGAAAGATTTAGTCGGCGCTAGTTGTTCCGACCCGGGCGTGCTGATTGGTCTGTGCTGTTGCCCTTCACCTTCACGTATAATCGACGGCTTTCAAAGATTACCCGATTAGGCAATTTGAACATGGTAGTCCGCATCCTTCCCTGATGAAAAGTACAGAACCAAAATCATGCAGAATGATCCAAAGCGTTGGGCCGCACCCGCTGAAGTTGTCATCACGATATTTTTATACCACATACTACATTCATCAAAATACAATTGTGGGTATAACTTTCATTTATTTGGCCATTGTATTACAGGTACAGCGCGTGTAGACTTGACACTTTGGGCCTCTAGTTACGCTTCAGCTCGCCTGCAACATAGTGCAAGTACGCTCCAAGAAGCTTGGTTCCCTCAATGTAGTTCCGCTTGTCAAGCTTCTCGTTGATTGAGTGTGCGGCATCGGTTGAGCTACCCATGGGCAGCAACAGGACATTCTTGCCCAGCTCCTCCTGGAAGGTGAGGGTGACCGGGATGCTACCTCCTTCCCTGGTCATGTCTGGCTTGACGCCAAATACGCGCTCGACGGCCTTTGCCGCAGCGGTATAGTTGGGGTGGTTCGGGTCCTCAACCCACCACTTTCCGCCGTGTACAATGTGGAACTTGAAAGTGTTCTTTGAGTTGAGCTTCTTGAACTCCTCGTTGACGTGCTTCTCAACGAGCTGTGTGACAGCATCGATCTCCATGTTTGGCACCGTTCGGATAGAGAACTTGCCAATGACCTTGGCCGGAATGACTGTCTTTGCACCAGGAGTGTAGAAAGCACCCTCAATGCCGTGAAGAGAGAGCGAAGGGTAGCGCATTTTGGCCTTGAGCGAATCCTCCTTGTTGTCGTAGATCGAGACCTTGCTGCCCAGCGACTGGTGCAAATCGTCCATGGTGAAAGCGATGGGAGGGTACAGTGCCGCTTCCTCGTCTGTCAGGGGTGCTACAAGGTCTTGGATACCTTCAATGAGGATCTTGCCGTTGGGGTCCACGAGCGAATTCATGATGCGAACCAAGTCGGTCATGGGCTCGTGGGTCAAGCCACCGTAAACACCGGAGTGGAGATCCTGTCCGGGTCCTGAAATCTCGAGTGCGTAGTAGTTGCAGCCGCGGACACCGTAGGTCAGGCATGGCTTCTCGGTGCCTAACCAGTAATTGTCCGAGATGCACACGACATCGGTGTCCTTGAAAAATTTCTTGGCTTCTGCGCGGATAGTGTCGTCCAGGCCCTCTGAGCCATTCTCCTCCATACCCTCAAAGCACATGATCAGGTTGACCGGAAGCTCGACGCCTGCCTTCTGGTGTGCCTCGATCGCGTTGAGCCAGCCCAGAACAGGACCCTTGTCGTCGGTGGAACCACGTCCATACATGCGGTCCTTCTCGTCGATGCTCAGCGTGAACGGGTCGGTCGACCATCCGTCTGACACTTGCGCGGGCTGTACATCGTAGTGGCCGTAGATGAGGACGTTAGGCTTCTTGGGGTCCTCGCCGTAGCGACCTAGCAGGCAGGGAGGGAGATCGAGGTGCTCACGGCCGGGCTGCTTGCCGAGTTCGCGAAGCTCAACGGTGCCACCGAGGGCCTTGATCTGGTCTGCGAGCCAATGGCCCATCTACCAGGCATGTCAGCATAGATCGTGCAACACTAGAGCATACGCACCTTGACAACGTCTGGCCTCCTCTCATCTTCAGAGCTGATACTAGGGATAGCCACAGCCTCCCTCAGCCTCTCGATGAACTTGCCTTGAAGGCTATCTACCTGCTTGAAGAAAGGGTCTAGGTGCGCCATCTTGTCGAAAGCTTTGTACAGGTAAGGCCAAACAGGCTTGTCAGATCGTGTGATTGAGGTGGAAGAGAATGCGCGAGAAGGTGGCAGGCGAAGTGCGGTTACCTGCGGTGCCTGCGGTAGAGAGCGCACACGACGTAGAGCGAATAGGGAAGGTGGAGGTGAATTGGGTGCTCGATATAGGAAGGTGCGAAAGAGGGGCACAACCGCGGTGCCAGAGCGGGGCATTTTTGTGGCACACGCGCGTGGCAGTGGCAGAGGGACGAACGAACGTCACCCGCGCAGCCGTTTGACAGATCTTCGCACGATGGCCCAAGCTCCTATAGAACACTACGTTCGCGCCAGCAACGTTACTATTTCCGTGCTCATAGTCGATGCTAAGTTCAAGAATGGAATAGTTTCAATAATTCATATACATACTTCTTGTCAAATGTGGTAGAAGCTACTTGCTGCTCCTACACGCATGAGCATCGTATCCACCTTTTCTCTTCAGCAAATTGTGTCTTCGATAATTGGCTCTGTGGCCGGAAATCAATATTATATTTACGGGTGTTTCAGAATTTGATTTCTATTTTTAGGAAGTCAACTTCCTACGGGGACTATGCTCTGAGCTGATCTTCTTCTATGTCTGGTTCGTGACTGATACTTTCGATGCCTGGACCGTTAGAACTCACCAGAGGACGCACGAACTTGACTCAATCGAGGTCATAGAGCGCATAAGGACATGAAAATGCAGAAATCAGTATGCATGTAAGCCGAACGATCCTTTATAGCTACAGTAAATGTCCTCTTATTATACTGAACTTTCCGTGGACATGCCTCATATTTCCATGCTGATAGATGACACATGATCGATGCGTGGAAATGCAGCTGCTCAAAATGTGGTCTAGTAATACACTGGGTATGAACGCATTGAATGCTTCAAAAATATCGTAAAGAAAATTAACCCCCTAATGCGGAGGTCCAAGAAGACACCGAAACAACAGCCCACCACCACCTGAAACATACTATCATCGCGTCTGAGTTGGACTGAGAGGTTCGTCGCGAGGGAATGGTGCTTGCTCGTGAGGCAATCTTGGTGCATCGTCGAGCTCGTCACCTGTGCCGTCAGTCCCGAAATTCGGTGCAACAAATAGCGGCATATCGGCTGGGGTCTGAGCAGCTGTGTCTTCCTTGTTTTCGGGTCTTGCAAGGGCGAAATAGCCGTGAGATGGTTTGGGTGGATTGGCCAGGTCTTTCGTGATGCCCTTGTTTGAGTCTTCCGGTGCACCCGAAGAACTCGCGACATCTTTTGCGTCCGTTCCGCCCATAGCTGGTCCGCTTGAGCTCACAAGAGACGGATCAGATGTCTTTGCCTTGGAAGGGTGGTTTGATGGAGGGCCTAAGTCGACGGAGTGTTCTGGCAGCTTTCTGAGTGGTGCCTTCGGATGATTGGGACTTTTCAAATGTTCGAATTCGATGAGCGAGGACCGTCGTAGCTGCTCGAGCTTCTCTTCTGGATTCTTTAACGCGAAGTCGAGTCAGCTCATATGCGAAATCTTAAACAATGATATGCGCGCTCAATGCAGGAATTCAATGCAATGCTGTAGCAAAACTGGAAGCAACAGAGGCGGAAGATGGAGGTGGCTCAAAACCAGGAGTGTGTGAATGGGCGTCGAGAAGCTTTGGGTCAGTCAAAGACACGAGGGGCGCTCCATGAGAGCTCACACCAATCCTAGGGTGGGGCTTGGGTGGAGCGGGCGATGACGTCGTGTTGAGCAATAATTTTTCTGACGCGATTGAAGTGGGCTGCGTTTTCGGAATCTTTCTTTGTTTCTTGGCCGGCTGAATCGTAATCGGCCGAGTTTCAATGGACTGGGTAGTAACGAGTCGAAGAGGAGGCGCGGCCTTCTCGACAGGAACGGGCGATGCAGGCAACTCGCGAGAACGACGAAAATCTGAAGCGCTGACAGAGAAAAATCCACATTGGGGACATACCCAGTCTTGTTGATCTGGAACACCCTCCGCTTGAGGTAGCTCCCCTTGCTCGTCCCTCTCTTCGCCCCAAAACGTGGGTCGCGCAACAGGCGCCGGGGTGACTGGCAGACTCGGTCGTTCGACTGCGGAAGGGAAATCGGTGAGTATGAGACTCTCGCGGCGCTGTTTGCGGCTCATGATGGGCAATGAGACCTCTTCAGCTGCTGGACTCAGGACTTTCGGTTTCCCTCGTTGGGATTGCGACTCCATGACTGCTCGTACGTATGTTTCGATCCCGGGCACGCTGTCCCATGCATTAGTATTGCTCTGCTGGAAGTCCTGCCACTGTTGGTCAGCAGTCTTCGGAGAAGAAACGCGTTCAGGGCTCTGATGCCCAGGCGCTACTACTTCTTCAGACATGGTCTCTTCCTCATCGTAATGCACAGTAGAAAACGGATGTGCCCCTGGGGGTCCAAAAGCCGAAGATGGACTTAACGTAATCGTGGGCGTAGGCGGCGTTGGCTCGGGAGGTGGAAGGTCTTCGGCAAATACACGTGTCGGCTTGGGACGGTCACGCTCGCGCTCCCACGGAAAGATTGGTTTCGGTGGCTCGGTAGGCTTGGGTTTGTCTTCTGGTACCTGATACCACATGTCTTTGGGAGGCTCGGGGTAGACTTGGGGTGCCTTGAAGAACTCGTGACTGTCGCTGAACGTGTACTGCGCGGTTGGGAAATTCGCGGCTTCTGGTTTGGATTCGGATGGCGGTTCGAATCTAGATGCATTAGAGCATACACATGGGTGTGACCAAGGTGATATGTGATAGTATACTCACCGAGTAGCGTCCCATTCCATCTCCGGTGCCGAGAACTGGCGCTGTTGCGAAGTTGGAGTCGGCTCTGTAAAACCTTGGTCAATATTTTCCGAGGCTTCTCCGGGTTCAGTGAGGGGCATCTCAGTGCTTGTGCCAGGGGCTTCGGGCTCAACTACAGACTGGGATATGGAAGCACTGTGCTGGGTCGGTGCGTCACCGGATACGACACTCTCACCATGCACATTCTGATGAGCTACCGTTGAAGAACGATGCTCTGCTTCCTTACCTGAACCAGATGTAGGGGCAACCGAAGTTTGCTTGAGATGCCTATCATGAACGGCCCACCAACGAGCCAGTAGCTCGTTGTAGACGCCGTACCCGCCAGGGCCATTGCGCCCAGCCTTCCACGGCTTGTCTTTGCCAATGAAGTGAACAGCACTAATATCGCGTTTGTAGTATCGGTATGCGGGCTCCCATTGGTATTGAGCATTCGGGGTCGTGTTGTAAGTAAACCTTAAGCGATGCCAATTGCGGTGTTCAAAGTATTGGTTTAGCAGACCCTGATCAGCGCCGTCGAAGCTGTCGCCGGTGGAGGCCATGGTCTGCAACGCCCAGTACTCGCCCATGTCAGGAGTGAGGACCATTACACCGGTGTTGAAAGCATCCGGCCAGCCAACATCTGGTGCAGCGGCAAAGGTTGCGTCGATGTCGAAAAGCTCGTCCAAAGCGCGTAATACGACCACGTCCGCATCCAAGTATACAATCTTGCGAAAGCGTGTTTGTCGCCATAATGCAATCTTGGTGAAGGCGTAGAGGAGGTCCGGGCGGCCCATCAAATACAAGTTGGCGGGATTAGGGTTGCGTATACGGTCGACGGGGATCACATAGTCGTATAGCGCCTTTAGCTTGGTTATGGTATCGGCCGACAGCGTGTCGAGCGTAACGAGAACGGCCAGCTTCTTCTTGGTGCCAGCATCGTGTAAAGAATGTGCAAGAACTGCGGCTCCTTTTCAAAATGTTAGCCATGCTCCATCCTTCACCGATGTTACGATAGTCGTGGCTGGTACATGACAGACTCGGGAGGGTGATGGTGTACAAGGATATGGTAAATGGAGGAGGCATACCAGGCAGATAGGAGTCGCTCATAAGGAGCTGCAAGGCGGTTAGCTCGCGTGCTTTGTGCGACATGCGCAGACTTACCGTGCAGTAGACATCCTCCAAAGGTCTTGCCATATTGAGGGCAAGACAATGAGGGACAAGCTGTAAAGCTCAATTACTGAGAGGGTCAATTGAGGGGCACAAGACTGGCAGGTAACGAGGCGGCAAAGTTGGAGGGCGCGTGGTAGCTTTCCCCGCAGCGACGACGTACGATCGGCGCGACTTTGCGGACGCACCTATACCGAGTCCGCAACTAAACAGCGTGCAGGAGCGTGTATCGCTTAAGCAAATTTCATAGTCACAGCACCAGAAGCTGTAGGCGATGAAGAGAGATGCTCCAATAGCTCAATTGATGGTCAACTCTAACAAGTTGGGCTGTCGAGAGGCAAATGAGTGCTTCTCGATGTTTTCCTGCATCATCTCGAACGGGGTGGGCCGGGCGCACGAGCTGGAGCTTGGGCCCGCAGGAGCGACCGCGATGCCTAATGTGGCAGTAGCGTCCCTGAAACGGGTAAGGTGCGCGCCGTTCGACCCGCAGTGCTTGCGCTTTGCGTCATCTTCGGTTCATGCACAACTCAACTCCACAGTTGTCTCGCTCACATCGAGCGTCAACATGAGTGAATGAACCACAATTCCATGCCGCCCCATACTTCTATGATCGGTGACAAGGTCGACAGTGCACACTTTGGAACATGAATAATGGGACATTGCCGTTCCCGCTTGCAACAGTGCACAGCGGCAGGTTATCGTGCCTTTGTCAGCGTCCAATTTCCAAGGCTTTGGGTGCACTCAATGGCGCTTATGCAGTATCTGGATGCGTACATATACAATATCGTCTTCGGAAAATTTCAGGCCGGAGACAGCCAACCTTACGAGTTCAGAGAGGTACACAATTTGACTAATCCGTTTTGCACAACAACTGTATTGCTCGATTGAATTGAGTAGCAAACCATTTCTTACCGTCAGAGCTTACGTGCTTCCGTCGCCGACGCTGTGTGCTCAAGCGACGATACATTCACTCGTGCTGCCGACCCGAGAACGCCATTGGTTGACATCACATGCGCCTTGCCTCTTTGGACAAGCGAAGAGCTAACCCCAACCCTGACATCTATGACACCATGCATTCCACTACCGTAGGCTAACCGTCCCAGGCACCGTTTGTTTGCAATTGGCCTTTACACAACAGTAACTGTCGCATGTTATGCTTCTCTCATCACTCTCAATTCCATTGCTTGACTTCGCGGCTTTCGTAGCAGAATGTCAAAGCCACGAGTGATCTATTGGTTCCGGACTGACCTACGGCTTCACGACTCACCAGCCCTCAAAGCAGCTTTGGATCTTAAGCCGGAATGTCTCTATCCTATCTGGACATGGGATCCCCACTACGTGTACCACGCTCGTGTTGGGCCAAATCGATGGCAATTTCTCTTGGACTGCCAAAAGGACCTTTCTAAATCAATCACCAAACTCAACCCCCAGTCAAAGTTGTTCCTCATCCGCGAAGCCCCTCAAACGCTGTTCCCTAAGCTTTTCGAGGAATGGAAAATTACGCATGTGGTGTTTGAAAAAGATACAGATGCTTACGGACGGGACAGGGACGACAAAGTGAAAGAGCTAGCAAAGAAAGCCGGTGTCGAGGTCATCACCAGGCCTGGACGCACCCTGTACGACTCGGATGAGCTGGTCAAAGCGAACAACAACAAACCCACCATGAGTATAAGCCAGGTCCAACACGCAGGGGCGAAGATCGGAGACATTGCACAACCAATACCCGCCCCAACGTCGCTTCCAGATCCAGGATCCACAACTCTCAGCTTCAACCAGCAAAAGCCGGCTAGTGACCCGGATATCAATGCAATCCAGCGCGATGCGGAAGAGAAGTCTTACAACGCCCTTGCAGGCCCGAATGGTGACTTCGCTGTTCCCACAATGGAAGAGCTCGGCCTCAAACCCGCCACAACACCACATCGTGGCGGTGAGACAATAGGCCTGAAGATGCTCGACGAAATCATCGCGAATGAAGACTATACTGCCACATTCGAGAAGCCAAAAACCGCACCTACAGCCTTCGAACCCCAAGCAACGACTCTCCTCTCCCCTCATATGCATTTCGGGTCTGTCAGTTGCCGCGAGTTCTACTGGCGTGTCCAAGACGTGGTTTCCGAATACAAAGGCAAAGCCTCACAACCGCCAACCAGTCTCACGGGCCAGCTTCTCTTCCGCGACATGTACTTCGGTGCCCAGGCCGCACTTGGTTACACCTTCGGCCAAACCTACAACAATCCGCAGTGCCGCTTCATCCCGTGGCATCTTCCCTCAGAAATCGACACCAAGTCTGGTCTCATAACGGGGAAATACCTCGTGGATAACGCAGAAGCAGAGGTCTTCTTCAAGCGCTGGAAAGAAGGCCGCACAGGGTTCCCGTGGATCGACGCGCTGATGAGGCAGCTCAGGTACGAGGGCTGGATACACCACTTGGGGCGACATGCTGTGGCGTGTTTTCTCACGCGTGGCGGGTGCTACGTTGACTGGGAACGCGGCGCAGAAGTCTTCGAAGAATGGTTGATTGACCACGAGGCTGCGTGCAATATCGGCAACTGGCAATGGCTTGCTTGCACGGCTTTCTTCGCGCAGTTCTACAGATGCTACAGCCCTATCGCGTTTCCGCAGAAATGGGACAAGGAAGGTAATTTCGTCAGGAAGTACGTCCCAGAGCTGGAGCACTTCGATAAGAAGTACATCTACGAGCCGTGGAAAGCGCCCATTGTAGACCAGAAGAAGTGGGGTTGCCTAATCAAGGGAGATGGGACTAAGACCGGGGACGTGGAGTTGAAAATGTATCCAAAGCCGATGCTGGACTTCCCGAAGCAGAGAGAGATTTGTATACAGGGTATGAAGAATGCGTACCATATCGGGCTTTATGGAAATAACTCGAAGGTGTTGGATGGGACTTGGAGGAAGTTGTTCGATGATAGCGCGGAAGGGCCGACGGAGGGGACAGAAGGGCCTCCGGGAGCTATGGTGGAGCATGAGGCTGACAATGCGGATGCTGATGGCGCGGACGATGGGGAACATGCAGCTCCCCCTAGCCCGAAAAGTGAAAAGAAGACTCCCAAGAAGACGACTGAAAAAGGCAAGGGCGGACACAAGAGAGAAGCCAGCCAGTGTACGCTCGACGGCATGATCACTCGCAAAAAGAAGAAAGACTAGAGAGGTCAAGAGGGAGGTATTTCACGACCACTGGATTCTTCTCAGTACTTAGATTCTGGGTAAGAATTGGCTGCATAGAGGATTCTCGATGATCCCGCGCGGGTATTTGCCATGCTCGCCGATACATCGTAAATGAAGTCACGAATCAGCCCCCCTGTTCGCATCTCCCGCTCTAACGACCACAATATACGGCAATGTCGCCCACAGCAATGGGCAAGTGGGGCCTTACTGATAAACCTAGACGTCGACCTTATATCCCATTCCATCGACGTTACCACTCTCTTCCGCCATCGTGTCGACCAAGCCACCCACTCCGCTCAGTCACAATGCGCCTCCCCACCACCCTCCTCCTCTGCACCGCCAGCGCCGCCCTCTCCCTCCAAGACCCCGTCCCCACCCCCCATCACAAACATCTCCTACTGGGGCTCCGCCTGCCCAGACAACGGCCTCTCTTTCGCCCTCAACGCCGCAAACACATCCTCCCCGACCCTCCCGCTCGTCTTCACGCTCTCCAACTTCCTCCCCAACTACGGCTCCTTCGGCTCCTCGCTGCGCATGTGCAACGCCGTAGCTTTCGTCTCGGTTGAAAAAGGGTGGAAAGTGAAAATCAATAGCAAGGGCACGACGGCGGCGGGGACGCGCAGTTGCCTGGGAACTCGACGTTGTTTTTAGGGGACGTGGGCTTTTGCGGAGAGTGCGGGGACGCAGGTACGTTGTGTTGAACTGGAGGGCAGGGTGGATTGTATAGGCGGGTGGCTAATTGATGTGGTGGTGTAGAGCGTCGGCATGTTCGATACGCCGGGGCCGCTGTCGGGGCCGTTTTCGCATCTTCTACGCCGGTGGAGGGCGATCTGGGGATTGAGTCGGGGTGTGAGGGGGAGAGCAGGAGTTGGATGTTGAGTTTCAGGCGAGGGCCGTCAATGATACGTACGGGGGTATGAGGGGGGTGGGGAGGGAGGGGATGCGATGTGGACGTTGACGACAGATGTGGAGGTTGTTAAGTGTTAGCTACGTTATTGACTTCGTAGTATCCTTCCCATTTAGGTCCTTCGGCGCGCTGTACAGGGCCTTGATAACACAATAGACGGACGTGAATTCGCTCGATTAGAAAGTACAGCCGCACCCATGCCTACCTATATCTTGACCACCCCTTTCAAAAGCTCCTCATCGTCCTCCCCCTCGCCAACGTCCCCAACGCTCTACCCCATCTCCCCAACACCCTCCACTCCTCCCCACCTCAACGTCTACTCTCACCCCTATCCTCCCCTCCTCCTCCTCCTCCTCCTCCTCTTTCCCCTTCCCCCTTCCCCTCATAAACCCCTCCCCAACACCTCCCCCTCCCTTCCAGTCTCTCAACGTCATCCACAAAAACATCCCATTTCACGCCCATACAGCGTAACTCCGTCCTCACTTTCTCCCTCGACGCAAGTCTATCTCTTGTAATCCAATCTTCTTCATCATCACCATCGGCGGCCTGAGGGGGAAAGGAAAAAGGGAGGTGTAAGCGCTGCGTCAGACCGCGGGAGATGAGCAGGCGGTATGTGGAGCTGTGCTCTTGTCGTTGGGGGAAGCGTGCTGTGCCTGGAGGAATAAGGTAAGGTGCGCCGTTGGGAGTGGTGTGTATCTCGTGACTGAAGGGGGCATGGGGGTGTATGGTGGTAGAAGCGCAAGGAGCTGCGTGGTACACTGCGGTACAGTGCGGAAGGCGTGACGATTCGATGCGGTGCTAAGCTTGCGTGGCGGAAAGTTGCGATGCGATGCGATGCGAAGCGTAGAGATCCAAAGGCCAAGAAGCCCGACTTTATGCTTCGAAGTCTGTTGTTTGATCTGTCTGAGCAGTGAATGCTTGTCTCGATGAAGTGGCGTTCATACTCCATAGCTCGAGGTGCCGACGGCTCGCATGATTGTTCAAACGGGTGAGCATGGAAGCGGCTGTCACTGCACACGATCTCCACCCCCGTTTGATCGTCAAGGCATTCACAGACATTGCATGAACCAAGAGTATGGTGCGAACTTTTGATCATTCAATCCCCTATTCACATTCCCTTTCCTTCACTACACTACACGACCCTTCACCCCCTCAACTGTTGGCTCCCTAGAAACGCACCCATACAAAGACATAGCATAAAAACGTCGCAAGCATATGCACACCCCGCGCGTCATCCCCACTCGCTCGCGGGCGGCCAAATATACACAACAAAGAATCCAACAAAAGCCTTGTGCAAGACCGGGGTATGAAGCAGCCATGCAGGCTTGGGTATGAGACACGTACAAATGCCCAGTCTAGCGTGCCGAAGAAGCTATCAGAAGAGAACAAGAAGGGTAGAGTAGACAGAGACATGGCGGGAGCAGACAAAACACATTAGCGCGACCGCGCGGTCGTATTAAGGAGAGTATGTACCGTGTAAGCAGGTAACGCTGTGGGTGCGACGAGTCGCTATAGCAGCGCGATGGACGCGCTGTCCATCGCGCTGTTGGGCGTGAGAGTGAATCTCGCCCGGGTATATAACGTGGAAATTCCACGTAGACAAATGCTGGGTGCTAGTTCGCTATGCACATGCACGCTTGTCGTGAGGCAAATATGGTGCTGGAATGACAGTGAAGAAGGTCAACAGCACACGGTATCATCACACGTTCTCGGTGAAGCGCGACCCCCGTGAGATGGTCGAGCCGTCTCGCGAGGGGTGGCTCCTTCCGAGCGAACCTCGTGGGGGAAAGTCGGGGTTGGGCGTGGCCGGTGGGCTCAGCGTGTTTCCGCCATTGCGGGGTGGTGCACCCCATACAGGCGTATCATCGGGGTGGTGGATGACTGGTGTTTGAGCGGGGCTTGGTCTCACTCGCGCTTCGGTGCCCATCGCACCTGTATTCGACGTTTCTCCAATTTCTTTTGCAAAACTCGAATCCCCAAAGTCCTTTGATACGACGCCTGGACCGCCGTACCAGCCTTTGTCGTCATGGTAGAACGACGAGCCAGATAGCGTGCCCTCTCCACGACCCGCGGCGAATTGCTCAGAAGTCATACCCTCGCTGAAGGCGGAAGGCAGTTTACGTCCCGAGATACGTTGGAAGCTCTTCTCACCCGTACCGCTACTCTCGGCTGTTGATCTAGATGCCCCAGAGAAGCGATTGAGGAAGGATGGGGGTACAAAGCTTGTGCGTGCTGCGTTTTGTGTCATGGGTTGGCTGATTTCCCTATCCGTGTGGTCATCTCCAGTGAGTTGGAGGGCGCCGCCATTCTGCTTCCGCTTGTGGCGCTTGATGAGGAACAGCATCAACCATAGAAGCAAAGCGACGCCAGCCAGACTACCAACAACAGTTCCGACGACCTGGGGTGTCTCTAGCGGACCACTTGATCCATCATTGGTGGTCGGCGCCGTCGTGCCCGTAGGAGATGCAGCGCCCGTAGTCGCAGGGTCGAAAAAGCCACCAGCGCCGCCTCCTATTGCGGTGCTGGAAGCAACATAGCTCAAGCTAGTGGTTTGGGCAGATGTGGCGCTAGATGTGATGGAAGAGTCAGTTGATGAGAGCGAGGTCGAGTGTGATGAAGACGACGAAGATGATGTCGAAGAGGACTGTGATGATGTCGAATTGAATGACAATGATGCAGATGACGAGGCTGTGCTGGAGGACGCGCTAGATGTTGTGGAATTGTATCCAGATACAGTCGAAAAGACACTCGAGAGAGCACTCGAGAGAGTGGCAGCAGGTGTCGACTCGGGAGACTCGAGAGTTGTGGATTGTGCGGTGGTCTCGGCGGCTGCCGCTGTGGGTACGCCTGATGGCCACGGGTAGGCTGGAACGGATGGAACATTCAAGTCGGTAGGAAACGGAGGGACCGAGGGGACTGAAGGTAGAACGGCTGCAGCTGTGGCTACTGAAGGTTCGACGGCGGCTGCTGTGGCTACTGAAGGGTCAACGGCTGCGGCTGTAGATACTGATGGCACAACTGCTGTCGGCGCAGCGTCCACACCAGGCGTTGTAGTTGCTTGCCCGACCACATTTCCGGCGGAATCGAGCGTGGCAACCACTTCCACATTTACGGTCTTGACATTGGGCGTGACCTGCGCCGAGCGACGGTGGAACAGGCGATGGGCCTTGCCCATGACGGCGCGTCCTTTCTGCTCGCGGATCAAAAGTGGCTCCCCAACGTCGTGCGAAGATTCCTCCTCTTCCTCCACTTGCACCTGCGCGGGTTCCTTTTTCACAACGTCCTGGGCTTGGTGGCGATAGCGCGAATCGATCCTAATAATTCTAGTCGGTAACGGCCCCGTATCCATACGATATGGGAGCACTCAACGCTACTGGGGCGCGAGTGCGTCTCCGGGTTCTTGGGTGGCGAATGGTATACTGTCGCAAAGCATATAGTGAGCGTATCGAGTTGGTCGCGGTGGTAGTAGCATGCAAAGGAGCGGACGTTGAGACTTGGCTCTGATCAAGGTCCAGTCAATGGATACTGTTGGTGTTGTGGCTGTGTGAGTGAGGGTTGGGAATGAGTGGACGCCAGGGGACTGGCAGGTGAAGGAGTGGCCTGGTGACGGTCAGCGATCTGCACTCCAATGGTAGCTCGCGTGGAGTCGCAGGTACAGCAACTGAAGCGACTTTGGGGCTTGCAGAAATTTACCTGGACGTTCAACGGACCAGCATTCGCTCTTGAAACCCGTTTGTCGAGGCGGCAAGTTTTGGCGGTTCCGAGTGTGGGCGCTGAGCGTTTATGGCAACCGGTTGGGGGTGCTGTCGTGCAATGGTAGCGTCGTCCAACGGTCGGAAGCACAGCGTGGATGTCGGGCAACGGGGGGTCTTGTCGCGGGAGGGCGCGTGGCGGGCTCTGTTGCAGTCCTGCTGTCGCACACCGTTCCCTTGCGGGCAGGCGATTCAATTGTCGACGTCGCAGCGGAGGTCTGGTGGAGAGGAGCCGGGCACGGGAGCACACAGGTAGAAGATGGAGCGTCGAGCGGCTGGCCCACGGTTGGGGGGTGGGCAGGCGCCGACGAATCAGGAGCTTGAACCCTTGCAGCAAATTTCGATGGCGGTGGTGAGCGCGGGCCAGCAAGCCTCACGAGATTGCGAGATGACGAACGCCGGACGGGGAAAATAGCAGACGCGGTATAGCAGCAGCACGCATGCAGGGTTAAGACTGTGACGGAAGGTGACGGTCGTGTGAGGCTCTCCCCAGCACTGCGCCCTGACTCCGACTCTGTGACGACTGCACGATGGGATGGATCCAGACGGCGTGCAGGTGTAGATAATGTCGTTCTTCTCGTCCCGCCGCTGCAGGGCCCGCGACGGACTCGACGCCAAAGAGGTCCTGATGACCGGAGTCGTCGCCGGCCTCGCAGCTTTGTCGATGGCGCCCCCAAAATAGCGACCCCGTGTGCGCCGCTGATTGACTCGCCCGCAGCGCTCAATTTACAGCGTCGCTCGCCGTGGCACATTCAATAACCCAAGCGTCCGCAACTGCTTAGGCGGCGCAGGGATCGGGCCTGCACGCGGCGGGCCATGTCGCTCACGTGTCTCCACTGTTTGGCGGTCCAGATGCTCCATTGGCCCACCGCCGTTTCGTGAATCGATACTTGACTTGTTCCTCGTTGCATCAGCGCCGATGGTCTCTGCTAGTCAGGAACGCTCTCGCAGCCCGGGTGCCTGTGCGCAGTGGGCATCGGTTCCAACATTCGCCGCGCCGGCTGGAGGGGTAACGCCTCCAGCACTGTCAGCGCCGCGCGGGGCAGTAGAAACCGCCTGTTTGTAGCATCGTGAGTGTAAACACGGCTTCGTTCGTTGTGTATACAGCGTGCTGCCTGGCTACACCCACCATTGGTTGCTCTTTCCCCCACATATCACAGCACACTCAACGCTGATCGTGCCTTCCCACGTCATAGCTCGCATACCTGTTTCGCCCGCAGCCAAGACAGCTCCCCCCCCGCCGACTCTGATGTCTCTGTTCTTCAACCATTCCAAGCATGCGCAGTGATATTTGACTCAGTTTGCATATTCACAACACTGGCCATGGCGTCGCCCTCGCAGTCGCCACCTCCGCCGTACTCCCTGGAGGCTGAGGGTGGCAGTGCATCATTACCACCACCGCTGCCACCACGCAACAACTCCCAGAGGCCTGCTGCGGACCCTCATACAGACTCTTCGTTCGCAGCCATGGCTTCTCATGACCCACGCTCGTCGTCGCAGCAGTCGCTGGGCGCGCAGATTGATGATGACAGAGCAGGCAGACGCCGCCTCATGCTTGTGTACATCCACGGCTTTATGGGCGATGAGACTAGCTTCCGAAACTTCCCCGCTCATGTTCACAATCTCGTCTCCGTCACACTGGCCGAGTCTCATGTAGTCCATACCAAACTCTACCCGAAGTACCGTTCGCGATATGCGCTTGAGGTTGCTAGAGATGACTTTTCCAAATGGTATACACGGTTGTGGCTCCTTGTCAAGCTTACGGTATACTAACTCATACCAGGCTGAGTCCACATGAAGACAGATGGACGGATGTGATACTCCTTGCACACTCTATGGGCGGTCTTGTGGCGGCCGACGTTGCTCTACTATGTCGGCACCGAATAATAGGCGTAATCAATTTTGACGTCCCTTTCCTAGGTATGCACCCTGGCATCATCAAAGCTGGGCTCGGAAGTATCTTCAAGCCGTGGCCAGAACCGCAGGATCAGACCGTTGAAGAACCCGACCCGACTGGAAAGAAACTCAGCCGTTTTAATACCCTGTTCAACCCTAAACCGAATGACCCCAACTTCAATGCACCTTTCCCCAATGACGTACATCTTCCGGTGCGGAAAGGATGGGAAAACACATTGCACTGGCTGAACAAGCACTCCAACGGCGTGGTTCAGGCAGGGAAAAGCTTGGTTCGGTCGCATCTAGAGTTTGGCTCCGCTATGGCCGATTATCCTACCCTTAAAGCGCGATACATGAAAATTCGGTCCCTGGAAGAAGAGAACGAAAAGGAAAGGATTGCTGCCATGCATGAGATGGCGCATCCGCCACGAATACGATTCGTCAATTACTACACCACAAGCACGGGAAGGCCCAAGAAGCCAAAATCACCAAAGTCGCCTTCGCCATCGCAATCACGGTCCCTCAGTAGAACTTCGCAACATCCAGCAGACAGTACTACAGCACTTGCGTCGTCAGGCGCGCAGCTCCAAATAGATGGCCACGGTTCCGAAGCATCTACAGTCAGCCCCAGGATCTCGATCGAACGCCCCCCGGAAGACGATGTCTTAGATTTTGTACCGCCAACACCAATAGACGAAGTCGATCCAGAGCCGGAAGTCGTTCCACAGCCGTCACTTGATCCGCAGCCATCAGTCGACGCTGAATCTGCAGAACCTGCAGAATCTGCATCTGGACCACAGCTTCCAGATATTCCGCCGATACCCCAGGAGCCCCCATTCGTTGATTTGGCGCAGTTCACGGATAAAAGTCAAAGGAAGGCTGCCGAGAAGGAACATGACCAAGCCCTCAAAGAGTACCAACGGGCCGTCAAGGGACGTAACAAAGTCATCAACGAGCGGGACAAAATTCAGGAGAGGTGGGAAAAGCAGATGAAAAAGGATCAGCAGTCAAAAGAGAAGCAAGCGCAGAAGGACCAGCAGTCAAAGGAGAAGCAAGCGCAAAAGGACCAGCAGGCTGAAACGAAGCAAACGGAAACACATATGCAGCGAGAGGAGAAGCGGCTGCAGCAAGAGGCGAAGCGTATGCAGCAAGAGGAGGACCGAATGCAGGGATGTCTCCCAATCGAGGAACGAACAAAGGGCAAGGAGAAAGCTGACAGCGAACAACACACCGAACTCATCCACGAAGATGTTGGAGCCGTGCAATTGGGCGGTGACAACGCACCGCGCAGCTCAACGGATAATGGGCCTTATGGGAACTATGACTTTTCTCGAAGCGCTATCATGAACCAAGCTGAGCCAGATGACCAAGCCTCCTATACGACGGCCTCGAATCCTCCCTCATCATACAACGAATCTACGTATTCACTCACGACCACAGACAGTAACGTCCAAGCTCCTGCTTCTGAAAAGCCACCAAAGGTGAGGCGCTTGAAGAAGTTCTGCATGCTTCCGCCAGAGGATAGTAAAGGGAATAAAGACCCAACATGGGTGCGCATATTCATGGAGGGCATCGACGAAGTCACTGCGCATACAACGTTGTTCTTCGTGAATGACACATATGAGCGTTTAGTCGGGGATGTCGGCGCACGAATCGAAGAGTGGGTGTCCGAAGCCGACAGTTTGCGGCTCGCGCGAGAATTGGAGAGCTTATGAGGGTAAAGACCCTACACACAGAATGCTATCGTGGACTCTCATCACAACGTGGCGATCTCGGAGTATCTACCTGCTTGCCTGGCCACAGTTCATTAATTGGAGACACAATCTACACGATGATCATCTGCTTCACACACCGCACCGTGGCATTGCCATGTCATTGATATCAGTTCATTTCGACAGCATACAACTCCCTACTGCATTAGAAGAAAGATAGCAAACCCGCCGCGATCCAAGCGGCCGTAATACCACCTAACAGCTGCACCACCTCCTCACTGCCTGCAATGGCCTCGTTGAACTTACCCATGAGCGGGATTTTGATTTGATCCTTCTCGTTCCAGAACGTCTTCATATGAAGCCTCGCCAAAGCGCTCACTGCCATACAGATGATGGACAGAACGACATGCGTCGTGATTCCAAACTTTGTGAGCAGCAACAGCAGAGAACACAGCGTGGAAAGGACCAGCTAGATCAATTAGCGTTGCTCCATTCCACCGGTCCGAACTGAATTGAAGGTAAAGGACATACAGCGATCGTTCCGCTAGTCTGCGTGGCCCGCGTCTTGTGCAATCGCGCCGCGACAGCGTTCGACCATTTTGACAGCTTCTGCGCCTGCTCTTCGTACTCCTGGAGCCGCGTGATGTTCTGGTAGGCCATGTAGAGACCGTACGAGGACAGGGCGGTCACGAAGCATAGCGGGATGAGGGGCGAGGTGTTGTATTCGGGAGTTACATCGAGCCAGTGGACCATCTTTGCAGTGTGAGTTTTTTGAAATTCGGACAGTGAAAGAATGAGGGTTTAAAAGTGTCTGGGAATGGAGGTGCAGAAGGGTGGACGCCCAGAACGTCATGTTTCGCCAGGGTCTGGTCTCTGCGAAAATCTGCCCCTCGGCTCGCGTAGTAGTGCAGGGGTCGTTCGTCGACCTAACCCCTCCGCTCCGTACCTTTTCCTAGATACAACTCGACTGCCACTGGTCTTTGCACACGCGACCTGCAATATGGCAGATTCGACAAAACCCGAACATCTCAATACTTCCGCCCTGGGCACCCGCGCCTACTGGGACTCCGCCTACTCGACCGAGCGCTCCAACTTCTCCGCCGACCCCGCCGACGAAGGCACCATCTGGTTCAGCGACGCCGGCGCAGAAGAGCGCATGCTCGCCTTCCTCGAGGACCTCGCTGACGAAGACGTCCTCCACAAAGAAGCAGACGGCGAAGTCGCAAACGGCGAGGAAGACGCTGGCTTTACGGAGCCCACGCGCTTTCTTGATCTGGGCACTGGTAACGGACATTTATTATTTGCGCTGAGGGAGGACGGCTGGGAGGGCGAAATGGTGGGCGTGGATTACTCGGCGGAGAGTGTGAGGCTTGCGGAAGAAATCAAGGCGAGTAAGGGGGCGGAATGCGAAGATGTGCTGTTCTATGAGTTTGATATTCTGGGGGCTGCTGCGGCGCCGGAGTGGCTGGGCGAGGGATTTGACGTTGTGCTGGATAAGGGGACGTTCGATGCGATTAGTCTGAGTGAGGAGAAGGATGCGCAGGGGCGACGTATTGTCGAGGGATACAAAGCAAGTGTAGAACCACTGGTCAAGAAGGGCGGAAGGTTTCTGATTACGAGCTGCAATTGGACGGAGGAAGAGGTGAAGGGGTGGTTTGAGGGTGGGCAGCTGGAGTACGAGGGGAAGGCGGAGTATCCGAGTTTTACGTTTGGTGGGAAGACGGGGAGCAGTGTGTGCACGCTTTGCTTTAAGAGGAGGTGAGATGGATATCAACAGCTCGGAAGTTACACAGATCTACGTGAGACAGAGGGGAAACCGAGGGAGGATAGATGCCGAAGAGGCTATCTACGGCGACGCAGCCTTGCAAGCACACACCACTTCTTCCTCTCGGTAACATCCTCCCTGCCGCCATCGCGCTCCTTCGCCCACGCGCGCCTCTTACCTTCGGCGTTCATCTCGTAGATCGACGCGACCTCTAGCCCGACTTCCGGCACAGTCTCCTCGAAGAACGGCGCCACCTTCGCGCGACCCGTGTGGAATCCTGCTACCACATATACCCTCGCGTCGGGAGAGTCAGACAGGAAATGCACCATGGACCTCGCAAGATTCTCATGTTCGTGCGCCATCCACAGGCAGTCCGCAGCGAGGACCCTCGTATACCGCCGCGCGTGCTCCTCGGCGAAGCAATCGTCCAGAACGCCCCATTGGTGCCCGTAAACCGCAATCTTCGCTCTCCCCTCAGCCTCAAGGTTCTCTTCAAGATTCCTCCTAAGCGTCTCGAGTATCGGCGTCGCGGGGTAGTCCGTCACAGCGACCTATCCAATCCAGCATTAGCTTCATCCACCCCCCCTCAATACAGTAGTAGTGAAGAATAGAAGGACAGGGCAAACACACCTCTTTCGCCCCAGCAACCGCGCTCATTATCCCGCCTAGGCCTACTCCTGCACTGTCCATCAGCTGGCCTATCTCTTTTTTTCCGATGGCAATAAATGGCATCCGACGCGACGCGACGCTACACACCTGCGCCCAACTCCAGCACCGTTTCTCCTTTCACGCTCCACTTTTCCTCCTCTTCTGCGTCCGTCCACCACGTGCCTGCCGGCCATCTGCTTTCTTCGGCCCATACTTCGCTTTCTTCGTTTCTGGCCTCGTCCCCAGTCCCTTCTTCACCAGGCCGCCCGCCTACCAGCTCGGCCATCAGGATGCCGGCGTTCCAGAGATAATGCGCGAATTTTTGCCGCTGGTCTTCGCTGTTTACGTCGGCGGTGTGGAGGGAGATTGGGGCATAGGAGGGGTTCGAGGGTGTGTAGATGAGGGTTGAGGTGGGGGAGTCGCCGTGGTGGTTTTGTCTGAGCGGGTCAGTGGGAGGTTTGGGTGTTATCCTATAGATACGTACAAGTCATTTGCGAAGACACCTCCGAGACTGCTCTCGAAGATGTCCTCTGGTGTGAGCTCATAGGAAGTGGGGCGGCGGAGGGTAACGAGCGAGGTTAAGAGCATTGGTGTGCGCAGTATCGGCGACAAAGTAGACCAATAAATCAGTGTGAATGTTGGAGAAGAGGATCAAGGTGGTGTTTAGATTTTGGTGGCGGGGCATGGTCTGAACGGGGTGTGGGGGTTAAGGTAAAAATAGACAGGGATAGTACTAGCGCCACGTCGCGTGTCACCGCGTCATCCAAGTATCGGACGATCGAGCCTCGGCTTCACATCTATCGCTCATTCACTTTGGATAAATCGTTGCCTTGTAGGTCCTTGTCTTTTACCTCCATAACTGCGGCTTCTAGGATTCTAACATACATCTTGACACAACCTCTAGCTCTCACAGCTCGTCAATCGCAGCCTCGCTTGCCCTGAGCTCTCCCAGTCAACAATGACATCCCTCTCCTCGTTCAAGAATCCGGCTGCGTATCATTTGCTTAGGTACGCGCTTTCGCCTGCATAATGCGCCCATCCATCTTTCTATTCCTCTCCGCTCTGCTAACAACGCCTCAGCTATGGCACCCTCCTCGGCAGCACCCTCTTTCAATCCTTCATCGGCGGCATAATCGCCTTCCGCGCGCTTCCGCGCCCCATGTTCTCGACCCTCCAGAAAAGCATCTTCCCCACCTACTTCACCCTGCAGACCGTCGCTCCAGCGCTCATGGTACTGACCTACCCGTCCGGACCTTCATCTCTGTGGACATATAAGGCTAGTGGCGATGGCTTGGCGTTTTGGCTCACGACGACGATGTTTGCGACCGGACTGGTAAATTTGCTGTATGTTGGGCCGCAGACAACGGAGATTATGCGCATTAGGAAGCACCAAGAGACAAAGGATGGGAAGAAGAGCTATGATAAGGGACCGCATAGTAAGGAGATGGAGGCGTTGAACAGGCAGTTTGGCATTCTGCACGGTGTGAGCTCGTTGGTCAATTTGGTCGGTTTCTTGGGCATGTGTTGGTATGGAGTGTTGCTCGGTGAGGGACTGAAGTGGTGATCTGGCGGTATGAATGCATGACAAGAAACGACAAGGACAGGCAGTAGTTTGAAGAAATGAGATTGGTGGATCCGGATGAGTCGGAGACAGATACGAAGTGATAGTAAAGACGAGCAAAGAAGGTGCGGAGTGGATTACTGTGCCAATCTATTGTAGGATCTGAGCACCGCATTGACCCCCTACTTTCCACTTGTTCTTCGAAGGGCGTCGTCTAACGTTTTCTAGAAGGTAACGTTGTTGCACAATCGTGGATGAACTTGACGTTACAGGTACACAAACGCGATACACGCGTAGTGGGGTATTCGCGGATATCACCGCACTAGCAACCATCCACGAGGAACAGTCATCTCAGGGTCCAGATTATATGTACCTACATCGAACGGTATCTTGGCTTCAATAACTACAACATGTCTCCATCAACACCGAACGAAAAGTTCGGGCCCGAGGTCCTGGATACACCCGCCAAAGCCCCAAGCTACGAAATCAAGCTCCAAGGCCAACATGTCACAATCATCCCAGTCCATTCCGATCACGCCGCAGACCTATACTCCCAAGTCAAAGGCCCAGAAAACGCCTCCTTCTTCGACTACCTTTTCGACGAACCCCCAAAATCCCTCGACGCCTTCCGCGCCTCCCTAGCCAAAAAAGCAGATACCACCAACCCCTGGACCTACACCATCCTACTCAAAGCCACCTCCAAACCCGTCGGCATGGCCTCCCTCATGCGCATGGACCTCCCCAACCGCGTCATCGAAATCGGCAGCATCCTGTACACACCTGCACTGCAGCGCACACCCGCGGCGACAGAAGTGCAGTATCTCTTCGCGTCGTATGTCTTCGATACGCTCGGTTTCAGACGGTATGAGTGGAAGTGTAACGACTTGAATGGGCCGAGTAAGCGGGCGGCTGGGAGGCTGGGTTTTGTGTATGAGGGTACGTTTAGGCAGCATATGATTGCGAGGGGGAGGAATAGGGATACGGCGTGGTTTGCTATTATCGATAGGGATTGGGAGGGGGTGAAGAGGGGTTTTGAGGGTGGTTGGCGAAAGATAATTTTAGCGAAGGTGGGAAGCAGAAGAGGAGACTGGAGGAGGTTAGAGGTGCTCAGGGATGTGTAGAGATGTGAAGAATGGTATAGACTGTACTTTGTGTAACCTTCGCTTCTCACATACTTGACGCTGTCCTGATCTGGTTAGTCTCAAGTTGTGTCATGGTGCAGCATGTGGCAGCAACAAGTTGGCTTCAGCCTAGCTCAACTTCCTGCTGCCTACTCTCAATCTCTCCATTCCTCAGACGGTGACGAAAGCGCTTGAAACCAGAAACAACGCGATGGCTTCCAGCCGCAAAAACTTCGTCCACGATCCCCTTGACCACACCAAGCCTTCCATACGACTCATCGAGCTACAGCCTCACTTATCCGAAGACGGGCTGGCGCAATGCGCCCTGTCCCACGCAACGATTGATGGCGAATATACATGTTTATCATACATGTGGGGCCCGAAATCGCCGACTGCAGTCATCCTCGTCAACGGCAAGGAGTTCCGCGTTAGGCAAAACCTCTTCGATTTTCTCAAAATGGCCACAGCCCGTAAATCATTTCGTAGGAAGGTTTTCTGGATAGATGCCGTCTGTATCGACCAAGAAAACAGATTAGAGCGACAACACCAAGTCTTACAGATGGGCGATATCTATGCACAGGCGAAAGAGGTTATTGCTTGGCTCGGCCTTTGCAATGTACCGATACCTTTATGGGCTCTGAAAGTTTCTGGCTCGAGATTCCATGCCTCTGAGCGGCTCGAGATATACCGGGAAGGCTTGGACCGTTATCTTTATGACAACCCATACTGGAATCGCGCATGGATCACACAAGAGATAACACTAGCACGAAAATGCTCGGTAATTCTCAACTCGACTTGGATGGCACTCGATCATGTCATAGAATTCTACTTGCAAGTGGTCGAACTCAGATGTATGGCTTTCAACCCGCAATTAAAACCTATAGACAGGACTGACCCGAGACGTACAATGCCTATCATTACCCTTCTGGCAACCTTCGAGAATAGAAAATGCAGCATTCCACAAGACCGCATATTCTCCCTCCTTTCACTTTGCGATGAGCGGCAAGCTATCGTTGTCGACTATAAGCCACCAAGGCTGAATCTGATGCTCAACGTCCTCAACATTTTTCCAGATAAACTGTGCATCTGTTCGGTTTACATTGTCGGCCGTGCGTTGGAGCTTACAGGAACTCAATGCAAAAAAGTACACCTGAAGAAGCTCCTATGGCTCAGCATCGATTTAGACCCCCGGAAACGCGTACCGGAGAAGGATCATGACCTAGCACCCGAATTGTGTACCTCCAGAATTGAGGTATTATCGCCCCGTGCTGGGTATGCTGATTGGTACAAGGGCAAGATCTGGGTCGCAACGTTTACATTACAAGACCGCCTTGAGCATGTAATTTACTGGGGAGCAGAGTGCACAATGAACATGCCGGTATATTATGCCAGGAGGCGCTCAGATGGTACAGACAGCGAGTACCAAGTGCTTTGCAGGTATGGTGATGGTCTAGAACTCTCTGCCATGGCCGCCGACAACGGAAAGTATACGCTTCGTGTCGCTCTCCCGGTATTTATGAAGATTGTCGCCGCCATGAAACATGAGTTGTGTGACGTTGCAAAGTTTGGGCGTCAGTATTCGTACATTCGTGATATGGGCTGGCCTGAGATGAGGATTGGGTATCATGACTGCTAACAATCCTAGAAGAATTGATTGGACATTTCCTACGCATCTCTTATAGGCGAAAGCTTCAGAATTGCATTTTAGCAACGTATTATTGGCAAGCAAAAGCGCTCATCTTTACTAAAGAAGAATCTTTTAGATAGTTCTTGCGGTTTCCACACTTGGTCATGTTGATTGATTCGAATTTGGGAGTTTAAATAAAATGTGGAATTATACCGTTTGCTTTGCTCACTAGCGATACCCATCTCACTCGATGATAGGTACTTCACTTCGCAACGATACTCGAGGTGCCGCCGTGGTCAGTGGGGAAATTTTGGGATTGCTAGCAATCAACAGACATTGCTGTATTTAACTTAGATACTCGATATGCTGCAATTGCTGTAAGTTGCATTCACTTCAAAGGACGTCCACCTACAGACTCCCAGAACTAGCCATCTCCAAGGATTACGGCAGCGTTCGAAAGCCAAGTTTTTCTTGCTGCGCAAGGTGTTGCAGCAACCCTTCACGCCTTTTACGACGGCAAGCCAGGAGCATCTGTCACGGATGTCCAGTATCTATATAGATTTAGCATCAGATTGGGTTCGGATTGCAGTTTCGTAGCTACGGTTTGTTTATAGAAGTTTTGAATCTTGCGGCTGCTGCTAGTTTTGGCAGGAACGCGACCTCTTCTGGTCCAGCTCGCGACACCACCACCACCGTCACCATAGAAACGCGCCAAGTATTGCAAACGCCTACCACGAGATAAGGATTTGGATTTCTTCTTACCACAAAAAAACCTCTTAAATACATACACCATCACGTTGCATTGCCCAGTCGTGCGTGGCGGTGTGCTCGTTCGTTTGACGCGTTGTTTTCGATTACCACAGTTCCAATCTGACCATAGTTTTCGCAGGTCACGCACCATAGTTCGAGATGGCTTCGCCTAGCGAGCCTGATATCTTCCACCGCAGATCAAGCGCCTCCGGGTCGACACCTGCAGCAGCATCAAAGTCGGTTTGGGATGTTGATAGGAAATCACTCATAGATGAAGTCAATTTACCTGTGAGTACTCTCGGGACTCGACCTGTAGATGATTGACTGACTGGGGAGGTTATTTCAAGTACTGTCGAACACGGAGCAGCCTCTATCGACGCGGACCCAGAATCCAATGCGGTTGTTCATCAACAATTGGACAACTGGCTGTTGATGATCCGATTCGAGAGAATGAACATGATGAAAGGACCAAAGATCTCAATTTCCATTGGAGACGTGTTAATTCGAGGCATCTACAAGCGGGCTGCAATGGCCGTGTCCAGAACCCTCAATGAACACTTCACCATGGCTCCGCACAGTACACATTTCCACTTCGAGGCCGGATCATTGGAAATCAAAGCCGTTTGCACCTTGTTAATTAGCTGGCTCCGGGAGACAAGTAAGATCTTTGAAGCTCACGAAGTGCGCTTTCGCAAGCGATTCCACACCAACATTGCCATTCTCCGGGCTGCGCGCCTCCTCGGGATGGAGCGCTATACGAACATCATCATGCAATCTTACATCAACTATGTGCAAACGGAAGTGCCTTATTACCACGAGATCGCCTGCGTCGAGGCAATGCGCACATCGCATAAAGATCCAGTTTGGACAGCGATGGTCAACCACCTCAGTCACCTTCGATATACAGGCCAGATTCCCGATCCAAAGACGTTCTCCAAATTCCATCGAAAGCATCCCGAACTTGCCGGTGCTATGTACTATACCGACCAGTTCTTCAAGGCCAAGGCTGCGGAGGATCGCCGCGGCTACCCTTTGATCAAACACCTGATCTGCGATTACGAGACAGGGCAGAAGGTGATGGTAACGGGAAAGGAAGCTGCGATGTGGTGGGCTTCGCAGTTGTAGACCATCGTTGTTAACTATGCACAATTATTGGTGGCACAGCTCGAGAAGGTCTAGAACGGGGTTAAGACAGGTGGAACATTCTCATAGCTGGAGGCCTGGGGTCTTTTGAAGTGAGTCGCAGGCATACTCTATGGATTTAGAGTAATTGATTGTTTCTAATACATGCACAAAGACATAAACAAATCAATCCCGCTCGATTGCTGCTTGCTCAGCAATCTATCATGCAGATGAGGTTTATTAGAGCCGTCTAAGCCTGCGAGCAACCTCATCCCGCACCATCATCTCACTCCGCGTATATAACTCAAGTATGCAGCGAATGAGACAGGAAAAACTGGTGGTCTGAAGGTCGCGGTACATAGAGCACATGAATTAATAGCTGCTGTCAATTTTCGATACTTTAACCTTAGTCTACGCTCCAAACAACGACCTATTTCGTCCTGTCGGTGCTCTCGACAAAGACATGGCCCAGTGTTCAATTTATGGAAAATTGAAGAGGTCAAACGGTCTCGTCAGTTGTACTATCGTTGGTAGACGGCTACTAGGACCATGCATACATCTACCGGTACTAGAGGGAAGTGACTAATCGCTTGTATACCGACGGTAAGATCTCTCCACTTCTCCACAAGTTGAAAATTGGTGCCGCTGGTCATTTCTTTGTAAAAATGATAATATACCTTGGGTTTTGATTGCTATATACATTTCACTTGTTTTTCTTTTGCAGATACTGACATGTACCTAGACCGCCGACAAGTAATCAGTCACTGCCTTCAATGATGTTCTAGACGGTCTGCGGTATGTCGCTCTAACTTCATACAGTCACAAAGTCTTTCACAGCAGCATTGTGCGCCAAGCACGGGACTCCACCCATTCATTGACTCTTTATCACTAGGGGGGGACGTGCTCTTTCACTAAGGCTTGTGCACGCATGATGTCGAGCCGCGGCCCTTCTGTATATAAACACGCCAGCACCATTAGTAGAGAACCCAAAACACTCTCAACTGTCGAACCACCCCATCGACACAACCAACTTACAGCACCTTCAGTCAAATCTGAAGCTTCACACCAGCAAAATTTCCTTACAAAAACACACTTACACCATGTCGACTTTCTCCAAGACTCAGACTGTTGCCATGAACCCCCTGGCGGCAGACCACAACCCCTTGGTCTCAGCGAAGACTCCGGTCCACGAGGTCATGAATGGCTGTGTTGACCTGCGCCAGCTCTCACATGAGGAGCGCCGTGGCCTCTTGGAGGGCCCAATGGTCACGCTCACCCTGAACGGCAACTTCATCGCTCGGGTTCACAAGCGTGTCCTCATGGCCGTCTCTCTTTGGGCCAACAATCGGATCCAGGACCGCGCTACGACGACTGTTCTTGCTCTTCCCGCATCGGCCTCGCGCGCCGACCGGAAAGCTCTGAAGACGGTCATCGGCTGGATGTCGATGGCCTACGTTGGAGCCGTCAAGCTTCGTGGAATTCCAATGGGCCAGAACACCGTGGAGGCATGCAAGATCTTCCACGCTGCTACGGCCCTCGACATGCGTCCCCATGTGTCTCACATTGCGGCGTACTTCCACACCTACATCAACGACCAGAACACCCTTCTCGGGTATGAAGAGCTGGATGCTATTCTGCGCTCGTTCGCTCCTGATACTCCGGTCTTCAAGCATCTTGCTAAGGACCTTGCTCATCGCCATCACAAGGGCAAAGTCCCCGACATGAAGGAGTTCACGGCATACCTGAAGAAGAACCCTGATCTCTCCCGCGCCATGATTGAGGTCGACAAGGGCTACGCAGCTGCACGCAAGGAGAAGCGCGAGGCTGCTCAGGCCGCCGCGCGCGTCAAGTATTCGGAGGCTCGTAAGGAGGAGCGTCGTCTGATGACAGAGCAGCGCCGTCGCGAGGATTTCGAAGCCAATCTTTCGGCTGCTCGCGGTGGTCGCTCTGGTGGATATGGAATGGGTATTTAGGCCCATCACATATTCCCTGTGGTTCTCTTGGCATATTGCCCAAGGGGCCATATGATTCCCCAGAATCAGGCTTTGCGTTGCTCCTAAGCATCTGCCTGGTTTTGGGTTCTGATTTCTTTGTACACGTTCAATCGGGACGATGTGTTAGGCTATAATGCCAAATACCGTGTCCACTCATGTGGGGAGACTCTGCATGCTTTTGTATTTTGTTCTTTCGGAAAGGTTTGAATTTCCAGAAATAGAACCTTCAATTATATTTCATCATTCAAAAACTTCGAATTCTCTATAGTGATGTGCAATACTTACAGTGCAGTTTCTGCAATCAAAGCCAACACTCGTTTGATCGTCTCATACGAGCAGCAGTGAATGTATAACACGGCGTATAAGTCTGCGCTGCTAAAGCTAAGGTCAGCTAGACATGCCACCTACCTTCTATACGCAGAGTTCACAGCGAATCAAAGACACAAAATCCCATCGCTAATGCTACAACCGTTCCTGTTTCTGGGTATCACTTTTTTTGGCGAAGTGACTGGAATGCTGGCACACTTGAGCCATTATGCTGCTGATAGTACTGTAGGCGTACACCATCCCGTTGTTGGTAACCGTAAGAGGATTTGTATTCAGTGCAGTAACGTTCAAACACTCCCAAAACATTCAAGTTCACCAGGGGCGATTATCATTGGCTCGGGTAGGTAAGGCGGCCCTGTTGGTCGATGTCACCCGGCAGGTTTGAAAACGCGCCGAGTCTGCGCAATATGGCTACACAGCACCCATTTTCATGAATTCGAATGCAGCCGGGCCTTCGCGAAACCAATGAAGGAGTAGAGACAGTGTCACTGGCACACTTAATTACACGATGAATAGCGCGAACACTTGAATCAAAAGCGAAAAAGGACACGAGGAAGGCCCTACTAAAACTATGTCGCATCGGGCAAGCCTAGCCATCATGCAATTGCCATCCCGTGCCTAGAACCTAGGGCCCCCCGGCCCAAAGGTGTGGACGCCCCGTAGCCAGGATCGGTTCGGCGGCTGCGGCCCCCGTTTTGGGGGCCGATGTACTTGACAACGGATTGTGTTGCAAATCCTGGGAGCTGACCACTCAGAGTCCTTGCGCAACTTACAGAATCGGAAAGGAGAAACCGTCATGTCTCAAAATATGCGTTCCGCTGGAATAGCTGTGCAGGCAGATCAGCGCAATCTGACATGTACTTATACAGTCAAGGTAAACCTTAGGTAGACTTCCTTCCTGCAAAAATTCTCTAACAATGCTCAGCTCAAACTTTCGAGTTGCTGCGAGCCTTTCTCTGCTCGTCCACTACACAGTCCCTGCGATAGCGCAATGCTACTGGCCAAATGGAACCCAGAAGATTAATCCAGACGTAGCAAAATGTCCAGGATCGGATACATGCTGCTACCTAAATCGCGCGAATAACCCAGGAAATGACACCGAATTTGGGCTTCCGAGAGATGAATGCCTTCCGAACGGACTGTGTCAGCAACGAGGTACTGCGAACACAGAAAATCCACCAAGAGTATTTCAAGAGTACTGGAGGGACTATTGCGCGGATCCTACATGGGAGAATTGCCCGAAAGTCTGCACTGATCTTGTCAGTATGCTTCTTGCCAGCAATGCATCAACGCGCGTAGCTAATCGGACTATGTAGGATGCTGGGGGCCAGATAACACGCATGACACCATGCGATGGGACAAGCACGAGCCTGACATGGTGCTGTGGTGATGGCAGGGATTGTTGTGGCACTGGCGATGAGATCAGGCTCGCACAAGTGAATGCCTCGAATTCATCACCTATCGCGACATCTACCTCGGCACCATCTTCGAGCGTATCAACAGATCCGGAGCAATCGTCGCCGCCCCCTTCAGACACTAGCAGCGCTCGTGGCGGGTTGACGACAGGCGCAAAGACTGGCATTGGTATCGGAGTTTCGGGCTCGATTGCAATCGCTTTGGCGGCGGTATTCTTCCTCATAAGAAGGAAACGGAGCAAAAAGCAATCATCGGAGGTGGCTAGCGAATACGGAGACGACCAAAAATTCTCAACCTCTTGTCCGGAACTGATGTCCACGGCACGTGCGGAGATAATGTCCAACGACCGAACAGAACTGGCTGCGAGTAATTTATCGGCTGAACTCATGTCTAAAGAAGTGGTTGCACATCACATGGCTGGCAGAGCCCGGCCACGCTATGAGATGCCTTGAACAAGACGAGGACAGTAAATGCTTTGCAAAAAATGGCTCGTTAACTTCTTAATGTTCGGACCGAAAAGGAAACTTTCGAAACAATAACCACGCAGTTCCGTACATCGCCGCTCCGAAAGTCAACAATCCAGCATATGTGCCGAAACCAACGAGGTACTTTGGAGCGTCTTTGGCTGGGAACAGGTAGCTGCCATATATCTGCGCAAGGTTTCCCATCCCGTTGATCATAGCGAGGCAAATAGCTCGTGTCTCAGGATCGAGTGGGCCCAGGGATACGGAGGCGTATGATAATGCGAGTGGATTGGCCGTCCAAATGGCGCTGTTGATAAAACAGAGGAACACGTAACGGGGCATGTAGGCGTAGATTCCGGCAGTGAGCGCACAGAATACTGCACCAAGTATCAGGACGGTCATAGCCATCAGCGGTCGGTACGAAGGAATTCGATCGGCGAAGATGCAAGTCGGGACTGCGATAGCGAATGCGACAACATAGAGCGGAACGGTCATGTACCTAATGTCTGTGAGTCTGGGTTGTCAATCACAAAGTATGGAGACACTTACTGAGCTTCAGAGCCTTTATATCCTAGCCCCTGGACAAGCGTCGGATTGAAGTAGCTCAAACTGTAGCACCCGATGATAGTCATGTAGCCGATGCAGAGCCACCAGACACGCCAGTTGCTGACTGCGCTGACGAATGCTCGCCAATGTGATATGGATGCCACTTCGCCATCCGCACTCCGGCTCGTGATGCCATCGGCCTGCAATCGTGCTACGGCTAACACACGTTGCTCTGGGCTAAGACGCTTCGTAGTGGCTGGGTAATCCAAGAGGAAGAAAGGTGCGATGAGAGCGCAGCCAATGGTAGACACGCCTTCGACGATGAAAAGCCTGTCATCCTTTAGCACCCCAATATCAACAAGTTTATACGTCAACTCACCATTTCCACCCCGCAATCCCATGCGCCCCGTCAAGCGAATCGACGATTGCACCAGCGATGATCCCACCAAATGCACCAGACAAGATACCTGCGGAAAGAAAGGTCATGAAGCGCTTTGACTGTTCCTTCCTCCTATACCAGGTGGAAATGATGAAGAGAATAGCTGGACTAAATCCGGCTTCCATCACACCCAGAAGAAAGCGCATCCCGAGTAGCTGAGCAGGCGTCTTGACAACCGCCATGAGTGTTGCCACAGTACCCCACAAGATCATCAAGAATGGTATGTAAAGCGAAGGACGCCATCGCGCCATGACCATACTGCTACCCGTCAGGAACAAATTCCCCAATCAGTCTTGCTGGATTGCTCACTTGGAAGGTATCTCCGCGATCACATATCCCACCTGAAACACAACAATAGCGAGGAAATATTGTGTAGAGCTGAGGCCGATATCTTTGTCCATGCCGGCAACTTTCGCATTGCCTATGTTCGTCCGATCCATGTAGCTGAAGCAGTATAGGATCCATATCGTTGGCATCAGGAACAGATCAATCTTCCGCACCAATTTCTTTTCCTCATCTGTCCCTTCCACGAAACCAATTGCATCGACATCTTCCTTCGTTTCAAGAGCAGCAACATTGTCGACCTCCTCGACCCAGCTCTTGTGTTCTTCGGAAAAAGTGGTCATGGCTGCATCTACCTGGGGTCGCTTCGAGGAAAGAGAATGGAGGAGAAAACCTGCACATATGCAGCTTGTCGATCCATCTATAAGTACTCCTGCAAGGACTCATCGCACCGCCAATCTGATGCGAAACTAACGCCGCCGTCCCGGCTCGATGGAGCCGGAAGTTGATGTTACCCCACGGGGCACTTTCCCCGCAAATTCGGGTCATGTTTCCCATCTTTGCACGAGCGAGCGGCGTTCTGCTGCGTGGCTATCCTGGGCCTCTGCGCTGAGGTCCATAATTCTTAGAGGATGAGATGTCGGAGAGGAGCTGGTGTCCCCGATAGAGTGGGCGAAGGAACGCTAGGCGTGCGCTATGATGCCAGATGTGGAAGTGATGGTTACCCGAGGTCAAGGCAGGTGCGCCGATAGACAAACGACCCTAGTCACACACAGATCTAGTGTAAAGCCATCGTGGCTTACAATTTGGTCATGCATCATTACAACATTAGGATATGAAGGTCTATCGCATTCAACTTCTTGTCTACGGCGGCTAAGGTCGTTCTAACAACTGATGAGGACTCTGGATCAACCTGTCTAGCCCATTACACCTCATGTTCAATGTTCGCAACTCTGGGTACTTTGTGTAGGCTAACTCGGCAGAATTTGGCTATCAGTTCAATCTGGGCTTGGTCAATAACTTAGAACTTGCTGCTTGGTCTCGGCTCACTGACACATTGATGTATTGTTTCAACATCTACCTTGCTCACTCCAATCCTTCTTGTGCCTCTCAGATGCCAGCCAGTTTCGCGCGGCAAGTTTTGAATCATGATACCACCAAGCACTGTGAGCTCGGTCTCTACATCATTGATAATGCTATGGTCAGATAGGTAAAGTCCATAGCTGATGTTCTTGCTGATCCAATCTACCAACGTATCAGTGCAAAATTCATGCTTCCAGTGGTTGTTCCTACCAAAGTCCTTCTGGGACGAGAGCGCATTGTCGATAGCACCTTGGTTGTGCTTATAGAGTCTGTCCTGCCACGCGAACCCACGTTTGCGGTTCTCTTCATCGCACTGCCATCCTTCTCTACAGATAGATTAATATTCGATCATGTATCTTGATTATTGGATCTCTGCATACCTCGAGAATGAGTAGTCTTTATCCTTCGGCGCCGTTACGGCATCGATATCAAAGATCGCATCCAATGGCTTACAGACCCCGGCGACAGATACCAGCTTGAGTAGAGTCTCGCGAATTCGGCGCATCAACGCTTGTCGCTGTTCTGAGGTTTGATATTCCGGCCGCTTGATGAGTTCTTTGTACAAGAGCGGAGCGAATTCGTGTCCACCGCCTCCGACCATCGCGGCGAACTGAAGATATCAGATTCTCCATGAAGCCAAACTTATAGTTGAGTTTGACATACCGTAAGAACGTACCACTTGTCATCCCCAACTGTTTTCGAAGGGAACTTCTCTTCGACTGCCTTGAAGAGTGCGAGCGCCTCTTCTTCGGTCGGATCTTGTGGCACGTCGGTTGCAGCCATATTGTCAGGAGTATTCTGCTTGATTCGTAACGTTCTGTCGGTATAGCTGTTGCCTTCGCAATGTAAACGTTATTGCAGTATCTCGGCAATCGGTATCCAGGATAGTGAAGGAAGTATGCTGATCTTCTCGGAACACTTCCGTGGAGGGACCGAGTTAGGCACAATGCGGGGTAGATCCCCACAGCAGTGAATCGGACTGATGCATGCCTCCCCGAAGCGTCTATGATGACAATGGGCCTACTTATCTTATAGTTGATAATCTTCAATTTTCACTCTCATACAACTTGTCCGTACGGATTGCGAACCCACAGCAAAGATACCATATCTCGATCACACAACTGAAATACGCCCACATTTCCCAACACGCGCGCCTTACAGCACTAGACACAGTTCTATAACGAAAGCTGACGTATAAACAACAATATGGTGTCTCCTGTCCACCTTCCAAACGGCAAGCCAAAGACCGTCATAGTAACAGGAGGCGCCGGAGGCATTGGCGCCCAAACCATCCGCGCCTTCTACGAGAAAGGCTGCAACGTCGTCATTGCAGACCTTCCCTTCTCAAAAGATGCTGCCACTCAGATCATTTCTTCATTCACCGATTCTGGCCGCGCACTATATTGCCCATCCAACATTGCTGACTGGGACAACATGCGTACATTGTTCCGAGAAGCGAAGAATAAGTTCGGACAGGTGGACATTGTTGTAGCCAACGCAGGAATGATGGAGAGTCAGAACTTCTTTGACTTCGAAGAGGATGAAGCAGGAGAGTTACTGGAGAGCAGAGACTCTCAGAGGGTGTTAGATGTTAATCTCAAGGGAACGCTTAACAGTGAGCTGAACGTCACGAACATTCGTACGAAAGTCGCTAAGTATATATAGCTTTGCGATTAGCGATGCACTCGATGAAGTCAAATCCGCTCGATTCTGATGGCGCACGAGGCTCAATAATACTAACTGCATCGACATCCGGCTACTTCGGCGGCACGGGGGTGCTCTCCTACATTGCGACCAAGCACGGAGTCGTAGGAGCAGCGCGCGCATCCCAACGAAAAGCCACAGAGCTTGGTGTGCGTGTCAATGTTATTGCTCCTTTCTTTACACCCACATACATCACTGGCGGCTACTCGGATGAATGGAAGAGGAGAGGCTTACCGGCAAATACTGTTGAGGATGTTGCGAATGCTGTCGTATCAACAAGCATAGACCCGGTACGCAAGGGTCATCATGTTATGGTGAGTTATCAGCTGCTCCATACAGTGCAGTGCTTATGATTTATAGGTTGCTGGAGCTTTCATCAAGGAGATCGAGACACCACGAACTGCAATGACGAAAGATTGGTTAGGCGAGGATATTGCGGAGATCATGATAAAAGGTGGCCAGTTCTTTGATGATATGGGAGGGTACACCATGCCAAAGCCTCGCGAATGATTGAGACATCCTTCAGGCGCCGTGTAGAAGACATTTGCTACGTCTGGAAGATGGTTTATTCTAGATTTAGTGAGTGAATATTACCACACCAAGACAAAGTCTGCTCCTCGCAACTGATCCCGACCGTCATTGCTCAGAGCTCCGCGGTGCATCACAATAAACATGGAGTAGCTCGTGATTCCAGAGGTAGTTCAGACTCGACAAAAGAGTATGCGTGAGTAGTAGCTGTACATTGCAGATGTCACTTCACCAGCTAAACCCAGCAGCGTTCGTTCATGTTCGTTGAAATATCGTATATTATATCTACCTAATATCTAAACTGCATGCCTTATTTACGTGGTGTACAAGTTGGCCTTCACACCCGATTCCTCTTCTTGAGCCAGCAATTTCTTGTTCTCCCTCCTCAAATCAGACTTCACGAACATCACCGTGACTATACTCAGCCCGGAAAACACCGTCATTAGAATAACAGCCAGGACATACCGGGGTGCATCCTGTGGTCGGAAGAAGTATGGCGCGTAGATGTTGCCTATCTGGCTCATGATGTTGACAATAGCGGTCGCGCACGCGCGCTTCGCAGGAGTCTGATTAAGCGAAGACGATGCCCATGCGTATATGATGGAGTTGGAACCGAAAAGGCCACCGACGTAAAGAAACGAGGCGAAGTAGCGCCCAGCTTTATCCAGGGTTGATACAGTGATTGTGAAGCCGATGACAGCAAAGACGATGGGAATGGCGATGTGCAGTCCGCGTTCCTTCCTGCGATCACTGGAAAGAGCGACACCTAGCGCAATGAATGTGGCGACCAAATACGGCGGTGCAGTAAGAACGAGCGTGATTGTCTTCGAGCCGAGGTTGAAGCCTTTGAGCATGCTGGGGAAGAAGTTGTTGAAGCTGTAGGCACTGTGGTTGCTGCATAGCATGAGCGAGAAAACCCAGGTGCGGTAGTCCATCACTGCGAGCTTCAATCCATGCTTGATGCCCTCGTCTTCTGATGTTGCGGACACGCGGTCGCGCGCAATGCGGTCGACGGAAAGCTTCTTCTCCTCTTCGCTAAATAACCATTTGCCACTGCCGCTGTTTGATTCAGGAAAGTCAGGAAGGATGAAAATCGAAATCCCGGCGGCGAAGAACGAAGCCGAGCCTTCAATAATATACAACCACTGCCATCCAGCTATGTTTCTGACGTTATCAAGGCCTGCGAACACACCAGCGGCAATGAGCCCAGAGAAGGCCGTCGCCAGAATAAGTGCCGAGTACAACGCTGCGATGCGGAGGGCGAGTTCTTTCCTAGTGTACCACGCCGAGAGAATGTAGTATGCTCCTGGGAAGAAAGGAGCTTCGACGATACCAAGAATGAACCGGATAGCGATGAGTTGACCATAGTTGCCAGCAGCGGCCGTGGATGCTGAAACACAAGACCAGAGCATGGCACAAGCGGGAATGTAGAGCGAAGGGCGAACTCGCGTGAGCAACATATTTGAAGGCAGTTGCATGAGCACATATCCAACGTTGAGAATGGATACCGCAACGTTGAACTGGTTTCCGACGAGACCGAGATCCTTTTCAAAGCTGTCCAACTTTGCTTGCCTAGAGATGTACGTTAGCTGAATGAAGCTTTCTGTGGGTAAATGCTTGTCACATACGCAATGTTGTTCCGATCCATGTAGTTGAAGAAGTACAGCACCCAGACAACGGGCATGAGAGTCATATCGAGCTTGCGGACGATTCTCTTCTCCATCGTCCTTGTGTTTTCGTCGACGACAACTTCCGTCTTCTCTGGTTGTTCCAGCTCAGCCATGGCAGTATTCTTCTCGTCAATGTAGTCGCCTCCGACTTTAATGGTACCCGGCATAGTGCCGCTTGCGATACAGAAGCGTCACCAGGTAAGAGGAAAGCGAAGTTACGATGTAATGAGCTTGCTCGGCAAGGTGTAGGGTTGTCAAGCAGCGCTGTAGAACAAGACGAAAGAGGCAGCGAAAGAAGAGTTATATAGAACCCTGAGTTTTGCGTCGAGCGTATCTTTCCACTCCGCAATCTGGGGTGAAGCTGGGGAAGCCAAGAAGGCCCGTGACATTCCAGCATTGAGGCCCAGCTCCTCGGAGCCATCCAGGGAACATGGCAACAGGCCTGAAGCCAGATGCTAGTGTGGGCAGAGTTTTGTGGGGTAAAACGTGCGCCGACGTTGTGGTCGGATGACGGTCCTGCTTTCGTCGGCCACCCGATTGGCCACCGGAGTAGCCCGGTACGCTAAATTTCAACATGACCCTTTCCATCACTACTCTTGGACAACTCAGGAATGCTCCGTATTCACATGTTTACCAAATGATTTCTTTACCGCAGAACGAGAGCTTTCATGACTCGATAGGGACGTTCACCGTAATGGAACTCCTGTTCCCCGCGCCCCGAAACGGGTATGAGTTGCGGCCGTTTCCAAAGCACAAGACATCCTGCACAAGCCCATGAGGCTGGAGAGCCGGGCTTTCTAGTTGCAAACGGGATATTCACCGAATAAGATGGAATAACTAACAAGAGGCTTCGCGGCACATAGCGCCACGGGCAAATACATCCGGGCAAAGATTAAATCTTACAATGGAGCGGCTAGAGGCATATATAAAGAGCATACATGACTTTTAGATGCATGTTTTGAAGACTTGCGCAGACTCTCGCCATGTCGATTCGGACGTTCGCACCATGCGTACTGACATTGAGTGCCTACGCATCGGCCTCATATCTCTCATCGTTGCCACAAAACTTCCAAAACACGACATCAAAATGGGCGTGGATGTCCTACTCCAACCCGTCGGTAGCTGTGCTCTCAGGTAGCTTCAACCGCTCAGCCATGGACGCACCCTTGGAGGGTGAAACATCAGACGAGTCAATCTCCAAAGACTGGAGCTATTTGAACACAACAGATTTCATTGCCTACGACGACCGCTTCTTCGAAATCATCGGCCCTGACGCCGTGGTAGAACACATCGAGCCTCTCGCTCATCAAAGCCACGAAGCGCCCTGCTACAACAAAAAGACCAAGCAAATATTCTTCGTAGAATGGGGCCCACCAGGCGGTATCAACGGCACGCACGACTGGCAATACCTTTACGATGTGAACTCAGGAAACCTTTCCAAAATCCAAACCGACCCACCAACACTCAATGCCCACGGTTGCGTCGTCTACAACGACAGCCTGTACGTCGTGACCGACGGCAGTGGATCGAAAGAGACCGGAGCACTCGTCAAGATCGACCCTTCTACCTGGGAGAAAGAAGTTATCCTAAACAATTACTTCGCGCAACCCTTCCTCGGCTTCAACGACCTTGACATCGATTCCGACGGCAACTTCTGGCTCACGGACTCGAAGTCCGCTTACGGTAGGGGCCTGATCGACTTCTACTATCCTACGAATCCGACGGTGTACTTTGTCAATGCAACGACTATGAGGCCGAGAGCTGTGCATATCACGACTGGGAATGCGAATGGCGTTGCTGTGGCGCTGAACCCAGATGAGACCGCACGGGGAAAGCAGAAGCACACGGTGTACCTGCCTGACACGGGTGTGAGCGAGTTTCTTCCGCTCTCGAGGAAGAATCCGTTTGGTAACAGGGCGTTATTTGCTTATGACGCTTTGAATACGGGTGGTGTTCTCAGCAATCCACGCTTGTTGAACAATCCTATAAGCTACTTCTACGATGGCCTACGGGCGAGCCGAAGCGGGTTACTGTTCGCAGGTGCAGGTGATGGCGTGGATGTCATTGATCCCGTGGATGGATTGACCCTTGGAACGATTCGCGTAGGTGGAGGTGATAACCTGGCAGTCAGCATGACTTTTGGAGAGCATGAGCTATGGATCGTGGGAAGGGGTGGAATGTGGAGGGTCAGCAACATTGCTGAGAGACTGGACCGCGATTGGTGATGTTATGTACGTCCTGTATAGCTGGGCCTAGGAATGCTACCAATGGTACTAGACAACACGTGAATGAGTTAGACTATCGACTCATTGTGTTCGACCAAAATGCCTGATTTCTCATGATTTGCTTTCGGATAGAATAACTGAACTGACAAGGTGCTGAAATCTCTTGGACATAAGACAGACATGAAACCGGTTCAAGGGTCGATCAATGTACTCGGACTCGTTCACATTATGTCAACTGATCACGGCTGCCGATAGAGTCGCTGCGGGTTCTTTATCATTACCAAATCCCATTGCTCCTCTGTCAGCCACGTCTTTAGCTGTCTCAGCCATGCCCGATCATCAATTTCCAGATAAGGAGTCTCTTGAAGCGCCTCTTCCTTTGACCTGACTTTCATTCTCGGCGTATGCGGCCAGTCACTGCCCCATAGTATCCGTTGCGGATTAGCCTCCACTAATGCAGTGACCAAAGGTCGTACGTCTTCGTAGTCAGGTGCCAACTCGCTGACGCGATACGGTGCACTGATCTTGAGGTACAGAGCACCTGATCGTAGAAGTGATATGATATCAGAAAATCCAGGTTGTGAGGTTATATCAGTCTTGTACTCCTCTGGTAGCATGCTAGATGCTTTAAGAAGAGCAAAGTGATCGGTGACTATGGGCACACCACTCGAAACAATGTCTTCGACGATCCGTGTCAGTTCGCCCCAGAACTCAGGATGCATGTGGGTGAATGCCATGCTCCAACCCGGGCAGTGGCGTTTTAAAACTGTGGCATGCTCCCTCAATGCAAACTTCTGACGTTCAACATCGTGCATGGCGTCATACTTGTAGTTGTTGACTCGAATGCCGCGGATACCAGCTACTCGCATATCTTGTAGCTCAAGGGGCGTGACCGTCGATGGGTCTATAACGCCGACTCCCAATGTGCAGCTTTTGCCTAACTCCGGTACGAATGTTCTCAAGGACGTACAGTCGTCTCCGTATGATAGCCCGTGGGTAAGTACCGAGTGGGTGACGCCTATCTTGGACTTCCATTCTAGGTATTGTTCTATTGAGGCTGCCGGTGGGGTAAGATGTCTGTTGGGAGTGTATTGGAATCTGGAAGCTACAACAACTTTTGTAAGTAAGAATCAAGTTGAGGGAATTCGCACGCACGCTCAAAGATATGATGGTGCACATCCCATCCACCATTTGGAAAGAGGTTGTCGCGTCCTTCCACGACTCTTTCGTGGGTTTTGACTTTGGCGATGTCCTTGCCCATCATGTTGTGTTATCGGTGGTGAAGATTGGCCTCAAAAGTGTAATCTTGCTTGGGGATGCTGGAAGCAGTGAGAGCTGCTCAACATAATCCCATGGATCCCGAAGGTCGCGTGTGATCCCGGGACAAGAACTGTGGTCGTAATGAGGGCATCGAGCTAGCCCGGGTGGGACTGGGCCGCGATGGGAGCAATGTACGCTAAGCGGGACCAGTGGCGCCGGAGTACTCCAGAACCCCACAAATGCGCCTCCGGCGTGGACGTCGCGCTAATCTCCACGATGATCGAGTCGCGTTTCCGCGGCCGGCATCCGGGCTAACAGCTTAGCAAAGTATCCCAGACCAGCCTTTGTTGTTGGGAATGACATGGAGGTACCCGTGTAGCGGCTGGGTCTGCCATATTAGCACTTCAAGCGGACATGAAATCCCGAGGATCTTGATGGGGAAACAGACGGCGGGTGAGCAGCTGTACGTTATCCATTTCGCGTCCCGAACAACATGTCAGAAAAGTCTAAGGCTACGCCTTTGCAGTCGGTGATAGCTGGTGCCGCTGCTGGTGGCATTGAGTCCATCGTAACTGTCAGTATCTCCAATTCCCACGCGAATGATAGCTGACCAGCAAAAGTATCCCACCGAGTATGTTAAGACGCGACAGCAGCTGTTGCGTGGAGGGGCCAGCGCAGCACAGTCACCCATTCGAATTTTGCTGTCCACAGTGCGAGAGCATGGTATCGCTAGGCTGTACACTGGCGGTACTGCATTCTGCATCTCCAATGCCTCCAAGTCCGGCATCCGGTTCCTAACGTTCGATACCGCACGCAACGTGATGCCTAAAGAAACGTCCGGGAAGACGACCGTGCTTGGAAACATAATGGCCGGCCTATGTGCGGGCATTGCAGAGAGCGTACTGGTGTTGACGCCTGGCGAGAATATCAAGACTCGATTGATCGATGATGCCGCGGGGGCACGAGCTTACAAGTCCAGTACGCATGTCGTCCGAAGCATGCTCACAGTCGAAGGCCCAACAAGCTTCTTTCGGGGTGTCTGGCCGGTTACGCTCAAGCAGTCGTCAAATGCGATGGTACGATTCACCAGCTACAACCTCCTATCGTCCGCATTGAGCCCTTACACGGGTGCGTCGACTAGCGTGGCGGCGGGTTCGTTGGCCGGTGTCGTTACCGTCTACTGCACGATGCCTTTTGACAACGTCAAGACACAGTTGCAGAGTATCGCAGGCAAGGACATGTACAAAGGCTCGCTGGATTGTGCGCGTCAGTTGGTGCGACGCGGTGGCCTTCGACTGCTTTGGAAGGGAACTACACCACGATTGGTGCGCCTCAGCGTAAGCTTTGCCGATGTTCCATCGCCTCCTTCATATTGTTGACTATTTTTCCAGGTGTCAGGTGCCATATCGTTCACTGTGTATGAGCAGGTAGTGCAGATGCTGCGGTCAGTGGCGACAGGAAGACGCGCACAAGAGACTCAAGTAGAGGCGGTAGCGTAGCTTACATACCCAGGCGTGAAGGAAGGTATTTGTTTGGATTAGATTGTTCGCAATGCCACGGTGAATATTGTAGGTCGAGGGTTGTTGTGTCGGATGGATTCTCGCGTTGAGTTACATGAAAGGAAAGAGGGCAGGCGCCGTGTAACGCGCTGCCGACGGATATTAAGAATTACAATAGCCAGAGGTTCTAATAGGCATGGGGACTAGTTCCCTGGTCTCGAAATCTAGGTTCCGACGTGAGAAGAAGCAGAAGGAGCGATTATAAGCATGAATGGTGCGAGTCACGTGTTCGCTTCACTAAGTGAGGGTCTTAGTCGCGCCGCGTCATTAGTGGCTAGCCAGTCTTCTCACAACCATCACAAGATGAACGCCCACCTCCACACTCTTGCGCGTAACATGGGATGACTTCCAAGGTGCGCATCGCATGCCGGCGGTGCCGCGCAAAAAGAATAAAGTGCGATGGCGGCATACCAGCGTGCAGCAACTGCCAGAAGGCTTGTGAGGTATGTCTCGACGTCGATGGACGGAACAACTCCATTTCAATTCCTCGTGAGTTCACCGCCAATGCTCGCGCTCGTATCGAGTGGCTCGAAGAGCAGTTGCGTCGCCACGCTCCTCAAGTGAACTTGGATGAGGGTCCAAGGGTAGATCTCCGCTTCCAGGATGCTGCCAACGTATCGGCTATACTTGAAACCAGGTCAGTGGAACCGGAAGACACCGCCTCGCCCCCAAAAAGGACCTTTGCTGCTACTCAAGATCAAGTGCAGCCGCAAGAGCAACCATTTGCCACCGAGGCGCGCTCTGTAGCACTGGATCTCGGTTTATTGAGCTTGAGCTCAGACTCACGACAGCTCCACTATCTGGGCACTTCTTCAGGTCGGCTATTCACTTCGCTCATCGGCTTAGGATCGCCTGAGACAACTGCTCAGGCACGAGCAAGCAATACACCTAGCGTGTATTCTCAACCCAGTCCTTCCGGAAAACCGGGTCCTTTTGCACATGCAAAGCGTCTGAAAGAGTCTTCCAGACTTGTCTACGAGACTCTGCGGAAGGTAACGTCTCATTAACTAAGAAGTCCAACTTGGCTTACATTGTGCAGAGTTTACCTGCTCGCGAAGATGCTCAAATCCTGCTAGAAACTTACTTTCGCAGCATTCACGTTGAGCACCCCTTCCTGCATCCGAGTTCCATCATTGATGCTATCGAAGCTCTGTATCAGTGCGCTGCTGCGGAACCGTCTGCAGAGATTGGCTTCAATGGCTGGGTTACAACAGTCGAGCCATTCGCGTACAATGGAGAGTTCGCCCTTTCGCGGGGTGTCAATTGCACGCCCGTGTCAGTCTTCACAGCGACGTTCCACGTATTCATGGCTTTCACGCTTGCCGCTACGGTGAGAACCCGTCAAAGAATGTACGACTTTGCGCCAGACCAATTTTACCGGGCGGCAACTTCGGTTGCTCATCACTGCTTTTCCAACACATCGGTGGCCACTCTGCAAGCTATCCTACTTGCAGCCGTGCACAGTCTGCTCAGCCCAACAGAAATGAACATCTGGACCCTAACGTACACTGCAATGGCACAGTGCATTGATCTGGGATTACACCGGATGCCCTCAGACGGCGATGGCGTCTCTAGCCCCGCGGCTTTGACTCGCAAAATGGTGTTCTTCACCGTATACCACCTAGACAGGTATTACAGCTCCCTATAAATAATTGCAGAGTCTTCATTGACCATCTTCAAGATCTGTGGCCACTATTCAGGGGCGTCCACTGGGCATTCGGGATGAGACGTTTGACGTTCAACTTCCCAGCCTCCAAGATGTCCAAGCCGATGCAGCTAATTTGTGTTCCTCGAACCTGGCTCCTGAGCTATCTATACCTGCCATCGTGGCGTTCTCTATCCACCGTTTCAAACTGGATCCCATTATCTCGGAGATCAAGTTGTTATTCTACCACCTTCCTAGCGAGATCAGCGCTTACTCATGGCCTGCTGATCACCGCGTAACGCAAAAAGCGATCCGGCAGCGTTTGGAAAATTGGCGTCGCGAATTGAGTACCGTATCGAACATGTTGCCACAGAACACTGGTGACGAAGATGACCAGTTAGAGATGCGCCGCTACGAACTCAAGGTACAAAGTCAGTTCTTCGCAGCCATGATTCTGTTGTATCAACCATCTCAAATGATACCGCATCCAGGCGAGGAAGCTCTGCTCATATGTTACCAATGTGCAGCCTCTCGTATCAATACCTACAACAGCCTATACAATGCAGAAGGCCTTTTTCAGAGCTGGCGCAGCGTACAAGGAGTTTTCTCATCAGGAGCAACCATGATCTACTGTCTGTGGACCTCAACTTCTGTACAGAGATCTGTTCCACTTTCAAGCGCCATGACAGATCTCAGGACCTGCACTAATCTTCTCAGTGTCGGAGGTGAATGGTGGCCATCAGTCAAGAGGGGCAAAGAGACATTCGGTAGGGCCATGGATGCACTCCTAAAGAAGCTCGATCAATCCAAGTCATCACCGCATACGCAAGGCAACGTCCGCAACAGTAACGAACGACCGGTGCGCAATATCATGCAACAACCTGATAGAGAGTCGGTCAATTTCGAGGCGTTAGGGCCCGCAATCGGTATACAACGAGGTGGTGCAGACCTTTTTGGTGATCTCAGTACGGCACTGCCAGTAGGGTTTGATGAGTCTTCCCATAATAACGCTTCGATCGATTATTCAACTACAGACTGGAATCTACTGGACACTATTGGCGATCAATCACTACAGTTCGACGCACACAGCTTCGATAACAACGTTTTTGGAACCAATCCGGAGAACATGGACAGTACTGTCGAAGCTTTCATCTCTGAATTCTTACAAAACGACACCACTTGGAACCCTTTCTAGCACGTCATGGTCAGGTCTTTGGGACATTCTCTATACCCTTTTGGGTTGTCTCCTTCCGTGAAGATCAATACACTGTATGAATGTAATGTACAGTCTAGTTCCGTAGCTTCTTGATCGTTGGTCCGATGTCCTCCCCATTCTCCAGACAGTCCCTGGTGGCTTCATCAATAGCCCACCTCGACTCGCATAGCTCGACACATTGCTCTGCCATCTCTGGAGGAATCGCTACAACGCCGTCGGCATCGCCCATGATCAGGTCGCCTGGCCGGACGGGTATTTCAGCGTTGCCTAGCTCCTTAATCTTGTACGCGACTGGTACGTTCAGCTCAGAGGATCTCGTAAAGCTGTTCGAACCAAGGATACTCATCCCTCTCGCATACAACCCAATTCCCAACTCTCGGTGTTCGTTAATATCTCGAAACCGTCCATCGATGACAACACCAGCAGCGGCGGCTTTCTGTGCACGTGTGCTCATCAGTCCGCCCCAGCATGCGCTGATGAAACCGTCTGGCTGCGATACAAACACAACGCTGCCGGAAGGAATTGCGTCGGCGAAATGTTGGTTCGGTCGCGGAGAAGTTTTGTCTGTTTCGGGGACCATGCGAACGGTATAAGCTGGACCGAATATCTTCGATTGCCCTGAACTGGCTCCAGGAGAGAACATCTTCAGCCCCGAAAGATAACCACCATGTGGCACTTTGAGGCGTACGAGAGCATCGCCAATCTAGATAATATGAGCTTGTATTCTTCAGCTCTGCGCGAGGGGTCTATACATCGCATGTCGTGAACCTTTTGAGAGCCGCCAAAACGGGGAGTTTCACAGAAGTCATGATGTGTTTCTCCTGGTGCGTCGAGGTATGACGGCAGATGTGCGTAAAGTGATAGAGCTTTCCGCGTCAATGTCTGCCCGGTCTAGAAGTACGATGCATTCGAGAAACCACAGACCGCCCTGCATGCATGTTCTAGTGCCAAAAGTGCCTCGGCTTGCCCCGTTGTGGTGTGTCGGAGCCGTCCTCCAGCCTTGCCGGAGCACTCCGGCCAATCAGATTCCACACAGACCGCGGACATTCGAAAGCTACGAACAGCACTGCTTCGTTCCGAGGCGCGGAATTGGTCTGGTCTTGCTCTTGCGATAACTGTTCCCTTTATTCTTTGCGCTTTGATGTTCTCTTACAACAATGTTTACCCCGTTGTACTCCTATGTGTTGATACCCGCTGGACGGCCACTCCTAATGTTCCCTAACAACACCAGTGTCTTCCGGGAAGCACGCTCTTGCTTGTGGGCAGTACGACAAGTTCCGAATGTACGACGCCTGGCATCTGTTGCGCCTCGGATACCAATCAGCCCTTTGAACCCAGACACACCACTCGACTATGACAGCCGCATCGCACAATTAGAAAGAGTCAAGGCGGGCTCACAGCGGCCACTCAGCCTGACAGAGAAGATCCTTTATAGTCACCTATTTGACACAACCGAGTCTCGCTGGAGCTTGGACGGGATACGAAGAGGCGAAACACTATTGCATTTGAGGCCCGATCGAGTGGCCTGTCACGATGCTACAGCAACTATGGCCTTGCTGCAGTTCATAAGCGCGGGTTTGCCTAAAGTCGCGATACCGACTACTGTGCATAGCGACCACCTGATTGTATCCCGTGACGGTGCCGAGGAGGACCTGAAGCGAGGACTCATCGAACACGGGGAAGTCTACAAATTCCTCAGTAGCGCTGGGAAGAAGTATGGCATCGGCTGGTGGAAACCGGGTGCAGGTATCATCCACATCACGATCTTCGAGAATTATGCTTTCCCTGGCGGTCTCATCATCGGCACCGACTCACATACTCCCAACGCCGGAGGACTTGGTATGCTTGGTATTGGAGTTGGTGGATCCGATGCCGTGGATGCAATGTCAGGCATGCCGTGGGAAGTTATGTGTCCTAAGGTGGTTGGTGTTCGGCTTACTGGCAAGCTCCATGGTTGGGCATCAACGAAGGATATCATCTGCAAGCTGGCTGGCATCACTACAGTCTCGGGAGGCAAAGGCAAAGTGTTCGAGTTCTTTGGACCTGGCACAGAGACGCTCGGCGCCACTGCGATGGCTACTGTATGCAACATGTCTGCCGAAATCGGCTCAACATCATGCATATTTCCTTACACTGATTCTATGGCTCGATACCTCTCGGCCACTAAGCGATCAGGCATTGCGCAACTCGCAAACTCGTACAAAGACGTCCTTCTCCGGGCTGATGAAGGTGCAAATAAGCATTATGACGACATCATCGAGATAGATTTGGACACACTGGAACCGCATATCAACGGGCCTTTCACACCCGACCTCTCGTATCCACTATCACAGCTCAAAGACGCAGTAAGACAAAGCGATTGGCCTGTCAAGGTCAGTCACGCTATGGTCGGAAGCTGCACGAATTCGTCGTACGAAGATCTATACAAGACACAACAATTAGTAATGCAGGCGAAAGCTGCCGGTATCGACCGAGTTAAGACACCCTTCATGGTAGCTCCCGGCAGCGAAGACATTCGCGCTACAGCCGAAGCAGACGGCATACTACAGACACTGCGGGATGCGGGAGCCGTGGTCCTCAGCACCACCTGCGGGCCTTGCGTGGGGCAGTGGGATCGAACCGATGTCGACGTGAAGGGCCGCGAGCGCAATACTGTTGTATCAAGTTTCAATCGAAACTTCGTCGGCAGGCACGACGGCAACCCAGAGACGTGTTCCTTTGTTACATCCCCGGAGATGGTCACAGCCTTTGCTTATGCGGGTCGTATTGATTTCGACCCGACAACAGACGCGCTACCTGCTGCTGAATTACAAAAAGAGTTCCGCTTTACTGCACCAACAAGCGTCGAACTACCATTCAGCTTCACAACCGGCCGAGACCTCTACCAGCCTCCCCAAGAAGACTCGTCGCATCTCCAAGTCGACATCGACCCTACCTCAGACCGCCTCCAGCTCCTCCAGCCGTTCAAGAAATGGCAACCAGGCGCCACCACCGACATGCCAATTATCGTCAAAGTCAAGGGCAAATGCACAACAGACCACATATCCCCAGCAGGCCCCTGGTACAATTACCGTGGCCACCTCGAGAACATCAGCAACAACATGCTCCTCGCAGCCAGCAATGCGTTCCTTCCTCCCACATCTAAGATGCTCGGCCACACTGTCCACCCGCTAGACGGCAACACTGATCTTATCCATGAAGTCGCGCGCGATCTCCAACGTCGCAGCGTCCCTTGGTGCATCATCGGCGACTGGAACTACGGCGAGGGATCTTCGCGCGAACACGCCGCCCTTGAGCCGCGGTATCTTGGCGGATTGACCATCATCGCGCGCTCGTTCGCACGTATCCATGAGACGAATCTGAAGAAGCAGGGTATGCTGCCTCTTACATTTGCGGAGCCTTCGGATTACGATCACATACAGGCGGGCGATCGGATTACGCTGAAGGGTGTCGAAGAGGGTGAGTTGCAGCCGGGTTTGAATGTGGTGATACAAGTACAGACGAAGAAGGGTGAGACGTGGGAGTGCGAGTTGAAGCACACGTATAGTGAGGGGCAGCTGAGGTGGTTGAGGGCGGGGAGCGCGCTGAACTACATGAGAGAGAGCGTGTTGGGGAGGTGAGGTGGTCCAGCGTGTAGTGACAACTGCTTCGTGTATGTTTGATATCCTGACAGCAATGTAAAAATTGTGTTATCCTACTTGCTTACTGCCACCAGTTGTGCTTCTTGCAAAGTCGGATGCTTTACGGCGGGTACCGTCGGTGCCTTCCGTCTTTGACCTCCAAGGTGGCTGCCGTGACCTGCGTAATTGCCAACATGACTGCGCTTCATTCCTCCCTCGATGCGCTCCAAACATTCACTCTTGCACTCACTCGCAGCATTGCCGCAGTGCTGTTTACGGAGACTAAGCTCGCCCATCCTGGCAACGATAGTTGTCGCATCTCCACGAACCCAGCGCACACTCGGCGTTTGACGGTCAGACAGCGACTTTATAACCCTTCTTTCTCGAAGCGGCAAGTACAGCACCTGCTATCGATGACCTTCAGCTAATGGCTTTCCGGAACCCAGCTCGTCGACGCTCCGCTTCGGCGGTTCAGGGATCATGACTTGCACGACATCTTCCACCGGTACCAGTTGGCCGCAGTTGCCGATAGAGCTCAAGACGGAGGTTTTTGCTCATCTGCTGGTATTCGATGGAAACGATGAGAGAGACACAGATGGGAATCACGAAGGTTCAGTGGCACCGTTGGACGAAGAGTCAGAAGAGTCAGACGACTACTACTCAAGCCATTCCCTTCGATGCCAGCGAGATTTCGGAGATACCGCCCAGGCACCAAAACTACTTGGAATTGGTAGCAACAAGCATGCACAGATAATAGAAGACACACTTGGTCCCTTGATTGCCACTCGGAACCGCGAATTGGCTGTCCTGGCGCAAGAGGCATACTACAAGAACAACACCTTCATCGTCAGGTGCGAGCGCGATTCAGTACAGCATCCTAGTCTATCGAAGGCACACCTAATTAGGAGACTCGTCGTTGATGTGAGGAGACTTGAACTATACTGGAAGATCCGATGCCAAGAAAGGTCAACTGGAAGCTTTGGTTATTTCGCCAGCTGCTCCGGTGAGCCTCCCGTATATCATCCAACTCTCATTGCCATCCACAGCGACTGGTCGACTGTATGTCACAAGCATGGGTAACCGTTCTTGAATAAAGACACCTTTCGGTTCGACCTCAGCACATGGCAAGTAAACTTCAGGAACTTGGAGCATCTGGAGTTTAGAGTAGGATTCGAGACTTGCGATGTGGGTTGCCTTCCCAATGACGTGGACGGGAATGACTTACGCCACCTGGTGCTAGGTCTGGCAGCACGCGTCGTCACATACCAGATTTACCCATCTTATTCCGCACACTGGTTCTATAGATGATCCTACGATTGTATGTTACGCCTACCTAGGTACCTAGGTAGTACCACTATCACGTGATATCGTATGGTTGAGCCCACAAATTGAGACCACGGTTCCAGTGCGCTAAAGTTTATAGCTAATTAGAAAGTGGAATGAAAGGGATGAAAGGTACGAGTCGTGCAATTAGTGTGCATTGAAAATATAGAATATGTCGTACGGATGATTGGGAGCCGAGGATTACTGGGGTCGTTGCCTTCTGTGGGGCTGCGCTATGGCATCGCTTATCACTCCACTCTACTCGTACCTCACTCGTTCTTGCTTCCTTCATTCTCCAACCTTAATGCCAACAATCAATCCATGGACACCCTACCTGATGAACTACTTCTGCAAATTTTTGAGATCGTATCGGAACAACTTTGGCAAGGAAAATGGGTACGGAACCCACTATCCCGCACAAGGAATCTGCAGCGCCTATCGCTCGTTTCACGGAGGTTCAATCGCATTGTAACGCCAATGCTTTACGAGCGTATTCGCGGCCCTTTCTTTCGAAACAGTCCGTTCTGGGAACAAATCGCCAATACACTTTACCGAAACCACGCTCTTGCGCAACTGGTCAAAAGCTTCACTATGACGCAGTGTCCGGTAGGAGTAGCGGCTGGGAAACCTGGGAATATGCGCTCGAAGTCTCTTTTACTTCTGCTACCTCTTCTCGGTTGCCTTGATTCTTTGACAGTTCACGAACTTATACTGGATCTTGAACATCGATCCTGAAGAGGGGACTCAGTCCTTGCTACATTTTTGGTACTGCAAGCACCTGCTCTAGTCAAAATCGAACTAGGTGGCCTCCAAGATGATGAATTCCACTTTCCTATGCAACTTCCTCTTGTAATTGAAGAGATGGGTCGCATGATTATCAATGATCTTGAAGCTGGAAGGAGCCCACAGTGTTTCAGATCGCTTCGAAGTCTACACATAGACCTATGGGACTGGGATTACTTTCCTTCTAGTGCCGTAATTCCATTCATGTATCTTTCGCAACTCAAGCAGTTGACTCTCAAAGGCTGGGGTTTCCAGACGGAGCGCGCCAAACGCCGGGGGTTCTGGGTCTTTGGATCCGGCAGAGATTAGCCTGTCCGCTCTTCAGCAGTCGAGGAATTGAAGCTAGAGGAACAACATGGCAGCGCATTCCAGGTACGGGTCCAAAAGATTTAGACGAGGTGCTGCGTTGCCAGCTCAACGCGACGAGTGACGAGTGCGCTAATTATTTTTGTCTCACAGATGAACAATCTTCTGTCCGCTTGTGCCGCACTGAAGAGCTTCGAATGTACTGTACGAGTTAATGGCAGCAGGCTCGATCATTGGTACAAACAGGTTTCCAAAGGTCTCCTTGATCACGCAGCCACCTTAAAGAGCGTATACATAGGCGACCGTGCTTTCGGAGAATACCCTCTGCCTGAGCCGTTCAGAGACACCACCAGCTGGACGTCACTAAAGATGTTGCAGATCCCATACAATCTATTGGTCGGAAACAAACATCGTCGCAGAATCATAGACTATTTGCCACGTTCTCTGGAGTATCTCGTCCTGTACTCTACACAAAAGGCACTGGCGAGGATGGGGACTGACATTGAGTCCTTCGTAGTAGAAACAAGCGATGCGATTTACCAGGGTTATATTGAGGGCGCTCTACCTTGTTTGAAAGGTGTCGAGCTCAGCCTTGACTGGACCTGGACCGGCGATCAGACCATCGAGTACAAGTTGCCTCGTCCTGACGTGCGACACGTTATCTCGGCGTTCCAAGATCACGATGTCAACTTCGGTGTATCGATGCTCTCTAGATACTCATATGGTGAGGCTGTGACTTCTCGAGATATAAACAGTGCTGACATTAAACTTCTAGTGCCGCCTCTAACAAAAAAAGTCATGCAAACCTTTAAGATGATATTTCCCGGCATTACATCATGGTGCAAAGGCTCTAAAACATTAAGGCTTGCAACGTCTGCAGAGCCATGTGTGCCAGGATACAAGTATAGGGGTACGTCGGCGGACGGACCTTACGGGTGGGTTTTCAAACCTTGGGATTATGAAAACGATCCGGAGTCAATCGATCGCGGGCATCGATAATTTTTAGTGTTCGAATTGCTGTAGAGGTAGACTTTATCTAGAGTTTAGACTGCAACCGACGCGTATGAGACAAGACCGAAGCTTCTCTCGTTCACCATCCCCGCCGCTGTTCGTGCTACTAGAAGTCCCCAACCTTCTTTCCGAAAGCCTCAACAACATTATCAGCTCCGCGAACATTCACCCACTCGACCCGGGTCTGCCTAGCGCCACGAATCACGTACGTAGTGATGCTTCTGATGCCCTTCTTGTTGACCTCGCCAAAACTCATACGCAGGGAGTCTGAAGATGGAGGCAGGCCATTAATGTGCTGAATGCGTTTGGCTTTTGCCGCGAGCGCTTCTTATACAATGTTAATTGCGCACTTTCATGGGCATGATCGACTTACCAGATATTGCGCGGACTGTAGCTTCTGACACTTGATTTCGATGCGGGTGAAGCGCATTGTAGTAGTATTGAACGACTGGGTCACCGAAGGCTGGTTCCATAGCGTCGGAGTTGAAAGTAGACTGATTTTAGCATAAAGCACTTTGTGAAACGGGATATCAAGCGCTGAGTTATGGGCATGGTTTGCTTGTGAAATTGTCGCTGAGGACAAACCGCTAGGGCCGCATACTACGCTTTCTCTGCAAGAGTATCTTTTTCACTGGCTTTCCCTCTTCAACCTCTTACTGCACAAAGACCCAGTCACGCTTTGTGCGTAGAAAAGATACTATCGCAAAGAGCCCAGCAAGCAGTACGGTGACAAAGGTCCAGGGTAGCGCATCAACACTACAATGCATATTGTCTGTTTATTCTAACATCTGCTAGGTCTAAAAACAAAGATGCAAAGAGTCTGGGTCGTAATTAGAGCATCCTATAGTACACAAATTGGCTCAGATTCCATGCGGAAGAAAATCTTGTAATCGACAATAAGAGCCATTACGCTTTCCCTACGTCGGGTGTTTGGTTCAGACGTCTCGAATGACTTCGATGTATTGCTCATGCCCAACAAATCCCTCAGACGCAATCACAGAATTGTCTGGGGTCGTTCCGTTGTGGCTTGGTCTCGGGCCGATCCGTTGGCGCCAGTGCAGCCGTCATTGCCACGGGGTCACGTACTGCAACAGGGAGGGAAGTCTTTCAGGCCTTCGGAATTGCTTGAGCGCAGACGGATGGCAATGCCCGAATGAAGAATGAGGTCTCCATGCAATGTGCGCATCATGCCGTCGATATATCCTCGTAGATGACTTCACGTGGGTTGAACGCCAAGTGCGATCGCTTCAGAACGGCTGCCACTACCACACCTTCTGTCAACCTCCATTCTCATAGCTCCCACGGCTGTTGACAAGAATGGCCAACATTGTACGTCTCTTAGCTGTCCTCGTTACCTAGGTACCTGTGCCCCATCTAAGGCTGTGCTTTGCCTCAAGCCGTGGCTTTCAACCGCATCGCCATGTCCAGAGCAATCGTGGACTTCCTTGAATTTCTAAAGTATCCAATCATTACTTGTGTGATTCCGCAAACATGCTTTGGCCCGCGCACCATTCATGTATCATTGCGACGATATATATTGTCGGATGCTGAAAGTCGTTTCTCCATAATCACTGTTGTGGCCACATGAGCTGTCGTGGCACCGTGCCACTTTCGACGCACTGCACGTGGAGTCCTCCTTTGTTTTGTGCACGCGTGTCCTAAATTTGAGGATGCGCATCCTCGACCGTCAGAGTGTCCGTGTGTTGCGAATCGAACTCGTGAAACAGTCGGAAAGACTGAAACACGTCATTAGCGGGCCGTTCACTGTGGCGCTAACTCCACATCTCATCAATGTGGAGCACCCAAATACCAGAACGATGGGTGCCGGAGGATTATTTCCAGGCACCATGCGAGATGCAAAGTGGAGCGATCAATAAGAAGCTTGGTATATAACTGCGCTGATCGCTTGCAATGCTCCATTATCGGCTTTCCATTCACTTGTTCGGCCTGACCATCGTTTGACTTCAGCTATCGTCAAATACTCACTCGTTACTTCAACCGTCGTTACACTATCAACATGCGCAGCTTTGCTCTTGTTCCACTGTTGGCTTTGGCCGCCGGCGTCACCGCAACCCTCGATCCGGCTGACACGAACACCAAAGGAAAATACCCCAGCAGCCCCAGCTGCTCACGTAGGTCGCTTACTCTATCGTGATGCAGCATGCATTGACATTTCTATAGCCGTAAAGACATCGAATGCGATCCAGGCTGCCGAATGCTCCCACAACACTCGCACATCAAAGCAGACCTTTGCCGTCTTCACGACGGATCACCAGTATGACAAGGTCAACGGTGCGCCCTACGGCACTTGCAAGGCTTACAACTGTGAGCCTGGCACTGCCATGACCGCTAGTACGGACTCTTGGACATTTTTCTGGAGTGATGCTGGAGAGAGCGAAGGCGAAGGTGCGGGATGCATCAAGAACCCCGATGACGGGGTGTGCGGATGTGAGAACTCAGATGGAACTTTTGTTCCTGGTGGATCGGACTGCGTGTAGAGTGTGATGCAATAAGGCATGAAACCCTTTTATTACTGCAGGAAGAAACTATGTACAGTGCCTTCGAATGCATTACGATTACTTCGCCGGTGAGGATGACCAGAGCATATCTGGTGCACGTGACGATCCAATAGTATCCCAGACCCGCATTCACATACTGCGTGCAAGTATTTTCGATCCATCATGAGGAAGTTGAACTGCCCTTCCAAAGCCCTTTACAATCCGCATCCTTGACCGGTGGACTGCCAGGTGCACGATGTCTGGCAGAGATAGATGATGCTGGAGCCGTCTGGGTTCGAGAAACACCTGCTGTAGACGAAGTTCGGTGCTGTTTGAAAAATCAGTCAGCGAAGATGTTAAGCTGTGACGCGCCTCTACAACACGACTCGGGCTGTTTGGCTTTCCGAACGGCAGATTCTAAAGGTGTGAGTGACTTACCGGTACCACAGGTGCAAGCTGAGCCAACCGGAGGAGCCGGGTCAAGAGCAGCAGCCGGAACAGGAGCGGGCGCAGCAATGGCGGCCGCAAAGAGGGCGGAGATGGCGATAGCGAAACGCATGGTGAACGGCTTTTTGATATTGCGGAGGTTGGTTTTGGAGGCTGGCTGTTGATGCTTAGCTTGGTGACAAAGGCAAGGAGCAGGCGAATGCGCGCTCTTTATATACCATCTTCATGAAGGTACGTGCTCTTGTACGAAGCAATACGTGGGCCAAGCCACTCAGCATTTTGGAGGTCCCGCTGACAATAGTGATGTAGCATTACCTTTGGCTAAGTTTGGAAGATCGTTCCAACCGTTGGGCGTGGCGTATGACCCAATTTGTCTTAGAACACCGAGTATGGCACCTAGACGCAGTAATGTGTATGGAGGAGCTGGTAGCGTAAGCACTAGCTGGAGGCGGCCTAAGCTGATGCGGCTTATGGGACGGCAAAGTATCCTGCCGTGACTTCCACGCTTCGTACCACAGTACCACAGTTACAAGTTGATTTAGCGACGACGTTTCTAGTGGACAATCTGTGGACTCATGCTAGTCGAATTATTAACTAGCCAATTTGCATTATCAATATATATGAGAAAGTTGAAAGTGATCTTGAATTACTTGAGTAGAAAACTGGGGAACGATACCCATTCCCAGTACGCGGCCGCTTCTTCACACCAAGAGTGGCGGAATACGACGGCGGTGAAGGATCGGGAGTGCCGTTTGGACTATAGACATCATTGCGCCACGTGCGGATTTCCCCAGCAGGTCACCACCAAAAGCAAAAAAAAACTTCGAGGTGACACCGCGCGCTGACTGTGTTCCCTTGTCTGCTGTTGCACAAACGTGGGCTTAGTACCAATCAGGGAAAACGAGAACACTCGACAGCCAAGGCCATTGGACGGTTACAAATGTACAATGATGTCGAAGTCGGTGCTCGCTTGAGCCTGTAATCGGAGAATAGTCGACCTCCGTCATCGCAATGAAAAGCTTGCTTGCTCCGCTTGATCTCCCGCTTCCGTCTCCGCATCCTTCCTATTGCATATACTTTGATGGCGCAAATTGAGGCCCGTGCGAAAGCTGATTTCAGCTCTTCGATATTGATCCTGCATCCTCCACAGCGTTTAGTCTGCCCACTTCCCGCGCCTGAAGATGGCAGGTGGAAGTCTGTAATGCACACGGTATGCTTTCATCTGCGTGATTACTATGTCAACTAGGTGCAAATTGTGTGGTCGATCTTGGAGACTTCGTGCGACCTTGATAGCCTTGTATAGCTTCTTTTCTGTCGAAGAAGTAAACTAGGATTGGCTGCTAGACCGCGTAAAGGCGTTAAAAAGTCCAACACGGGCGAGGCTCGCGACAACGTTACATTTGCGTTGAAGGAACGCCGCTATGATCCATCATCCCGTGTTCGTTCCGTGTCGTCCTGGCTTGTTGTCCGTCAAGTGACCGCTTACCTATTCTAGCTTTGACTGCCCAGACTGATTCAGCCTTAGTCCCATCATATGACATTTTGTGAATTATTGCAAATGTCCCAGAGCTGTGCTCGATGAGCTCATCGTAGGTCTTCGCCTTTCGTCATGAATGTAGCGGCGCCATCCTCAACAATCTCAGAATTCCCAGTACCAACATAGTCGCTTGCAAAAGTTTCTCCCCCATCTTCTACGGCTCTAGATGCCTTTTTCAGAGATTTCAGCCAGACCGTGTACTATACACAGCTACGTATTAGCCCACTCAACCTTCTAACAGGTCAGTGCCTGATTCAACGTCGAATAAGCCCAAGGGTGTGGATTCAACAGATCATAACTATTAACTAGCCTCTTACATTAGATAGAATGGCTGACAGTTGCAGAAAAGTTACCCAGAGCCGAGGGAGGTGACGGAAGAACTCTTGCAAAGCATCAATGACCAGAGAAGCCTAGCCGCGCAAATCGTGAAGCACAATAGCTTGTCGAAAGGTCTTTTGTCGCAACGTCTGAGATCCCGAGATAAAGCAGATCTGTCGTCCCGAAAACCTCTAGTGCGACACGATGAGGCTCATGAACTTCTCCTCATAGTCACGATGCAAGACCGGATCCACGCTGATGAGGGAGCTGGTAGGCTCAGATTCAATTATCGATGACTGTAAAATATTTCCAAAATGAATCTGTGCCATGATTTTTGGGTAGTCGGAGAGAAATGGTTTGGAAACGATATGTTGGATATAAGGTGTGAAAGCCGTTTCGAAAAGGCCGCAATCGGAGCCTCAAGATAGCAACCCAACACAATAGAGACCCTGGTGCGCATAAATTACCGTAGCGGTCTGCCTTGAAATTGTCACGTTCGTTGCAGCCTGTTGTCCGTTTGTATCTTAATCACGATAGTTCCCTCACATGTTGAGGTTGCAGCCTATCGACTCGGTTACCGTTTGTTCTCGTGTGCTATATAATGCCACAGCCTCACCCTACCACAGCCTCACACTTTGAACTCTTGTAACTTGAAGGGTTCCCCAATTTCAACAGTACGTGGACACACATATTTCACTCCAAAATCAATCCACCAAGATTGACAAGTTCAAATAGTATCCTGCCCCCGGGTCAAGCGTTGTACTTGCACTATCAACGACACCGAAATCCATTGCTGCTCTGGTAAGTGGGTAGAAATCAATGTATGCAAGCTTACATCACGCTAAGGTCAATTCAGAAAGACGCAATGTGTACCTCTTATTTCATCAAGTACGCGTGCAGCTGCACAAAAGAGAAACTCTTCGTCCAGTGTGATCTTCGCCGAGGAACGACCATCAGGTGCAATCCTATCACCAAGGAAAGCGCTGGTCGACAAGACAACTGCTGCTCTACGCATCTGGTCAGCCCAGATGCTGGTGTGATCTACTACAACAACGAGCATGGCAATCGTGCGAGTGGTGGCAATACCCACGATGGAAGCATGGTCTAGAGTTGAAACGTCACTCAGGGTGGGCGAGAGTGCATTGCAGGGCGTTTACAATACATGACCACAAGCATGTAGCATTGGAAGGCTATGGAAGGCATGAATCTTGATGTAGCTACATCATAAATACAATATCGTACCACTGATCAGCAAATCCCTAATCCCGCTCCTCCACTCCTTTCCTTTTTTTCCTTTGCCCTTGTCTAGAACCGGGGGGTGAGAAATCCACCCATCTTGCATAAATAAGGGAGTCTCGATGGTGTAATTGTGCCACCATTGCTGTCTTTCCACAATGACTGAGCGTGTTCACACCATGTGAAATGTGCCAAGAACCCAGTATGCGAGTAGACTCTGTCACGAGCAGGACCAGCCCATGGCTCTTCACGACGGCCGCCCGATCTCTCCTTATACTTTTGGCACCCTGCGCAAGAAACTTCGCGCTCGACTTCATTAGTCCTCGGGTTATAGCTAGGCAACGCGCAGCACGCCATGAAAGCTTGCATGGGCTTGAGCGTGTCTTGGCAGACAATCGGCATGGTGATCTTGTTTTTCATGTCGGTGGTAGGCTCGGTGCCGGCGTTATCGTCACGGAATGCTGATAGAGCATACTCAGTGGGAACAAGGTTCACTCGGCCTGAGCGAGAACGCGCGTCCATAGTGTAGGTACCCGGGAGGGTTAAGAGACGAGGGAGGCTCTCGAAAGCCTTTTTTGACAGGTTTAAGTGACGTTTCGCACCGGCGGCGTTCGTAGAGCGGATCTCTGAGGCGTCCTTACGCAGGCAAGCTGAGCAGCATCGTGTCCAGGTGGGCAAGTAGACGAGGTTGCCATATCCTCCGCAAAGCGAACAGTCTTGCGTGCAGAGGTTGCGATATAATTCCCCCAAAGTGACGCACGGTGTTGTTCGCGTCTTGAGTAACGCTAAGAAAGCATTCAAGGCGTGCTTGGTGATGACCCGATACTCGTGAAGCGCATTGACGATCTGTTGTCCTCGCGCGTTAACCTGGCGCAACTGAAACAACGACGCAATATCCAACTGTAGACAGACATTGGTAATGAGCTCGAGAGGGAGTTTGTCGAGGTCTCCGAGCGATGTGGTTGGCTCGCGGTATTCGGCTGCCAGCGATGCGGCAACGTTGGTGTGTGTCCGAGGCGGGAACCAAATGACAGCGAGTTCGAAGTCCTTCCTGTGGTAGCTAGTGGTCTTGATGATGGCGTCTGAGTCTTCCTTTGAATATGAATATGCCTCCTTAGAGTGGTAACCATGGATGAGCGGGTTTGGCTGTGGTGGTTGGGCACTCATCTTGATGCTCCGCCGTCCGAGAAGATGTAGCTTGTCGACGTCAGTTCGATCTTGATGTAATTAGCACGGGGGAAAAACGTACTGGCTATGGTAGACGAGGCTTCAAGGGCAATGGGACAGTCCCCTCGCGGGTTGTTTGAACCTTACGCTGAGCAATCGTCGGGGTGAGTGCAAACGAACAGTGCCCAGGTGGCGCCCACGTCACGTGACTTGAGCTTATCGATACAGCTTCGCTAGCGCGGCGCGGCGCGACGCGACGTGACGCGACACATTCAATGTGTTGCATTAACAAACTATCTACGCCTTTGTATCGTTTTGCGACGCCAAATCCAACCATTCCCGCCTCAAATGGCCTTCCCTGTAGAGAGAGTCAATGAACTGGAATCGCGCGATCTGGATTTGCGTTGGGCCAAGTTCCTGCCCCAAGCCCATCACGTCACCTGCGTCTCCTCGATACTTAGGCCAAGCAGGCAGATTATCGGCATTAGGATTCCCAAATTTAGCGAAGTTCGTCCAATACGTGATTATCGCGTCAGAGAATTTGCGATCTGACTCGGAGTATTGCACAAAAGGCGGGTTGTAGAACTGCGGCTGGTCGATGGTGCCAAACATGAAGTTGATGTCGGAAGCGTGCAGGGCCACAGGGTTGTACTCCGACGTGTACGAGAAGAGAGACATGTACACGTCTTCGATACCAGCAGCTAGCTGAGATGTGGCTGCTTTCCAGGTTTGATGCGCGAGGTATAGGTCTCCCACGAAGTCAGTAATTGACTTGGGAAGTGGCGTTCCTGAAGCATCCGCTGGGTAAAGCGATTGAAACTCAGCATATCGCTCTGGCCCACCAATTGTTTTGCCGATAAGTTCCCATTCTTCTGGGGTCGAGTGAGCTGTTAACATGTTCTTGAACAGCGTCCCCTCATCAACCGTGAAACCGGTCATCACTGGGATCTTCATCTGCTCATTACGCTGGAAAATACGGAGTCCCTTTTCCGGAAGGACTTGCTTGTCGATACTGGGCGCGAAATTGAGAAGATCGGGAGGGCCTGAGAAATCGAACGGATAGTGCGCCACAAATGTCTCTGCTGGAACTTCGCGCAGCTCAGCGAGGCTCGACACATCTAACCGGCCAAAAATCTTCTTGCCATGCTCACGCGCTCTAGCGAAGTCCATGTCGTAGTCGAACACCTGATTCCAGAACGCGCCGCTCTGCAGAATCCCTTTGTGGAAGAGGCCCTTGGAAGCTGAAGACGACATCAAGATACCGATCGAATGTGCGCCGGCCGACTCACCAAAAACGGTGACATTGTTTGGATCGCCGCCAAAAGACGAGATGTGCGCTTGCACCCATTGTAGTGCGGCTTGTTGGTCCTGTAGACCGAACATGCCTGAATTGGAACCTTCTGCGTCTAGTTCGTCGAGCGCCAGAAAGCCAAAAGCACCCAGTCGATAATTGAACGTCACCACGACAACGCCTTTCTGCGCGAGTCTCTGGCCGTCGAGGAATGCTTTGCTGCCGTTGCCAAACACGAAGCCGCCTTCGTGAATATATACCATAACCGGTAGTCTTGCATTGCCATCGGTAGACGGAGACCAAATATTCAGATTGAGACAGTCTTCGTCCGCGTTGGAGTTGTCATCGCCAACAAGGAAGCTCCAGCTAGTGTGGCCGAAGCTGGTCGCATCCAAAATGCCCTGCCAGGGCGATGGAGGCTGTGGAGGTCGCCATCGCAAGTCCTTGATCGGTGCCTTGGCGTAGGGTATGCCTTTGAAATTTGCGATACCATCCTTAGACGTGCCATGAACCGCACCGATCTTTGTTTCCAATGTTGTTGTCATAACGATGGCGTAGCCCCCGAACAAATTGCTCAAAAAGACAGAGGTGTGTGTGTTATTGATCGCGAAGCAAGACTGGCCTATTCATCCGCGTAATACAACCACGCGCGTGGTGCAGCAAAATCGTCGCAGCTCCAGATTCGTGAGGTGGGGGAAGAAGCAATCCAGAACAATCTCCAGTCTGAATATCAATACTTGATGTAGAGGACACTACCCACAAGTCGGCGTTAGTTCTTTAATCTCCGACAACACTCCGCCTAGATCAACGGAACGAATGATATGCTGACAAAGCTCTGTTATGCTTCTCTAGCCTCTACCTTGAACACACTCAGCTGATTCATACTAGTCTCAGAGCTTGCCAATATACGAAAGACTTCTTCTACGCTGGCGCACTGCGAGGAGAGGATATCCGCCAAGAAGGGCCCCACTCTACCGCTGAACGAATGACAGCCAGACGCGCGGCCGCTCGGGCCCATGCATGAAAGCGCTTCCCGATAGAGAATTACCTCCTCTCGAAATGAAAGGACTCTGGTATTGCTTGAAAGGCCTCGCGTGGTACAAGACAAGGGCATTCTATGAAGGCCCAACATTGCGATACTCGTCGCTAGAGATACAAATCGGGCTCGCCTTAAGTAGAGCATACGATAGCCATAGAAACGCTTATTTGTTGGAAGAAGCTCCTGGACGGTTCGGAAAGTTAGAACTCATCCGCTGCCGGAGTATGAGACTTGACACAAGATATAAGCATAGACATGCCGCTGAGATGATCGAGGACAATTACTCGTAGAAAAACTATCAGTTACGGCTCTGCTAGCGGACCAAAGTTGAACTAAGTGGTTGATTCATTCGTCTTTGAATTTCCAAGAGGAAGTACTGTCATGTAGTCAACGCTTCCACAATGTCTCGTTGACCAGTCCCATCCTGCTTGCTCACTTCTGTGCTGACTTTCTCATATGTGATACATGCATAATCACACGTGCCTTCCAAGCAGTCTTGGAAACAGATTTTGTCGAGTGACTTGTACCGTCAAATAATCTCAGGTAGATCCGAACGGCTTTCGTAGAACGTTATTCTCAATTTTTGCTTCACTTCGTTCAAATTTTTACAGCCTGCTCCTGGGAGAATGAAAAGATTCGCCTAAGCAGGTCATTTTAGTAGCTGATTCTGGACATCATAATACTAGGAACATCGCAAGCAATTTCCATGGGTCGTTGGTGCCGTACGGTCTCAGGATCATCCTTACGAAAGGAACCAAAGTTGAAGTCATGCTCCGCCAGCTTCTCCCAGAAACTTGGTGCGCAGTTCCAACAGATGCTGTGTGTATCAATATCCTCCGTAGTGGCATGCTTTGGTAGCCCGTTGGCATTTTCCACGCGAAAGTCTGGGTAGGAAATCATGAACTAGTGCAGCATACGGGGATTTGTGACCTTGCCACCCCACACAGTAATGTATCTTATGTAATTTCCGCGTCGGACACCTCAGCGTTATCAAAGGTGCCCTTGGTGGTTAGGGTTTGCGGCCCGTGCGCTGGGCTAATACTTACCATTACTTACCTGTTACGACGTAGCTTCGAACACGGTAGTGCTTCGTCTCCAAACCAACTACACAGACCCACCCCCGCATCACACCATGGTACGCGCAATCGCATATGGGAACTGGGAACAGCCCATCGACGCCAATATCTTCGGTATCCGATCCACATGGCAAGGAGAACTACGCATCCCTTTCGCATGCCACATCCACCAACCAAGTTCGACTGCACCACCAAACATACCCTTCCACCAGTTCGCCCGGTTACCTGCAGAGCTGCAACTACGCGTCCTACAATTTTGCGACAAGCCAACACTCTTCCGACTTATGCAAACGTCGCACTTGATACGTACTGAGGCGACCAAGCTTTTCTTTTCCGATCCAGAGGCCTGGTATTGCGTCGAAGGGGAATGGCTGGAAATGGGCGGCCATCCAAGCGATGGGCTCCATGATATCGACTTCTTACCCTGTATACAGCGTTTGCACGTTGAATTTAATTTGATGGACGAGAAGACATGGACGGACGGGAATATTCGCAACTTTTGGGGAAGAGTGCAATGTCTATTTCCGCAGGCCAAAAACGTCATGGTAGGCGATGAGTCCATAGATAGCCCCCCTCATCCAGTCGGTTCGAGCACAGCTAGTTGGCCACCGCCAGAGTTGCACAGGAGAGTCTGCCAGCTGTGTCCACCGGACATCAACGTCTTTGTCTCAATCCTTCGAGGCGATGGCCGGTTGAAGAGAACACTGTGGCGAAGGGTCACAATTCAAGATGACGACAATGAAACGCAAGAACTGGATGAATGTCAAAATCATCCTGGACCGAGCATCATCGTGCCGCATAAACCTTTCCGTGGGCAAGTGGGAATATGCCAGTACCTTTGGAGTCAGTGTTGGGCGATTGCAAACAAGGAAAAGGCGCTTCGAGTGCTTGGCCTTGCAGCTATAGAACGGCATCATTTCCATGGACGCCACGAGGCATTCGGATGCCCTGCTCCAAATTGCGACGCCTGGTTCGGGCGACCTGAAGAATTCACGACACACGTGATTAGGACGGCGAGACGTCACGACGATAGCTATGTCTTACTGGAACCTTACCAGTCCTTGTTCGCGGATGGTGAGAAGACACTGGAAGAATTAAGGCAGCGCCAGCGTGAGATCGAGGGGCCATTTTTGAGGTGGTGGGGAAAATATGGGTCTGATGAGCGAAGGGCTGCCGAGAAGGAATTTCTCCGTGAGCTAGAGCAAGGTGGACCGTTTTCCAAGCAAAGATGGTTAAGCACAATGGAAATGTGGGAGTAGCAGATTGAGAAATCGCGTTTCAATGGTACGGATGTAATTTAAAGGCGATAGACGGATGATGAATACAGAAAAACGGGAGTGAAAACGATGCAAAAGGAAACCATCTCCATAGACAAAAGTTCGAAGACGTAGGAAATGGCACGTTGCTGTGCATCAGGAGCCTGCCTGTGAGCACAGCTCAATCGCAGAAGCGCCGAATTAGAATAAAGCCAGAACGAGGCGATACCAAATAGGAAAGCTCCAGCACCCTTCGAGGCCCCAATCGAGTTCCGTGGCCGCTTCTCTTGGTAAATTCCTTCAGTATCACTCTATCCTTCTTTGACTCCCATATAACGGAGCACCTGGTTGCAGTTTGGTGTAATGTTGGTATTGCCCACAGAGCATGTGGCAACATGTTGTGGAGGGGTACCTCTTGCGTTTTTCTCGCCGTAAGTTACCATCATGGATCCTGGCGGAAATTCAGGACCGTGCCCGAAAGCCCCTTTCTCGAAAGCATACAACATGGCTGCATCCTCAGCATGGTACAACTGCTGACTTGCAGAAGCAGAGCCGAATTTTCGTTCCTTCAGGAATCGGTCCCACAGGGCTGTAAACCTTGCACAATCTGCCTTGAACTTGTCTTCACCGCCTTTATGGGGGATGGTCCCGAAATAGACTCCGTGTTTAGGGACATACAGGGCAGCCACCAGCAATAACTTTGTGGGTCTCTTATTGTGGGCCTGCTCCCAGGCTTTCTTGGCGAGGGATGCAAGTTTCTTCGGGGTCATGGTGCCGTCTTCTGTGAATCCGAAGTAGGTCTCCCCCCAACCAGCGGGTGTATGCATGTTCTCGTCGAAATCTCCACATTCGTCCGAGGAACTTTGTCGGGATCCCGTCCTAGGAAAGAGTGTTGGGATGAGGCTCCGAAGGCCATGTTTGGAACCCTTCTTGCCATGAGTCTTCTTGTTCTTAATCGGGCAGGCTTTGGACTTGGTCTCCTTGGGCTTCGTCTTAGTCTTCTTTGGTCTCGGCTTTGTCTTTGTCTTCTTAGGCTTCGTTCTAGACTTTGTTTTCTTTGCCTTTTTTGCCTTCGTCTTGTGCTTTGTCCTTGTCTTTGCTTTCCTCACCCTTCTAGCATCTAGAGCCTTCGATTTTGAAGCTTCGCTCAGCGAAGTATCAATGGAGACCTCCACTGTTATTCCATCAGTGATGGCAATGCCACCGCCGAGTTCCTGGCCGGTGACACATTCCTTGATGATGGAATCGAACTGCTGTGCGCAGTCGTTGCTGTTGCAATCACTGCAGGTGCGATTGAGGCCCAGGATGATCGATCCAGATTGAATTTCAGCGATGCCTTCAACAATGCGGCTGCTGCAGAGGGCCTTGACTGATTTTTCAAATCCTTTATTCGCGGTGTCTGCGATGACTTGCGCCGCATGGTGCAGTGCCTCCGTATTGCAGACTACATCTGCGGACGCAAAACCGAGGGTAGCCCCGATGGCGATCAACAGGTCCGTTGCTCGCATGATGAAGTAGAAAGTCTTGGAAATATGAGGGGGAAAATGGTGTAGCAAGCTGCAAGAGACGAATGTGGGAACAAGAACGTAACGAACGTGATGGGACTATTCAAACGAGTGTAGTGAGCTTGATGCGTAGCTCTAATAGTGGGATAGACGAATATATAATAGCCTGCAGCCTAAGGAACGGTCTTATTTTCGGACTCTTGGTGAGCAGCTTGCGCAGAGAAGCGGCGTACATCTTACGGGACAGCCAGGAAAACGGAGTTCCTGCGTGTGGCGCAACCTTTGCACGATCGTCTACATGGTTTCAAAGAGAAAGCGCTAGAGACTCAGCTCCGATTGCCCCGTCATGAATGTACTTTCATTGTTCCTGCTAAGTCCTGTGGCAAGATGCGACAAAAAGGTTGAGTCGAACTAAACGATGACCGCAAATTCTCTGTACGTGTATCTGCGGGGATACTGGATGCGCAACGGACTTGAATACACTTAAAATTGGTGCACGGAGTGATTGCATGCAGAGTAGCAGTAGGGGAATTGAAAAAAAGGTAATGAATTTCAGAATATTGATTTGTGTAATTTTGCTTGCCGGGCTGACAAGGAAACTGCACATGTCCGACGGCACAGTCAAGTCACACGTCAGACGGCACAGCCGAGTAACTTGTCCAATGACACGAGTAGGACATCTAGTCAGGTAACCTATCTCTGCGAGTGGCTTACGTGCCTTACATGGTCGAAATCTATAACCACTTTCCTTAGGGTAGGCCGCAAAATATCGATATTGGAACGGCAAGTTCGTCGAAATACGCTTCACCCTTTCCAAAGTGGTCCCATTTCCCCTAAACCATGTACTTTATACATTTCAATTGCGAGAGACCGTTCTTCAGAGCACAGGCATGCGCGCGAAGAACGTTCACAATCGACGACTACAACTACCCCCACTTTGCCAACCCCTACCTCCCACAGTTCTTCTCCGCACAAATAGTAACCTCATGAACATACCTAATCCCCCACCCTCCACCCTTATAAAATTCGTACTACTCGTCCCATTCGGCTTACTCTTATCCAAGAACGGAAAGTCATTGAAGATATCCACAGCGCCGACCTCTTCATCAATAACGTACCGTCTGTTCTTCGCGCCCCCCGCATCTTTAAACCCACCCGGAAACTCCGGCATCTTACAATTCGTCGTATAACTCCCGCCCTCCAGCCTGGCACAAGGGTTCCCATACGGCACCTTTACCTTGCCGTCTGCCCAGCTATCTAGGTACGCGTCCCCCGCTGCTTTGATAACCTCGCGCTTATCACGCTTTCCCTCGGGTATCACATCCCAGACTTCCTTTTTGGAGTTGGTTAGACTGCCCTGCGCGTTGAAAAGCCAGTCCCTGCGTCGGCGACGACGTTCTCTATAGCAGTGATTGTGGAACCGGAGGGGAGAAGAGCATGCGCGTCATGAGGACGTAGGGGTGGGGGCGGTGGCGGCGATCATCTCGGTGAAGGTGGCGCAGGTGGTGGTGTCGTGGAGGGAGCGGAGAGGTCGATTGTGAGGGGGTGGTGAGGACGGATTTAGAGAGGGGAGGGGCTGTCATTCTCGAGGTAGGTTGCGTTTGGGGAGAGGGGAGGGTATCTGGTTTTCCGGCGGTTTGGGCGGCGATGAGGGCGGCGGTGGCGGCTTGGAGGGTTGCGCGGTCGCAGGCGGCGGCGGCGGAGGTGGCTAGGAGGGCTGTGAGGGAGAGTTGGGGGAACATGGTGGCGGTTTGGTGAGTCTGGATATGTGGTGTTGAAGTGGAGATGGGTTCGCGCGCCTCATGGCCTTTATGCACGTACCCGTGTAGTATCTAGGATAAGAAAGATGGACTCGAAATAGATGATGCACTTTGGTGTGACCCAATCCCCCACATTGTTAATATCGTGTCTGTGTTTCCTGGGCCTTGCGTGGTCGTTCTCTCGATTTAGCCGCAATTCGCTAGGGTGCCCAGAGCGTGGATATGCATTCTTGATAGTGCGAAGGCATTCCAGATGGGTTGCGGGAGATCGGCAGTCGGCATTTGGTCTTAGAGCAATTAAAACATGCAATGGTCGATAAGAAAGGCAACCAGCAAAACAGATGATCTGATTCGACTTGGCAAGGCCTTATCTATGTTTGCTCCTATCAGTAGCGTAGAATTATTTCGGTATTCAGGGCATAGGTAAAGCAACTCAGTTGCCTCGAAAAATGATGACGGTTCGGTATATTGCATTGCAAGTATTTGCGGTGGTCTATCGTTATGTTGTTCTATGGGTATTCGTCGAGACGCTGGATGGACAGCGCAAATCAGTCAATATCAGTCGTGACGCACCTATCGTTGGATGCCCTCCTTCTTGTTCAGCTCTTCACCTCTCATTATCAAGTCTTCCAGCCACTTCCCGAATACTTCTCTTTGCTCAATGGGTACCACATGCCCTTGACCTTTGACAAAGTGTTTCTCGATCTCGCCCTCTTCCCAGATATCCTTCTCTTCCTCGATGCCAAGCCAATTCTCCTTGCCGGTCCTGCCTTCACCCTTTTCCAAACCTCTCCAGACAACGACGCCGAGTGGGAACGTAAGCATGCGATCTTTCGTACCGTGCACGACCATGATACGATTCTTGCCAATAGTATTTGCAATTTTGTGAAGATCTTCCGGGCTCTTGTAGTGCAGCCATGCAGCGGCTGCTTGCAAAATGAAGCCGCCCTTCTGGAAGTAGTCCGGATGCGTGCGCTTCCACATTTCATTTGCAGCAAAACGATCTCCATTCGTAGGAAACGGCTTGACGACATGTTCCAGAGTGTCTGGAGCGTCGAGCCATTCCTGCGTGTAGAGATTGCGCTTCACGTTCTCAATTTGGGCATCAAGGGCTTTGGGGATGAAGAGGTTAGCACGAGCATAGAGGTTCTCTAAGAAGCCCTATCGGATGTCAGCAAACCCCAAAACACTTGCTCTCGGAGATGTCCAGGCTTTGATGATGGACAAAACTTAATTTGTGATATAGAAGCGATATAACACTTACTGTCGTTCGAAATACTCCGGCGGATGTCGACACAAGAGAGAGCGTGCATATGCGTTCTGGTATAAGCATCGCCTGCCAAGATTAGCTTTCCTCTTGTAGACTAGCCGGAGTCCGTTGGAAGGACTCAGTGCGATGACAGAGGAGGACTTCCGCCAAGTGTGTCCCGCGCAATGGTGGAGCGGAGCGGATGGCCAAGCGTTGGACGAGATTGCAGGGGTCGCCACGTTGATACGCGAAAGCGTTTCGCTGCCAAGTGTCGCTGCCTCACTAGCGCCTCATGTCGTACCATATCCACTCGTACCTGCCTGACCGGATAGTCTAGTATCCGAGCTCCGAGCTTGTAGGAGTACCCCTTATACTGAAGCACAATCGAAGCAGACAAGAAATAAATGAAATAAGAAAGGGACTCACCATCTCCTGTGCGATCATGCCTCCCATACTAATCCCTACGACATGGCACTCCCGCTTGCCTGTCCAGCCAACGTGATCCATGACCTCAATGACGTCTTTGGCCATCTCGGAAGTCGAGTATCGGAAAAATGGCTTGTCCGATTCGCCGATGCCACGGTTGTCCAGGGTGAGGACTGAGTACTTGTCACCCTGGGTGTGGGCGAAGTCTTTGGTTTGGCGTTGCCAGGCGTACTTCATGCCGCCCAGGCCCATTACGAACTACATTTCGTGAGTCAGATACGCAGAGATACGGATGTCTGTTGAAGTCGTCATGTAGTTGAAAAAGGGTGTGGAACATGCGGTAGTGATGAGACTGGTGCTCAGGGACACTGCCGACCTGAGACGGCCAATGCGACTGAAACGAAACAAGTCCTACTCGACGGCTACTCGCTGAATTTCCATTGGCGGGCCTGCGCCCTGCGCACATCATACAAAGAGTGACAAATCCAGCTGCAAGATGTGCCTAATCTGATAGTGGTCCAGACGGCAATATATGCAGGAGCGTTATACATGGAAGGGGCGACAAGATAATCATGGAAGGATCGACGTACGATGAGGTGGATGTCGCCATGGCCGTGAACCTCGTATGCTATGTTCAGCGGGCCGCCTCTGCCTTGGGCAACGGCAACTTTGCCTGCCTTTGTGGGCTTGAGGTCCCAGATTGTGTGTTCATACTCTGGGTGCTTGAGCAGCTCATCGGCGGTCATGGGCTTGGATGCCATGGTGCCAAGATCATACGTCAGCTACTTCTTACTCTTTCTCAATCGAATGCCTATTCGAGTAATTAGCAGCTGTGCCTCAGCGGTGCTTTCAGCTAGAGTGAGATGGGATGAGGATGGGATGGGGATGGCATGAAGCGAGCGTGGCTGTGCCCTTACTGACGGGCAGGATAAAGTTAGCATGGTTTGACCGCGGCGCCTCATATGGCACCTCCCGGTTTCAAACGCAGGCCACGCCAAGAGCTACTGCACGAGGTCGAAAAAGTTCACATACCGTCTATTCTCGACCGGACGAGAACGCGGGCGCTTGGAGGCAGCTGTCCGCCAGATCGCAGAGGTTGTAGGGTGCGGAGGCCAATATACTAGATTAGTTGCCTTGTGCCTCGGTAGCGAGCCATGACTTCATGTGCCGCATCGCTCCCAGAATTGTGGCTTGCACGTTCCCTCACATTGGGCGCGGCGCGTTCCCACTTTTACTTCACCTTACGAAGCACCGAAGCACCGCGCGGGATCCTCGGACGACATATCGCGCATCGTCCTTAACGCCGAATGCATTTTAGAGTCACCTCCCCGGCAGTAGCACACCGGCAGCGTTTCAGGGCCCGGACAACCCCTCTACACTCTTTTATCAAAACTCCACGCACGCCCGCTTAGGCCCGCAATTGACACGATACGCCGCACCCATTCCCCGCCCGCATTCGCGATAGATCACCGCCATGGATCAGAACGGCGGCTTCTACGGCGGCCCGCCGCTCATGAACCCCCCGCCGCGCATGTTTGGCAACCTGAACGCGAATGGCTCGCCCATTCCCGCATCGCTCGCTGCGAGTATGTTCTCCGCCGACGACCTGGACGACGGCCACGACCAGGGCGACCCCAAGAGGCGGCGGATCGCAAGGGTATGCGCTGCATGGGAAGGAGCGACCAGTGGATGCGAATGCTGATTGTGCTAGGCATGCGACATGTGTCGCAAGAAGAAGATCAAGTGCGACGGCAAGATGCCCGCCTGCACCCATTGCCTGAATTATAAAACCGAGTGCATCTTCACACAAGTCGAGAAGAAGCGCCAACCGCCGAAGGGGTAGGCAACACTCGGGGAAGGAAGGAACGACCCAAAACTGACAATTCCAGCGCCAAATACATCGAAGGCCTCGAGAACCGCCTCGCTCGGATGGAGTCGCTAATGCGCCTCTCGGGCGTGCTCCCCGAAGATGACGACGGCAGCACTGACCTCGCAACCTTGGAGAGACGTTTAGCAGACCGGGCTGGGCAGAGCGGGACACCAAAGGCACCAAGCCCGCAGGAGAGGAGGGCGTCTTCAGTACACGCATCGACGGAACAGCCGGAAGGAACACCCGCACAGCCAGGTCTACCCAGTCCACGAAGTGGCACAACGTCGCCAGAGCCGCAACAGCAGAACGGCAACAGCAAGCGCGGACAGGACGAGGATGCGCTCGCTGAGATGATGTGTTCACTGGTCACAAACAACTGCGGAGAGACGCGGTATATCGGTGGGTCCTGCACGGCAAAAGTAACCAAATAGAACGCTAATTGAAGCAGGATCATCATCGGGCTTCTCTATCTTTTCGCCAAAGGGAATACAATGGGTCAACGAAAAGACTGGCGACGACTCCTTCCAGGACATGATCTCGACCTCTGCCGTAGAGGACAACAAGTGGATACAATGGCGACCAGACGTTTTTCAGGACATCTTCAAGCGGCGAGTCTACCGGCAACTTCCGCCCAAGGCCGAGGCCCTTTCTCTACTGAAAGACTACTTTGAAAACTTCAATTGCATGTTTCCGTTGTTCCACGAACCCACTTTTATGCACCTAGTCGACAAGCACTATTCGAAGGACCCGTATGAGGGATCGGGATGGTGGGCTAGCTTGAATGTTGCATTGGCTTTTGCGCATCGCCTAAGAGTCATGAGCAACCTAGTGCCTCAGGAGGAAGACGAGAAGGCATGGCAATATCTCAAGAACGCTATGAGTGTCCAGGTAGAGTTGACGATGCGCAACACCGACCTCCTCAGTGTACAAGCTCTGCTTGGAATTGGGCTTTTCCTCCTCGGCACACCTAATCCCCAGCCGACGTACTTCTTCGTGGCAGCCGCTATTCGATTATCGCACAGTATCGGACTGCATAAGAAGGGGGCAGGCTTCAACCTGAACTCGTCGGAAGTCGAACAACGAAAACGAGTGTTCTGGATCGCGTATATGCTTGATAGAGATATTTGCTTGCGTTCTGGTCGGCCACCTATCCAGGATGACGACGATATGAATGTCGAGCTCCCCAACGAGGATCCACCGGACAACATTGGCAACATTCCTCTAGCTGACGGTAAAGGCAAGCTAAATCTATTCCGCCTGATGTGTACCTTTTCCATCATCCAGAGTCACGTATACAAGCGATTGTACTCCGTAAAAGCGACAAAACAAACCGACGGCGAACTCCTCAACACCATTGGGGAGCTAGATAAGGAACTGGAAACGTGGAAAGACGAGATCCCGCTCGAGTTCCGACCGGAACACGACATCAAAGCCTCGCATACTCCCCTAATCCTACAGGTCGCTGTTCTCCATCTAGGTTACTACAACTGCCTCACCACCATCCACCGCATGAGCGTTCACCACGGCTACTGGACGAGTCGACTCTCCAACTTTGCCATTCAAGGTCTCAACGCACGGCCCTTGAACCCTCGTGTGTTCATGTCGGCCCAGCTCTGCGTACAGGCAGCAAGAGCATCGATACACCTTCTCAAATACATTCCGAAGGGGGACCAGTCCTGCGTCTGGCTTATTATATACTTTCCGGTTACTGCGCTCGTCACGCTCTTCGCGAACATCTTACAGAACCCGCAAGATACGCGCTCAAGATCGGATCTCAAGCTCATGAAGCTTGTCGTCAGCTTCCTCAGTTTGGTCAAAAACGAGCAAGGCAACGGAAGCGTGAAGCGCATGTTGAGCGTATGCACCGAGTTCGAGCGCATAGCCACCATCGTCCTGGACAAGGCCGACCGCGAGCACACCTCCCGCCGGAAGCGAAAGCAGGGCGACAGCGAACAGGACGCCGAGATCGCCGCTACCGAGCGCGAACTGCTCTCCACAAGTCGAAACGGCCCGCAATCGCCCCCACAGACAAATGCAAGCCCCAACCGACCCCGCAGCAGGATCAAATGATCTTCAACCCCGATTTCCACGGGTTCAACGAGGCACGTCTCCCTCCCTTTCTTTTGCCCCAAATGTATGCTAACTTTAACCACAGCCCTTCCCCTTCTCCCCAACTTCTCCCACGCAAACCTCCAACAACCCTCCCACCTCTCCGCCAACTTCTCCCCTCCTCGCCACCTCCATGCTCCCGCAGACCTCGTCCAACCCCACCCACATGCCCATGACCTCCATGGACGGCGTCATGTCCATGGGCACCACCTTCGACCAGACCTTCAACAACGTGCCGCAGGACCTGTGGAAGATGCCCATGACGCTCGAGTGGGACTGGGCGGATATGACAGGCACGGGTGGTTTTAGCGGCGGTTATGAGGATGGGATTAGTATGAATGGCGTGTTGCCTGATTTTGGGGGCGATAATGGGCAGCATGGGACGAGCGGGTTTAATGCGGGGGCGATGAATGGGGCGGTGACGAGGATGAAAATTTCTGGGTTTAGGCGTTGGGAAGGGATGGATGGATGGGAGGCGGCGTTTTCTTTTCTTTTTTTTTTTTTTTTTGCTTTTTGCGAGGAAAAAGACAGGATGATGTGTAATGGTCAGTATGTAAGTATTATTTTAAAAGACAGTGAGGAGGGGTGAGGCTGTGCCTCTGCATATAGCCAAGGGGCACACGGGGGGACGCTGTCCATGATGTATACCTTACGACGTTACGTTTGGGAGGGTGCTTTACTTCGCTCCATTATTTTAGTCATCGGGGTGTGTATGAAGAGAGACAAGGATTATTGCGTGCCTACTCTGCTTTTACTGTTGGTGTGAATTTGAGTGCTGCTCTGGTGAGAGTTGCTGTATGAGAGATGGCGAGTGGACGGTCGCAGTGTGTGTAGTTACTTATAATATTGCAGCAGTAAGTAGATCATAGTGCTTAGTATTAAGTCCTACCATAGTCCACTGAAGTACACATCTTTGGCTCAATTGAAATTGAACTTCATGGTGCCAGATTCTCGGCTCCGTATGTCAGGACGTTAGATAATGGGCCGTGAGCTTAGTATCTGATAGTGTAACCTAGGGTGACTCGCTGTATGATACTTGTTTGAAGTGAAACCCGAAAAATGTATGGTCGTATCTCTTGTTGGCGTAAGAGCTGCTTCAGGTTTTTGTATCGGTTGGTCAGTGTGGCTGGTTTTGCTGTTGTTGTGAATGTGAGCACTGCTTTCCCGGTGAAATTCTGCAGCGCGAGAGAGGAGGGACTGGACAGTCTCGAGAGTGTATGGCTATGAGGCTGCAGAGGATTTGTGTGGGTGCTTTTTAGGGGGAGGGGGAGCAATGGAAAGGTTTGCGGCTAGCAGGCTTCGGGGTAGGGAAGAACGGAGCGGGATGATGGACGTTAGAATAGGTGTGTTGAAGTAATCCACCTGATGATCTAGCAAATAGATCATGGAACTCGATGATATTGATATAACGTTGACCCAGAGCTAGGAAAACGTAGGGGAGGAACTTTTGCAATCAACTAGAGACGAGATTGGATAAAATCACACGACAATTCGATCTACCGAAATCTAAACAGCATGAAGGTCAGCTGAATAAAAGTACCCGCTGTTCAACCGTTTCTGGATCTTCTTCCCGCGAAACACGATCTCAGCATCTCGTTGAATTTTGCACCCTTTCGACTCCGCTGAGCGACATCCTCCCGACTTGACTGACCTATATCCTCCCGACTGGGCTGACCTACAATCTCCCGAATTGGTTGATCTGCTTCCTCCTGAATTTTCCCATCCACTATTCTTCGAATTGATTGACTAACATCGCGAAAGCGCGCTCTAGTGCCACGTGCCGAACGAGGCGGATATGTCTTAAGCAGTGGGAGAAAATCTTCACGTCTTCGAATCAAGTCCTCAGTCATGTCTCCGAGGCCCTTCCCTTCCATCTGTGCCGTTGTAAACTCGACCCATCTCAATTTTCTTGTACCATTCGTTGCGCGAACCTGTTCGATACAGTCAACGTTGGCACCCTGTCGAATGAAAAGCTTCACTAGTTCAACATTACTCGCGGCAATGGCGGCCATGAGCGGGCTGTATTGCTCATCATGCAGGCGGGCGCCTTTGGCTAGAAAATACTGGCACATATCGTAAGTTGGTGACCGGGATATTAAGGAACAGAGAAGCATTTCGTCGACAGGGTATCCGCGTGCGACGAGCAGTTCTACGACTGGAAAGTCATCGTTTCTTGCAGCGATCAGCAGCAAGTTTTCCGAGTCCGTCCATCGCATGCTCGTTGGATAGCGGACGTCAATTCTCGCGAGCTCTCCCACCACCTCTACGAATCCTTCTTCTACAGCCATAATCAATAACTGGCTGAGCATTTTCCTATAGGTCCTTTCGTAGATAGCCTCATTGTGTTTACGAAGTGATAGCATTTCGTCCGGGATAATTTGTTCCAGTACTTTTGGTATCTTGTAAAGAGTGGCAAGCAAGGAGAAGATGCCTTTTCCGTCATGCATATGCGCTTCATCGGGGATGTGGATTTCGGCAAAACCAAAAATGTTTGGAAGAACATCGGGCAGTCCCTCTCGGAGGGGAGCTACCCAAGCAGGGTCTTATTCCAAGAACGGTTGTAGATGATCGACGAACGTTTGCAAAAACTTTCCGTCGTGTAGTTCTTTGTCAGCCCTTGAAGCATGCGCAAATGCATGATTCAAGGCATACTTGACCGGGTCTTTCGATGACTCTGGTACAAGACTGGAAGCCCGGCATGTTGCATCCGCCGAGGCCGCAGCGTTTCTGCTCGACTAAGAAGGGCTTTGTCTAAATGTGCTCAAGTAACCAACGCACGCTTCGGATGATGATGTTCAGCATCAAGGGCTACCATGGTACACCACAGTACACACCTTTGGTTCAATTTGGTTGGCCCACACAACAGAATAATTTGCTTTAAATTCATAGTTGAGATATCTTCCAACTCTCCTCAGTGAGTTTCTATTTCCAAAATTTCGCAAGCGAAAATATGGAATCTCCTTTCATGGAAACCGCTTTCCAAAAGTTCAACATCGGTCCTTCTGGACCAAAAGGTCGCGAGTACAAGGACATGTGGAAAAAGAAAGAGATGGACCCGGCGATGTTTTCAGCGAGAGTGTTACCTGAGAACATTGAAAACACTCGAGTGTTAGCTGTGTGCGGAATCCCACCTGAAGACTCTCATCCGGTTGAGGACGGCTGGTTCTTCTCGGACTTTTTCGCGTTCAAACATGTTTTGAGCGGTGTAGGAAAAGCTCAGACTTGGATGGCATGTCTTTCGCCCGAAAATCTCGTCCAGGAGCACAATGTGTTTCTTCATGGTAACCCGTACCATGATCGGAAAGTTGTGCTCAATAAGGACATGGTACGAAAAGGATTTGGGGCAGACATTGTGGTCATTCCAAGATTAGACATTCGAGATGCGTTTGCCAAAAAACTTCAACAGGAGGCTCATGAAGCAAAACAAAATAAGCAACCTCTTGTGGTTCTGGTATTTGCCCATGGGAGAGAAGAAGGTGGTGGTTGGTGGCTAGGACCTCCCGGACTGAACCTTTTTTCAAGAGCGAGATTTCAAGGGCTGGTTGACCAGGAGATTCAAGTATCGATCATGTCCACCGCATGCTATGGTGGGCAATGGGTCATCGATACGACTCTGAATAGGACCTACTTAGCAGCGGCAGGTCCTATACAGGAAAGCGAAAGCTGGAACGGGAGCAAATCCTGTAATAGGAAATGCGGCTCGATATATGCCTCAGCCCTCCTAAAAGCGTGGAGGGAGGAAGCTGATGAGGCGCAAGGCCTCCTGCAGAAATCTGCCGGATCCGTCACCGAAACCGAGAGCACGTACCACAATTTCACTGGCGCAGTTTGGGACTCTCTCTTCAGCTTGGACCGATTTGCCAGTGACCACGACATTAGGTTCTCGGTGCAGGATGAAGATTGGGCAGCAGGATGGAGCGCAAGGTTCGGACTTCCGGCCAGTGCAATTCGCTTCGAGGAGAAGTGGGAAAGTCTACCCACTGTCCAGAAAGATGTCTCCTTGGGGTACAGCTTCCTCAACAGAGATCCAGCACTGAGCGTAGATCTGAACAATCTGGATGTGTTGTCTTCGAAACTAAACGTGAGGCATGGCGGGAGTCTCAATTCCGCTCGTAACCAAGTGTGCGCGATGGGGGCTTTGTATTTGCAAAGCTTGCCGGGCGAGGATAGTCTCTCGTCAAACACTTCACTTCACGGAAAATTAGGCAGAACCATGGACAAAAGAAAAGAGGTGGACTGGTCCCTCTTGAACACAGTTTTGCAAGGGGTAAATTTTCGAATGGAGTTAAGCCACCTGGCTACGGAACTCGTTCAGACTGCAGGCATGAAATTGCCGCGTGGTCTCACATGTCACGAGACGGACATTTTAGTACTTGGAAGGCAATTTGAAAAAGAAAACAGAAAGAAATGGGGGTGCATTGTTCAACAGGTCATGGGGGTGTTGCCGGAGCCGAGCGAAGAGCTCAACCAAGGTGTGGATTGGCCGAAACCCCGGAGGTACATTGCCGCGGCTATATTCCTCTCTGAAGGTGTTCAGAGTTTGGACGATGTCCAGTCTGCAGTCGCAGCTGTGAATGGTTTGCTTTCCGAGGAGCTGCGATGCAGCAAGAAGACTTTGGAAGGAGTGCCTGAAGTCCGGGGAAGGAAGAAGGATTGGTACCAGGCGATGAAGAAGAGGCTTCGAAGCCTTTCACCGGATAAAAAGCAAAAGAGGATCTCTCTTAGTTCTACCACTCCGCGACAAGGTCCGAACTTCCCACCCTCAAAGCAGTAAAGACAACAATAGCTGGCGCTAGGAGAATGCGGACGTCAACTCTCGCGAGCTCTCCCACCAAAATTGCGTTTAGTCTGGACGGACATAGGTAAGCTGGGGGACATCAGACGGCAGTTTCTCTTATCGCACAATTCTGTGGGGTAACATAGACTGGGATGCGGCTGAGGTGCAGCAATTTTGCCGTTTGGGCAAGCGCCACTGACCGAGGCGCGCGGCATGAGACCAGTCAAGATTGAGGAAGGCTGAACCCAATGGCCCGACTGAATCCAGCCCACCTTGTCACGGAGCATGGGTCTTGGCATGGGGTCCTATGTAGAGGCTCCGGCACACTAGCTAGTTAGCCTCATCACTCATACAATAGATACCAATTCACCATAATCTCACACACCTCCCACGCGTTATGAGCTGAGTCGTCAGTAGCACATGCAATCAATAGCTGGTATGCCTTGTAGGCATGCCCCACAAGTGTATATATACGAGTAGACCCAGTGCTCTTGATTTCACTGAAAAGATCCACTCCAACCCAAACTCAAGGCTCAGCAATCTCCCACAATGTCCGGAAGTGCTAGTATTGTGACCAGCCTGCCTGGACTATTCATGGCATGCATCCAATGCTTCGAAATCATCCAATACGGTCGCACGCTCGAGACAGAGAGAGACTCTTGTCCTTCGCGTCCACTATATCAGCCTGTTTCTATCACGATGGGGAGCGTCGAAGGGCATCATTGGCACCATCAATCCACAGACGATCGATGCACAACTGGAAGAATGTCGACCATCTCTCCAAGCAATCATAACACGATTCGACGACGCCAAGCGGAAGAGCGAGAGATACAAACTCAACAAACAGCAGCAACAACAACAAGGAGGACGACCGCCAGAAAACAACAGCGTGCTACAACTCGAAGAGCCGACACAATCTCCCGGCTCAAGTTTTCGAAACGCCACAAAAAAGCTTATGAAAAAATATGTGACGAAGTACGACAACGCAGTCACGCGAACAAAATGGGCCATCTACGAACGCAAAGTACTCGAGAACCTCGTTTCAAACCTGCGATCCGACGTCGAAGACTTGATCGAGTTATTCCCGGAGCGTGTTGCCAGACCTGTAGACGAACTGATTGTGGAGGAGGTGCAAGAGCTCGATGACACCGCTCTTCCGGTCATGCAACAGATAAGTCATGTCGAGCAAGATCAAGCTATGGAAGAAGCAGCAACAGCAGAGATCAAGAAGCGCGAGCAAGGAGGCCACACATTTGACAACTTCGATGTTGAGGGTCAAGATGGTCTTCAATTTCGGGCAGGTGATGATATTGAGTATGGAGCAACGCCATCGGGACCGGGGAATTCGTACAGTAAATTCAAGATTCATGGGTCAGGCACAGTGAATACTGGGAACAAATGGCACGGAAAGCCGACATAAAAGCCGAGAGATGAGATCGAACGCTGAGTAGTGAATCACCTGATCGTAGATCAGTTCGAATAGCATTAAACCGTACTATAACAATACCCTCCAAGTAGGAGCCGGAAAAAAAATATGCATGCCATGCGGTACAAGAAGTACTTTTTATCAAAGGTAAAGCCCCAGACGTCGGGGGGAGCGACGCCCAACGCCTCGGACGGGGTATATTCAAGTCGATGCGATCCAACGCGCTCCCGATACCTTCTCTTCTCTCTGTGTGAACATTATTGCTCTTCTTTTCATAGTCGCCTATGTCTTCACCACCTCCACCCACCCCTCCGCATTTCGCTCGCCGCTACCTGCCTCCCCTCTTAACTCCCTCGCCATCTTGTCTTTTGCTCCCCTTCTCAAAGCGCGCTCCCGTACGCTCCTCTCTTCTTTCTCGCATTCTCGAATCGACTCTGCGATCTCCACCTCCTCAAATCGCGCATCTTGAAGATTCTGCTTCTGCCACTGTGCGTGTTTCTGGCAGCGCTTCTTCAGACATATAGTGTCAGATTCCGCTGCCTGTTCCTCGGACATCGCCATATCTGCATCACCGCCATTTTCAGCCGCAAAAGAAGCAAGTTCATCAGGCGACGGTGCAAGCGTCATAGCATGGAAGCTCGCCTTTCCAATCCGACTATTCCGCCAACGCAAAAACTCCGCATCCGACCAAGCAAGACGTGTATCGTATCCGCAAAGTTCTTTCGCTTTCATTTTCTCGCGCTCGGCGATGCGGGTGACCTGCTCTTTGACCAAGCTAACGAACTTCTCGCGGTCCTTGAGGACTTCGAGGCGGTCTTTGAGTTGAGACTTCTCGTTGTAGAGGGCGTTGAGACGTTCGGTTTCGCCGGCTGTGAGGGCTAGACCTTCGTCTGCGGGTCGGGCGGTGCCATTGACGCCGTCGAAGGAGGCTTTTGTGGGTGATGCTGTTCGTGGAGGGGAGAGTACGCCCGAACCGAGGCCTTTGAAGGCTTGGATATCTTTCGCTTGGTCGATGAGCGCCTTGAGATCTTTCGTACGCAAGACACCGCCGAGAGGCGTGGGTTCTTCATCCTCGTCTGAAGCTGCTGGCTCTTCGCCATTCTTGCCTTTTTTCTTGCCTTTCTTTCTCGGTGCCTTTGCGCCCGCCGTCCGTTGCATCTGTTCACTCATGAAAAGTGCGCCACATTCTTCCGAGCAATATTTGCTCTCTTTCCCTTTAGGTGTACGCGCAGGCTTGCGGCACCCATCGCGCCTGCACATGGGCTTCCACGTTGTTTGGCCTCGACCCTTCTCTTCGCACAGTGGACAAATGAATCTGTCCACGAGATCTTCATCTTGTTGCTCCATATTGACACAGCTGCCGTGGAACCAGTCATCACAGCCGCCGTCGCAGCCAATCATCCATCTGTGGTTGTCTGGCTTCCTGCATATGCAGTAAAGTGCATCGTCCGATCCGGAAGACGCGCCCTCATCGTCGCTAGGGTGCACTTGGGAGGAATGGTCGGGCGCGGGCGATGACCCTGCAACAGGTGTACCCGCTTGCGAGCCTTTCTTGCCACTCCTGCTTTTCGCAGTTCTCGAGGAGGGTGTGACCGAGCGTGCGTGACCATCGCCTTCCGTGTCAAGCTTTCTCTTCTTTGATGGTGGCTTCTTCGCTGTTGCGGTGCCTTTCTTCTTGATCCCAGACGCCCCAGAAGGTGCAGGGCGTTTCTTCGAGGGCGCTGGTTTCGATTGTTCGGTGGGCGAGGTAACGCTCTCGGAAACGCTGGCATTTCGTTTTACGCGCAAGCCTAGGTCGCTTTGCTTTGCTATCTCAATCGCTTTCAGCGTATCGGCATCCACATTCTCCGATGTAACAGACTGGCGACGCTCTACTGACTGCGTGGGTACGATGGAGGACAAGCTTTCTTGCGGCGTATCAGAGGGCTCATGCTTCAGTGTAGGCAGTTCATTTGTATCGTGTGGCGACTCGGGTACGCGGATCTGGGATGTTGTTGGCTCGTCGCGTACGAATGCCGGTTCGCGATTCTGTGTTTCGTCGCGGCCCGCATTCTCACCAGGATGCGATGGTGGTGACACCACCTGTGAAACATCATGGCCATGCGAGGCTGCCGGTTCGCTTATCTGGTCCTGCAGGCTAGTCGAAAGGTTCTGAATGGGCGCCAGAACGGGCGCGGGTGAAGATCGAGCCAGTGCTAAAGATTGGCGGCGCTGTGCCTCCGGCGAATTGGACCCGTGGTGGTACTGTTCGAGCGTCGGGGAGTGCGCCTGAGGTTGCTCGATGGGCGGCGAAGGTTCTACGGGTGCGGCGTGCGAGCTAAAGCTGCTGCTGCGGCGCGGTGGATGTGCGAAGGCCGTCGGTGAGGGGAGCTCGCGCGAGACGTATTGCTGGCCACTGCCCAGTGTTGCGAGGGTTGCAAGCGCGTCGGCGGCGTCGTAGGTCGTTGGGGCGATGAACTGTTCTGAGCGCGTTTGCTGGTCGCCCTTATTGGCGTCGGGGTTGAGAAGGGAGTCGATGCTGCTCATGGTGCCGGTGCTTACGAGGCGAAGACCATGGTGAGGACTGGAGACTGGTGCGCGAGGTCAAGGTGTCAATGTGGGCGGAGGGGAAGTGAAAAGTTGGAACGGCGACGGCTGGAGAGGAAATTGTATCCGAGTCGATGATGGGCGGGTCGAGCTGAGCTACGACTTGGCGGCGGGACCGAGGGAGGAGGCGCCGCTTCCACGCGCAAACCCATAGAGCTAACTCATCCTCACGACATGGCCGACAAGCATTGGCTAGTAGCATCGCAGCAGGCTGACAAATGCCCTTGGGTATCATATTTGGTTGTTCTGTACTACCTGCATGTCGGCACGTAGATGTGGCGCACCTTCTCCAGCGATGCGCCTTCCGATCTCGACTCCTCTGCTGTCGATCGCCCACCTCCACCCTCACGTTGCAGTATATATCTTGGCAGATATCGCTAATACTCATCGTCTGAGTCCTGTCCACGCCTTTGCTGCCTCGCCGGTCGGCGGCCGACATTCTGTACAGGCGCAGCAGGCTCGCCGTTCACCGCGTTCGCATCGACGTCTTCTCCAAGCCCGAGGCTACGCTTCAGTCGTCCGTCTAGGTCCTCCACATCGTCACCATACACGGTGCGCACGAAGTTAGCGACACCTTCTTTGCCCACCTCCACCTTGCCTCTCGGCCCCACTATATAATCGACAATCTCATCCCCGCCCTGCGTGTCTTTGATTTTCACAATGTAGCCGTCCTTGGCCATACGCGCGAGGACTTTATCTGTACTGTCAACCGGCGTCGTGTCTCCCGCGTTCATGCGCTTCATGAAGCGGTCGAGTTTCCCCTCAGACAACGTGCCGCCGGACAGCAGTATCAGGGAGATAACCATGCTGTATAAACCAATGTACGCGCCATCAACGTCGGGCACGTCGTGGTTCTCGTCGGGTGCGGGCGCTATGCCGGGGCCCATGACAGGGAGGCTACGATACTTCTCGGGGAGGATGTTCTGCAACACCCATGTGTTGCTGTTCTTCGACTGCGAATCTGAACCTGCGGCAGCTGGACGTTGTCAGGTGGTGAGATGGGACGTGGTCATAGGACATACCGCGTTTCTGTCGCAGCGTGACTTTCTCTCTGTTTGGAAGTTCTACCATTCGCATGCCGAAGACGTCCATGAGATGCGTATTTGCCGCGGCGAAGACCTCTTTGAATGCTCGCGAGTGCGATCCAAGCACCTTTTGTGATATATCTTGTCGTTTGATAGGCATTCGTGAGAACTCGCAGGAGAGTGCATATCGGACTAGGTTCTTCGACAGCTGTGCTATGCTACCGCTACCGTGGTCTTCCTCTGCTTCGTCTACTTCATCGTCAACTTGCGTGTGCCGCCTTTGAGTCGGTGTGGGTTCATCGTCGTCGTCTAGCAGCTACTATGATCAGAGGTGATAGGAGTCAAGTTTTCCAGGGCTTACCGCTCTGCGTTTCCGTGACGAAGGTGGCATCCTGTGACTGAAAGAACTCGAGGAGAATAAGTTGAATGTGGGGCACTTCTCCGGGGTCAACGCGACTGGACGCGTTCCGCGCTAAGCTCCAGCTTGGCACCGACATCATCGCCCGCTAATCATCCGACATCCATCATTCACCTCTATCCATGCAGCCAACCCATCGCCGGAACCACACAAGATGACATCCATACGCCTCGCGGCCCGCCGCCCTATCTTCCGGTGTCTCAATGCACCCGCAAGCCGTCCACAGCTTCGCCGTGTTGCCCAACAGTCGAAGCCTCAGCGAGAACACCTCTCAGACCTCGAATATGTCTCCGTGCACCGCGCCGAGGCAATGCGCCGGGCCCAGCTTATACGGAGGCGGAACTGGCTTGCATTGGGTGCCGCATTGTCAATGATTGCGCCTATCATCCTGGTGCGATTCTGGGAACTGCCACCAGATGAGGAGAATGAGGACGCACAGAAAGAGAAAGAAGAAGAAACCAAGAGCAGGGGCGTCCTGGATCTTATTACCCCAAAACCAACACAAACAGACTCTCCCCGCGCAGCAAGCGAAGAATTCCAGGGCAAGAAGGTTGTGATAGCTCCGGGAGACAAAGTCATTGCAGCGCCTGCAGACGCCGAGCATCCCACGGCCTCAGACGTAGACACGATAGAACTGATCGAGACAGGCACATCATACGTGCCTTATTTCCCCAAGACAATCAGCCTACCTGTTCCCACCGGCCCTGAAGCAATAGAAAGCCAAGCAGAGTATCAATTACTAGGCCTGGGCATCCGGAAAGTTTCGTTCCTGCGAGTGCAGGTCTACGTCGTTGGTCTGTACGTGCGCAGCTCAGACATACATATCCTACAAAACCACCTTATCAACACCGTTAACCCCACCGCATCTGCCTTGATTCCTGGCGAAAAGGAAGATCTGAGAAAGGCACTGCTTGATCCTGAGAAGAGCACGCAAATCTGGGACGCAATACTAGCGAGGAAGGGCGTCGACGGCATCGACATGGCGTTCCGCGTCGTGCCCACTCGTGGCACAGACTTCAACCATCTGAGAGACGGGTGGATGCGCGGAATCGCCTCTCGCACTGATGAAGTGCGAAAGAGACAAGCCGATCTTCTCCGCCAACAAGCTACTGAAAACAAGCAAATTTCGCTGCCGAAGCCGGTTGACGAGGGCGAATTTGGGGATGAGAGTTTTGGACTTGCGATGAAGGAGTTCAAGGGCCTCTTCCAAGGAAAAGGCAAAGCGCCCAAGGGCAGTGTCTTGATACTGACGCGCGGTAAAGATGGCGAGTTTGGTGCATGGTACCAGCCTACCATTAACACGAACAAGGGGGAGAAGATGGGTGAGACGACCAAGCTGGGAAGCGTGCGGGATGAGAGAGTCAGCAAGCTCGTCTGGCAACTCTACCTCAGCGGCCAGAACGTAAGCTCCGAAGAGGCGAGGAAAAATATCGTGAATGGATGCATTGCTATTACGGAGCGGCCGGTTGGGACAGTTGAGGGCAGGGTGTTGTAAAGTAGCTTCGTGTGAGGATAAGTGAATCGGGCTCACTGTACTATAATACTTGTGCTGGAATACCCATCTCTGAGCTCGCTGTATGTTCGATGGGAAATCATGTTACCCTCCTCACGCAGTACTTGCAAGTAATTCTACAGTGAGCAGGCTGGAACGTTCATACTACTAGAACAAACTTTGTCCTTCTCACACTTCCGACATGCACAAGGCTTGCTACCAACACCTCCTCAGCGGCGCTTCACACGTGTCCTTCCACATAGTAATTCCCATGGAGAGATCCCATTGGATCGCAAATACTTGCCAGTCCGTGTTCAGAACTCGTGTTCGCTGAAAGTTGCTCGTAAGGCCCATGCGATGATACGATTGTGATCGGCTCGACTGTCCGCCCCGATATCTCCGCCCCGACGCAACTCACGTACCCTCTCCTCGTTATAGTCATAGAAATCGTTCCGAAAAAATATCGAGGCTATGCTCAAGGAAACTTTTGTTCGCTCGGTGATCCTAGCTTGGTCTTCGGTCCTATGATTGGGTATACGGTGGCGGGTAATGTAGTGGGCGGATGGAAGTAATGGTCGATTGCTTTCCACACGGTGTAGAGCTCATTGGCTTCGTACTCTAGAGCAAGCTGTCCCAATGTGCCGGTTATTCCGTTCACTGACCAGAATGAGAGAGAGCTCCGTACAATTGTCGCAGCTATTGCTGCCCATGAAGCTGCTCAAGATTCACAAACATAGTATCGCCGTGCTTAGTGGCAGTGTAGCTCAAATCTTGCAATGTGTTTTGAAAATATTGGAGAATTAATGAGTTGAGTAGCATTGGATATCTAAACAGCCCCAACGCCTTCGCGCCTTGCCTTTCACAAGAAATCAACAGCACCTCCTGTACGTAACTCCCTACCATCCATAGTCGGGCAACTTCCACGCCTGAGTATCGTCCCCACCACCCAGCCACACCGCCAACTTCTGCACCCGCAACAAAGCCAGCAACCACACTATAGTATGCAAAACCCAATTTCCCCACACAGTCTGCGGATTCGCCAGCTGTGGAAAGAAGGCGAAATCCACGTTGTGCTTCGCGACAAACGGTTTAAACAAATCCTGATAGGTTTGTAATGCTTGCGGTACCTCCTCAGGCGATGTGATTTTGGAAAGCTCGCCGGCAATGCAGTAAGCCCCTGTCATGGCGAGACTGGTGCCCACACCCATAGTAGCGAAAGCTGCGTCGCCGAGCGTCACGCAGTGCCCTTTCGTCCATTGGGGTGTGCGGACTTGGCACCAATGTGTCATGTAAAAGTCGTCTGAGGCGTCGAGCCCGTCGAGGAAGCGTTTAAGTTGCCACGTGCATGACGAATTTTGAAATCGCTGGTGGAGATACTTTTTCTGCGTGGCAAGATCTGCACGTACAACATCCTCCAGTTCGGGATTTCGCTCCTTCTTGGCGTTGGTGACGGTCAGGTACACGCCCATGGTTTTGTTGTTACGGTGGGGACGCAGGTGGATGGCTAGTCCGGGGGCAAACGTAGCCCAGTGCCAGAACTCGTCGTCTCCGGGGATGCGTGGGACGGAGTAGAAAGCAATGTACATTCCTGACGGGTGGACGTGTTCGAGTTTGTCGTCTTTGCCGAAGATGAAAGAGCGCGTGGGAGAGCCGATGCCGTCTGCTCCTACGACGACGTCGTATCGCTGGTCCTGGAGCTTGCCGCGAGCAAAGTGGACGTCTACGCCGGTGCCGTCTGCTCGGTCTTCCATTGATTGGATCATTTCGTCGTAGACTACTTGGACCTGTACGCCCTCTTTTTTCGATTTGTCGACGCCGTCCAGTAACAGTTCGGTCAGCTCGCCTCGGAGGATTTCGTACTCGCTCGTCGCACTTTGAGCTTTGACATCGCCTGTTGCGGGAAAATATCCAACGATTTTGCCCTTTTCATTGAGAATTGCCAGGCCTTTCTCTGTTGTATGTCTGGCTTTGATGTCCTGTTCCCATCCCAGCTTACGGATCACATCGACGGCGGGGCCACGAACATCGACCGATTGACCTGTTGTTCGCGGTACTGGAGAGCGCTCGATGAGTGTGATGATGGGTTGCATCTTGAACCCTGGTTGGCGAGCGAGCATCAGGGCCAAAGAAGCCCCAGCGACGCCCGCACCAGATATGAGAATGGAGAGGGGCCTTTCAGACATGATTGTAACGATGCTCTGTTAAGCTTTGGGAAGAAAAGTTGCTTGTGTTGGTAGTGCTTAGCCAAGGGGCAAGGCGAGGCCATATTTATCAACATCCTACCTAATTTCCAACCTCCGAGCGCCAAATCTAACCTGCAAGGCCCGAAGACTTAGCGTAAACCCCGAACCACCGCGACAATTATTTCGCATTATCTCGCTCTGACAGGGCGACTAGGCACACAAAATGCGAGCGACTGTAATGTGACATCACCACTAGTCGCGTCCATCAATGGCATGTCACTGAAAGCGGGTGCCTAAACACGCGTGGCGCCATGGCTGTTGCACACGTTCCAGCGAAACAGGGCACCGCGTATGTTGCCTTGCATTGCGGTTCACAAGTGTGGCTTGTTCTGGACTGCACGAAGTGAAATCGGGATCGGTTCGGAGGCTGAGGTTGAACGGCAGCCCGATCGCCGACTACCTGTTTTGGTCTAGACCTGTTTTAGCCTCATCGGTAGCGTGTCGGCCAAATTTCACCGTCTTGGAACAATGCTACTTGTACTGACACTTTTCATTGAAAATTATGAACGCTTACTTCGGTGCTGGACCCAAGTAGTGACCCAAGGATATCCGTACTTCCCTCGATTGAGGCAGCAAAGGTCGCCGAATAGCCAATGCAACTAAAACACCTCATCCTCGCGCTTCGGATTCCTAACGACAGTCTCTTTCGGCAATTTGTCACGTGCTGTTAGGCAATCCATGGATGTTCGTGGGAATAGGTTTAGAGTAACTCTTTAGTATTTGATTAAGTGTTGTTACCTAGGGTAAAAGTAAAGTACGGGCGTAAGATAGCTGCTTAATAGTACTAAGAGCTACGTAGTCAACCTCTGCATCGCTTACCTTACCTCTATCCTTGTCCTCCTCAACCTTGTACACATACGCTAGCTAGACCTCGCTAATCATAGCTACGCGGAAGCTTGTGCCGCTGATCGGTGAGAGCTTCCTAGCGACAGTCTTGTTGACGACCGATGTCATGTACTTGCTGAAATCCCCCACGAATAAAGCCCCGATGAAAGCAACGCTGCCGAAAGCGATAGTACTCAAGTGAACTGTTGAAAGACCCTTCGCGTAGGCGCGCTTCGTCCCAGCACCGATGGCGGACAAGATCGAGCTATCAATTCCCGATATCTCCCACGGACAGCTGCGGGACCGTTCGTGAGGGAAACGAGCAGAGAAGAGATATTAGATGCTGGGAGGCCGGCGTCGAGGGCATACGAAGTTACACTGTTCGGGAGTCCGGTCTTGATCTTGCTCTCATTTCGAATACGCTGAAAATCATTCGTCAGAAAGAGACCAGACTATTAAATTCATGAGTTACTTACGGACATCCAGCCCACGTTAACGCTGTTGGTGGTGTACAGCAACGAGGTCTGCGATGGCGATACAATCCCGTTATGGCTACATTGAGTCCAAAGCGTCACCGCACTCTCTCCATATGATATTGATGCATTGGATTTTCATTTCATCTAGCTATGGTCTTTCAACACGCGACCAAAAATGTGATGACTGGGATAACCCTCAGCATTCATCCGACGGGCCGAGATAACACATTTTCTATGAATAAACTCATATTCCATGGAACTCTCCCAACCGTATCGAGAGATCTCCAAACCTCAAACCAAATCAAGCATGTTCCACGTCCACAGAAACTTGACATCCCATAATAGCGTTCGGTTCCGAACTTCCTGAAGTTTGCGGTTTCGCATAGAGGACGGATCCTCTTACACAACCGACTCCTCAGACTCGTCCTGTGCGTACGTGCTCTTGAGATATGCAAACGCCTTCGCCTCAGCTGGACGAGGCGCCGGAGCCAACCCGCTAAACGGGACACGTGCATTTGGAATGATTTTGACCTCCAACTTGCGTACGTCAAAATGGATAGGGGAAACCTCTGCTCGCATGAAACGCGTGCCAAGCTTCTCCCTGCATCGGTAGCACCCATTCAGTAGTCTGCTTGACAAGAGCACGTGGCGGCAAGTACGGACCCATATAGAGCGCCAGAACCGGAAGTCGACTTTGACAGTCAAGCTCGTGAGCCGCGGGAAGTGGGCTTTTAGTTTGAAGTTCGAGAGCATGGCCCATTCGCGCTCGGTCGGGAAGATGCCAATATGGATATGGCGTATGAATTTCCGGTACTGCTCTGGTGGAATAATGAACACGTTATTACCAGTTGTAGCCGGTGCGATGGAGAAGGTGTTATTTCGATAGAAAACTTCCTTCGCGATCTCTATAAGGCGAATCTGTTAGATGTATCGACGCAAAAGGGCCATAGGCGACTTACCTGAGTCCTTAAACTTCGGCGAGAGGAGGTAGTCATAGGGACCGTTTAAACACTTGGGGGAGCTCACCAAGTCGAGTGGCGTGTGCGTGAACAAGTGTAATGCATATTGCAGTATTCGAATCTTCAACTCGTCGGGCAAGGTGTTATAGAGGTTCCAAAACGAGATGTCCACGCGAGACATGATGGACGACTAGTGTTGATGCCCCCGAAGCGTTGAGGGAAACGTACTGGGCTTGAGGGCAGAGTAAAGTGAGTTTATATACACAAATGTGCGCAACAACGCACGGACCTTGGGACATAGTGCCTTCGGAATGAGTCAGCGTCTGTGAATACGTCCCCTCCTCGAGGTCACGTGTGACTCGACATCATTGTCTTGGCGCGATCCTTGCGCGGGGTTACAGACTTCCTAAGATCACAATATCACCGTTGGGATGAATGATAGACTATTTCGCTATCCATGATCTCACCCCATTCGGTTGGCCACGATGAAGAAGGTGTTGTTCCGGTAGAAAGCTTCCTTCCAGATTTCTGTTCTTCTGTCAATTATACTAACATACATTTCGGGCACAGAATTAAGGTACCTGCGTCCTCGAACCTCTTGGAGAAAAAGGGCTTCAAGTGACCCGCAATGAGTTTCGAGCAGGTCAACATATCGACAGGCTCGTGAAAGTCCGTCACAGGACCAAAAATCATGAGCTTCAACTCGGCGGGAAAGGAGTTCCCGCAGTCCAACAATGCATCAGTTGAAGCTATGATGAAAAGATCCGTGGTAAGACTATCAAAACTTTTGGGAGAACGTGATTGTATTTCCTGTGTTTCCTGTGTTTCCGGTGGAAATGGCGTGTATATATAGACCGAGTAATTGGACTTCTTCCCACATGAAATTAACTTTTGCAGTAAGCGATTCAAGGTTCGAGGTCCTATATTCATTGCAAGATTTTCCGCGCTGCCAAACCTCGGAGATCGAAGCAATATCAAACAGCAAATCGATTGCAGTAAGGATATACAGAACGTGTAAAGCAATCTCATATACAAATAACACAAATGTTGGATAGTGGCTGAGAGTTGCTTCGTGCTCACCCTTTTTGCAATTGGCAAATGCATCAACGTGGGGACAAGAGCCAAACGTTGTGACAACACTTGATAAGTATCAACTAGTACACTCACAACGTGAGTTTCCGAAGGATTCTACAGGTGAGGATGCGATACATAGATGAAGATGTAGATATCACAGAAATGACTCTTGGACACTTCTCAACTTCAACCAGAAGGTGCTGATACGCTTTTGGACTGGAGGAAAGGAGGTCAAGCATACCAAATCTCAACTATATACTGTCCAATTAGATACCATGTTACTTTCAGAAACTCTGCCTTATTGTAAAGAGACGGCTTTTGTGATATGCGACCAATGAGCAGATACTCCGTGATATACTACTTGTCCGTGTCCACGCTCGAGCCCTGCAGCACGGTGCTGGTCAGGACACGAAGCTTGTTTAAGTCTGCAATATCGATCAACTCATTGATGTTCAGAAAAATATCTGAAATCTAAATGAGCAAGTATCTCCCTTTCAAGCTTGGGAAACCTATCATCAAACCAGAAGCCAACAGTGCTCGTGCACGTCTCACACAGCCAGTCCCGTTCAAAACACCGAAAACGCGCCTATGAATCCTTTCCCACTCATTTCGCAGAATTCCTACCATCTTCCTCCAAAATCCGATTCAACCCATCCCGCTTGATGCAATTCTCAAAAGCGAAGCTCCTCGCCAACTCCTCCAGCTCCGCTTCCGTCTTCCCCTCAAACAGCTCCGCAAATTCCCATCCCAGATACTCGCTCATCAGACACTCCCTGACCGCCCTTTCCACCTGCCTATCGAATGTCCAGATATGTGGATACTTCTTCTTCTGGATGTGCTCAGGCACCATCTTTTTCAAGCCTTCGATGAACGGAGCGTACACATCCTTGACACTCTCTTTGTCTACACAGCCCCAGAAGTCGAGTGCTAGCTTCTGCTTCTTCGCTACGAAAGGCGCGATGAGCTTCATGTATGGTGTGTCCGGGTTGACGTAGACCATGCCCTGGTAGCCAATGTCTTTGTACAACCAGATACTCCAGCTGACCTTGTCTTGGTCATAGATGTTAAGCTGGTCTTGCAGCATGTGATAGCGCGCGTTGTTGACCTTCTCTGCCTCGGGGTCGACACTCTCGTTGGCATACACGGGACCGAATTCTCCGTTCCAGATGGGCACCTTCTTCTCTCGCATGAAGAGCGCTTTCCGGTCGAATTGCCGCTTGAGTTTGCCCTTGTGGTCGTCGCTACCAGAATATAAAGGCTGCCCGGGGATTGGGAACCCGAACATCGCGTAGTCGTGGCATGCGTAGACGGCATTGGGCAGGACGTTTTGGAAATATGTGAAGTCCATTGCGTATGTGTTGCCGTCGATGAAGAGCATAGTGTCTGGGTCTACAGCTCTGATGGCCTTTTCTGCACGCTCGTACCACGAAATCAAACGAACGTGCTCAGGGTCTGCCGGCTCGTTAAGTAGATTGTAGCCACATACTACTGGGTTGCCCTTGTAGCGCGTTGCGATAGCTTTCCAAAGCTCAATTGCCTGATCTTGGAACACGCGGAACTCCCAGAACATGGCCTTGTTGAGCCCGCTATCAGAGTGCCAATCTTGGTTCTGACCACCTGGCGCGGCGTGAAGATCCAGGACAACGTACAGGTTGTATCTTGTACAAATGTTGATGACACGGTCCATAAGATCAAACCCCTCTTTCTTGAAGGACGTCGGATCCTGGTCATCGATGAAGTGGCGGTAGTTGAACGGTAGGCGTATGCAGTTCATGCCCAGCGACGCGAAAAACTTCGCATCAGCTTCAGTAAAGAAGTAGTGTAATAACCTATCGAAGAAGAACTGTGCCTTTTCCTTGCCCAGAACTGAAGCAAGTGCAGCTCGATGCTCGTGTTCATGGCCTGGATAGCCAGTAATAAAGTTCTCCATGTTGAGATAACCACCCAGAGCTGTACCCTTCAGCACAATACGCTCACCAGCGGCGTTGACGATAGCATCGCCAGATACGCGCAGTGGCTGACAGGATGGATTTAAAGTGTGAATGGCCATCGTGGAGTTAGGAAAGGTCAGAACCGAAAGAACGAGGTGTAGAAAGCAAAGTACTGTCGACGTCGAGATGCAAACAGTTTCGAGTTCTCCAAAAGCTTACATCCGGGTCCCTAATCTAGTTCCAGTCGGAGACACGACCTGGGGAAATGTGGGTCCGAGGTTGTTGCAGCTCCCGACATTCCGCGAAGGTCTGGGGATCGACCGAATATGGTTAGGTTCGACTTTGTGCACCAGTGTGTGTGCGTGCATCATTACACGCGCGAATAGGCATTTGCAGATACGAGTCGTTATTAGCCGTTGGGTATCTTTCTTCTTGAACCTGCGCGATTCTGTGCAATTCGAGTAGAGGTCTCCCTTTGCGTTAAATTATGGCCGACGAATTGCGGTATAGTAGACGAAGGGTAGCAGCCATGGTGGAAAGATCAGCCGACTCGTGTTCCCAGGAATCAAGCAATTGGATGACCTCTTCGATAGCCTCACGCCAACCTGGCGGCATATGGTAGATAGTTCTGTACCCGTAAGACTCATCGTCTTCGCGAGCGTCAAAAGCGGGGCTCTGCGCAGCAGCAAGCAGAATGAAAGCACTGCGTGTGCAGGCCTTGATCATGCCAAATGTTCCATGATGTCTGTGCGAAAAGCCAGGACGATTTACATGAATTCGATCGATGTGTATTTGTAGACCCGTGTTCGCCATGTGCTGTATGCGCCGTGATTTTTCAGTGCGTAAACCCGAAGCAACGATACAGTTGACAAATGGCCAGTACACAATTTCCCACACATTGATGAGATGCCCACGCAGAACAAAGCGGCATATTTCGTCTTCTTCTGCTGGCGCTAGCGTGGATATGTTCTCTGGCAATGCTCGAATCCAGTCCCCGATCTGTGATTCACGGTCGTCGACTGTGTGAGCAAGCCCCAGGATATGGCTCTGCCCCGGTTCTGGTGTAAAGTCCACGACTTCTCTAGCCATACGACGCCACAGTCGCAGTAGTGAGATTTCAGAAAGGTAGAAATACCATGATAATTTCTCGCGTGTCGCAGTCTCCGTATTGACCAAGCTCGGTAGCTCGCCGTCATGACTTGGTGGAGTCGGGAAGAAGGCTGGGTACCCGGCGATATCGATTTCGGAGAACAAGAAGCCCGGCAGGTTCAGATCGTCATTCACTTCGCGCTCAGACTTCCATGCCGACCAATAGATGGCTTGCTCGGCAGCAGCTGAACGGCGTTCGGCCTCGTCTAGTCGCTCTCCATACTCCTGTCGGAAGGCGATCAACGACTGAAAGGTCTGACAGCAAGCCAATGACTGCATAAAGTACCGCCATGCTGGCATCCTTTCAAAAGTGCCTATGTAAGAGTCAACACCTTAGTTTCAGCTCGCTTAGACTAGCGATGTACCTACACATGCTATAAACACCCTAGTTACGGTTCAGCTCGTCTCCTTCATCGATATTGGACCATGCTACTTACTGCAAAGAACATGCACTGTGCCTCGATTAGAGTTGATGTGCCCAGAACCAGACCGAGCCTCTTCTTGGCAGCCAGAAAGAATGATTCAGCGGTACGGTACGCTTCTGAATCGCGATGAACGTAGTCCCCGTCGAGCGGCGTAGCTATGGTACCGAGCGCACAGACGAGCAACGCAAGACAGGCATCCGGTGACCAATCGATTCCATGCAAGCAGACTCTGTTCACAATTCTCCTAGTTTGCTGTTCGTCCAAGACCGGATTCTTTACATGCACGTAGTTGAAGAAGTTATCAAGCAATAGCTTGATTCGATGGGGCTCGAATTCATCAAGTCCAGATATCGGCGGAGAGGTCGTCATCTGCGACGCTGATCTATTGGTGCAAGGAAATGCCGGAGTGCTCAATGCCTGACCTGCGCGCAATCTTTTCAGAGACTCCCATTCTAGGATATCATCAATTGAGCATGGCAATAGTTGCGATCGATCAAGTTTCGTCTCGCCCAGTGCTGGCTCGGAAACGTCTTTGCTGCCACTGCCGACATCGCGAACAAGCTGTTCTAGATCGTCGAGACGCTGTAGTATTTGCAAGCTCGCAGGATCGAAGCTCGAGAGATCTACCGGTGCCTGAATACATTTTGCGCCAACCTTGACGCAGAAGGAACATGCCGGCTTCGCATTGTCGCACTTGGTTCGACGTGCACGACAAACTTGGCACGCTGTCACAGCGCGTTTGCGGGGGTAGGAGGCCGATCCACGTGGTGCGGGTCGTTTCTGACCAGTACTAAGATTCGGTGTAGGGACTTGTGGGGATGTCGGATGTTGCTGGGAGGAGTCCATGTCTGTGTTAAGGGTTGCGCGCGGTGGAAGAAGGAAAGACAGAGCGCGGAGTGTCGCTCATCTGGCGGCAGTCGTGAGCGCCATGCCTGCTCAGGCTAGACTAGGTTTGCCAGCAAGCCTCTGGGCACAATCACCATACCCCAAACGGATCTAGACTGAAATACTATCGCGGAGTGTCGTCCTCCACATTACCCCAGCTTTTCGTCTCCGCTCTGCACGCGGCATCCATGTCGCTGGGTGCATGGTACATCGAAGGCACCACTTCGGTTGACCAGGGTCTCTCCGCATCCAGACCCGTCATCAACGCGAAGCTTCATCGTCTCCAGCAGTATAAAGCGCCCTCAATGTCCTGCTGGAAAAGATCAATACTCGGGAGCAGCTGTCTCTGAACCTGCTTTCCTTTCCTCTTTACGAGCATCCAATATGGAGAAGCCGTCATTTGTCACCCACCATGAGGAAGCCCTCAACTCCCACGAGCTGATACACAGCGTGACTGAGACCAAGGGTGCAATTGCCGACAACATCAATGAGCACCAACTCACCCTGAAAGAAGTCTGGAAGAAACATCCAGCCCTGATCGGTTGGTCGTTTTACTGGTCGATGTGTGCCATTGGATGGTAAGAGGAAAACAGTACGAATCGAAATATGTAGAACATTGACTGACTTGCTTCGATAGGGGCTTCGATGCCCAGATCAACGGAGCTATGATCTCCGTCGCCTCCTTCCGCCGAGACTTCGGGTACATCTTCGAGGGTGAAGCTGTCTTACCCGCCAGCTGGCAGACTGCGTTCAACATGATCAGCTCAGTTGGCATGCTCTTCGGCGGGTTCGCCTGCAGTACGATTGCAGATAAGATGGGTCGACGAGCTTCACTGCTATGCGGCATCTTGTTTTGCACCGGTGGCGCCTTTGGAGAGATGTTCGCTCCTAGTAAGGGCGCCTTCCTTGCAGCGAAGCTCATCCTAGGTGTTGGACTTGGCTTCTACCTCACGATCGGACCTCTTGCTTGTAGTGAGATCGCACCTGTGGTCCTCCGAGGTATTTCTACAGCTGGTATCAACCTAGGTATTGCTATTGGGCAGTTGTTATCGAATGCAGTCGTCAAGGGCTTCGGTGAGAGGCCCGATCGTTGGGCATATGCTGCACCCTTCGCTATTCAACTGTTCTTCTCGCTGTTCCTCTTGTGCGGCCTGCCATGGACGCCAGAATCTCCGTGGTATCTCGTCCGTAACGGGAAGGATAGTCAAGCTCTCAGTGCTTTGCAGAAATTATGGGGCCAAGATACCGATGTAAGCGATAAACTTGCGACGCTCAAAGTCACGATTCAAGAAGAGGAAAGCCAGAAAGAGTCGAAATTTGTCGATTGTTTCCGGGGCACCAATGTCCTGCGCACTTGCATCTCGACCGGTGTATTCGCATGCCAACATTTCGTCGGCATTGTATTCGTGCTCGGCTACTCGACGTACTTTTTCCAACTTGCTGGGCTTGACACAAGTCGCTCTTTTGACCTGGGTGTTGGCGTCACGGCTTGTGGTGTGGCCGGCAATATCGCGAGCTGGTTCGTCGTCAATTCTTATGGCCGCCGTAAGGTCTTCATTTGCGGTATGGCAGCCCTCACAACTCTGCTACTTCTGATCGGCATTATGGACGTCATACCAACTGGGCCATCTAAATGGGTACAAGCATCCTGCACCGTCATCTACGCCTTTGTCTACTTCATGACCATTGGTGCCATGGCTTTCGTGTTGTTAGGTGAGACCTCCAGTATGGGACTCCGAGCGCATACCACCGCTCTCGCAACGGCCACGCAATCTGTTCTTGGCGTGGCCGTGAACATTGCTGTCCCGTACATGGTCAATCCTGACGAGGCAAATCTGAAGGGAAAGGTCGGTTTCGTCTTTGGCGGTCTTGCTGCGATAGCAACGTTCGGGTCCTGGTTGTACGTTCCGGAGCTCAAGGGGCGCACGAACCGCGAGATCGACACACTGTTTACAGCTCGTGTACCACCGAGGAAGATGGGTTCCTATGAGCTCGACGAGACGATCGCGTAAAGAATGCAATGTACCATTTAAATCAATCTGAACATGCAGGCTTGGATTGCGGAGACTGTTCGTTGCCCAAACGTTCGTTGGGGATCCCGGGTGCAAGCATGTAAGAACATGGTGGACTGTAGAGTCACAAAGTCGGAAGTCGTAAGTTCATTAGCCTTGTCTAAACACAACGTCGTGCCAGTATATCCAAAAAGCCTGTCCCATGAATCGCATCAAGGCCCAGGATATCCGATGTTTTCTCTATCATCATCGATAACACGACCATACTCGAGCAAGAGCCTGAAGAGCCAGGCCTCAAAGTCGACATTGCGCAGCGCTTTGCCCGACCACTCCGTACTCCTCTCAGCAATCTCTCTTGCCTTCTTCTCCCCTAGGCTGTCGCCATTCCCACCTTTATCTGCTTCCTTTTTCTCACCTTCACCCTTCTTGACCTCGACACCAGAGAACCACCGCACGAGATCCAGGTGTTCGTCGCCGATGAGACTGAAAGGGATGTAGTGGACCCATGGCCTAAGCCACTCATTATGCCACTCACGGAACACCGCCATCTTGTATGTCAAGCTGCGGGACTTCAGGAACGAGTAGAAGCGGCCCGAAAAAGCGTTGCCGTCCATGTCGAGAAGATGTTTGTAATACCAGGCATCCTGGCCATCAGCATGCTCAGCAACGTAGAAGAACTCCCTCTGCGCATCGCAGTCCCCCGGGTCACACTGTCCGATATGGCTGAACTTGACATCGATGAGGGGTTTATAGAGTGTGCGGTCGACTTCTTGTATCTGATGTGCTAATACTGAAGAAGTACCGTCCTCGTTGTTGACGGGAACAGAGATGTTTGCTTTGTCGAGGGCATTGAGGCGACGAACAATGCGCTGTCGGTGCTGACGGCGCCAGCCCCCTTTACGACTGAACCCGCCGGTGGTGGAACCGCGCCAATAGAGGCTGTTCGTCTTGTTTTCCCAGCTAGTGTCGTGCCAGTCGTCGTAGCCTACCTTGCCATACCAGTACCATGGACTTGGATACAGAATGTCCTGGAAGCTCGATATCTTCGATTGTGAGAATATGGGCGTGAGTTCGTGAACAACGCTAAATGCGTTCGGGCGCTCGAAGAAGCCGTAGGATCCCGAAAAAGAGGGTGAATTACAGATGTCGGTAAAGGCGGTTTGATTAAGCACATAGTTCAGCGGGCCAGCAGCGTATGCAGTCAGATTGTCCACGACCTGGTCCTCGAACTGTTGTGCTTGACTACGTGCGGGGCAGGACAAGCGTGAATGTGTCCATGTCTGCTGATGCGCGAATCTATTGAAGCGACTATAGCTCACTTCTTCGATTCGTTTCCCGCTAGAAACGTCTGATGGACGTGGGGAGAAGCTATTCTTAGGCAGGTCTTTCTTCGCCAGTGCGAACAAGACTTCTTGCGCCTTTGCGACCATTGCTGAGAGATGATCATTCGGCACTACTACTCGTGGTTCGTCGTGGATATTAAATCCCAAGTCCATATCTGGGAGGTACTGCACGAATTTCTCCATCATTCCGGCGGTAGCATTTCGTTGCCAATCAGGTTCACCCTCCGCTTTGGCTATGCTGCCATCGCGTATCAGGATGGCGATCAATGCACTATCCTCATTGCCCAGGGCATTTCTAATCCGCGACCGGATTGTAGAAGGCTTCAAACTCCAATACGGAAGCAATGTTTGTGTGATCGTGTCGAACTCATCAATGAGTACAACACCGTTGCGAGTGGCGAACTCGTACCATTTATCGAAGTATGGTGGTGGCGTAATTCCGTTTCGTCGACGGTATTCGATTACCGCTTCTCCTAGTGATTTGGACTGCCTACCAAGCAAATCCCGGAAATCTTTCTCGGCGGAATCAATGAGCTGTGCAGCGGGGTGTCCTTTGGCCATGTCCATGCCAGCAGGCCGATACGGAGATGCAGGAGGAGATGTATGTAAGGAGGTAAGGTCGCCCCGGGGCAGGCCATGTCGCGCTATGAGGGTATCTTGCAAGAAAAACAACGCAACCGAAAATGCCGATACGCAAAACAGACCCCGTTTCAGTCGCACAGAATTCCGAACATCGAAAATTGAAGATGTTTGACTACTAGAAAGGAAGGCGAAAGCTGATATGCCGTAAAGAAGCGTGAACCAGACGCCAGAAATCGTGGCGCTTAAGCGCAGTCTAGAGCATATGTACGCAAATACGTAAAGACAAGAAGTATGTACGACGCCTTGGCGCGAAAGCTGGAAGTAAAGATTAGCGAATCATGAACAGATGCGTGGGATCCCCAATGCTCAGTTGAAACCAGCTCTGTATGACGGGAATGATGCATTATTGCGCTACCCCTAACGCGTTTGGGGATGACAGAATAGCAAGAAGGGGGCTCAGCTGTGCGCAGATACCGTATAGATGGACTTACTATAAGAAATATCAATGCATTGAGAAGGGTATTGACAAGAATGAGGACCAAGACGAGCTGGACTGTCTGGTAATGCCGGACTGTTTTCACTGAATCGCCACCAAATCGGTAGACCGGCTCCCACGAAATGGTAGAGGAAGTGATGGGCGGCTCCATGAGATAGGCTGCCAGACCGCAGACCAAAGCCATGACCACAGCCACGTCTCGAAGCACAACGAACTGCTCCCTCCGTATAAGTCCATTGCCTGAGCCTGGGCGCATGAGATTGCGGTTGATAGGTACTTGTGATGACTCAAGAAAGGTTTCGTCGTCGCTTGACGACTTCAGAGCGGACTCGAACAGGACGAAGCCGACAGCGGCGAATATGACGCTACTGATGCCGAGGGCAAATGTGGAAGATGCAGTAAAGCCCGTGACTAAGGCGAGGCTCGCGGAGAGGGTGATTACGGCCAGTATGCGGACAGACGGCGATTGAGTCTGCTGTTCGGTGGCTGCAGCGCTCTCTTTTGCGGGGTTCGTCGACGAAGCGTGAGTGGGCAAGGCAAGGTGCTTGAAGAGTCCACCTCTCCCAGACAAGAAGACGGCTAGCAAAGGAAGCAAGCCCTAAAAGATATCAGTGGCATTAATCGTTGCAGGCCGTACCAATCATACCTTGGTAGACCATGTGCCCTCCTTGTCGCACGCTGCCCTTTCGCATATATGCGAAAGTGCCAAAAACCCTCCTGCCAGCCAATGTGTTTTCCTCTTAGCCGCATCTGGTGATCCGAGCCCAGCTCGGAAGAGCGTTGGTATGCATATGGCGGCCCAAGATACGGAGGCTATGAGTAACTGGTGCTGTACGGGTGCGTGTACGTTTGCGGTTGCAGCGAGGACGGAGAAGAGTAGTGGAACGACAACATGGTGATTTCTGCGCGCATAGTCCGCTATGGAGGAGGCAGTCGGGTGCATTGCATTGGTGTCGAGCGGCTATCGATCGTAGCGAAGGTCCGTCATGAATTTGGTTGCAATATGTAGGGTTCGGTCGTCGGTAAACAATGAGATCACACAGATGGAAGGAGTGGGCGATCTCCAAACAAACATCCCTGCATGCGCGTCGCGTCTAGCTTGGCGCACGGCCGCTAGACCCACTTCTAGACCTCACCTCCTCTACCTCGTCGAGCTCATCTCTCTTCATGGCTAACGAACGAGCACCTCGCCGTCTTGGGTGCATTCGTTATTCAGGAGCATATCTGCTCGGACTGGTATATTGTACGAAAACAAGCAGGAGGTGAAGTTTCACACATCAGGGATACGAGATACGCAAGCTAGTCAACATTGCAACAAAAACACTTTTATGGATTTTCTCCAAGTCTACATCTGCCAGGATCATATCAAAGTGGGCTACTTGCGACGGAATGAATAACATCAGAGGGCGAAGCCGCGAAGCCCGACTGTAGGCAATGGTACCTGCAACTGGCAGCCTCATGACAAGACATCCCAAAGAGATGATGGCCGCCTGGACGCGCCGGCGGGCTGTATGGAAAGAAATTGGGGAAGAAGGGTGCGAATTGGTATCAGGAGGAGTGTCGCATCTGCTGGTGAGCTGTTAAGAGTACGCCGTCACATCGCTGCAACAGCCGAGGTGGACTCGCTCTCCTCGTCAGCGTCATCATGCAACCAGATCACACCATCCTCACGCCCATCGTCAGGCGTAGAGGTCTCGGTTTCCCGGTCGGTGCCTTCGTCCAGCCAGACCTCTCCGGCATCTTCTTCTTCGTCGGCATACTCGTGGTCATCATCCTTCAGCCAGAAAACGCCATCCTCCTCGTGCTCAAGGCCATTCTCGTTGTCGATGTCTTCAATGGCCACGGAAGAAGGATCAGGACATATGTCGGCCGTCGATACCTTGCAGAACATCTCCGGAAGCGCGAAGTCCGTGGCGAGCAGCCCGTCGCGACCACCAACGTCCGCTTTGTCGTCTACCTCCCACTTAGCGAACAGCATCAAGACGAAGCAGCCTTTCTGCTTATCAGCAAACCAGGAGGGTTCTGCATCCATGAGCTCCTCGGCTCGCATGTACTGTTTGTGCTCGAGATAGAAAGCCTCCTATGTTGCTAAGTCAGCCCTGGTCTTTAACCGAAGTGGCTCGAGAGTACTTACCAAAGCGCGCTGAAGCTCATAATGCCACTTTATAGTGTTTCGGTCGCACATAACCTGCCACTGGTGGCAGATGCCATAAGAAACCAAGAAGCGCCGCGCCTTCGCAGCCATCTCGCGAGCGAACACCTGGTGTGCATCTTCCATGTTCGCCATGTTGTCTGGATCGAGGATGTCCGGTTCCGTCGACCGGCGCTTCTTGCGCTTCCCGAACCATTCTTGAAGTCTATCTGTGATCGCATCGACAAACTTGCTGGTCTCTTCACGAGAAGGGATGTTATCGGCAATGTTGACGATAGGTTCGATCACGCGGCCCGCAATCTCTGGGAAATCGTAGCCCGCTGTGACACCGTTTACATAAGCAGATGCACCGTCCGTTACGGTGGCCTTCATGTTATCCAATACGTGTTTCAACGTGCCTGGTGTTAGTATATCCTCCGCTTTGCGCTTGACAGCCTCGCCGGCCTTCGAGGCGGTGGCCACAGGTGTGCACACCGCTGCAGCCACTTCGTTCTTGAGCGTGCCGTTCCGCTCTGAGGGGTAGTTCTGCTTGGTGATGATAAACGTATCAGCATCCTCTTTTAGGGGGACCTCTTCGTCGTTGAACTCCAATTGCTCCGCCTGGGCACTATTTAGAGGTTGCGGGGTTGTTTGTGCGCTTGCTGGCATTACGGTCCCAGGTTCGTGGGCGTCCTCGTTGTTTACTGAATATGCGGCGTCGTCGTCGGGGAGCGACGCATCCAAAGAAAGAGCTATAGCGTCAGTATGCGCCTGGTCAGTTCGAGATGTAGCCTTACTCTCTGTGTAAGTCTCATCGATAATGACGGAATTCCAATCGCTCGCCTGATCAGGCACCACAACCGCTGAAGGGGTTGCGCTGTCGCCTTTGGTTGTTTCCTCTGCGGCAGGAGCGGCGCCATGATCAGAGGGCTGTACTGCTAGAGGACTTAGAGCTACAGAGTCGATATGCGCCTTGTCCGACAATGGTGTAGCCTTATTATCTGTTGAATCCTTGTCGATGGAAGTCATATCCATCTCTTCGGCTTCCGCGGTCGTTGGAGCTGTTGCGTTGCTGTCTGCGCTCTGCTTCTCCACGGAAGATACGTCGCAAGCAGCGGTGCGTAGCTCAGCCAACGAGACATCGGTCGGCTTCTCCATACTAGTAGAAACAAACCAGTCTAGGAACATTTTGTATGTGACAACAGCGGGTGTCCTCTAAGAGAGTCGACGTGGGCGGGGTAGTCGGGAGGTTGAGGTTTCCAAACTCCCAGTGAAGATGCGCGGGAAATTTCTAGCAGCTCTATACTATGGGAGTGTGTGTTCTTCGGGTCGATGGGTACGCTGCACGTTCTGAAGCCCGCGGCAAGGGCAGATTTTGCACGCTCAGGACTCTCGCAAGTGCCCTACCGTCCAGTGGGTATTCCACTTCGTTGGACTTAAAGTTAAAGCAGCGGCAGGTCGTGGGCCAAGTGGCCCGCTTAGGGTACATCGCGTGAAATGCATCACTTAGAGCAAGAGAATGTGAACGAGGCGGCTGCTTAGATGCATCGAACAACACGGATGCTTCGTTTGCGAGCGCGTTTGTAGGCGCACAACACGTGGATGAGGTCCATTCATGAGGCGCAAACCGCGGAAGAGGCACGACAATAGAAACATACAAACCGAGCTAGAAGACAAACGAAGCGATAAATTACGACGATGGGGAAGGGCCCCTTCCTACTCGAGTCCGTGTAGATGAACTTAAACTTTACGCTCGCCCTAGAAGCTACGAGACGCGGGAATTATGGCCATAGCATATTTGCCTTGTGGCATAGCATGGTCGGAATATCGTCCCTTCCATATTCGAAGGCTGGCATTCCTCGTGAAAGGCGACCTCATTTGATCAACTCGATATTAGGATAAGCTCCTATCTGGATAAGCTTTCGTTGGGATGAACTTCTATTGGGATGAACCTCTAACCATTGCTCATGTGATCACCCAAGATCCCTTCCGTCGAAGATGTGGAAAGGAACTCTCCCAGATGCGCTAGTGCATTGAAGTAGAAGAAATCTGCTGGCTTAGAAGTGCCGTTGACTCTTGTCACTCGAGCAATGTTAGTCTAATCAGAAACATGTTCTTTAACTAATCATGTTCTATGTCATTGCCTGCTCCAAGACTGTTACTACATGATCTTAAGATAATAATAGTACTCACTAAAGCCTACATGCAAAATCCAATTTAGGAAACGCTAAATCGCAATCAAAAACACCATACCATCCCCCACACTCCCTCCCATCTCCGCTCACGGCGCACTCTCCCTCGGCCTGAACCTCGTATTGAAATCCATCTGCCTCACAAACCACGCATTATGCGTCTTCCACTCTGCATCCGGTCGCTCAAGCTCAATCTGCAGCTGCGTTAGCCTACGTTGCCCTTGGATATTCACGAAAAGTACTCACCTCAAACCTCCTCAAAAAACTCGGCACCAACTTATACACCTCCAACAAACTAACATTCTTCCCAATACACGTGCGCGCCCCAGCCCCAAACTGAAACATCGTAGCCTTCATCTCCTTAAGCTTGTTTGGCGGCGCCTCGAGCCAGCGCTCAGGGCGGAACGTTTCTACATCATCGCCGAAGATCTCCGGCCGGCGGTGCAAGGCCCAGGGATTGCAGCCGACGATGGTGCCGCCGGGGATGAAGGCGCCGAGGATGTCCATGCCCTGCGGGGGAACGATGCGTTCTAGGATGAGGCCGGCGGCGGGGTGCATGCGGAAGGATTCCTGGATGACGGCGTCGAGGTAGGGCAGTTTTTGGGATTCGGACCACGAGACGGTTTTGTCGGTGCGGGGTTCGATGGTGCCGTTTGTGACTGCTTCGTCGAGTTCTTGCATCAGCTTGGCGTAGACGGCTGGGTGCTTGAGGAGGAAGTAGAAGACGCTGGATAGGGAGATGGCGGTCGTTTCGGAGCCGGCGAAGACCATGGAGGTGCAGGATGAGAGGATGCGGGTGTCGTCCATGAAGTCGGGGTGGTCGTGGGCTGCTTGGGCGAATTTCGAGAGGAGGTCGACGCCACGTGGGTTTGGTTGGTCTTCGGGGAGGCCGTAGGCTTTGATCTTTTGGATCTGGCCTGCGCGTTCGTTGGAACGGGTTTGCGCAAAGAGGGTCACGGGAAAGACGGTTTTGCTTAGGCCGATGCGTTGGAAGAAGAGAGAAATGGGGTTCTTCTCCAGGAAGAGGTCGAGGATGGGCATTTGGCCAATCTACCTTTTGTTAGTAACGAGCGAGAAGAAATACGAGATTTGTAGCTTACCGGGCCTGCATAACTCAAGAAGCCTTGCAAGAAGCCAATGATGCCGTCCACGTCCCTGTCCTCTTCAACGAACCCCAACCTCTTACTCCAGGTCAAATCTCCAATGACGTCAAAAGCGAAGTACTGCAACCACTGGCTGAAGTTGCAAGTCTTCCCCGTGTTTGCATACATCTCTTGCGTCTTATCGAGGAATACGCCAACAGTCGAGCTGACCAGCGGCTCGTAGTTGACTAGGGAGCTCATGGCAAAGGCATTGTTGACACAGCGACGATACTTCGCGTGGTAGTCCTCATCGACCGTAGAGAACAGTGATTGAAGTCGATGACCATTCGCAACAGCATTCTGCACAGGATAGAAGTCGGACTAGACATAGTTAGGCCTTCACCGATCGAACGACAGCAGGGCGTAAGTAAGCATACCTTGACCATGCCCTTGTTCAGTCCATAGATGACCTTGATAGCCCTCGGATCCGCAAAGGATAAGACATTCGGGCCCAATCTCACCACGTCTCCGTGCTCGCGGTGCAACTTGATGATAGTCCAATGGTGATGCCTCCCCCACACATCCCAAAACCTCCACCAGTTCGTGTAACCAGCCAACCAAGGACCCGGATACCGATTCAAGCCCTTCCAGAACTTATTGTTCAGCAGCCAGCCAAGCGTCAGCGAGACCAAAACGATTGGCCAGTACTGAGCTAGCAGCGGCAACACTCCGTTGAGCAGCATTGTGGCTAATGTTGAATTAAAGCGAAGTTGCAATTAAAGAGGCGATGGCTGAGCTTTCATATCTGGCTGGTGCGGCGGCCGTTTATGAGGTGCAGCAGCCGCGCTCTGCAGCCCTGATTGCCGTGCGAGCAACACGCTCTCGATCGCACGGGACTTAGCATAGTGGCCGTGCCCGCGTTGGAAACGTGATGATGCGAGTCGGCAGTTGAATAACTCTCGTAGTGCAGTATCAGGTCAGCGGAGATAAAGACCCGCCAACCCCTCAAAGGGAATGGGGTACTTGGCTTGTGTACTACTGACAACGCGGGGGCGGGATACACAGGTCCCATCCTGCGCCGCGTTCCTCCATCGCGCTGGTATCCGGCGATGGCACATATACTCTTCATATAAATGGCGCTGATCCCGAGCTTATGCCTCACGCTCCCGGGTTTGCGTGATGCCCTTGGTACGAACGTGCCTATAGCAGTCCATCAGCTCTGCCTCGGCGGGTACCACGCTCGGTCTTTCTTGGAGAGATGGTGCGAGCAATTTAACTGCCGATTCAGCGGCTATGCTGTGTAAGAGCGATAGGAGTTGGTCGTGATCTTAGTACTGGTCGGCAGTTGAGTGATGGTCGCAATAGGTACAATTGCCGAGCTCTAACGGCTAAGTCATCCCGCGATACGGAGCGGTTTGTTGAGGAGCAGTGTCTGCATTACGTCATCCCTCGGTTGTGAACGTCGGGTCGAGTGTACCTGGTACCACTCCACGTCGCTTCCAGCAGACCTACACTTGCATAATGTTTGTCGTGGCTTGAAAAAATCAATCGGAGGCTACTGTACATAGCGGTTGTGCTTCCGGGGTCTCTTGGAAGTACAAATGGTCCTCGTTTCGGTACCTGTGTTCCCGGAGAGTACCTATGGTACGTGAGAGAGGGTAGCTACTTTTCTTACTATAGTTCTATCTTAGATACATGTATAACTACTTATTAAAACACTAAAGAGTCGAATTAAAGCCACTCCTATGAACATTGTCTAACAGCACGAGATAAAAGTGCCGAGAGAGGTAACTCACGTGTAGGTATTAACCACGACTGCTGTGGACTTTTCCTCACCAAACATCATCTGAGCAAGTAACTCCCCTCCAAATCAAATAACCGTAGAAGAGACAACTATAATAAAAGGAACAGGTAGCTTGTGCTACACATTCGCATGTTGCATGCAGCTGCTTACACCAGAACGATCGTCTCAGTCTTGTATCCCGGCAACTCCAAAGCCTCGCCGTGCATAAGTCCTTGAACCCAGCATTCTCCGACCAAGACGTACGTGCCATCTGTCTGTGGGCGGAGCAAGTACGGGACACGGCCGCCTTGTAATATGCAAATCCGATCCCCCGAGCGTGTGCCACGATCTAAAATATTCGTATCCCAATGCTTCGGAGCCCAGGCGAACCGATCACCTGTCGTCAAACAGGGGAGACGACCCACTTGCCATAAGTTGGCTGTCTTTATAAGATTCTGAAGATCCACGGTAGGTTCCCCTTTCAAAAACTTGTCTACATCATTGATGTTATCTTCGGTTGCCTTTTCCTTTTCCTTGTCCAACTCCAAGATCCATGCCGCACAGAGCTTCCTGTATCTGTCTCCGGAAAGATCCGAACACCCAGCGAAGGCAGCAAGTTCCAGTGCCATCTGGTGTAATATATTGACATCGTAAGAATCTTCATAATCGCGATTAACGACATCTATGGTGTCAACGAAAGCGCCGACTACGCAAAGTTCCTTTTTATCATGAATCTCAACATCGGGGCCAGTACCGGATGCGTCGAAATGCGGGACAACTAGCAAAAGGTTCTTTATCAGTTCCGTGTCGAAGCAAGGTGTCCATGACGGGCCTGCGCATTTACAATCACTCGCGATGCCTCTAGCAATCAATAAAATGTCCAGGTTGCCATATTTGGCGAAGGTCCAATTGGCAAAATCTATGAACATCTCCACATGGCCGTAATTGTCGCTGTAATTGACAGGGAAATCGACGTCTTGAACAAGTCCGTACAAGGCGTACAAGCGATCCTTTCTTTCGGTCACAATAAACAAGTTCGTCCTGTTCATCAGGTCCAATATGGGAATGTCTAGGCCTTTCTGATAGCGTCCACGCAAAAGTTTAATTGCAGAGAGATTGACAATGACTTCGCTTATAGTTCCCGAAATCTTCCAATATTTGTCTAGGAACAGGTTTCTTAGCGTTCTTGTAAGCTTCCAGAGTTGTTCCAAAGAAGCAAAATCTTGTCCGATCGCAATGACCACCTGCTTTGCAAGCACCACTTCTTGGACAACCCACAATCTGTAAAACCATTGGTTTCCAAAAATTGGAGTGATCAATTCCAGATCTTCTTTTTCTGTGAACTTGTGTTTCTCGTTGCTTATTTCGAATTTCTTGACATGTTGAATCGCGGCTTGTCTTCCATCGCCTCCATCACCCAACCACACTATCGTTTGGCGCGCTGTCTTATAGATCCGTCCCATGAGAGGTATTTGCCGGCTCTTTTCGTCGTGGTCCTCTTGGTTGATACATATAGCATCTACCCATAACCTTTGAATCTCCTTTGAGCGTGATAAGTGCTGAAGAGCCGAGAATAAGTTCATCGTAACCTTCAATATCGCCCCATCACAGACTACATCCTGATCTCTTGTCCCGCTACCCCAGCAGTAAGACAAAGCATCGAGCTCTCTCCAGCATCCGCAAGAGTTATATGTTCCAGGGTAAAGCTGACTTCATCGTTCGCTGTAGTACGGTTGAACACGATAATCCGGATATGGTCGGTATCCTCGAGCTGTCGATACTTGTAGACCTCCATGGAGACTGGGACTTTGCCTTTGGCGATACAGAGAAGAACAATTTGTTGAGGGGTTGGGTTATGTAGGAACAAGGCTGAGCAGCTGAATGAGGATCAGGCTGCCGTTTAGCGACCAACTCGGATACGAAGCAAATCATTCGGAGCAGCTTGTGTAACATGGTGACAAGCGACTCCACGCGCACTCGCTTTCTGCAGAAGCTACCACATCACAGTTATAGATGCGCAAGTTGTTCCTCGCCCTCTATAGATTGCGGAGCGTGTATACGGAGATACTCGTCTACAGGAGGACTGTTCAGAACTTAACCAAGAACGAGCGGATTCTCGAAAATATTGCGCCATTTTGCTTGTCAAAAAGTGAGATCCAACAAATGCAGCGTTGCAAGGCCAGTAAGAACATTTGAAGCAGTGACGCAATGCTAATGTAGTTAGTGGCTATGGTCAGTGCGACTACCTATTGCCGACTACCTATTTCGGCAATCGCTCCTCTCTATTGCCGCACACCAAACAACCCCTTTTACATAGACTTTCACCAATTCAAGGGAAGAGAGTTCGAATCGTACTAACCGCTTGCACTTCTGGGATTGGCGTGACGAGTTCTTGTGGCGCCTTCCCAAAGAAGTTGGGCGTAGCTTCCTCGCTTGGGCATGACCATCTACGAACGTCCGAACTTCCTTTAGTTTACTCCGTACAACTTCCATCTATACTTCATCGCTTGCTTGGGCTCGCTGAGCAAACGAGCGAATGGCGGAGACATATAGGAGGTAATACTAACAGGATGTTTGGACAGGAACTAACAGCGTTCGTATAACGCGTCCAGAACACAACAGGGTCACTGCGAACATCGAGACTCTATCGGATGTCATCAGTCTCCGACGGCCAGACGACGGTATCCGAGGCGTATAGTCGGCGACGATACCGCCCTGACGCAACACATGAGGCGCCAAAGTCGCAAAAAACCTGAAGCGAGCATCATGCAGGTTGACACTTCCTTACTGGACAAGAAGCCGCGAGGGCGTTGGTGAGGCTGGAACCGAGACAATGAGATCTGCGCGACTTTTGCGAGCCTGTGCTATTTCCCCAGATTATAGCTGCGTGACGTTTATGACAAGAAGCACAGGCGCGTCGGATGGTCAAGCGACAGTACTGATACTCGGGCTATGTACTCGTGACCATTCCTTCACAGCCGCCGAATGCCCAACCCGAGGCTTACGGGAGACGATTGCATTGGACGAGTTTGAGACGGACATGCGGCAAGCGTCAGATGGGAAAATGCGGATACGACTGGAGCAAAAAACAGGATAAGGTATGAAGGAAAACTCGATGGCCCACCTAAGCTGGTTGGATATGCAAAGCTCCACAGTCCACTTGGAGTTTGTTTTTTCGCGGTGGATGAGTCACCGCACAACACGTCGAAGCGCATGCAGCTTGCAGCCGCGTTTGCAGCCGTGACTCCGACCAGCAGATTCTGAAACGACAGCAAACGTCCGTCTTTGCAGCTGGCAGCTGGCGAGTACGTTCTCGCGGACATGGAGACATAGGATCGTGAGATGGGCCGATGTTGGAGTACGTCGTGTACGGGTTGGAAGTCGCCGCAGCTAGCCGTTTAACCGAGCACATGACTGCGGCATCCCGCGTCGAGTTGCACCCTGGTCAAGCTGAAAGCCACCAGATCTCACCGTATACGGTAAGGAGCATTCTCTGCTTTCATGCGCAAGACGCGCGATCAACCGTGCAGATTGACGGGGAATTCCTGCTCAGCGAAGAAAGCGAAACACCAAGAGCCGAATGACGAACATCAACCGCCTCAACCGGCGCGGAAGCGAAAAATGAACCCCCGGCCACCGTCGCCTGTGAGGCGCAGTCAGCCAGATCCAACCTGCAGGTTTCGGCGTCGCCTTTGCAGATTTTGAAACAGAGCAGACGTGGGTTGCTATCGATAGCACCGCTGTTATGGGTCAATGATAGGTGAGCCCGGGGTCGACTCTCTTGGACACTTGCGCAATCGCATTCGTGTGCCTCAGTAGAGGATACTCTGTTCCACTCACGAAGGCGGCGCAAAGGGAGAGGGCAGGCGTTGAAACGTCCAGCAGCTGCAGATGCTCTGCGTGAGCCTGGCCTCCTACGCCGTTCCTGCACGTGTAGTCTACCAGAGTTTCGGCCGGTGCGAGGCTATTACACGCAACTGCCGGGAACAACGAGTGGATACTCCGGCCAGATAGGCGATGACTTGTAGATGTCGGAGACAGGCGACTTCGGTAAAGGCGACGCCGAGGGGTGATCGCCGTATACCGCCACAACATCCGCCTCGCACTGCCACAGCATAGCGCCACGTTTGCAACACGTGCGTCGAGCAGGAAAGAATCGGCGTGGCATTGCGCGCGTGGGCATGGCTCGTCATCGTCGTCGCGAGAGATATGGGAGCGCGTCGTAAATCTTGCTTCAGCACGCGCCGAAGCTACTCGCGATGGCACCCTGAGCTCTTCTGGACCGTGTCTGAAAGCCCGCTCCATCACATGAGGAGCCCGCGGGAGGGTTTTGGTGGCGTGCGAGAACCCTGCTTGCACCCCGGCTCTCCCGCATGATTGGGCCGACTGTTTCCTGCCCATTTTTAGCCCCAAGCAACGTCGGCCTGTCATCGCTCCAAGACTACGTACAACTCTCCCACCAACCTCCACATCCACACACAAACCTTTAGCCCATGGTCTTTCCGCCTTGATCCCTTTTTCCGCGCGTGCCCAAAGCGGCATCAACACCGCTGCGGTGCGTTCCGCTTTTGGAGGCCGCGAAAAGCTTCCAGAAACCCGCACGCAGGGAAAGGTGAGGTTGCAGTGTAACTTCGGGGCAACATGCTCGAGCCCAACGGCAGGCACCCTGGATCGCATGAGGCGTTTAGGTAGTGCTTGCTCTACTGCAGGCCGCCTGCTCGCACCATATCACGTTGTAGGAAGCCCCATATGCATGGTCGTCCGTGAGCGCGGCCCTCAGCTGCCTAGCACAATCGGACCAGACGCAGGAAGGTCCCAATAGTGCTCTTCCAGTTTTCTACCGCGTAGGCGACGGCGCGCCTCTGTATGAGTTTCATCTCCGCCTGCACGTAAAGCAAGTCTAGACAGTTTGGAGGCAGCCATGAGGGAATCGCAATATTCGCTCGCGCAGGCTCCGCCTATCCACGCGCTCCAACGGCGCAAGCAACGCGGTCGCCGTGCCGGACGGTCAGCTAGGATCCGACTAGACCTGCAGCTGCATCGTCGCCATACATGCACGATTAAACAAGCTAGATGCGCAGTGCAGCCAAACGGGGCAGTGTGCATGATACCCTTGCGGGCCCTGTGGCCACGGCGGAGCCGACCAGTGATCGTCCTCTCGTCAGCGCTCTTAAGGTATGCCCACCCTCCACCCGACTAGTTTCTCTACCCTCACCTCTCACCTCGCCTTCCTCCTCTCTCATTCGTCCGTCCCTTTCTTGTCTCCTCCTCAATACAAGGCGCACCGCAGAAACATAATTCCGCCTGAGACACCTCTTTGCCTTCTCTTTTGTTCTTTCGTTACCTTGATCTGCCGTCCCATATAATATCGCATCGTCTCGCGCACCGTCACACTCTGTCCAAAAATGCCGATACAATTATTACCTGCCTCGGCAGCCGCCTTTGCGCCGCGCTCAACCGTCAACATCGTTCTCAACTCCAAAGTGGAGCCGTGGTTAACACAGACGCTGAAGAGGATAAATCGGGTCAAGCGACCGCTCAACAGTGTCCAGCAACATACGCGATGTCTCACCGAAACCCTGTCAGGCTCCAACGCCATCTGGTCGTTGTGCTCAGTAATGGTACCAAAGGCTCCGGATTCGGAACTGCGTAAGGATTCCAACCCGCTTGTGGAGGCCATCTTCAACTACCAAGTCATCCATATCGAGGCGTACGTTGTGCACGTCGACATGGTTTCACAGCATGAGGTTGCATTCAAGCTCACGCCTGAAACCATTGAAGCGCTTACCGAATACCACAAGGATATCTACTCGGTCGACGTGTCCGCCAGCACCTGGACCTGGCCCGAGAAGGAGGCGCAACTAAAGAAGCTGCAGGACGAGTTTATACAGGCTGTCAACCGCTACGTGTTCCGCACCGGAGCACGCGCACTCGAAGGCATGGAAGAGGAAGGAGCGGGAGAACTTCTTGAGGGCCGAGGCGAGGACGTCAAGGGCGCCATCATGGGGCTGTTCCACCCGCTTCTCCCTCCTCCACCCAGGATCGTTGACGTTGTCCGGCCCGCTCCGCTGCTCCCAAGCTCGCCCGGTGCCACGACCTGGTGGCCCTCGCACGTGCTACAGTCACAACCTGCACCCGTCGAGTCCTGGAGAGCGCTCTCGTCGACACCAAGCCCGACCATTACCACCTGCGGTGAAACCTCTCCGTCGTTTTGGAGCACCATGGGCTTGGAGAACGTGCAGCTGCCGTCGCCGACACCTTCCTTCAGCCAGCCATTTAACACCACGAGTCAGTACTACAGCCCGCCCCAGGCAGTCGCCCCGATACCTGCCCTTCCGTTGCCTAGTGTGCTAGCCCAGCAATGCGGGTCAAGCGCCGTGCACAACGGATTCGGTGGTGGATTCGGATGGGATACTGGATTTGCACCACAGTACGCCGCTTTCACTTAAGAGCGTATACTCGGAAACGTGGTACTTGTCCTCTGTCACACTGCCTGGGAAGCGCGGACCTGGCCAGTCCCCTTGATCTTCCCACGTCGCAACAGGTTGATGCGCACAACCGAGCGGCTTGAGCACGACACGAGACGAAATATGCGATATTCACGAAAGTGATGTACAACACCCACATCATATACCAAGGCATGGGACGGCGTTTGATCGATTAGCGAGCGTTTGCTTTTTCTTCTCTCTTCTCTCGTACAAAGTTTCCTTGATATCCGTTTTTTTTCCTCCGTCTGTTTTCTAGCGAGCGTTTCCTTTGTGGCTTTTATGCATCCAGCGGCCGGACCAGGTCTGTTTCCTTTGCATCTCTGGGAGGTATGCATGTCGGGCATTTAAAGACGGATCAGCCTCACGGCTACGAGCAGGCACACTCGGCTGGGTTCATTTCCTTTTCCTAATGTCGTTCTGGACGATGGCTGGGCATCTCTTCATTGAGCATTGGCATGCCACTCATGATTGATGATACGCAGTTACGTTCACGTCTACCCGGACTGGCATTGAGTGTCAGCAGGATATGCTGGGAGACAACGACAAAAGATACACACACGCATCTGCGATGCCGTTGTACTGTAATCTTCGTCCGTGCGCTCCAGCTTCCGATGCGCCGAGCGAAGAGCGGGTTTCCGAGCAAGAGTACAGCAGCACGCCCGTGGCGTGTCTGGCTTTCAGGCGGCGGTCTTCTGCTTGCGGAACAAACACATCCTGGCGCTCGCGGAACTCACTCAACGTTTGTCGGATTGGAAACTGAGCAAAGGGACTGTAGGGTCATCTCCTACTCTTCAGGACTGCGTCTTGGAAGAAGCATCCCCAGGCGGGGTGAATTGGATGCTGGACAGAAGCAAGCTTCTTTATAGCGTAAATTAATAAAAAACGAAACTTATATCTGCTGATGTTGCTCTTTCTTCTGCGAAGGGTGTGCGCGAGCTATGCGGCTTAACGTCAAGGCCTGCACTGACTCGCTGCGGCTCTGCGGATCTCGCAGCCCAAGGATCGGGACCACGACGCTGGGTAAGGACGAGGATGAACAGCCCTCGCTGATTGCTGCGACGTTTGCGCATGCTGGTCCCTGTTTCATGTGGCCTTGTCGTGCCTAGGCAGACGAGCGTCAAACACAAAGAGCCGGTCTGAGGCTGCGGCAGGAACAAAGCCGAAGCTGCGACCTGACCTCAGCGGTCCCCCATTGCGACATCTGTACATACAAACATACCCCCGCCGCCGCCTTCTTCCTTGATGGCGACGCCTGCGCGCACGAACGATAGCAGCGACTGAAGACACTGTGCACGGTAGCGACTGCGGCAAGAATGCCCCGGGCAAGCTCCCGCTATCCCAGCCCGCCAGACGACGACGTGCGGGAGGTACGTCCGCTGGCCCTTGAGCCCATGGGCAGCCCTGCTCGCCACCATTCCGCATGTACTGACTGTGCGGCGACTGCAGGACGGCTCTCACACGGCGCAGACACCGCCGTCGTATATCTCCCAGGCCCTCGCCGAGGCGCTCGAGAGCCCCGTCACGCAAGACGTGTATAACCTGGCCGCCACGCTCACCACACAGCAAGACGAAGACGCACAGTACGACGCGACGCTGCGCTCGCTGCGCGCAGATCTGGATGAGCACACGGCTGCCCTTACGCAGATCCAGAACGCCAGCCTGGACCGCCATCAGGAGCGCCTGCAGAGGTCGCACGACAGGACCAGGACGCTGGAGCGCGAACGCAGCGAGCTCGAGCATCGCGACCGGAGCGACCGACTGCGGCGGGTGATGAACCGCCTGGGACGCCTCCACGACGAGACACGGGGCCCCTATCGCACCACGACCGCCACGACCAGCAGCGAACACATCCCCGCCCAAGATCGGCTGGCATACCTCCACAACGAGGCCCGCGAGGCCCGCACTGCTGCGTACGGCGACCGCGTCCCCAGCCGGAACAGCCTGTACGACTGGTCACCCGCCGCCGAAGCCGACGACGACGCAGAGCTCGAAGGCATCCTCGCCGAGCTGCGGCGCGAGCAGCCAAATACCCACCCCGAGATACTGCGCGTGCTGGGACGTTCGCAGCTGGACTCGGAAAGGGAGCGGTCGCGGGCGGCCGTGTCGCGACTGCTGAACTCGTCGCAGCCATCACAGTCAGCCGACAGCTCTCTGAGGTCTGCTGCGCTCCTGCAATCCGTGCGGAGAAACCCCAGATTCTCTGCCCGCACACGAGATCTTGCCCAGCGCTATACTGACAGAGATGGGGGCAATAGGACACCTCACCCGAGCGACTGGAGGGACAGGTCCCACATGACATCCGAGTCGACGCGGGCCGCCATGGACCGCTTGTCGCAGCGACGGACGTCGGCAGAACAGACGCGGGATCGCGACATGCTACAGAGAGTAGACTCGTACCGTCGGAGCTATCTGGAACGAGCCTCGAACCCGCCGTCAACGGTCTCGCCCATGCTGGAACAGACCATAAAGTATCTGTCGCAGATACGTCATTCGAGCAACATCGACGATAGCTTAAACTATGCCATAGACGCAGGCTTCCTCGGCAAGGACTACTTTGTCCAAGACCATCAGGACTTTGTTTTGGATCCTTTCAACATACCTCCACCTGCGGAGACGTCGTGGCTGGCCCCTGGTGCTGTGCTATCCGGCTGCCAGCACGCTACGACTGTCACGTCAACTGTCACTACCACGGGGGGCTCAGGTACCAGTACAACGCTGTACCGCTTCACGCACACCGGCAACAGACTTTCAGATGCACGTACCATGTACGCATCCTCGAGAAATCGGACCTCGCTTTCTCCACCTGACGTCGTGACATCGCATTCCCCACAACAGGACCGCTGGCCCGTCAAAGTTACCATTCATTCGGTGGACTACGACCGCATGGCGCTTTCCGCGACCATGGAAGCGTATAACGTCCCGAGTCATCCGCACAGTCATCAATCTCTACTCAGCAACTCCGATCTCGAGCCCTCTTTTACACGCACCTCCTCCATCACTACCTATCTCGAAGGCGAGATCTTGGATTTCAATACGCATACCCTGCTCACGGAATCGTTCAAGTCGACGGCCGGCAACGATGCGACCTACTGGAGGAAATTACCGATATTTCAGGGCATGACAGATGACGACATGGTGCGCTGCTTGACGAGTAAGGCATGGTTCGACGAGGTCCTTAGCAAGGAATGGATTCTGATGCGGTGGAAAGAAAGATGTTTCGTCAAGTCCCTCAACCGTTCCACGGCAGACCCAGTTCAGCCTCCAGCATCGACCACTATACCGCCTGAACCCACGCGGCACTATACGTCCCTGGCCTCGTCATCAGATCCAACGCAGATCTGGGGCGAACCTGGTAGTTTCCGCAGTGGAGATCCCGAACACACTGCCTTCGACGACTCTGGATGCGGTCTTACGATCAGCGGGTTCTACTACGTTTGTCTGAGACGCAGCGACGGGAAGCTGGAGGGCTTGTACTTTGATCCGCAGAGCAGTCCGTATCAGTGTTTGAAGCTGGAGAGTGTGAGGGGAGGCGTATTTCCTGCGTGGGGCTTTAGATGATGAGTATGTCGAGATATACGTTTCGATATTGTTATTGCATGGGTGGCGTTTGCACGTTGATTTAGGGTTTTTGGACGATGGTTGTTCAACATGTCCGGCGTTTGCGGGCCCGTGTGGCTTGTGTATATGGGATTTGCACGGCTTGGAAGGGAGCATGAAGTGTGTTTGATGAGCAGGAGGATGTGCTCGAGCACTGTGTGGTAGTGTGTAGCCGTGACGGAATGCTAGTCATGTGCAAAGTACGCTTCAGTTCCATGCCTTGGTGCATCTTCGAGTGGATGCGTGAGGTTCTATGAGAAAGCATATTCAGATCCGGGTACGACTGTAATCAGTGATCCTGCATGCTCATCTATCTCGTCATAGGCACTCTTCTGCAACCCATCCGCAGTCACTTTTGTATGCCGTACCTTGACTACCCTTCAATATCCCCTCTTGATACAGCCTTTGGATGACCATCACTTCGTACACGCCTCAAACGCTATCCGCGTGTATACGGCAGCCAATGATGAGGAGGGGGTTACTACCCCGCGCACCGGACGCGGCTAGTGCAACCGTTGTATGTTAGACGATGACTTCGTATTCGTAGTGCGTTTTAATCGCCAGGGATTGAGCGACGTGCGATGCTAAAGACTCATTCTGTGTTATAGAGCAGAAACATTTTAAAAGAAGTACCGTCTTTTCCCCACGAAGTTAACACTCAATATCATCGCCTTCGATCCCGTCCACTCTACGTTTCAAAAACCTCACTCCCTTCTTTCAAAAACCATTCCTCACAGAGACACGAACTATCATGACCTCCCCCGAATATCCCAAGACCGCAGTCAACAAGCTAGGCCGCCTACCGAAACGCGGCTTATACGATTACGCCACCGTCCACGGAATTATAAACGCGAGTCCTGTCTTGCACGTCTCGTTCAATGATCCGGAGCATGTCTTTCCCGTTGTGCTACCTATGCTGGGGTGTACGGGGAAGTTTGGAGAGCAAGATGGTGGGATGAGTGGGGAGGGGGAGCAAGATGTTTATATCCATGGGTATGTATGTATGGATGTGGAAAGAGGAATGTGATGTGCTAAGGGGAAAGGGAATAGCTACGTAAGCGGACGCATGTTCCGCCAGGGGAAGGAGAGTGGAGAGGAAGGGCTGGCTGTTACGGTTGCGGCGTCGTGAGTTACCTTTCCCCCCTCACTTCCCTGTATCATCTAATGGGAAAAACAGAATCATGGATGGTTTGGTTCTCGCGCTCGCGCCGTTTCGTAAGTCTCATGGTGGAATTATGCAGTAAGAGGATGACTGATGGGAATAGATAACTCATGCAACTACCGCTCCGCCGTTGCATATGGCTACGCGCACCTCGTCACCGACGAGGAAGAGCGCTTGTACGCTATGACGCGCATTACGGATTCTCTACTCCCTGGCCGTTGGGAGAATAGTCGGAACCCGCCTACGCCCGCGGAACTCAAATCTACGTCTATACTACGTGTGCGCATTGTTTCTGCGAGCGCGAAGGTGCGCACTGGGGGACCGAGCGATGATAGGAAGGATTTGAAGGATGAGGCGTTGAGGGGGAGTGTGTGGACGGGGGTGGTGCCGTGTTGGTTGGAGTGGGGAGGTGGTGGATGGGAAGGATAATGGGGCTAAGAAGGATGAGGGGATTGAGAGGTGGAGGGTGCAGGAGAATGAGAGGAATAGGGATGGGGCGTACAAGGCGGTAAAGGAAGGTGTTTGATGGCGTGAAGGGCCGGGATGCTGCTTCAAAAATGGGATTGTGGGACATGTTTCAGTGCGAGTTCATGCTGGGTTTCGTATGTGCTGTAAAAGATTTTTGGCATGTTGCTATTGTACGTTTGAATCATGACGTGGCAGCACTCATCATAGCTTCTACCCGAAGTGCCTCGTCTGATCAGACTCCAGTCATCTGTCGTCTATATAAGGCGTGCTTCTGCGCTCACTTCTACTCTCCACACAACCCTCTCTGTAGCACTTTGCTACTAAAAGAAACAGGACAACCGTCGATGGAGTGCGTCCTTTCAGACCGAAAATCTCTGTGCTATCTCCATATGGACCGCCCTCTGGGATCCAAAAGGACAAGGTAAAAGACGATGAGCCGTTTCCTGTCCTCTCGAAAACGCATGACTTTCTAGCCCATGTTCCTTTCTGGGGTGGAACCGATTGCAAAAGAATTGTGGCCCCATACTATGCCTCCTGTCTAGGCGATGGGACTTTCTTGTTTCAAATTTGCCCTGCATGCCTGTCATGTGGGTGCTGCGAGCGACCAAAACTCAAACTGTGAAAGATCATGACCATGGCAGCACCGGGCTGTAGATTCTTCATACCTTCCCAAGATCATATGAAGTTGACGACATGTTTTCTCTGCGGACGTGGTGTCTACAAACACACCTGAATATTCCCCATGTGGGCTCCTGTCCTCGCTCGGACACTGAAACAGCCGGAGATCCTTTTCATGTCCGGGCTCGGGATGTGACTTGAAGTCACTCGCGTGCAAACAACAAATTCCGATGTACAATCTTTCGATGTGTTCGTAAGACTGGTCTTCCCACAAGCCACACTTCTCAGAAAAGCACCGCATCGTTTGTCATGGCGAGCTGAGGCTGTCTGAGTCAATCCAAAAACTTTGGTCTGAATTATCGATGCGCTTCTTGTTCCCTAGGTCCTGCTGCTCAAATCATATCAGTCGAGATAGATGTGTGGGAGCTTGTTATCTCGGTCCAAAATGCGACTTTGAAAGCAGCTTAAGAGGCAATGGATGGGGTGAACTCCGCAGCAGTATAGCAAGCAGCAAAATGTCCAGCCTTTGAAACGCCAGGTTGTACACCGTATGGACTAAAATAGTGATAACCAGAGACAATGTGTCTCGGTTCGAGCATCCAAAATTTGCCATACCAAATTCCATGGCCCGTTGGTCCTTCACACTTCAAAATATCCCTGAGCGCCTCTCTTGATTTCCCAGATCATGCCCTTCGGACTGGGAAATCGAAGTTAGTGACTGGTTGTTCCATGGTCCTCTTCGAACATCGGAAAAATTGTTCCCTCCGATACATGTGTTTTGGACGAGAACAGCCCAGGATACAGAATATGTCAACTTTCTGACATCGAAACACATGTCACTTGTCTTTATGGGGGCAGATTAAGATCTACCATCAGGATCCAGGTCTCCGAAATTAGAAGGATTGTAAACATATGTCCGGCTCCGTCAGCTTCCTCGGTCACAAATACAACAAGTTCTACTTTTATGGTTGGGAGATCTATCCGCCATCAAAATTGGCTAAAGACTGGATTATTATGGACGAATGTCCCTTGGCTTTGTCCTGAGGAGACAGATTGCAGGATCAATTCCTGCGCTTCTCGCAATTCACAACGAAGAGCCGACATGTCTGGCTCTCCACGTCGTCTCGCATACGAAGTACAAGTGACGGACACTCATAGTGAGGAGTGCTATTGATATTCAATATGGTCCAAAACGACCAAAACCAGACACAAGTCTTTACAATGTTCTGGGACTCAAGAATGCTCAACCAGCTCCTGCGACTTTCAAAACAACCACGATTGCATTATGTCCGGCTTTTTCCGCCTTCTGGATCACCAAAAGCGTTTCACGGTTGCATTATGGCTGGAAGGACCGCTCTGGCTCAAGCATGTACCAAAATCGGTGGCGAAAAGCGTTATGGCCTCCCGCTCGTGTCAGAATCGAATGCATCCTGGATTCGTCTTGCGCGCCGTATTTTCCACCGCTTCTAAAGTCATCCTAATGCCTTACAATGCTCCGTGTGCGGAGTGGACATACAAACATCTGCTTCGCTACTGCTTGCGAGGTGCACGAAGCCCCTCAGAGAAGGATACGAAGTCACCCTATGTGAGGCGCGAACTGAAACGTGCACAAGCTCTACTATGTCTCTAGTTGGGCTCTCTCTGGTCTCAGTGCGCAGATGGCCAAGTTTTCACACACCCCAATCACACAAATGTGCGTCACTCTATCTTCTTCCTAAGGTGGTAGACTTTGAGTTCATGGTCTGGAGGCATGTTCCTGGAATCAATACTTCGGCTCCGCTTGGGGAAAACCAAAAAGCGCTAGATCGATAAGCTATTGGTCTCTCCGCTCCAGGCTTTAATATGGGGACTACAACTTTCTCTCATCTGCAATCATGACCTCCTAGATAAGAAACGAACAGGTCGGCCACATGAGATATGCCTCTGGAGCAGACTCACAGATCTTGGCCAACGTAACATGTGCTCTCTGTTCTTGACCAAGGTCGACAAGCCACGAACTCTAGTGGAACCGAATCATCCATGCATATTGCTTGGTCCTGGATAATTATTACTTCTACCAAGATTTTAATTCAGCTATCTTTCTGCAGCAAAAACCTTACCTGGCTGCCCTATGTCCTCCCTTAGGGGCGAGGACTTCGAAAGTACGATCTATCAACGAAATGTCTCTGGAGAGACCCAGAAAAAGTAACACCGTGGTATCATGAGCTGTACCTTCTGTCTTGAAGCAAAATTACAAAATGCACATGTTGGGTGTTCTTCCTGCCCTGCAGAAGACATCTCAATTCCTCTCTGGGTCTGTTCAGGTTCGCACGTTCACCATACCTTGGGCTCGTGTATACACGTCGCAGATTTCGCAGAATCTTCCTCATGTTCTCCTGTTTCGCTGGAAAATTACAGTACAAATGTCTATATGGCTTGACGGTGTTCGTTTTCTCAGCAACAACCAAAACAAATGTTGCACCAGGACATGTGTTGTTCGCCCTCTTTTTTCCGCACCAAAAGCCTGTTCGCCGTGATCGATGCCTTGTTGGAAGCCCTCGTTCTCGATCTTACGGCAATAAGAGTTTGGACACTAGCATTTGATGGCTCACGAACCTGAAGATAACACTCAATATGCGTGACTATGCTCTGGGCTGGTGTTGCAGCTGTCTAAAAATACTGCGATTGCCTTTCATATGAGGTCGGAGGAGCGTCCATTAAAGATGGTGCTTGAGCTCACTCTCAAAGGCGACTGTGCATTACCCTATGGTGTGGGCTCCCCTCTTCCAGAAACGACAGGGTCGCATTTATGATGTCGGTCATTGCTCTTTGCCCATACCTTCTTGAGACTGAACATGTCGTGGCAGTTTCCGATGGCGTCTCGAGCAGTTCAACCACATATATAAGCGTTGGGTTTTTCCTAAAACACATCGAAACACCTCAACGGCCTGTATTTTAGTGACATAATATTCCCGAACATTACTTCGCGTTCCTCTCGGGGATTTTATTGCCCTGGTGGGACGAAATTCCGTGGGAAAGGTCCTAGGTTCAACTACCTTTGCATTTTGTACCTAGGCTGCAAGGTTCCGGTATCAGAGGGAGATGCAGAAAAGTGGTTGCGTGGTCAATGTAATGAAGTTAGATTATCATGTTTTCTATTCCGTGAAAGAACGGTTTTAGAACCAGAGTTACTGAACGATTTTTTAGAGCGACATCTCTTTTAGACGTTTTGTCGTGCCTTCTATGTCCACCTCCATTGCTTCCAATACTTCATTCTCACCCTCATGTCCTCCATCTTCCCGCCCTTGAACATCTGTAAGCATGATCCATCCATCCAGTCCCAGATCCTGGAATTCCTTCACTGAGATCGCGCTCATGGACCAATGGGGTGGGCTCGGCGCCGGGTCCTCACCGAAAGGAAACACACCACTACCAAGAGAGGAGACATCGGATGGTGCGGGTGAAGTTAGTCCTTGCGCTAGGCCACCACCATGTCGTGTCAACTCTTTGGGTCTTTGACGGCGTCCCGGCAGTGCATAGACAGCAGTCGTAGCCACAAGACTACGAATCGGGTATCGAACGATACCAACCCTATCGATGAAGTCCTTCAGCGCAGGACCAGCCCAACCCAGCACCCTTTTCACCATCCGCACATCGTCGATCTGCTCATTCTGCATCCCGTAAGCGAACATATGCGCCGTCACCATCACCACAGGATCCTGTAAAAAATCTCCCCCATCCTCCTCAAAGATCTCGCGTGCATACTGAAAAGACCCAGCTAGTCCTACAACCGCGGCCTCGTTCATGGTACGCCACTCGCTCTTGAAAATGTCGAAAATCCGACTAGCAACATGGAATTGTACGTCAGAACGTGTACCCATACTCCGCAGCGCCATGTAAAAGTCAATGGCCACGCTGAGCCGAAGGTCCGGCCGAACGTGAGAGAAGTCTAGGGGAGGCATGCGTGGTGTCGTCCAGGCGTCGGCGGTGGGGGGTAGCGCTTGATCTACCCATTCGAGGATGTATTGGGCGGTGCGAGTACTGATTGCTCGGGGCAGGTGGACGGAATGACGACCCTCTTGCAAAAGCTGCTTCCAGCCTATGTTTAGCAGGTGTGTGATGTTTTCTGCATTGTATTCTCCAACTTTGAGAATGACGTCTCCATCGACCCAGACGCCCACACGAGTGGAAAGAGGCTGGTGAGGCATTTCTTGAGGCCTTGGGATACTTTCTTACGCAAGGGTGTGTAATGTGATGATGCGTGTTGTCGGGCGCCAGGCTCTGCTGTCGTGGAAGTGTTATATGAAATCGCCAAATGCCCCTTTATAAATTTACAATACGATAGGTGTTACATGGAACATGCACAATGCAATAACTTGACGGGGTTCGAACAAACCGATTCAGACTACTACGAAATTCCTGTCTCGAAAAGTCCAGTCACAAGCGTTTTCGTAGCAATCCTGTTGCATACATACTAGACACCGACGCCCAAGATGTCTTACAGCCACCGGCCCTGAGCGACGGTGTCAGATTTCGGAGTAATCTTCTTGACCCTGAATGGCACTGGGAAAGTAGTCCTGGCAAGTCTTATATGGTTTCGGTGAAGACGAACCATAGCCTCACGATCCCTCCTCATGTTGCACATGTTTGCTTCAAAATGCCCTTCGTGCGAGATGTCATGCACAATCACATCTGCGCTAACCGGTCTTGCCTCACGATGAGCCACCCACCAGCACACCTTCCTGAAATTTGTTTTACTCCACGCTCACACCAACCATCATACTAACCTGCGTCGCAAAGAAGTACGCAACGGTCAGGGACAGCACCGTGGTAAACGTAACCGCAAGCTACACCACGTTAGCACCCACCACTGCACTCCTCCCCCTCCCACCAGCACTCACCTTAAGATTCTCATCATACGTTACATTATCCGTCTCCTTCACCACCGCACTCCACACAAGCACCAACATCCCCACCAGCAAACACGCCACAGCCATAAGCAAAAACATCATCGAGCTCTGCCAGCTCCACACCTGGAACGGTTTAGGAACGAGCTTCGCCCGCCCTTCTTCGCTGTCGAGCGGTTTGCGGTCGCGCACGAGGCACAGGCGGGTGAGGTGTAAGCCATCCTTGTGCGCGGAGAGGCGGTGCAGGCGGAGAGTCTGCTGGGTGGCTGTGAGAACCGAGAAGAGGGCGAAGACGATGCCTGAGTACCAGATCGCGCGGATGTACCAGCCTTTTGAGCTTATTTCGTCCCAGGAGCCGGTGCTTACGAGGCAGACTGCTGTGAGGGGGCTCTGTGCGTGGTTAGTCACGTGCGCGGTGGTTTTGTTATAGGAGCTGTAGAAGAGGGAGTTTTCGAGCTTACCACGACGCCGATGAAGCTCAACTCTTCGAGTTTGTGTTCGCGCCATTGCCTGGTGAGGTTATCTTGCTCTTCTGGATCGCTGCTGTTCAAGAGAATCATGATTGTAGCGTAGGTGGTGTCGGCTGGGGCGATGAGACCGCCGGTGAAGATCTTGAAGATGGAGTGAAGGATGCTTGACTGCAATGTTTGTTAGATTTATCCCTGTTGCGTCGCACTGAGAACAGAAAAACCTTACATGGCTGTCTACATTGCGCGCATTCTTGATTCTGCTACCTGTTGATCGCGATCTATCGTTGGCTCTCCCAAGGAGAGGAGCATCAGCCATATTCGTTAGTGCAGATGAAACACTCAGATGATGTTTGTGTCGAGTGGTATTGAGAAAACCGCAGAGCAGCTCCTCCTCGACGCATTATGAACAGCTCATACTCTGTTTGTCCAACACATCCCGTGCAGGTTTTGGCGTGCATATCTCTCTGCTTTCGTGTTGCGGAGTAGCCCAAAAGGTGTCGCGTGCTCATATGACGTCACGCTTCTGCATCCTCCGCGGGACAACGCCGCACAGCATGCAGCGATGTTCGAGCGAATAAGAATACTACATTTCACACTACAAATTACTTTAAGCTGAATTAAAGAGGTGTGCGGTTACCATTACATTCCCTGCCAGGGACCTCAATGCAGGCATCAGATCAGAAGGAGCACAAAGACACGAGTAAGCCTGTGCCTACAGGGACAGAGTACGTTAGGGCGAGGGTCAAGGGTGTGCATCACAAGACTGTGTTGGACAAGAGAGAAGGGACAAAGTTCCAGTTCAAGGGGTCGACGGTACGAAACTACTACGAGTGAGCCTTAAGAAGCTAAACTTGCCAATCGCACCAACGATAGTCCTTAGATGTCTGCGATGAGTACATAATGGGGCCAGAGTAGACTTGTATGTCTTCACAACACACGTTACGAAGCGCGTCCGGGTTTCCTCGACGTCCACATGGCAGTTGCCGAGTTCGGAGACCATGCTGTATAAGACACCAGTTTCAGGACCGTTATGTCACATGTGCCATTACAGCGTTTGAAAATGCGTGAGCATGATGCAGGATTAATATGTCGATGAACAGACGCGACGCGTGAAGAACGGTGCAGTCGGCGGTTGTGAAACTCCTCGAGTCAACTCAGGCTCAGGGTCTATTCAGCGCATGTCTTCCCTTCCTGGCGAGCATGTTGACATCCCACCCTGCCTCCGATAGACTTCTCCCGACAAAATCTCCCTCTGACCACTCTAGCTGCTCCGTCCACACCGGACCTTCAGCATCAGCAATGTAACCTTCCTCGCATCGATCAAATTCAACCTTCGGCAGCCCAGCGAAGTAATCATCGTACTTCTCATCCATAGCCTCAGCCAGTGTGTAGACGTCCTCACCAGGAAGCAGAGTATTCCAAGGCTCGGTACACGCTGTGGCACCTTTGCAGGTCTTCAATGTAAGAATGAGGGCATCGAGGCGGGCGGTGAGAGCTGAAAGTGGACGACCGAGAGGCGTGGAGGTGTTATAGGAAGTAGTAGCGGTGCTGTTCGAGGCTGCATAGAGATTCGTCATTTGGGACGGATCGGACTAGAGACGTCAGCTTCGGATTATCGAATCAGGTCTGGAGAACCTGCTTACCTTCATGTCGTACAATTCATGGCTGTTAGAACACCACACCGCGTAGTAGAATCCATAATCTTCACTGACAATGCGGATACCCTTGTATGTGCTGTTGACCTCGAGTCCCTGGTCCTGGTTGTATTCCTGCGGGTTGCTCTTGCTCCAGAATTCGATCTGGATGTGTTCTTTCGCGCGCTTGCTCTCTTCAAGTTCGGTAAGACCGGCGTCAGTGAGTGGAATGGGCATGCCGTCGAAATCCTCGCGAAGCGGTATGCCCAAGATCTGCCACCAGGTAGGAGCAAGATCCGTATGCGTTGTGGAGCGAGTGATGACTTTGCCAGCAGGGACCCCAGGTCCGCGCACAACAAGCGGGACGTTGATATCCTCCTCGAAGCCACAGCCTTTCCCGGGAGCAAGACGATGTTGTCCGATGTGGTAGCCGTTGTCGCTTGAGTAGAAGATGTATGTGTTGTCAAGGATACCGGCCTGTTCAAGTTTGTCGACAACATCTTTGACGATCTCGTCAACAGACTGTAGTGCGCGCAGCCGCTGCCGATAGAGGAGATCGTTGTACGTGATGTTCTCTGCAGACAGCTGAGGTAACTCGGCAATCCAGTCAACACCCGAAGGTACGTCTGGATTGAAGCTGGGACCGCGTGGTACAGCTGCGTCCGGGAACAGGTCTTTGTACTCGTCCGCCGAAACTGGAGGGGTGATGTTAACACCATAGGGTGGATCCCCGCCGATATTGAGGGTAACAGTGTAGTCTGAGTGAGGCGCAATTGGAGCCACAGTGACAAAGAATGGGGAGTCCGGCTTCTTTATTGCATCGTCCATGAAGGCGAGGGCTTTCTTGCGGACAAGATCAGTGGAATAATCGTTTGTGTGGTAAACCGGAGGCAATTTGTTGCGTTGGAAGATCGGGTTTATGTAGTTGTATGTGTTTGGATCGAGCAGAAAGTCCTGGAAATCCCGTCAGTAACTATTTACGTCCAATTGTGGCAAGAAGAAGGGCAGAAGATGTTCATGATGTCCGATCACCAGCCAGATTGGGAACTTACCGAACCTGTAAAACCTTTCGGGAAAGGCTGGAAGTAATTGACAACGTTGTGAGCATTCATAAGCTTCCCTGTGTAGTACGTCTGATACCCTTCTGACTGCAGCCATACCGGAACCCAATTGTCGTTAAGTCCTTCTTGGACGAATTTTGGATAACCACCTGAGCCGCCATTTAGCATTTAGGCATTCGATAGAAATGACGGGTCACTCACCATATGGCGTCTCGACATTCGTAACATTAGTGTTATGCGCCGCCTTTCCGGTCCACATGCTCACGCGGGAAGGGCAGCACCACGCTACTGTGCAGTAATGACTCTTGAAATGGGTGCCTTGGTCAACGAGTAGCTCCTGTACGTTCGGCATATAGTCAAGACTGTTGAGTTTTGCATCCTGGTCGTCTGCCAGGATGAAAACAACATTTGGGCGTGTTTGTTTCTCGGCAATAGTAGGCGCAACATTGCAAAGCGCCGACACAAGAAGTACAGGCAGAAATGCTGTGTGAACCATGATGGTGAGGAGCGTTCGTGTCGGGCGATAGCACTCTGAACATGATGCTGTAAGGTTCAATTATATACTGGTCGATCCGGGCAAAGTTCCTGCATGAGCTCAAATGAGCTCGCGAGATGCACCGTAACTGGTAAGTGATGCATCGACACTTTGGTCAGCATAGCTACCGCATGCGAATCCGTGAGAACTGCGAAGCCGCGCAAGTACACGGGACAAAGCTTGAGTTGATGATCGGATGGTTTGTCGACCTCGCGGGAAGGCCCCAATCGGGAAAGAGATCGACAGCGGCTCCGGACGATGGAAGGCCCGTTGGGGCCGATTTACATTACATCTCGCCAAGCGCACCGAACTGGACCTTACACCCAGAGAGCCTGACTAGTATTTCTGTACAAAGTTGGCAGAGGCGGAGATGCGCGGACGGTTCTACGAGGCTGAGGATGTTTTAGGGCGCTACCGCTAATTGTACGTTGAACTACGAGTACGCCGAATTAGCATTGAAAGCTCGTACGAACCATGCCGAACGTTATTGCTGGTCATAACACTTTGTCATTGGTTCAACTACGATAAATCTTCTTCTACTTGTTCAGAACGGAAGACCAATCGTGCTTCTTCGCCCAGTCTTCCCAAGTTGTAAGCGGACAGTCAATACCAGCCTGTATCGAGTTAGCCTGACTGACTACTGAATCCCCCTTATTCGTCACTTACCTTCCGAAGGTCATCCGCCGACAATAAGTTCATACCGCCATCGTAGCCTGGATCACTTGAATACGAGAACATAGCAGCGACCTCAGTACCAGCTTCGCGATCCGGTGTAGCTTCAATCATCTCTTCTGGTGTGACTTGCTTGTAGCTAGCTTTGACGCCATTGACCTTAGCCCACGTCTCGAGGAATTGGGGCCAGGTGCAAGTGGTGCCTGCAGCCATGTATGCCTTGCCCGGAGGCATTTGCGAGACAGCGTAGGTAAATTCGCCCATATCCCCAGCAGGGTCGAAGTGAGGAACAGGCTTATCTGGCGAGGTAGTAAATGCCATGGTGAACGTGCCGTCAGGGTTCTAGCCCGTTGTCAGTAGATGGTTTCAATGGTTACGAGAGGAATGACTCGCCTTTTTGAAATATGAATTAGGCAGGATGTTGTAGCTTGTGTAGAAGTAGCCCGTATGAATGCACGACATCTTCGCCGCCAACGCAGGGTACTTCTTGTTCACATACGTCGGGAAGATGTCGGCCTTTGCATCGAAATGGTATAACTCCTCGAACTTCCCGTCGCTGCACTTGTCGGCGTGGCTGAGTGTGGAGGCTAAGAAACCGTTTTCGTCAAGGGTATCCGCCGTTGTGGCTGCAGCATCTGCGATATTTTTGCCCTGGAGGAATTCGACATCGTAAGCAAATTCGCGGCACGAGATGCCCATATCTTCAGCCTCAGCGCGGCAATCAGGGCGGAAAAAGGGCTCCCAGTAATTGGTTACACTGAAGATCGCGTTCGCACCACGGAACGCTTCCTTCAAAGATTGGGGGTCGTCGAGGTCTGCCTGCACGATCTCCACCCCTGTTGATTTCAGCGCGGTCGCAGCGGGAGAAGAAACATTGCGCGTGAGGCCGCGGACGCGGTAGCCCGCTGCAAGGAAGCGGCGAGCAACGGAACCGCCCTGGTTGCCTGTCGCACCAACAACAACAATGAGCTTTTTGGACATCGCAAGTCTGGTCGGAACGGACTCTAAGCACGTGGTTCACGAGGCTAACGGTAAGGCTGAGGATGCTCGATGTGATTGCTGTGTGCCTCTAAATTGGAGCTCAGACGCTATCCTACTCCGAGGACTAGCGCATTTGCTAGTGCCGTTCGAACTCTAGATCTTGCAGTGTGGAGATTCACGACCATGGGCGTCATCTCGTCGCGGATCCAGCAACACCTTTATCGTCTCAAACCTGGTGCGGTTCACTTCGGAAAGCACCTAAGATGTAGCAGAGCTTACCCGTGCTTCGTTAAGACCACCCATTTACATACCCCGCGAACTTGTCGGATTATCTCCAGTTATATAACTTCTCATTCACTTCACTCAACTATGCTATCTAATGTCTGCCGGAACGGTGTCGGCGACCTGAAGAGCTATGTAAGAAAGCCGGATGCATTAAGCATGGCTGGAAAACAACGCAGCGTACAATGAAAACATGAGTGAAAAGCCGGATGCACTGGACATGGCTTGGAAACTACGCAGAGTACAATTAGAACATGAACCAAGAGTAAACGCCCGACAATCGAACATGCAAAGATCTCGTGCCACAACAGAGAGGACCAAGGTTCTCTCCATTACGGCCGGGTGTTTTACCTTTTACTTTCTCTCCTTTCTTCCGTTTTTTCTTCTTCCTTCCTTTTTTCTCATTTTTTCCTTTTTCCTTTTTCTCTTTTCTTTTTGCCTTCTTTTTATTTCATTTTCTTATTTCCTTCTTTTCCTTTGATTTCCCCAAGAACCAAATCCATAGACCAGACGGTTCGCATTCGCTGAGCGGGAATTGTGATTTCTTTAGGAGACAACGAGCGAGTTCGGTGACGCTGCAATTCCGCTGCGCGGTTCGGTCTCCAGTTTTGGGAGGCCTTTACAACTGTTCTTCCTCCTCGTCGATCGGGTCTTGTGCTCTATCGGGTCCAGTAGCAGGCTGCGGCTGAGCCTCGAGCGGTGCAAGAGATGGTTCGTCCTTGTCCGAAGTGTCGCCGGCGAGATCGATACTAGAGTCGTCGATGTCTGCGCTGTCCCCTTCGCAAACGTCCTCTACCGGAGCACTCTTCACAGAAACATCGTTATAGCTAGCCGGAGTCGTCAGCGGCTCCAGTGTGTTCTCGTCAGCGGTGTCTGCTGTTAGATCGACGCTGAGGTCGATAGCTGAGTCGTCGTATACTTCGTCGTTGTCTTCGGCAATTGTCTTTAGGTCTTCCACAGCACCGCCCTCGGGAAGGGCGATGGTCGGCGATGTCGCGCTGGTCTCGGTAGATGCTCCGTTATTTAAGGTCTTGACCCGTTTGATAGGTGGCGCTGGGCTATCCGAACGCTTACGCTTCCGCGATGATGAGGCATGGATGTCAAAGGGGATTTCTTCCGTTTCTGCCTCCTGAATGACCTTGTTGAAGTTGTCGATAATGTCGGCGAATATAATCGCCTTAGCGCGCTCGGTATCTTCGATGGAGCTCTCAGTAAAGTCCTCGCGTGGCTGCTGGACCTCGTTCGTGGAGGCTTCGATGATCGTGGAACTCGCATTGTTGCCCTCGGGGGCCGCATCGGCGACGTAGTCCTGGGTACTCGCGCTCGATTTCTGGAGTGATTTCTCAGCGCGCTTGGTATCCAACATCTGCCGCAACTCTTGCATTCTGCGCGCTCGGTGTTCCCCACTGGCCTTGGAGTCGCTGCCATGGTCGATTGCCTTTGATGTCGCATCGACACTGTTTTGTGTTAGGTTGGCGGACGGACTGAACGAACTTGAGTCCGGAGCCTGGACTTCCTGCATTCCACTTTCTTTTGACCGCGAAGTTTCATCGGCACGCTTCTCGATGATCTGGCCATCGTTGCCGACTTCAACTACTTCCGAATGCGTGGTCAATGAGGTGTCCTTCTCATTGGGAGGATCAACCGGCTTCGAGATCGCGATGTTGTGCTTCAAGGTGGCACGTTGGAACTTGTCTTGAGGGTTTGCGCTCAATTCTGGGTCCTCTTCGATCTTGGATGTATCGATAGGCCTGAAGTATATGCCGTTCATAGTGAACGTGGTGTTCCGCCGAACTCGACTCCAGTCCACGAAAAATGTCTCCTTCTTTCCCTTCCTGCCCTCGTATACGGTGAAGTCGTTTGGATCCTCGTCGTATGGAACATTAGGCGGGTTGAAGAAGATACCCTTCTCTTCCTGTGTATTAGCTAGTGAGTACTTGCCATACAGATGACCGCATTCTTGGAGGTAGTCATCGCGGCTCTTGGTCATCTGCAAGTCAAGATTGCCCGACTCGCACTCTTCGGCTTGCTTGAAAAGAGCCTCACCAAGCTCCTGAGGGCTAGGGTTCTTCTCTGGAAAAGCGAACACATGTTTCACCTCAGCAGCAGAAAGCGGACCTGGACTCTCCTTTACCAATGCTAACTCCCGGTCCGAGGTGTACACCAATGGAAACTGGACCACCTTCTTGAGATGCGCGGAGTACACACAACCCCAGGTGCCAGCAGGCGTTCGTGGAGCGGAGACCGGAAACTTCATCAATACCAGCACCTCGCTACGTACGGGCAAGGGCAGCTCCTTAAACTCTTCGGTGACATATCGCTTCTCGGCAGCGTCGAAAACTGCCTTGGCCCACTCGGGAGCCTTGCCAGTAAAACGCAGCTTGCGCTCCCATGCGATGCCGCAGAGCTTGAGGTAGTCCGGCACGGTCATCAAGCCGCGCTCGGATGCGGCAACGTAGACTTTACCATCGCTGAGATCGAGGTATAGGTCAGCATAGTCGATAGTAACAGACCCGCCATGGCCTTCTTTTGCTTCAGGAAGTCCAAATTGTTGACGCGTGATGCCGGCTTTGAGCATTGTAATTGCGCTGTAGTAGTTCGTCCAGGCGGTTGAGTCCCACTGGTCCTGCTGAAGATTCGGGCTGAAACTGTGATCAATCTTGGTCGACCATAGGATTGGGATGGTGAAATCGCTATATGGGGCGAAAAATTCCGACTTGCGATCTGGGGGTGGCGGAGTGTGTTGTTGCGCCACTCCACCATCGACCTGCGGCTCCTGCTGTTGTAGAAATGGCAGCTGTCCATTTTGCGCGAGGAAGTTGAACATCTGCTGCATCTGCTGCATCTGCTGCCATGATTGCGCGATCCGGTTTTGGTCTACCTGGCTGAGCTGTTGCTGAATCTGCGCCTGAGTGTGCGGTTGAGGATGCGCAAATGGTTTACCACCGCGGTTGTTCGCGTGCTTGCCAGCGTGGTTCTGGCGATACGCGTTCGGCTGTGTCTGACGGTACCTCTTATCCTCGTGTTCGTCGATCTCGTACCGCGCTTTGCGCTTTTGATTCGACATATTAGATGGATGCGATCTGTTGATGCTTAGTTCGCGGTCCAAAGAGACTGAGAGTGGGCGCGCCGAATATCTGGCGCGATCAAAAGCTGAAGGCGAGTAAAGAAACAGAGGTAGAGTCAGGGCAAGCGCAAGGTAGGGAAGCGGGACTTTAAGAGAAGTTGAATCGCGGCCATGCACGTGCGTCATCAATATCCCTATTGTTCACTGCTGACGTAAACTGGTATTCACATTCACTGCTCGCTTGATATCGCCCCTCGCGCAATGGCAGTGATTGCTACTTGAAACGTTGAGCGAGGACCTATTGACCGGTGAACTTTGTGCAGTAAGCTACCCTGCTGTGCGGATATCCGGTAGTACCCTGAAGCGAATTACCCTTTGGTGAAATCTGCTCAAACAGCCTTAACAAAAGGCCGATTATCACGCTACTTCTGGTCCGTACTACACCCGACATTATAGATTGATTCAGCATTGGGCAGAAGCTTTTAGGCCCGAGACTCGGGTGTCACGTGCAGTTCAGTTCTTCTGGGCTCCAGCTTGTCATATTTCAATTCTCGTGTTCATAAAGAATTTGACGCCGCTCGCCTCGACTCCGATCGACTCATATCAACCCTCACGACTTCGCATCCTCTCGAGCTGCATCCTGTCGCCACACTTCGCAATGGACCTTGCCTTTATGGATCGCGAAAAGCGGGAGCAATTGCTCCACAGCACCACGATCACACTCGTTGTAAAGTACAGTGGCACAAAACATCGTCTCGAACAGCTCGCGGCCGCGGAAAACGTCGTCGCCCGTGATCGGTATCGCCAGCTTTGCGATCAGGCCAAGGCCGCCGGTTCCACCCCTTCCTCAGTCAAAATTGAATTCCCAGCACACGCACTGGAAGCCGCCATAGCGCTGTGCGCGGTTGCCGAAACCAACCCCGACGAGATATATATGCGCGAGCGTGGCGGCGATACCCACTTCCTGCAGATCGACCTAGGACCGATCCTCCCCGGCTACCTGATGGAAATCCTAGACTGGTACTGCAGGGCGCTGAGTGCTAGACAATGGAAAGACTTTCTGCCCGCCGACCCGTCTGTACAAGAATACGACAAGTTCTTCTGGCTATACATCTACATCACCATGCGAAAGCTCGGCATGCACGACTTTGCCAACACCCTTGGTGGCCCCTTCATCGGCATTCTGGTGGAACAACATGGGCTGGTGGATCATGCCTGGATGCTAGACTTCCTCCTCGAGCAATTGCAGGAGGGTGATGCTCTCTTTCAGCTTGTCGCAGAGCGATATCTGCAGCTCGAACAAGCTGGTCGGTCTCCGCTTTTCCCCGAGCAATGGTCTGCAATATGCAAGGCCTACCCTCATTTCGGCAACCTTGTGACGAAGTTGCAGGGATTCCAGGACCTGTTCGGCGATGCTGTGAGGGAGATGGAGCGTTTGGGGATCGATGATGGCGTCGACGAGGACATGGAACTTTGACTTGGAAGATTGCCACGCGCTCGGTCGCCGTTTGCACTCTGAGGACTCATCGGTGAGCGCGACTGTATGTGAGCATCCGTGCGACTTTTTTGTTTATTGATATCCCAGCAGCACGCGTGCTAGGTACGACTTCCCTTTCCCCTTTCCCCACACCTACCCTTGAACATGGTGTCCTGTATTCCATTTTTCTGTATGTTGTTCTCTTCCCTGGGGCGAGGATTTGAGTATTCGGGATTGAGCCATTTTGCGCTGCTTTCAATCGGTCGTTTGTGCACCATGTATGGACATCGTCATAAGTACGACCGTTTGCCCCTGCACGTGTGAGCGAGCCCCAGGGTCCGGTTCACCCTCGAGATTAGCGTACAAGGCCAAACGTTCATCATCGGTAACCTGCGATTGCTGTCAATTCGCCCTCGGTTATATGAACGCACAATGCCCGAATACCTTGCGTCCTTACACTTGACAACGATTTGAACTGTACAATTCCTGCATGTACTCGGTTTTACCATTCGGTTCTTTTCTGTATAAATCAAGGGCTTCGGAATTGCAGCAACTCCTCCCCAATCTTTCAAGCTTGTCCGTCTTTAAGTCTATCTGTTTTAATCGAACGACGCACGTACTGGTCGCACAATGCCAGACTCACCAAAGGCAGATACAATTGTTTCTGGCACGTACGATCTTGGTGGGGGACGAAGGGGAGCAGTGTCGGCGGCAGGTGGACAAACACCGAATCAGCCGCAGCCGAATGAAACTGGTCGTTAATACAAGCATAATTGTGTCGCCTTGGTCTTGTTAGGGTAGTGGTACTAGTTTCCTGGAAGGCATTGTTGCTCTGGTGAGTATTGATCCTCAAATCCTGTACTGGCCGTGTTGAGGTTTGACTGACATTTGCAGCACGCTCGATGGTCATGACCGCAAGTACGATGGTTCGAAGCTCGAAGAACACTCCTAGAGATCATGTTGTGGCTAATCGATCTTCCTCTGTACTTCTTTTCTCTGATGATTGGTGCATTACCTTGGTAAGCATGAGTCCATCGTCATCGATTTGAAGCTCCAGCTGACAGCGCAGGGTCTCTACGGTTTTGACATGACGATGTATTTCCTGAGCTCGAGGTTTCTTTGCTGGCGGTAGACCACTGTACGAGTGAGAGCCTCGGTCGGGGTGATCAACATGTTATAGAAGAATTGAATATCATCGGTCATTGCAGATGTGCTTTAGTGATTTTCATGATTCTTGAGGTTGAGGTGAAAGTATGACCTGCAATTGTAAGCATGGGGTCATCTCATAAACCAATGAACGAGCCGATCGGACATGGCTCCGAAAAGGAAAGAGGAAAACCCCGCATCCCAATTTGCTGACGTGCTTATACTCCATCTTTATTTCTGCATGTGCGACGCCGAGCCTTTGTCATCTAATGCTACGTAACGTTGGGCGCCCAACGTTACGTCCTCGCAGCTACGATCCCATTGGTTCCACAAAAAAGGATACACTATCAACATGAAAGTCGCACAAGCCCTCATACGACGTCGAGTCCCAGTTTATACTGACCTAACCCCTTGCATGTTCTGTTTTATACCCAGAATGACCGTTGGTCTTGTAGGACTCAGAAGATCAAGCCAACCATGAAGCGCGACTAGGTTTCCTCGCAATCCCAGCGGGTCTTACCCTATGCCCGGGATGTTGCGGCCGATCTCGTACGGTACAGCACGCTCGAAGTAAGCATGAACGATAACGTTGCAGATTGAACTCACCGTTCGGACTATCATCATTCAGCGTAACATATATAAGATGCGCAACCATGCATGGTGCGTTGTGCCACAACTCCTCCTTCCCATACAATCCCGCTATACTCGCCCCCAATGGCCCCCAAAACCTGGCTCATAACAGGATGCACGTCTGGTTTCGGCGCAGACTTCGTACGCGAAGCTCTGAAGAGAGGCGATAAAGCCATAGCCACCGGTCGCGGTGATATATCCCGTCTTTCTACGCTCAAGGAAGCTGGCGCACACGTGTACACGCTCGATGTCACCTCGCCATCGGAGACGATCAATGCAACTGTTGCAGAGATGATTGAAGAAGTCGGAGATATTGATGTCCTAGTCAATAACGCGGGGTATCTGCAGATGGGCCTCGTAGGCGAGCTGGAGTAAGCTTACCATTTCTCTCCACATTTCCCCGGCTTACGCCCGCAAGGCTACAAGCATGGCGGGACATCTTCGAGACGAACTTTTTCGGCTCGCTCAAGATGACACAAGCTCTGCTGCCTCACTTCCGCTCGCGCAAGGCCGGCGACATCGTCTTCATCGGTAGTATCTACGGCCTCACGGGCATTTCCGGGGGCGTCTCGTACTCGGCTACGAAATTCGCGTTGGAAGGCCTGCATGATGCGCTCAGACAAGAATGCGCACCTTTTGGGATCCGCTCCCTCATGTTCGAGCCGGGGGTTTGCCGCACAGAAGTGTGCAAGACGGGGGCTCAGCACCTTGATACTGCGCCCAAGAAGGAGGTGGAAGAACTGGCTCCCATGCGCAATTTCGTGACTGCGCTTAACACTGCGCTGCAAGGAAATGAAGTCGGTGATCCGAAAAAGGTGGTCAAGATTATGGTCGATATGGTGAGAGGAGAGGGCGTGGCTGAGGGGAAGGAGGTACCGGATCGGTTGACTCTTGGAAGCGATGCTTTGATCGCCGTTCAGCCAAAGCAGGAGACCATGGTGAAGCAATGGGATGAGTGGAAAGACGTGATCTTAAGCACAGATTGTGATGATGTGGCGGGGCGAGAGGAGCCAGAGTATGTGAAGATGATCAGATCAGTCTCGTAGAGATTGATACCTTTGTCAACGTCTATGCATAATTCAATGCTGTCGAAACATTCTTTAGTTGATATTGTATCCTGATTGGTATCTTCCAGTTGGCTGACAGAGAGGTTGATTAAATAACATCAGAAATGGTAATTCACCTCTAGGTGAGGTGACGTCGTCGCAGGTACTTGAACTCACCTTGGCTTCCGTATATGATCTTCGGGCGCGACTTCTTCCTTCGCCACCACACTCGTTGTTTCCACCCCACGCTCTTTTCAGCTCTTGCGTCCTGTACTCCCATCATGAAGCTCGCCTTCGCTGCAGTAATTGTAGCTCTTGCTTCCGTCGTCGAGTTTGCCGCGGGAGCAGCATCCCCGACTCCCACACGCCGCCTCGAAGGCTATCGACGACTCTTGCCGTTCTGGAGTCCCCGTCCCAGTCGCCGCCGCGCACTATCGCCCGCCATACCCGCTCCATCAACAGCTGCCCGTAAACGCGACGACCCTGCGCCTGCCTCTGCTCCACCAGCTGCGACCGTATCCGACATCTGGGAGATCAATGATCCGTTTCCGGTCCTCGAAACAGGGTCCTTCACCGACTCAGTGCCAGCATCTGGATCGAGCAATTCGCCCGCCCCGACGTCGGCCGATCCGTTCGAGATCTTAGAACCAGGGTTTGGGACGCCTACTGCTGAGCCAACAGCAGACCCAACGGCAGACCCAACGGCAGATCCAACCTCTATATCATCGCCGAGTGGCCTACCGGCCGCGGCGAGTGACTCAGTCTGGGAAGATGCGGCCAACCATGGATGCCGGCTGGTCGATGCAATGCGCACCTCCGACCTTGAAGCAGGCAAGCTTTATAGCCCTGCGAAACAGTCCGTGCAAAGCCCGCTGATGAGCTTTGAGGACTTCACAAGCTGGGGTTGGAGCGCAAACGAGGTCAATGGCGGCAACTTTACTGACTTCGATGGTGGTCAGAAGCAGCCTGATCCTGGTTGGGGTGTAGGACACGCTCTTAGAGATTTGGGCGTCTCGGACAAGATCAAGGCCCAAGGTGGCAAGAACGTGATCATTGACGCTATTCATGGGAAGGAGCCTTTCACGCAAGGATACAATAAGAATGGCAAGTCCTATCCGGTACGTGACACGGCCTCCCAAGATCTGGACATGACTGACGTATGCTCTAGGCGACGGGTGCAGAATTCAAAATCGGTATCAACGCCGATGACGGAGGTATGCCACCCAAATTATCAACCCCATTCGCCTGTACTTACTCAGAGATAGTCTTGATGGCCATGGATCGGATATCGCCCGCCAGTGCGGCGAAGAAGCGAAGCCCCCCAGTCTCGGACGACCAGCTTCCGGAAGTGCACGCATTTTCGGACATCGGCTACCTGAATTACAAGCACATCCTCGGAAAAGACCCGAAGAGTCTGAAATACATGATGTCTCTGATGATCACAAATGACAAAACAGCGAGCATCATTGCCAGGGCTTTGGGTAGTGGAGGGCTCGGACCATGGCCGGGAAAATCGTTCAATTGGCGTTCGAAAGAATTCAAGGCGCTCCTCGGTATGTTACCCCATCGCGGCTACCAATCCATGAGATCTCTAACGTTTGATAGGATCACCTAACGGTATGGGCTTCGGTTACCTCCTGGTACAACACAAGTCCCAGCTTGGAAGTATGTCCATCAAGGAAGCGCAAATATTCCATGGCGATACCTGGCACCACTTGCCCAACATGGTCTTCACAATGGAGGTGCAAAATGGCCAAGATCCGCCGCCCAAGCCATCAGGTTCACCTCCCCAGATGGTTGAGCCCCTCGTGACTGGCGTACCGGGAAAGCTGAGGCGTGAAGGAGCAGTGCCGGCGTATCCTAAAATGCGATCTCAGGGCCCGAAGAATTTTGTGAGGGCGCATATAAAACATGTCGAGCTATGAGCGGACTATCGGTTCCGTTCCGGGGCAAGGGTGCTGCAAGTGGCCGACGATGAATCTTTTCAGCTCAGGCATATCTTGCGGTAGATAGCATGGCATCATGGCAGCACGTTCGGGATACGTGAATCATTCAGGTGGTTATCGTAGATAATCACCTAGGTGGAGTTCTTCGTCTACCCAGATGCACGTATGGTGGCCCCCGGCAAGAAATGCAACAGTAGTAGTATCCCTCTTCAATTCAGCTTCAGCTAATTCGTAGCGTAGCACGATATTATAGTTTTCTGCTCGAAAAGCGTTGAAAGCTGTTCGATGTTGCCGTCCTCGAGGAAACCCCGATGCAATTGGTATTGTCTGTTGTTAAAATATACAAATCTGCTCTGCCCCCATTATGTACTCATCCCAGACGTGCTCCTCCTATGGGCGAAACTCTGAAATCCATCCTATGCCTTCGACTCCTTCCTAATCTTTGCACAAAGTTCCATGATGTCCTTGCATAGCACTTCAAGTGCGAACCGCTCCCTTGTCCATTCCCATTGGTCATCCCCAGTTCCGAATACCGTCCGCATTTGCACCGCGAATGTCAGTCTGAATGAAGTGAGCGATTTATTTTCAAAATGTGTCTATGATTTCATACCTGTTCATCGCACTCATGCGGTTGTTCTTCGTGAGGTCGCTCAGCTCTTTGAGGGCATCCACGAAGCGTTTTGCCCATTGTCCGGGCGGCAGCAGCGCAACATCGTCCTCACCAGCAAGGGCCTTTTTACCGTCCACCTCGATTCGCGGGGCGATGTCACGGATGATAAGTCTCTCCGGCGGGATCGTACTTCCGTCCCAGCCGTCAGGCCAGTTCTCTTGAATTGCGCGTATGGCTTTCATTCTCCGAGTGAGAGGCTTTCACTTGCGTCAGCTCCTTCGAAAAAATCGAAGATTTCGTCGTGACATGCGTACCTGTGCGATCTTTCTCTTGCTGGTGGCATCGACCAGTTCTCGGATGCTCGGTGCGTCCTCATCAGAAGGGAGTGCGCGTTTCAGCCGCATTGGAAGCGACAACAGTGAGGTGTCCATGATGAAGTAATTTGCTGTGATGGCGACGGCTGTTGGAAGATGTGTGTAAAGCAAGGAAGTGTCGCGAAGTGAGAGGTACAGGCGGTCAAGTGAGAGAGCAAACGCTCGCTGGCCTAGCAACGTGACCGCGCGCCTTCTCTCACTTGCGAACGCCCTTCCAAACTGTAGCCTATGTTACTCATACGCGTGAACTGTCTTGTTGTCTGACGTAACGCGTGCCTCACACGCGCTCTTTCACCTACTGATCATCATTTTTGCGATGTCTTGCAAGTTTTTGGTACTATTTATAATTTGTCGTTCGACTCTAATCATCCAGAATCATTGGACTCAAAGAGTGGGACGGATCTCGAGTATCAGAACCCGCCACCCTAAGCCAGCGTACAGGCTGGGCACAAAACCACCACGAGACTCACTAGGTAGCCTAGTATTCGAGGCACTTGGGTCCACATCAAACCCAACCGACTTTGTCTTGTGTTCGAAAGAGATCAATAGTTTGAAGGAGCACCTATGGGCGAAAAAGAATCTCATGGACCTTGGTGTGTACAACAGCACTTTAAGTGATGCTATGGACGGTATAGTTCCTTCGAGCATCTTTTTGAGCGGCCTTCGAACAGTGAGTCGACTGCGAGTCTTCAAGACACCTCACTTATAAAGGACATAGGCTATCGCAGTATATCATTACATGAATTCCAACACTGTGCAACAGAATCTGCGGAGCATCAATGCAAATGTCAGAATGGAGCTTGGTCATGCAAAGGCTTTGACTGGAGAAGATGTAAACCTTGTACCGCTATGGGACTCATTCTTAGAGAACAGATTCGCAGAAGTCGAGAATTATGGGAAGGATTGGCTTGAAGGGCGTGTCGAAAGGGCACTGAAAAATATTACAGAAACTCGCAAGAAATATCGTAGCCTTCTCACCCAGATGCAAAAGCAAGAGAAGGGAAAGCAGGCAGAGCGGCACCGAAAACTCCAGCACCAGAAACAGCTGTCTTTCGAAAAACTAAGAGAAAGCGCAAAGCGCAAGGTCGTTCATCAAAGACAACTGATCAGTCAATTAACAAAGAAGCACGCGGCAATTACGAACCCGACCAAGGCACAGACCAAGGCCTTCGACAGCAAGGTGACTACTGCCAAAAAGAATATGCTCCGGCATGAGAAGACGGTGATGAAGGCGCAGCGACGTATCCATGTCCTATATGCGCATTCATTGGAGGGCATCCTTCGCAACTTAAGGAAGGATCAGCAGCGGGTGTTGGCATTCAAAAAGGCCATACCCGCCTTGCGATTATTGCGACCGTGAACTACTCTACTACACCAGGGGAAGCAATGGGTCGCTGCATATGTGAACAATTGTCTCTCCTATATTACTTGTACATTTCTCTCTAACATCATCACAATGTCAGCTTAGGCTTATGTTATATCTTTACATAGACTCTCAATGTCAAATCATCTGAACTCGCAATTTACTACCATAGGTAGTAGCATGTGATGTAGATGCCTTAAGTGAGCACTTCCCAAATATTCGGCTCCTCCGTACAAATTGATAGACGTGATTTGACAAGGCATTTTGGACAGGCCACGGCGGCGGAAAGGTACCAAACTGCCGCCCTGGAGATGAAGAGGGATATTAAGGCAACGCTTTCACTTGGGAGCACGCTCGTTGATCTAGCAACGGACCGCGCCTTCTCTCACTGGCAAACGGCCACGCAAAACTTGGTCCTAGACTAGTCATTCACTAACTGACATCTACAACTTTTGGTACTATATATGATTTGTCGTTTCACCCTATTCATATAACTCAAGTACACCCACTAGCTTGGTCTAGTGGAGTCGGTCTGCAGAGAAATCAGGAGTTCCGAAAAGGTCTGCAGAGAAATCAGGAGTTCCTAACCTTGGGTTATATTTTTGTTGTCACAAGGCGTCTGTTCGAACCTCGGACTTGACCTCTTTTGAATGTTCTCGATGTGGCCCCGACTGGTCATTCACTAACAATCCTGACCTCTTTTGAATGTTCTCGTTTTGGCCTCGACTGGTTATTCACTAACAATCCTGACATCTTTTGAAAGTTCTCTTTTGGGCCCCGACTCGTCATTCACTTGATATTTACAACTTCTGATACTATATATATTTTGTTGTTTAACTCTATCACATAACTCAAGTACACCCACCAGCCTTGGTCTAGTGGAGTCGGTCTGCAGAGAAATCAGGAGTTCCGAAAAGGTCTGCAGAGAAATCAGGAGTTCCTAACCTTGAGTTATTTTTGTCTGTCACAGTGCGTGTGTTCGAATCTTGGTTCTGTCAGGACCACTGGAATATTCTCTTTTTGGACTGCAAAGATTGATTGCTGTTTTCACAAATAGCAGGCACGCTGTATGGTCAATACTCATGTTCACCTAGAACTCAGTACTATCTATTACTTTTTGATCCAGAATTCGTTCAATGACACTCAGCTACTCTATTTAACGCTAATAATCACACGATCGTACCGCGTCAACGGAAACTCTCCATCATCAGTCGCCTGCACGATTACGGAGACAGTCTGCCCAGAATGCGCATCCTTAGGCACCTTTACACTCGCGCCATTGTGCTTGTTGCTTGAGACCTCAACCTCACCCGGATACGTCCCCTCCTCAAGATACTGCCACCAAGACACAGTAACCTGGTCCCGGTCCGGGTCACTAACACGAGCAGACAGCTTAACAGTCGATCCAGCCCTCGCCTTCACCTCCCCACCATTCCGAATCTTCACCGAAGGCGCATGATTCCCCTCGCGATACTTCGACGTAAGCCCCCACTGCATCCTCGCCGCGAAGTCGTTCGACGCAGCCGCAATCCAGCGGTTCGTCGTCCAGTCCTTGACCTCACTCCCATTATCTGCCTTCTCTGTGCTGACCAACTGCCAATGCTCCGGCATGGAGCTATTAAGGAAAGACCGCCCACCCCAACCACCAAGCGCCGGCTTACCAGGCTCCTGAATACCCGTCGTCAACAGCGGGTTGAACGCCACATTGTCACCCTCAGACAGGAAATCATACGGTCCGAGCGGCTTGCACCACGTGCTCGGCGCAGAAGCCTGTGTGTAGTTACCGAAAACGTCGAGCTGGTCGCCGTCCGTATGCTGCCCGTCAAGCCACGAGCGGTACAGGCTTCCCAGCGGGCCGGTCTGAATGTTAGCTTTGATCCAGGCACCTGTGAAATACTCATGGGCGTCGGGGAGACCGCGGACGTTGCCTTGGCCTTTGTTGCAGTTGAAGCCCCAAGTGTTGTAGGCGGTTTGGAAGTCTTCGACGCGGATGGAAGGCCAGTTGGGGGCGATGTAGTCGGCGTAGGTTTGGTCTTGGAAGCCGCTGGCGAGGATGACGGTCTTTTGAGAGATGGAGGATTTGATATGTGGCCATTTCTTTGAGCTGGCGTACCTGTCTTCGATGGACTTGAGGGCGCGGGCAATGGTGTTGGTTCCGCCCCAGGCCTGGAGGTAGAGCGTTCGTCGGTCGTTGTCGAGGAGCAACGATCGAATGAGGTTGGAGCCATCCGTATCTTCGTCCATCTCTCCCTCAAAGACAATGTTACCCATCTTGACTTTGGACAGCAGATCCTTTGGCGTAGGATAGGCCGAATCGTGGGCCCGCAAATTGGGATATATTTCGGCGTAAGCCTTCAAGAGCTTGTCTTGTATCGTCCGAGTTCCCGTCCAGCGCCACGACGTCTGAGAAGTGTTGTATTCGCGGTCGGGCAAGAAAAACTTTGTACCTTTGCCGTCACCTGCCCAGTGATATTTGCTGGAGGTGTAGATGATGCCTTCCGTGTCGAGCTCGTTGGTATATAGTACATATCGGACGAGTGATGCCAGGTCATCCTGTTCCATATCGGTAGTGACGACCGTGCGGAACTTCTCTGGTTTGCCAGTGGAGTATGCCAATGCATCCGGTACGGCAGAGGCCAACAAGCTGACTGTCAGCAGATGGGGTATGGAGAAAAGCATCTTGTATAGCTTCAATGTCTCCACTGACGGACAAGAATGACAGCTCCCAGTCGGACCCTGCACGACTGCACATGTTGGCCGTTAAGGGCTTTTGTAGTACAAGGAAATTTTCTATGCTGGACGAATAGCTACATTGGGACCACTACACCAAGGATAACGCCGTCCGTAAAAGAGCCCTTACCCCGCTCGTAGTGTCAACGGAAAGAAATGTGGGGTAAATCTACCGCCGTTGGTGGATGATCACGGAGTAGCACGAATTTGGCATCGGCCAGAGTCATGTAGCTGTTCATCATACCGTTCAGCGACTGTGTAGTCTTGTAGTAATTCGCCCTACCGCTGTGTTCAATATCAACAGGCTTTGCGTACTCGCCTTCTTCTGAATCGACGTTCACCATGACGGGTCGTATGGGCCCGGTGTGCAATAGTGAGATCTGCAGAGATCTGGAGAAAAGCACGTGGAGATCCATCCGATCACACATATTTTGGCTAGGAACCTGGATCCACCGATTCATTAGACATGACGTTGGAGGTGTTGTCGCTTAATGCAGTAATCGGAGGCACTCCTTCGGAGACGCTAGCCCGTTCAGGAACGCCTCCTGAGCGCGGCTATTTTGCTCGAACTAGCAACAGCAGGCACCTGCACTGAACTGAGGTCCTATGGCATAAGGTACCAAGATTTGTCTCGAACATTCGCTTCACAGATGTACGGCAGATGAGGACGGTTGCCAGTACCTCGTCGACACATTGATTGTATTGGCATAAGTGACCTAGCATCCACACTCATGGAAAAAAAAAAGCAGAGTGACTGAGCCCATGGAAGACCTGATTCCACGACAATAAAGACCTTATTCAAACACAAGACGATCTGAAATACGAGATGGTATGACCTGGGTCATCATATGATTAACCGCGCTTGTGATTAAAGCCCAGCGGTTCAAGCCCCCTGGGTCCAGCCTCATTTGAGGCGTATCCGCTTTTAAGGCATCGTTTTCCGAGCCTGCGTCGCAATGGTATTACCACTATTGATACTGAGCATCGGTGTGACATAAGCTTCACTTTCGTTTCGTGGTACCAGTTGCTTTCACAGCCTTCGCAGGTTCCTGCTTCTGCTGGTCATTCGCTTTGCCATCGGCCGTAGGCGCATCCATGCTCTGAGTAGCAACCTTCGGCAAAAATCTACCCACTCGCTCCCGATAAATCTTATATTCAGGGTACTTCTGCGCACTGAGCAACTCAGTGAGCCAGGTGCTGGCCTGGAAGAGGATCAAGTAGGAGAGTGCGGCGCCAAAGCACCAGTTGACGAATGTCTCCGACTCGGAGCAAGACCACTGATACAACGCGAGCCATACGCCCTGTTCTGCTGCAAAATTCGGATGGCGTGACCATGCCCAGAGGCCGCTAGTATTGAAACCGCGATCGAGTTGCTCGCGAGTATATCCATACTCCTTCGGTACCTTTGCCGTCTTCTTGTACGCGTCCTTGGCTCCGTGAAAGTTCCACTGCTGCTGGTCGGCGAAGAACTCCATGAGAACGAGGACGAAGATGAGCTTGGAGAAGACGCTATCGTAGAAGGTGAGCTCGTTTCCGGTGACGCGCGAGCAGAGAAGGAGGACGTAGGTCGGTGATGTGATGGCAAACAGAAGTATCTACCATTGATTAGCATGCATTGCTTCGAGTCCCATATGGCACTCGGGGAAAAGAGCGTGTATACTAACATTTTGCGCCAACGAGATGAACACAATGTTGAAAATGAACATCACTACAGGCCCAGCATAATCCTTCACGATGTTCCATCTGTAGTCCTCAGAACCGACGGTATAACCTCCCTTGCGCCAGTAATTGAACGTCAATCTCGCACCCCATAATATTGTGACCGCCATAACATGGTCCATTCGCTGTGTTGGAAGTCCCGCCAGATGCGCCCATAGCGCGTAATGCGAGTTGTATATGACGGGCAATATGCTCCATAGGCGATCCACCTGCGAGTAGTTCTTGTTGATCTCGGAAACAATGAACACAACTGGCGTGACGAATAGCGAAAAAGCGAGCGCCGTAACTAGTGGGTTCGTCGACAGGTACACATGTTGGAGCGCCTCTAGATTGTTGATGTTATCGAAGACCTTCTGCGGCAGGTCGTACAGCTGCGGGAGAAATGGCTGGACAGTCTTCGAGAAGTCTGCGCAATCGGGTAGGCTTTTGACAGCGGGCAGCGCCACGCTCAAGGTTGGTCGTAAATCCAGCATTTTGGTGTCCGTAATGAAAAGCGTGCCGACCTTTTCCCCAGCACTTGAAGCACTGCAGAAATGACAGCACTGTACCGTGGGACAGACATGGCGTCATTATCTGTCGTGAAAGGGAAGGACCGCTCGCTTATTCACTGGGTCCCAGCGGTCTGTGCACAGGGCCGACGCGCTTTCGACGGCTCGACGCGTCTTCACATGATCGCTAATCCCAGACTTCACTGAGGGGTGAAGAGGCATGGCGAGGATTCTATGCGTTGCGGAGAAACCCTCGATAGCCAAGGCCGTAGCCAACCATCTCGGTGGTCAGGCTCGAGCAGTAAGTTTGTGATCTTTGAAAAGCTTGTGCATACTCACACTGGACCAGGAAAATGTTCGCGGCATACCGTGGGTCAAGAACTACAAATTCGACTACGACTTTCAACGATGGGGCCAGTCCTCGGTGACCTTTACTTGCGTAGCGGGTCATATCCAAGCGCAAGATTTCCATGAACGATATCGAAAGTGGCATTCATGTCCTCCAGCAGATCTGTTCGAAGCGCCCATTGTGACTCAGATCGCAGAGGACAAGAAGGCCGTCGCAAGCAACATTGAAGCTCAGGCCAGATACAATGACATTCTTTTCATCTGGACAGATTGTGACCGAGAGGGGGAGCATATCGGAGGTGAAATTCGAGACATTGCACTGAAAGTCAAGCCCAATATGCAAGTGTGGCGGGCAAGATTCAGCAACATCGAGAGAGCGTAAGTAACGGCCAGGACGTGGAGCAAAGACGCTAATGGTAGCTGTAGGCACATCATCCAAGCCGCCCGAACTCCCATTCAGCTGGATGAGGCTCAAGCCAATGCTGTTGCAGCACGCATCGAGCTAGACCTCCGTCTGGGTGCTGCATTCACCCGTATGCAGACATTGTCTTTACAGCAAATGCTCCCTCAGCAAGGTGAACAGAAAAAGGTCATCAGCTACGGGTCATGCCAGTTCCCTACCCTTGGCTTTGTTGTTGACCGATATTTGCGCGTGCGGAACTTTGTCCCTGAACCTTTCTGGTATATAAGAGTCGGACACGAGAGGGACGGCATCAATGTCAAGTTCTCTTGGAGGAGGGGTCATCTCTTTGACAGGATGACCGTCATTATTATATACGAGAGATGCTTGCTCGCAAAATACGCGAAAGTCACCAAGATGCAGAAGAAACCAACGAAGAAGTGGAAACCGCTACCTCTCACGACGGTTGAGTTACAAAAGATGGGAAGCAGATTCCTTCGGATGACATCTCAAGAGGTCATGAAGGTCGCGGAGGATTTGTACACCAAGGGGTGGATCAGCTACCCGCGTACCGAAACGGACCAATTCGACAGGGATATGGATCTGCGAAGGAACATTCAAAAACAGGAGCAGGATAATCGCTGGGGTGGCTTCGCTACAGGGCTGATGAACGGTGGATTCAATCAACCTCGCAACGGCCGCAACAACGACAAAGCCCATCCTCCAATCCATCCAGTAAATTACGTGAACCCGAACCAACTCAACGACAACGAGAAGCGCGTATACGAATTCGTAGTCCGCCGCTTTCTCGCTTGCTGCTCCGAAGATGCAGTGGGTGAAGCTACGGATGTTGAAATTGACTACGGAGGTGAAATTTTCCACGTCCATGGGCTGACTGTCATTGAACGAAACTACCTTGATGTGTACCCTTATGACAAGTGGGAAAGCAGTCAGAATCTGCCTCGCTATGTCGTTGGGGAAACGTTCGAGCCGGACGAGGCAACCATGCACGATGGAAAGACAACAGCCCCGGGCTATTTGACGGAACCCGAGCTCATTGCTCTCATGGATGCCAACGGCATTGGCACTGACGCGACAATGGCCGAGCACATTGCGAAGATCAAGGAGCGCGAGTATGTTATCGCGCGTCCCAAAGGAGGAGGTGCAGGTGCAAGCAATCACGGCGCTGCAGAGCGAGGCGGTGGTAGAGGGAGGGGTCGCGGTCGCGGCGGAAGAGGCGGCCGTGGAGGTGCAGCAGCTCAGAATGGGGCAGGAGGTACGAGCGGAGTGCAGGAGTTCATTCCGACAACGTTGGGAGTCGCACTCATTGAGGGATATGATAACGTGGGGTTCGAGACCAGCCTCAGCAAGCCGTTCCTACGCAAGGAGGTATGAGACACGCGCATGGGTTGACCACAAGTGCTCGCTAACCCAGCCGGCAGATGGAGGCCCAGATGAAAGCAATTTGCGAGGGCCGCAGCACACGCAACGATGTGGTGCAGCAGAATCTGGAGCAGTACAGAGCCGTGTTCCTCCGCACACAGCAGCAGATCAATGTGCTCAAAGATGTAAGTCGCGTACACGGTTGTTGTTGAAGAGGCACTAATCGGACGGAGGCCATACGGAAATACGTTGGCGGCGCCAATCAAGGTTGAGGACGCTTGCACGCACGTCCAATGATTGCGCAATTGCAACTCACACTGGAACGATTTTCGGCGTCAAGAATGTGGTTTTGCAGCTCGACCGCGCACTGGAGACACGTGGGCGCAGCAGAGCACCCCAGCGCAGGCCATATCCTACACGGGAGCCATTACTCAAGGCAGGTTCCACGCAAAAGCGGGGCTCTAAACACCTGTTCGAAGAGCGTCGGCGCGATTCTGCGGGATGCGCTGCAGCGATGCGACACGTGTGTTTGCGGGGGACGGTCCTTCGTTGCTTATCCTTCGGAATGATGCCAATAATCAGCCGAAGCGACGCAACCCGCTTCCGGTGTTTCCCATGCTTCCCCTCGCCCATCTGTCAGGCCGCATCGTCAGGCTGTGCGAGGTCGGAGAGCTTGACCCCGCGCTGCAGATAAGGCCAATCGTATTGGGGCATGGGGCGCATGGCGTGGGTGAAGATATGGGTGGTATGAAGAGTCGGTTGGACCCGGAAGGCAAGCCGGATCGTGACAACATCGAAAGCGTCCGTTGTGTGCGGAAAGTCACTGACGATATGCTGCCATCAGCATGTCGCAACCGTGTTGTGCGGCTGTCGAGGGACCCTGTGCCCTGTTTTGCGTGAGCAAACCGAGAGCGACGGTGGCTTGGGTCACGAAGCGTTGGCTGAGAGTGCAGATGACCACCATGACGCTGCCTCAACTGTGGCTGCCGTCAGACCCCGGTCGCCCTTTCCTTAGGTGGGTCACCGCGCTTGACCAATGGGGTGCGCGGCCGCCCCGAGCTGGCCGTGCTGGCTTCCGTTATCAACTCCTGTCTGCCCTTCATCTTGCGCAGTCCTGCAACACAACAAAGAACTGACCACAACCCAAAGAAGAGACTTGAATAGTACACTTACACCCACCTAGCCACACCGTTACCTCTGTCGAGCACCCTGATCGCCTACCAACCACCTCGCCGTTCGCAACGATCTCCCTCGCTCGCAGATCACATCGCCGATCGTTCGGAACGCTCAAGCAAGCAACCTCGCTGCACGCTTGCGCTCAACAACAACAATCGCTGCAACCGCCCACCGCTCGCACTATAATATACAGTTGACAGCCCTCGCTGTCTTCTCTGCCAACTTCTTCTCGCCACTGCTGCCTCGGTCAGACAGTGCCTTCCCTGAGTCATCGTGTCAGCTGCTCCTACCGTTCCGTTCCAATCCACGCAAGCCCGACCCGCGCCATGGCTGCTGTCGCAACCTGCAAGCCGGTCTCCAACCTCGCCGTCGCCTTTGCGAACCGGTCGGCCGCTGCGAACATACCCATACCACGGGATGGTGGACTCGCCACCTCCATGCCGACGCCTCCAAGCTCGATATCGCCGACTTTGCCGGCGCAGAAGGGCAGGCCTGGTTTGCCAGGCGCGGTGAGGTCGCCTTCGCCGCTGTCTAGGGACATGGACATCGACCTCGACGATGCACTCGAACACGCTGCGGCGCAAGATCTGCCTGCTCCTGCGCTCTCCAAGGAGGCGCTCGCGGGCTTAGACGCGACGCGTCAAATAACGCCCATCATGCTGGCCAAACACCAACTGCCTGGGATCATTCTGGGCCACGGCGCCATGCCGATTCGCGAGATGATGGCCCATCTCACCCATTCCGTCCCCGGCTTCTCAGGCCTCCCTCCTTCCAAGGCACGGAGGCTGGTCGTTGCTGCGCTGGAACATCGCGCTGGCGGCGGACTTCACGGCGAAGTCAAATTTGAGAAGGTCGGTTGGGGACGATGGAGCGTAGCAGGACACTCGTCGCAGGCGAACCGGGGAGTCCCTATCGGCGCGCATGGCGCGTCTCACAACGGCATGACTCCCCCTGCCAGCTTGGACAGTCAGGCTGGCCTCCACATACCCAAGAACTTGCGTCACGGACGCGACGAATTTGTCGGGAGCTGGGCTGCTGGCTCCCCTGACAGCCGCGATGAAGACATGGCGGATCAGATGTCCCTCGACGGCTCAGAGTCTAGCGAGTCTGACACGTCAGACATGGATCTTGGCAACGACATGGACGACGAGACGGACGAAGAAGATTGGTCAGCTGTTGGGCCTGAGGCTCTTCGTCAGAAGCGCCAGCCTACTCGCCCGGTCTATCGCGACTACAACTACCTCTCCCGAACCTTCCGTTCCACTTCGGCGCAATCTGTGCCGCCTTCGCATGCTGCGAGGACACCTACTCCGGCCTTTAATTCTTGTTCTTACACTGCATCCCGCGGAAACGCGGGCACTCTTCCTGCATCTACTGGCGCTATGGGGCCCCGAGGCCAACTCGCCGAGCGCGAGGCTATCGAGGCATTGATTGCCATGGGCTCTATGTAGCCGATACGACCTCTGAATTGGCGTTCTTCTTGATTTTGCTGGGTCACGACAGGCCTACGACGCGCATGATACTCCTCGGTCTTTGATGTCATCATCGACGCGGCATGAAAATACTGGCTTTTGGGATGGAATTCTGGGATTTCCTTGATTTTACGTTTTGTCATACCCCCTTCACCGTTGCTTTGAGAAGATCCGTCAAGTGCTGATGCGATCCATATTTGGGTTATTCTGGGTCTTTTCACCGTCACCATTCTACGATATCCTTCACACCATTTCTCTTCTTCGAACACATGATTTAGAAAACCTTACGATGTGATGTCAACAGGGAGCAGGGAACGGAACGCTGTCGACTCTTGCGAGGAGCTCTTCACCAAGACTACCCCTTCATTGGAATATGTCGCTAGTCGGGCTTCAACACCGGCTTGGAAGAGGGAGCTCTTGGAGGTCTCGAATTGGCTTTACCTTTACTCTTACCTGGACATGACCACTTTTGTATATACCTTTTGAACAAACACTCTACTCTCTGGCAACAGCCGGGCACAGCGGGTCAGTGGATGAGGTGTGCGCTGCTGAGCAGCAGCGCGAGTGAGAACAATCCAATGAATCTAATACACGCTGCAGCGACTGCCCATGGGCGGACGCTGGCACATGGCTCTTATTGGAAAATCAATTGACTTGAATACTGTGATGCGTGCATCTGCGTGTGATGACTTAGATACTGTGATGTGTCTATGTGTGGCTCACACACTATAGCAGAGAGCCTCTCCGTAGGCAATCGAGCCGTGCTTGCATTCACACATCGCCAAACGGTTGGCATCTCGGTTTGTCGTCATCAGTATCTACGTCACAATTAACTTCCCTCCCCACTCTGCACACTGCACACTGATAGTCTGGCCAACATCAACGTCAACAGTCACGGTGGCGAACCCCGCCATGACTACACATGCACTGCCCCTGTTGCCTGCACGCCACTTATCTCACTGCGTTCGTAGGTAGCGCGGGTATCCCAGAATGGAGATACCGCTGTAGCCGCCATGATTAGGTCACCCGCGTAATGGGTACTGGGACTGGGCATCCTCGCGTAATAAGATAGGAGGTAGATTGAGAAGAGAAGGGAAGGGAAGACTGTGGGTAGCCGAAGCGAAGTGGAGGTCGACATAGGATGAGAATAGGGCTGTGGACTTGGCTCTGCTCATGCATTTAAAGACTATATTCCTGCCCTGTAACCACCATCTATTCAACAGCTGCACATGTATCATTCTAAAGGTATAGCGAAGTGTGGCTTGTCCAAGCTAGCCTCCAGAGCTGTCAATAACTCCTCAGCTGAGAGTTCTACCCACGTAATCGAATCGACAGCTTACGGTGGTCGCCTATATTATGGGAGGTAACGTATCCTTGCCCTATATCTGTGGTAAGGTGCGTAGTCATGAGATGGGATGATGTGAGGTGAGGTTGTAGTCAGGCAACTCGGGGTACGTAAGAACGCGGGCGTGCGTGTGCCGACGGCCACGTACCTCATATCGCTTTTTTGCTGCTCTGCTACGTCCTGGAAACGCTACAAAGGTGTACACAAAATGCTGAGTTATTTCACGTGTTTGCCTGCTGGAGAGACTTGGCAGGTACTGATTTGCTGTATGCAGGGCGATGCAGGTGGTAGGCCATGGTTCTCTGAGGTTTAGGTTTGGACCGGGCGATTTTCGTACCATGTGGATACTGATATGTTATCGACGGCATGTCGAGGTGCTGATTGAAACGATAGCCCACTGTAGGGTGGACTGCGAATTCAAGCTGTACTGTACGGCGAGACAAGCTCTTTGTGATGACCATGTGTCACACAACACAGCTCTTTCGTCTCTCTCTTTGCCACCACGATTCTCGCCCTCCGCAGTAATCCCTCCTCTTCCTTTTTCCGCCTCGCACAACTCCCGCAGCTGGTCCTCGCCCAGCGGACCCTCGTTTCTGGACCGCCGATGACGCCCCGCCATCCCTGTTTGAGCAAGTTCCGTGGGACACCTACCCGCATCGAGCACCGTCGCCTCGCCTGAGTGAATTGTGCGGCAGGCTAGACAACCGCAAATCGCACCCTAACCGCGCCCTCTGGCAGGCGACCCGCCATGATTGGAGCCTCGTAACGCTGAGTGTTTCCATCGCCGCGGCTCTCGGCACGTGCCGCTTTCGGTTGGTCATCGGCGGGCCCTGTGTGAGCAGAGATAAAGACCCCGCCTACCCCTCCTTTGCTCGCCATCAGCAACAGAAAAGCAATAAGCAACACACACACGTACACCCCTTCTTTTTCAAACACCACCAAACAAGACATATTCAGAATGCCTGGCTGCGGAACTGCTGGATGCACCTGCGCCGACTGCGGCTGCGCTCAGGGCGCCTGCAACTGCGGAAAATGTGAGCTCACCCCACCCTCTGTCCTGTCGAGTATCCGGGCTAACGCAGCGATAGAAACTCCCTTCCATCATGATAACGACGGCGACATGAGGCGGTTTGCATCTTCGATTCGACACATCTGTCCTTGATACCTCGGCACATGCTTGATCCATTCGATCCAACTGTCCTTACGACCGCATACGATATCCTTCGCCCCCACTCCTTCGCACATACTCTTGCGGTTGATGAGATAGGATGGCAGGCTAGTTCGATTAATGAAATGAACAATCAATCAAATGAACATCTCTGATGGAATGCATGCGTGCTCGATACAGCGAAAACTGTGTATGATGTCAAGTGACTGCAAGTGGAAAGTGATGCTTACTATGCTCGAGATCATATGTAAACGGCCTTCGGGTATCGCCCTCCTCATCTACATCACAGCATCCCTCTTTCCCACATCCTCTAGATCGATGACCTCTTCTTCGACCTCCGCCTCTGCTTGACCTTTCCCCTTGTTCTTCCCGTTCTTCGCTCCGCCCTTGCTGCTTACGCTGCCTCTCTTCTCTTGTACAGACTCTTCGGCCTCATCGTCGTCTCCGAAGAGGAATCCTTTCCCCTTGAGCCTTCTCTTCTCGTCCGATGCGAACGCCGAGTGCGCGGTGCTCGATGCAAAGGTCGATGAAGCCGATGTAGAGTCCTGGCCAAGCATCCATGAGAAGTTGGAGGAGGCGAGCATAGGTCGTGCGCGCGGTGGATGGAGCGATAAGTTCGACGAGGCTGATGATGGTTGCGGTGAGGTGTGAACTGGTGGAAAGGCAGGCTGCGCATTCGCGGTGGGCGAGATAGATTGGGCATTCGATGCAGATGAAGTTGGTCGTGAGGTGTTGGGTATTGGGGGAGCGCTTGCTGTTCGTTCGGGCACTGCTGATGGGGAGGTAGGTTCTGGGGCTAGGAGACTGGCAGCTGCGTTGGCGGTGGCCTGGAAAGTCAGCATTAACTTCCTCATCGGGAGGGGGAAGTATTCAGCTACAACCCTGTTTGGCACAGAAGAATGGGACACGTACTGTTTGTTCTGTGGTCTCGTCCATCGGCAGTGGTATCGACGAGTCCTCGAGGTAGACCTGAACGAATTGTACTTTCGCAATCGCAAGACTCAGCGCTTCTATCGGATCTTTCTTCGTCTGGTTTGCTTCCTTTTGTCCTTCGCTGCGCTCCTTGTGATATTCCCAAAGCTCGCCCACGGCGCTTTCCAGCATCTTCGCTAGATTCTTGCTCCGTTTCTCCAGACTTTCAATCCTCTTAAGGGCGTTGCCAGATTGTGTACGTGCCAGACCGGGTCTTGAGCTAGCTGCTGGAAGTTGAGTTGGCTTGCGAAATTCGCGTCCGCCAGATCTTGGTGTACTGTTCCCAGAGACGGGTGTGGAGACAGCGCCCGATTGGATAGCTTCAGCCTGCTTTCTGACCTCACCTACTGCATCGCGGAGAGCTTTTCCAACGCCCCATTGCGAGCCTCGTTCAAGCACGTTCTTTGCTGCACCTTGCAATAGTGCTTCAAGCCCTGCACCCTGCTGGCTCACGAATGCCCTGGGCGATCCTAAGCTGCTTCTCGAGCGATGAGATGGAGTAGGAGGTGATGATGATGATGAAGACAGTCGTATCGCTGGTGGAGGAGACACGTCGAGTGCGGGTGCTTTCTTTCCATATCGCGTGATAATTTCAGCTCCGCCCTCAGGTGTCAGATGATCTCTGAGATAGAGTGCATCTTTGATAAAGGTATAGGCCGGTGCGCTAGGCTCGGGGTATCGTAACAATAACGCGAATGCTTCATTAGTATCGGCGGTTACGAGATCCCAACGGATACGTAACACCATGGCGACAGAGATCATATCGACAAGCTCAAGCGTGGAATCGATGGCAAACAAAGCATCCCACACTTTGAGGACGTCGTCAAGGGGGAATTCGCGACCAAATAGTAATCTTATCCAGCGCCTGGGGATGTGTTAGAATGTCCGCGATTGCGAGGCGTTCAACGTACAAGAGGAATATCTGCGGGACAATATCAAGCTTCACCAAGTGCGAGGCCAATTCTGGATCGGCCTTGGGCAGGTATCGTTCAAAGATCCTTGAACATCGCGCGAGCATCGGTGTCTCCTTGGAAGGTGAATCAGGATCGGCGGGCGCATAAAACGACATGGCTGTCTGCATAATCAGCGAAAACAGTGTGAAGGTGTCATGCTCCATGTAGCTCGAATCAAGCATGTCCACCATTGTCTGGTCCACTCCCTTATTTGTTCCTGTCATATCCACTGCGTCTCTTTCTATGACCCACAGCAGCGGCGCCAGGATCTCATGCATACCCTGCCGGTATCCCACGTTCGGATGCATCTTGCACCACACAAACAACACATCCAACATCATGTTCTGCGTAGCCGGCTGGCGAAAGTATACGTTATCTGGCATGCATCTCTCGATGTCTTGGAAGATCTCTGCACGGAGGGTCTCGTCGGATCGAAGGGCTGCCCATGGTGACTTTCAAGGCTTAGTACGGTCAATACGCGACGTGATGAGTTGAAGGAAGGCATGCATACCTCTTCGTTTGCGCTGAGCGGGTCCACGGAGGACTCGAGCTCGTCAGGGTGCTCGATACCGCGGAGGTAGTGCGTGCGGAGGGAGGCGTAAGTCGAACGCGACTCTGCAATGCGGGCGGGCCATGACGAGCGGTCGAGAGTTTTGAAAATCAAGAAGATCTATGTATATTTGCTTAGACAGACGGTCTCAGACAAGCAAGGTGCGAGGCATAAGTACCTTCCAGCATACGGAGCGCAAGCCAGCTGTGATCTGCGGCTCTCTGTGCGAAGATACCGCTATCTTCAGGTCAGTGAGCGAGTGGAAATCGTCCAGTTGGCGCCAATGTTTTCTGGATGTAATCAGACGTGCGCTTGCTGGCGACTTGGAAGGAGAATGCTTACTCTGCTTCGGCAATGCCTCTCATAGTGAAGAGGACGTAATCTTGGAGGGGTAGAAGCAAGAGGGTACCCTGATGTCAAGCTATGTTCCGATTGCGACGCCGCAGCAACACTGACGTGGGGCGGAGCTAAGCCGATGAACATCACGTGGCACCGTGTTGGCCGGGGCCAGGGGTCGATTGCCGAGGTGGTCCATAAACTTTTGGATGATCATCAGCTGTAGCGAGGTGTTTCAAGATTTGGAAAATGCAATGCACGAGAAGTTATTATAGGACCAGTTGCAAAACTACGGTAGCGGGTTACTCAACGCATCAGGCATGCACCCACACAGCAATGATTGTAGGCACTCGATTATATTATCGGTACATCCTCGTAATCGTACTCAAATCGATGTGAATCCACTGCTACATCGCTCCTTCGCAGTCGACGTAAGACAGGCCATGCAGCAGGAATGGTAATCGTAAGGAACCTGCGTCGAACCACAGTATGGCCGGAACTTGATTTATCCACTGTCAACAGACCATGGTCACTGTCGAAACGACTTTCTGCATTCGTTTCCCTGACAATCGGCAGGACCTCCTCTGTTGACATCAACCGGGCCCAGAGTTTCGTCAATAGTGCTGGTTGGGCGCTACTTGGTGACTAAGCCCATCATCCCACGTTCTGAGAGAACCGAGTTGACAGGAATGCGGTGACGCAGCTCAATCCTTGTTATCGGCCGGAATTGCGTTCTTGAGACCCTCCATGGTCATGTAATTGAAGAGGCTGGGGTTCAAGATCTCAGTGCGGAAGCGCTCCTGCTGGAGCAGCTCCAACGATCGGAGCGTTGGCCCGGGATGGCTGCGACACATGATCAGTCATGTACGCTATGGAGGTCCGTGAGCACCTACTGAAGAAATTTCGAGTATTTCGGGTCTTTGAAGTACTGTAGGTAGCCGAGGTAGGCCACGAAGTCTGGCTTGTCGAGGATCTTCTGCTGGGCTAGGTAATTGAGATAGGCGGGATTGGCGAGGCACTGCACGAACTAAGGGAGGTCAGTGATGAATAGGGGCAGCACGTGGGCCTGGTTCGGACGGACCTCGAGCTCAAGCTCAAAGCGCGAGAAGCCTCCGTAGCGGGGAACATGGTCGGGTCCGCCTGATGAGGCCATGGTGAGTCGCGGACGAGGCTGCAAGCTGTTGCTGTTGGTGCTGGCTGACCATCGGCTGTTCGCTGAGGCTCTCGGTGTGCGTTTCAGGGTCTGTACGAATTTGCGGGGGTGACGGCAAGTCTAATCCTCTTCGAGTGCTGGAAGTGAATTAGCCTGGAGCCGCTCTGCGGACTTGCAGTGTGGCCACGACAACCGTGCGCCGAAAAGCCGTGGTTGGGCGGGCCCCGTTGGCAGACGACGTGGCCGTCGGTCCCGTAGTTCAGTCTCCAAAGAGGCAAACAAAGGGAGAGGTCGATGGTGGTGGTGTGGACGCCGAGACAGCCACGGAGCCGATGCTGGGCATTGAGAGACGATGAAGCAATGCGGTGATGAACCCCTGCGCTACCCATTCCCCCACAGCAAAGGCTCAGTCATACGGGCGATTTCGTACAGAATCGGCACAGCGGGTCGAATTAGACAAATCAGCTGCGGCGCCACCAGCGCACAGTTCCCCTCAGTCAACGAGCCGTGCCTGCAGCTGTCTGCGAGCCATAAGTCAGGGCCCTACCCCAGCGCCGCAGCTCTTATTTACATAACCCACGGCTGCTGCTCCGACCTCGCGCCTGTCAGTCTCCCCCGTTCGCGTACATCCTTCGGCATCTACGCGCGCTGCCTCTGGTATCGTTGAGCAATTACTCGGGTTGCGCATGCACTAGCCCGCGCCTACCAAGCTCACCGCGCCTTTCAACACCCGTCGCGCTCCCGACGCCCACCAGCTCCCGTTCCCTTAGCCTTGTAGCCGACTTGTCGCGAAACAGAGCAGCCATCCTAATCGCCAGTCTTAACCGCGCCTCCCATAGCCTGCCAACTCTTGGGCCCCGCTAGCAGGATTGGCCTCGTGCGTCACACCCCGTCGCCAACATTCTGTCGCTTGCCCAGCGCAATCTCGCCCACGACCACCCCGGCAGGCCTGTTTGATTGGGTCCACCGCGCAGGGTTGGAAGTAGCCGCACCATCATGTTCGCGGAGCCGTCAATGCCTGGTATGCTCCTGTTCTTATCGCCTGTTTCACCTGCAGAAGCGGTGACGAAACTACTGACTAACCTCCCCTATTTGCATAGAACGTCGCCCCTCGCCTGGGCTTTCGCTCGAACTCAACTCCAAGAATCCGTTTCGCAACAGAGCGACGTCACCTGCCATCCCTTCGCCAGCCCTCCAAACCCCTACAAGTGCAGACGGCCGGCCAATGTCCCGCAACCCCTTCTTGCAGACCTTCGAAGCCGAGTTCAACAAAGAGGCCCGCAAAGAGGCCCAATTGATCGACATGTCGGCCACAATGAAGGAGTCCCCTAAGAAGGCTACCTTTGGTGACGACGCCAGAGACCTGTTTGTACGTCCTTGTCCCCCTGTCCCAAGGTGATTGTGCTGCGTTGCACCAGCAGCTGCATCCCAGTACTGTTTCCCATCGCACTCCAGCACCAGACACGTATCCCTACACTCACTCGAGCGTCTGATGGATCACTTCAGGCGGTTTGCCAGCAAGTTTGCTAATCATTCCTCTTTACAGGATAATCTTACGCTTGATGATGGCGACAAGAGGCGCGCCCCGCCTGCACGAGGCCCACCCCCGCGCAGCGGTACTCTTCCCAACTCAGGCCACCGCCCGTCTCGCTCAGACGAGGAAGAGCGCGAGAAGCGTCGAGACGACCGACGGGACGACCGAAGGGACGATCGACCGCGCGGCCCACCCCGTGGACCTCCCCGACCCTCTGGCTCTCGACGAGAACCTCCGCCGCGGGGCAGCCCGAACAGGAGGGAGCACAGCAGGCGACCGCGTCGCAACTCGGAGTCCTCCATGATCGACAAGGGTTCGTTGGATCCGAATGAAGAGCGCCGCCGCAGGGATCGCCGCAGAGAAAGAGACGAGCGTGGTCGCGACGGCAAGTCTCGCTCGACCAAAGTTCGTAAACCCCATGGCCTCGATATTATCGACAAGCTGGATGTCAGTGGCATTTATGGTCCGAGCATGATCCATCATGATGGGCCCTACGATGCTGTGCAGCCCCACCGCAACCGCGAAAAGGATAGACGCGCCCCTATGCACGCGTTCCCTGCTGGATCTGCCAACAATGCGCTTGGCGGATCTGGGCCGGTGAACGACAAGATTGACTTGGACAAGATTCACGGCCGAGGTGCTGAGGGATTCTCTGATTTCGGTGCAGCTGCCAACACTTGGACCAAGCGTCCGGAGCTGGAAGGGCGCTCTTTGACATTTGGTCCTAAGGAGCGTGAGGACATTGTACACGGAGACCAAAGCTATGGTTTGGGCACGTCAACCTTCCTCGAGGGCGCACCTGCCTCCCGCACTGCTATCCAGCAACGTGAGGCAGAAAACCAAAGGGCCTTTGCTGAAGGTGGTCTTGGCCGGAAGAAATCCATTGCTCAGCGCTTCCGCGGCTTGAACCAACCCCGCCGCGACTATGGTGACCGACCCCGCATAACGTCCCCTGAAGCTCGATACGAATATGGCCAGAGCCCCAACGGGCCCATGATCACAGGAGGCAGCTTGACAAGCAGCAAGAACGAGAGAAACCCCTTCTTCGACGACTACGATCAAGCGTACGATAAGAAGGGTGCCGCGATTGATGTAGCTCAGAAGGATGGAGTCACGTCACCCACTTCTCCTGAAGGTCGCAACCCATTGACGCGTTCCATCACGACAGATAGTGTCGGTTCTCCCGTCGAGTCGAAACCTCAGGTCGGCGGTGGATTCCTCAACCGCGTCAAGAGTTTGAAGGGCGGACGAAGGCCGCGTCCTGAGCGCCCTACCTAAGCACCACACGAACAAACCGGATACATCATTTCTGAATCAACATGCATAATGACATCCACACACGCGCGACGCCTGCGCCGAAACCACCCACTGCAGGCCACGCAGCATTGATTTCTCCCATCACCAGAATGGAACAGGAGCACGCCACCGCGGGCACATAGCAGATGACGGACATTTCTTTCATCGTCAAACAAAAATGCCACAACAGGAAGTTGGGAACGGCATAGAGTAGCATTGGAGGGCAGTTGGATATGGATATTTTGGGTGTACATTTTGGAAGGGAGAACAGGCTTCATTCAAAACGGCACTTAGGAACAACAGAGACGTTGCGACGGACTGAACAGGACAAAACACCACTTCTCCTTATGTTTATGTTTTATTGCTGACTAATGGCGTTTATACCGCCTCAAGATCCCCTTTTCGATACGAGCTTGGAGCAGGGCTGTGAGGAGTTTGTAGTTCAATTAAAGCAATTTGTGCGAAATGTAGTCTACGCTCCAGTGAAGTTTGCGCTATGTTTAACGCCACGGCTGGATGTAAGGTGGCGAAATGGATCGACAAGTGATCACGCCTGCATCCTAATGCAGGTACGTGACGGTTGACGTTCCGGACCTTCAGCTACAGTTCAGCTAGGTACGTATGAACTCAGGTTCACCACTGCAAGCCACGTCCCACCAGGCCGGGCACGCAGGTTCCGTGCACCAGATCACCGATGGCGTCATAGGGTCGCGTAATCTCTCAAAGCACGTTGGTTTCCATAAATCGATATATCGAGCCTATGCGAGCGTAGCTACGTTTCCAATCGACCGATGCACGATACGATGGATGTTGCGGATTCCTTGCATTGCCGCTTGGAGAAGGCGCGCTAGTCTCACTCTATTGTCCGTTCAGCGTCAGGCAACCTCCACAATGCATGTTCCCGCCTAGGTAGATACGGACTATCTATAGATTACCAGAACTTGGCGTCGAGACATATCCGATGACACGATGGCGCCTGCCAGGCCTGCGGAGCCGCTGCTCGCGAGCGCGCTTGTCACCGATGAAGAGCTAGGAGAATTATTCGGAAAAATCATCGCTCGCAAAACAGTGCCGGAGAAGAAAGAAGGAGCACTGGATACAGGGTCGAGAAGTGTGGATGAGGCACTCGGAGGGCTGGAGGGAGGGAGGGTGGTGGGTGTTTGGGGTGAGGCGGGCGATGGTGGCGCTGAGGTAGGTTTGCCTGGTAAACATCCAATCTTCATATGATTGTAGCAAGGATATGAAAGGAAGAGGCTGATAGTATCAAGCTGACAACTGCTAGATCTGTCTTGCACTTTTAGCATCGTCTCTGCTAAAGGACCCACATTCATCAACTGCGGTTGTGGACACGACAGGCAATTTTGATGTTCTGCGCTTGTATTCGTTCATTCTTGCCCGCCTTCAGGACGATTTGGAGCTATTGAACGCCATGAGGGGAGCTATGGGTGCCGGAAGTGTGAGTGCGGAAGATGTTGCTGCTAAATCACTCGATCGGGTGAACATCATGCGGGCTTTCGATTTGGTGGGTGTTATGGAAGCTGTCGGGGAAATGAGGGATGAGCTGAGGGGACAGCATCTCGAGGAGAAAGGGGACAATGCAGTAAAACTGTCTCAAGGACAGCGCGCAGAGTTACCATCCGAGGCAATGCCACACGAGGAGATCTTAGAACCGGAGGAGAACTTACCGAAGAGGACTTTCGTTGCAGATCGTGACGACGAAGGAGAGGGGATGTTGTTCGACGACATGCCCGCAGCCTCTACACCGGCAAATCACCCGCCCGCAGAGGCATTACCGACGGAAGAACGAGACGAAATACTCTTCGTCGACGGACCTGCCGACCAGCGCCACAATACCTCTCATCCTCCACCTGTGGCCACCAATCCCCAGGTCCAGCGAGCAGAATCCGAGCATGTACAATCAGCCCCGAACTCAATACCCACAAAACCAACATTCCTTCTCATCGATAACCTCGCTCATGTTATCAGCCCTCTGGTGCAAAAAAATCATGCACAAGGTACTTGTGTTATCCCTATACTTAACAACGTGAAGTTGACATACTATAGCACAAGCCCTGGCCTCCTCCTTCATGCTCACCCTCTCTCACTTAACGCGGAACCATAATCTCCACACGCTTCTGTGCAATCCAAGCACGCCACCTCGACCACCAACCAAAAAGGCGAATCCAAATCAAGAGTCTCGGCGACTGCCACCGCCGCCACCTTCGATATTTGCGTCGAACAATAGTATACCGGCGTTGATGGGTATCTTGTCGCCGTATCTGGATCTGTCATTGTTGGTGGAGAGGATGCCGCGCAGGAAGGTGGATGCGAGGGCTGTGTATGTGGATGGCGAGGCGGTGAAGAGAGTGAGGAAGGGCGTTGAGATGGTCGGCGTAGTCGAAATTATGAGTGATCGGTGGGGTGGGAGAGGTGGTGGTTGGGGAGCATTTGTGTGTGGGGAGAGGGGTGTGAGGGATGTATGATGCTCTCGGACACGATATAATCATTTGCACCCCAGTACGATACCCAGAAAATCCTTGATTCACTCTATTCTTCGAAACCAAACTCATCATCCCCTCTATTCTCCACCCATCCACTAAGTCCCCACGCTTCACATCCTCCTTAACCCTCCTCCTCGCCCCCAACATCTCCCCTCCTTCACCTTCGCGTACGTTTGCTTCCCCAGCATCTGCACGAGAGCAGGCACACCTACGATTCCCGCAACCCTCACCGCAACCTCCCACAAGCCTCGCCTACAAATTCTACTCGCACCCCTCGGATCAAACTGCTTTCTCCCCTGCAGCACGCCACCTATCAGCGACTCCTGCCACCCAGGCGTCCACACCGCACTAAGATTACTGCTCATAGCCTTCATCTCCGTCGGCACCATCCTCCTACTCCACGCAAACTCCCGACTCGTAGGCAGCACACTGAAGGGACGCCACAAATATCCGCCGTCCCACGCACTCGCTTTCTCCACCGCGGGTGCCATACGCCCAGACGATGAGAAAGCGCGCTCGCAGGCGGAGGGCACGTGCTGCGAGGCTGGCAGCACCAGTGTCTGCAAATACGCGTTCCGTGGGGATATAAGCAGAGAGGTCAGGCCTGAGAGGAGAGACGTCGCTTGGTGCAGGGCGAGCTTGTCGGTGCAGGATTTGGAGAGGGTGGGTGGGGCGTCGGGGCGGGAGGGCTTGCAGCGGACGAGGCCGAGGTGGGAGAAGTGGGAGCGGCCTCGGAGGGCGGTGAGGAGGGGTTTCGGGATCTTGGGGCGCTGGCAAAAGTTCCGCGCCTTGTGCTGTTGGTAGTGCTGGAGAAGATACGGTGCAAATGGGAGAAGTCCAGGGCGTGGCGTCTGCTTGGAGGGACATGGTGAGCTCCATGCTGGCGTCGCCGCAGGGGGCTTCGGAGCAGTACATGTGGATGCGGATGTCGTCTCGGAGGGTGAAGGGCTGGGCTTCGGACGATGTTCGCTCTTCTGGGGTCGTTTGGCGGAGGTACTGCGATGGTGGATGTGGAGGGGTTAGGATGAGAAGAAGCTCATCGAGAAGAAAGCAGTTGAATGCTCGGATGGCAAGAACCTCGGCGTGCCAATCATGGAGGGCGTTGCCCTTGGCTAGATGGAGTTTGTTGGAGGGAAGGCATTTCATGCCGGTTCTGCCGGCTGTTAGTGATATGTTCAATTGGGAGATAGATTAAGTCTTGTATTATTTTCTGTTTCATCTTGTGCTTTCCAAATATGGTCACTGATCGCAATAGCAGAATACCATTTCCGGTACATTTGCCAAGGTGTGAATGCAAAGGTAGACGAAAGCTCACGTGTAGATCAGCCTGAAAAAAACTCACCCTAACGAAACACAGGAAAGCTTGCCATCTTCGCTAGACGATGAGTATCAGCTTACTACAAAATGACAACGAATCAATAATATGTGTCGTACTCTTATCGGATATCACAATGCCGGCGAGGGGTACCCATTCACGCGCACCGTTGGATTGTGGTCTAGGCTTGCGCTTATCAGGAAGCTGATCGAATGTCGCAAGTACGCAATCCGCGATCGCGTCTGGATCCGGTGTCATGATGTGATGCAGGTATGTCTTTTGGGCGACGAAGCCATTGTTGAGGTTCGGATGCTGGACAGAATGCTGGCTCTTGACTTGGAATTTAGGTGATGCGAGCGGACTTTAGCTAGACCGTCCGAGCGTCCGTCCATTCACAAGGATTCACCACCGCATCCGGGTCGCACTTGGCCTGCCAGTCGTCACACCTCAGCAAACGCTGATACTTGACACTTGCCTTATTACAGCCGCGAGCCGCGACGCACACTGCGCCTCCTCCACCATGCAAGCCTTCGGTGAGGGATGTCTCTCAAGCGCTCGGTCGCCTTTGCGACACAAACGCTCACTATTACAGTGCCCAAGAACCGCCGCGTAAGGACCCATGTCTATGATGGAAGACATAATCGCTGACACATACACAGCCCAAGTTTGAGCTACACTTGAAAGTGAGCTGCTGCTGTTCATACTGCACCTGCGAGGGTCTTACTGTCTGCAGATAATCGACCTCAACAACGTCCCGCTCGTATCCGGCAACTCGTTCGTGAAATGGCACCTCCCGCACTCGACCGCCGCCGAACACCGCGGGCGCACCGAAAAGCGCCCAATCAAAGACCACAAAGTGAGCTATGACTATGAGAGCAAACAGTCAGTCAAGATGGTCGTGGACAAAAGTGGCATGCTGCAGGAGAGCTTCATTGAATTCGAGGTGGTGCAGGAGTACTCGGGTGGGGGCAAAGGCGAGCGCATCACACTGGGGAACGTCAAGCTCAACTTGGCCGAATACGTCGAGCAGAGCGAGATGAACCGGACAGAGGGCGACGAGCCCGGCGTCACCCGGAGATATCTCATGCAGAACAGCAAGATCAACAGCACGCTCAAGATCAGCATCTTCTTGCGCCAGGTCGAGGGGGACAGGAACTTTGTTGCGCCTGCGTTGAAGACGGCCCAGGTGTTCAGCGGAATCGCAGGGATTGTGTCGGGCGAGCAGGGAGATGCTGAAGAGGCAGGCAGTACGTGCTTCTTGTGCACAGCTACTGCGGCATACTGATAGTTCTGCAGCAACGCCTTCCCTGAGCGCCGGATCACGAGAAGCTGGCGAGCTCCAAGACATGTACAGACGGACGCTCGCGGCATATTGGTCTGCTCAGCCGGGCGAACTCAAAGCAGATGAATGTATCGAGGACATCTTTTCTGGTGGTGACGGCTGGGGCGACCGCGAGAAGCCATACGACGAGCCAAGACGCATAAGGTTTGTAAACGGTGACAGCAGTGGCTCAATGAGCGAAAGCGAGTCGCACAAAGGAAGCAGCATACTGCGAAAATCACACGAGACGCTAAGGCCCGGCGACACAAAGTCCAGCTCAGCGAGTGTGCGCGGCAGAGGGAGTCTTGAGCAGCAGGCGCATCAGATGCAAGCAGAGGCCAAGCGGGAACGGCGCAGGCCGCACCATGAGGTGGACGAGTTTGAGATCCGGGATGACTTGTGCAGCTGGCGAATGCCGATGTGAATTCTGACACCTAAATCAATGTAAACAAGTGATATCCTCAGCTTTGATGGCCATGCGAAGGTAGAGTGGGGCGACGCGTCGAGCACGTGAGGGGGCGTCGGCAGAATCAGTAGGGCTGCAGGCGGTGAACAAAGTTTCGACGCAATGCGCGGTGCAAAGCGCACCCTAGCCCTCAAGTGCTTCTATAGTGACACTCCTTTGATCCAGCATCCGCTGTCCGCTCCCTATGCTTGCGCCTCGCGCTTCCAGTGCATTCGTATGCCTGCGATGCGAGCTCACTTTAGGCCGTCCGCGACTTCCCGCTCTTCCTCGCCGCGTACCGCACGCCTCCTTGTCCTCCACCAGTCGCCGCCGCGATGCATTCGATGAGGAAGTTGAACGAGATGCGAAGCCAATATTGCAACCAAGACCGCAGCTGAGCGAGCATCCGCTCGGTCGCGTACGGAAGAGGAAGGGAGGACGCTCCATACGGGAGACCACCGCACGTCTGGAAGGCACAAAGACGCTCGGCGAAGATGCCTCCATTCTTGTTCTAGAGGAGCTCGGGGATGGCAAGAAGAAAGAGGCGACACCGGGACCTGAGCTCGTACAGGACGACGAACAATTACCACTCAAGCTTGCCGAGGCGCTTGCTGATGAGAAGCCTGCGACTCTCGAGGAAGTCCTGGAGCAGCTCGATAAATTACGCCGAAAGGCTACTAATGACGAAGACAGTGTGGACGAGCACTATGTTAGCCAAACCGTCTATACCAGATTATCAGACCACCTTCTCAGAGCTTTCACCGTCGCGCAACTCTCACACTACTACTCTGAAAGAAAAGGCGTTGAAAAAGATCGTGTGGCGCAGGAGGTCAGGGTGGGGTTAAAGCAGATGCAGGGGAAAGGCAAGCGGCCTTCAGAACGCTCCGAATGGACTCCTGGAAGAACACAGATCGACAGACGCTTGCCGAGCTTGGATGTCCATTCCAAGATGAAACGCAAGGCAATAGGCAAGCATCTGTTGGTCGACCAGATCCTCCGTGATGTATGGAAACTGGTGATGCTCGAGGAGCTTGAGGCGGCTGGCGAGATCGAGTTGGCACTGAAGGACTGGCAGCTGGTGATGCTCACCTCAGGAAGTACTGCATCTCCCACGCTGTGTCATAACGGGGGCTAACGTTTGCATAGCACCGGAAACGGCGTTGGACAGAATTGGGGAAGCTCGAAAGGCCAAGCTCGAAGTGAACGCTGCAGACAAGGTCTTGCGTATCACAGCCGACAAGCACACGGCAGAATATGCAGCGGACGATGTGGAGCGACTTTTACAGGCATCCGAGTCACGGCGCTTCCACTTGAACGAATGGATACCACACCTTGAAACACTCGGTACCGCTGAACCCACAACTGCAGATGTATTTCCGGAAGACGTTCGCGCAACGGTAGCTTCATTGACAGGAGCTCAAATCCAGATTGTCACGGACAAGGTACGCTGCCTGCTTTAGTTTTGAATGCTCAAGACTGACCGAAGCAGACCGTTGTAATTCGAGCGCTGGACAAAGAAACCATTGCAGACGCGGAGCGATCTTTGATCAAGCTGCTGCCTCTCAAGAATCTCCAGAACATCTCGGTCGACACCACAGGCCGAGATGTTCTCGAGGGCTCGGACCATTTCTTGCCAGTTGTGGTCGAAAAGGAGGCTGTTGCATACAAAGATCGCCGCACCAAGGTCGGGCGCTGGTCATTACCTGTGAATCAAGCCAATGCCTCGCTTCATGCATCGGACAGCATCACGGAACGAGTGAAGACTGCACAGGAACTGGTTGTCACGAAGCTAATGACACCTCCCACGCAATATCAACGCACCGGTAACGCTTCGAGAGATATAAAGTACCGGAAGTGGACTTATCATCCTGAGGCTCGGTTGACGGCTGTGTTCGGTCACGCACTTTTCCCTTTGGATGACCCGACCACGGGAAAACCACGCTTCTTTCCTGCACTACCAGGCCTATCTTCTATCTTTAGCGACGAAGCCTTCAGAATGGGCTTCGTAATGCGGCCATCTCTGTGTTATGAGTTTATTGCAGAGCCTGGACCTAAGAACTACACCTCCGACCTCTCGCCGTATAAGTTTCCCAGGCTCAGTGCGTACTTCCGGCCCGATAATGAAGGCCAGCATGCATTATCAAAAGTCGTCCTCAACTTTGCCGCCACAAAGCATCGAGTGCTCCTGCCTGAACAGGCCGTTGACATCCAATTCCAGACGTCGCAAAGCATACAGATGCAGAACGTTCGATTGGATCAGGACGCTCGCCTTTTGCAAAATCAAGTCTTACCGAAACTGCAAGGTGGTGGGCGCCTAAGTGCCCCTGATATCAGTGTGGATATCCCGAAATGGACGGTTGAGGGAATGGAGTTCGATGGAAAAGAGGACTTCGTAAAGACCAAGTTCATCTTCACGGGCATAACGTTCTCCCAGAGTATTTGGGGACAACATCAGGGTCAAACGACGAAGTATGTCACGAGGCAAGGTGGCAAGCTGGGCGCTAAGACTGGAATATTTTCAACGGTCTACGGGATGAACGGTTTGGCGAAAAAGCTGGCTCACTCTGACCCGCCGAACGCTATGAGGGATTTTGTCGCGAATGCATTCAAGATGGCAGGCACCATCACACAGGCTGCTGCTGCCAGCCAGGCTGGGATGAAGAAGCTCGAACGGAAGGTCAAACCACAGCACTCCTTTAGACCACGATCTCAGTCGGCTGGTGGAACTACTTCTCCAACGATCAACGAACAAGCCAGCTTCGCTCAAGCAATTGAGAACGATGCCAAGACAACCGCAGATTCCAATGACAACATTGAGGCCTTGCCCGAGGCGAAGACCACCGACGGCGCCTTCGATGTCCCACAAGTCTCAGCTATACTTAATGACACTGCGTCTCCGGGTAATGTCGATGAAGCACATCTCTCTGATGCTCAAGAAGAGCCAAAGGAAGAAGAACAAAAACGCCGCTTGGATACAGCGGCTTGAAAACCCAATGTAACAGCATTTTGTCGGCGCGTTCGGTAGGGACGAGCGATCATGGCGCGGCGTTCTGTTTCATGTATGCATAGTGGGTTAGGAAAGATAGTTGTACTGCATTGTAATGTACTATAATGTAAGATACCATACCGAACTGCATTATTGTAATGCATTGTTGAGCAACATCCGTCACGGGGAAATTGGTCTTCAACGTGACGAACAACGCGCTCTGGTCTCGTTTGGCTTCTTCATTGCTAATGGCCTCTGAGCAATTTGAAGTAGTCTTCTCGTGTGTTGCAGGTCGTTATGAACCTTCCTTTGATAAAAATGTTCTGTTTAGCAGATTAGAGCTCTCATTCTCAGATCTGTGAGGTGCTGATGTCATGAATTTATTGGGTCCAGGCACAGTTCGGAGCCACCACAAAAGATATGCACATTTTCGGTGCGCTGTGCTGATAGAGACCTAAGCAAGGATGAGTTCCAGTGGAAAGAGATGATCGAAGGTGGTGTTATTGATAGATGCAGCAGATCTGTGTCCATATCTCGTCAGCCCCACTTTCCTAGCTCAGTGACTCAACAAACAGACAAACGCCGGCTATGAAGATGACATCCACAACACCAGAATCATCATTTCGACTTCATTGCCGAGATGGCAATACTCAGCCCTCTCCTGGTCGCATTCCAGGAACAAACCTTTCTGTCAATCGCGACATCTGCCCTCCTGTTGATCTTGGTCCGCACCATCTATCGCATATACTTCCATCCTTTATCTCGAATTGCGGGACCGATACTGCCTAAAATAACTTCGCTATGGCTCCACTATCATGCCTATATCGGTGACGAGGCAAGTACCATTCACCGGCTCCACGTTCAGTATGGCCCATACGTGCGTGTGGCGCCCAACGAGGTCGACATCAGCGACGCCGATGCTGTACACCCTATCTACGTTGCGAAGGGCGGGTTCCTGAAAGCGCCGTGCTACGCCAATTTTGACATTGATGGTCACAAATCCATCTTTTCGACGACTAGTTCGGAGTACAGAGCGCCAAGGGCCAAGGCGGTGATGCCATTGTTCTCTACGAAAAGTCTGAGGGAGAATAGAGATGCGATCGCTGGGTGTGTGGATCGTATGGTGAAGAGACTGGGAGAAGAGGCACTTTCGAAGAAACCGGTGAATGTATTGAATTTGACGAGAGCATTAGCTGTCGACGCTGTGTCGACGCACTTGTTCCGCGAGAACTATGATGGGGTGAGTGAACGCGGGCCGACACTGAGTGTGAGTGCATTCGTTGATGCCTTCGTGGCTGTCGGACGGTTTTTCTATTTGCCAACCACAGTCTTCGTCTGGCTGGAATGGGCAATCGCGAAGTGGATGGCCGACCAGGAGACGGAGGAAAGCATGACGCTTGTCGACAAGTTCGTCGGTGATCTGGTCGCCAACACTTCAGCGAAGTCACAAACATACCCAGGCCGCCTGATGGCTGCAGGGATCAGTAACTCGGAGGTTGCGGCGCAGTGCAAAGATCTACTTTTCGCGGGCACAGACTCCACAGGCATGAACCTGGCGACAATCATCAGGGGCCTTGTCATGTATCCCGAGAAGTACAAAAGGCTGAAGCTAGAGGTGGACAACAATGCCGCACTCGGTGCTCAAGCTGTGGATATCGAGGCTCTGCCTTACCTTACTGCAGTCGTCAAAGAGGCTCTACGACTGAGCATGGCAAACCCTACGCGCCTACCTCATGTCATACCAGCCGGAGGTTGGATGTTTAAGGAAACGTTCTTCCCAGCAAAGTCGATAGTCGGTTGCTCGGCCTACGAGCTCCACTTTAACGCCAAGGTCTTTCCAGAGCCCCACGAGTTCCAGCCAGAACGTTGGCTACATGCGACTGAAGAGATGTCGAAGTACTGGTTCGCTTTTGGCGCAGGCAGCCGAGCATGCATAGCACGGAACTTGGCAACGTTGGAGCTTCACATTGCAACAGAAAGATTGGCAAGTAGCAGAGTGCTCGATGGAGGACGTGCAGTAAGAGAAGGTGATATCGAGATCTATGAATGGTTCAACTCAAAGGTCAAGGGCGAGAAGATTGAGATAGTCTGGACGTGAATGCGAGCCCCGGTGTCGTTATAAGCAAGCTCATGTGCGACATCCTAAACGAGGAACAATACGTTTCGACTATATCAATGTGCAAGTTTCCAGCTCTCGAAAAGCTGTCAACCCGGGCCGATCATGGATAAGCTCAATCCACATGATTCGCATTAGATGTCCCTTTACTTCCTTCCAATCCCACGCCTTCCCATCAGACGTCTCACGCCACGCATCTCTTATCCACGCCCTGTCCGTCCCAGTCACTGTAAAAGCAGCAACGACCAGCATCCACAGTCTCAAACTCAAGTTCCCATGTTCTACGCTACCATATCCCTTACGATACGCCTCTTCCAACCGCTCATTCACCCACCCATACGGGATCTTCCGTCCTGGCGCCTTAAAAGTCGTCGTCAGGAAAGCTAGCATTGTCAGTCGTACAAGCTCTTCGACAGGACTGACGAGCTGCGAAGAGAGATGCATGAGGCGCGATTGCAACGACGTAAGCACAGACTGGAAGCAAGCAGCGTCATGCCTCGCGCGCCTCAAAACATTCCGATTAATCCTCAAAGACAGATACTGAAAGTCTTGAAACACGCTCGCAAGACGGAAGTCCCACATCCGACTCGGTATACAAAGATCCGAAGGCAGAGGCAAGTACGGCGGTGGAATATTACAGGTCCAGTCCACAGCGTGATGCAGGAAGAAGGGAGCTTTCCCAGACGAAAGCGAGTACGCAAGGTCGATGCGATCAAGCTTGAAATGCAATTTCGGGCGCGAATTGAGGAACTGCAGATTTCCTCGTAGTTCGACGATCTTTTGCAGGCCTTTGAAGTGCGCGGCTGCGGCGTCCCAGTCGCCGAATACGGCGCTTAGCAGCGCGAGGTTGATCACGACCACTAGGACGGACTCGTCTTGGTGCACGTTTTCGTTGCCACTCAGTTTGTCTTGTAGGAGACGCAAGGTTTTGCGTAGGTGGATGAGCGTTTTACGGCCGGGCTTGCCGTCCCATTGCGGATACAGGAGATCGCTGACGGCGTAGCTGGCGGAGAGGATGGAGTGGAGGAATGCGGTGTCTTCGAAGAGCCATTCGAAGGATGCGCTTTCTAGGCAGTCGAAGTCGACGGCGCGGTCGAGAGGGGAGAGCGCTTGGTTTGCGACGTTGTAGGCGAAGGCTTTGAAGAGGACTGGATGTGGTGTTAGTGAAGCTTCGATGAGCGAAGTCGAACTCATATGGTTTTAAAACCATTGAAGTTTTAAATATTGACATATGCTGGTAGTGTTATTGGTTGTGCGTCTTACTTACTGCCCTTAGCTTCTCCATCAATATCAGGTCCCGCAAAGCGAACAAGTGCAAGGTCGCTTATCAAGGTACCGACAGGCAAGACTGGAGCCGAATCCGTATAGAATGGCATCCCTGTGGTTGTAACAACCTTTCTTTCGCGTGCATGCTTCGCGAGCCGTTTCTTCTCGCGTATCGAACGGCGGGAGTCTTCACGCTTGTTCTTGCCCTGCATGCAGCGGCTCCGGATTTGGTGGCTCTTGCCAGGTTTAGGGTTGGAAGCTGGATCGGAGACGTTTACAAATTCGAAGCTGGCACCCATGATGTTGGTAATATCGGCAATTGAAATGTCCAGTTTGCTATCTCTTTGTGGCTGTTCGATCGGTATTTATGCACTTTCTGGGGGCCAAATCTTCATCGGTGAGTAACTCAGCCCCTTCAAAAACTCTTGTCCAGTATTTCAGCTCGCCTCATCATGAAATCTTTGTTCGTTTGTTCGTTCGCGAAGGTGAGGGAAGGTAAGAACATGTCAGCCGCACTTGGCGCCGAGGGAGAGTAACCACATTGCTGTCCACATCTGGAAAGCACTATTCCCTATGCGTGTACAGGTGTAATCGCCCCTATCTGGAATATCGCATTCGTGCTTCTTTCCATCTCATCCATTTCTATATACGATGTAATTCACCTTAGGGCTCTTCTCTTCGCCATACCAGCGTCCGCCCTCTTCGGACGGACTACATCTACGAAATTGCAACGTAAACCTCCTTAGAAATCATCAGCTGTCAAGCCTATATTCTTCGCTTGAGCGAGGTCGAGCAATGCCCTTCCGATTGCCAGGTCCATGATGCCAATGCCAACGCTCTTGTAAATCACAAAACCATTCTTCAGCCAGTCCTCCTTTTCGGACGAAGAACTTTCTTTGATCGCACCGACTTCCAGCCACTTGTCGATGGGCACACCTGAGCTGACGAGCTCTCCGGCCTCTTGCAGACAGCCCTCACGGCTATCCACTGTGATTGAGCCCTGCCAGACCTGAGATGAAAATTCACCTGACGGATCAGCCACCTTTTTCAAAAGATCCGGATCAATCTCCGCCATGTCTAGTCGGTATGAGCCTATGGCAGCAATGTATCTTGCCTTTTTGCGTGCCATTTCCGAAGTGAGCCAGGCTGCGGGAAACAGAGGCGATTTGCTAGGTGTTGTGCAGAAGATGACATCAGATACTGAAACCTGAGACTCCAACTCTTTCACTTCATGTTGTTCGAGTGCTTGCAAGGTGATAGGTGAAGGCCACCCAGCGTCGCTTTTGAGTATTTCGATTAATTCTTGCGACCGTTGGCTTGACCGATTGACGATGGTAATGTGCCTGATGTCTTCGGCTCGAAGGAGGACTGCAAGGCGTAGGTGCCACAGCGCCTGCTTCCCCGCCCCGAACACAACAATATTCCCCGTATTCTTTCTATCCTTGTAAAGCAGCATCGAACCCAACGCCGTGCGGAACGCTGTTAGCTCTGCGGCATTCAAGATTCCAATGGCTTGGCCTAGCTCGTCGCACAGGGTCAGGGCGCTTTTCAAGCCTGCTTGGGGTTTTGTGCCCGGTGGGAGAGTTGAGGGATCTGGGGATGGAGCGACGCCGACGATCTTTACGCCGACGAGGTTCTCCGTTGTTGCAGGCATAAAGAGGCTGACTTGGCCGTTTGGCCGGGTGACAGCTGCGCGATGTGGTTGGTATTCGCCTTCATTTTGTGTGGAGTAGTTTGTGAGGGCTTTGGAGAGGATTTGGGTTAGGTCGTTGAGTGCGCTGGGTGAGAGTTCTCGAAGTATTCGCTGGATGTCTTTGTCGGAGAGCACGGTGAACATGGTGACGTCGTAGTCCAAGATGAAGTTACTCAATACCTTCGGAGCGATGAGTGACTTCCAATGGTCTGTTGTTGTCTGAACATGTCAGCAGCTTATGGCACGCTTTATTAGGCTAGTCATTCCCCGCATCTAACCGCAACTCTGCGAGACCGGTAGAACCGGCAAACTGCCACATTTACCACATCAAGCTTGCGCCCTACGTGTACGTGGGTCTCGAGCATACCGGTATCGGAGACGGCCTCAGCGGAAAGAGTGAGAGCACTAGACATTGAGCAAGGCGCAATCGCGTTCCGGTCCGACTTTAGCGATCATTCGCAAAGGTTCTGTAGAGCCGCACGAGTATCTATGTGTTATTGTTGTATTTAGGAAGCCACGATAATTCAAGTTCATATATCATCTGAAGATGAAGCCCGGGAAGACGTCGTCTGTTGGATCAATGAAGAAATTCATGCGGCCCACCAAATTTGCCCGACCTCTGACACGAGGTATACATGCCGGAAAACCTTCGATAGGACTCTGTTCCTGAGAGATTATGTCCGCTTCGAAGACAGTATCAACTATCGACCGATGCAACAACTTTGACTTTCCGGTTCCAAGTCTTCCCTGTGCGAGCAGGACTGCAAGCCTAGCGCAGGTTCCTGAACCGCATGGAGAGCGATCAATCTGTCCGTCTGCGAAGACTGTGACGTTCCGCTGCTGAACCGCTTCTGGATCCGCGCCTCCCCTAACGTCCTCGTTGAAGAAGATCACGCCGTACAAATCGTATTTTCCATAATGCGCCCGCTTCCCTAGAGTAGCCTTGATTTCTCGTCCAAGAGCTACGAAAAGATCGTAGTTTTGGGGCTCGACGCGCAGTCCAAAATCTGTCGCATCAACCGATGCATAGACCGCGCCACCGAAGCTGAGATCAACTTCAATCTTCAGGTTTCGCGGGGTCACCTCAACGGGTATGCTGCGGGCTAGCTGGTAGCTCGACACGTTGACGAAGTCAGCATGGACTGGCTTTCCCGCTTTAATCGCGACGCTCGCGACGACTCTCCCGGAAGGAACGTCGACCTTGACATCCACAACTCCATCGCCTTCAGGAGCTTTTACAATTCCTTTACTGATCGCCCAGTAGCCCAAGGCTATCGTTCCGTGACCGCATGCCGTAGAGAATCCATCCTTGTGCCAGAATAGAACGCCGAAGTGGGCTTCGGAGTCGTCTGGTGGGACGATGAAGCCGCCGTACATGTCGGCATGGCCGCGAGGTTCGTGGCAAAGCGATTGGCGAAGAGTGTCGAGAGGATTTCCAGGTGTTTTGATGATATTGAGTCGGCGTTCAGCTACGGTGGATCCTTCTGTAGTATGCCCAGGAGGCAGGTTCTCGACGATTCGAAATGGTTCACCAGCTGTGTGCCAGTCCTCAGTCTCCACCCAGAATGATGATGCCATATTGGGGGACTTGACAATCGTTCAAGCAAGTAAGGAGCGCTTAAAGAATGCGGTTGCCCAGGTGCGTACAGGATATCCGGGTGTTTTATTTTGTCCCAGCACTTGAGTGGAGGAGGTACTATTGCGTTGTGTTCTTCCAAATTGTTTCGTCGATGGTGGGTATAGGCCGTTAGTGGTTTCTGCGGAAAGATCCGCTCGAATGATCCCGTGTTGGGAAGTGGACTTAGATGATGAGAAGGTTGTCGCCGCTGCCTCTTAGCTCACGACTAGCGTAGACCGGAACCGGACATGCGACCGGGGTTGGACCGGAGGAAGGACCGGCTTGATTCTCTTTCCATCACCATCTTTTCCTTTTGTCGTTACCTGCAGATTGACATCGGATCTCTAGAGTCGGAAGCAGAAGAATGGTATCTGATGCTCAGGACACACCGGGGCTCAGACGTAAGCGGCCAGACGTAGCAGAGGGGCCCCGCAAGAGAACCTCCCGGGCGTGCGTAGCTCCATGGCAATGTCGGTATGCATTGCTAATTTTCTCATAGCTGCGAAACGTGTCGCCGGATGAAAGAAAAGTGTAGAGGCGGTTATCCCTGCGAGCGGTGCATACGCGTCGGCTATTCTTGTAACATACCGAATCCTTCAGGAACCACACAGGACCAAGGTGGTACAAGTATCGGTATCAACAGAGCGTGGGTATATTGATAGCTTGTCCGTCGACTGATTCTAACTTACTTTCAAGCGAATTTTTCGATCTTAGTCGAATCAAGCTTCTTGAGAAGATTGTTGCTCATCACACCAACATAAGTAGCTTCGATCTGGCGACGCTTGAGCCCATTGTCGATTCCATTAGCGATGGGACCAGTGATCAAGCGACACCCTATCTCAGTTCCACACCGTATCAATATGCGCGTGCAGAAGGACGTGACGAGTCGTCGCCAAACGTTCCCTGTAAGTCATCTTACATTCCCTTCCCTTGTTTATTTGTGTTGTCTCTAATGGTCTTCAGTGGACTTTGCGGAGCTATCTCACTCTCGATTCTCGACTCGAATGCAAGAGAGTGTCGACCGTCAGCTCACGGGACGCTATGCAGAGGTAAGTTTGCAAGTCACGTACGTTGGTAGACCCAAGAGCCAATCTTGATTACAGGCCAAAGGACAGCTGAGTGGTTCATCACCTACACCAAATCACCTATACTCACAGTCCCCACAAGTCTTCGAAGCTGTCGCAGCGATCCCGCCTACACACGTTGCTGAGTTCCTCTTTGATGTCTTCTTCACGTATGCTCATACGAACTACGTGTACGCCAATGAACAATGGCTACGCATCAAGCTGCGTGACATCTACACAACTTCGTCCACTGTGACTGCCGCAGATAGCCCCTGGATCTGCACTCTCCTGATGGTTTTCGCAATCGGTACACAGTTTGCACATCTGAGTTCGATCCCCGGGGATGAGGGCGATACGCTGCTCGAGCACGGTGACGCTGCATCCAAAGACGACGAGACTGCGCTATACTTCTACCACGCCGCCTGTAAGCTCATACCTGATGTAATGGTCGCGGCGTCGATCGAGAGCGTACAGGCGTTCCTTTTGTTAGGTGTCTTCACGTGTGAGTGTCGCCCCTTTTCCATCAAGACAATATCTTCTTACAGTATACAACAGTACCGTTGGACGCTTCAGGGCTGTCATGCACCTATTTGGGCATCGCCATCAGAATTGCCACCCAGAACGACCTACATCGTTTATGTATCCGCAAACCGGAAACGCAAAAGACTCTTCCAATTTATTGGATATGGTGGACAACGTGCACATTAGAAAGGTTAGTGCGCACATTGAACTCGGCTTTCTGATCGACCATTCGTCATCGAGTCTTCTGTAATATTCTGATTGGTAACATAGGCGTGTCTGCATCCTACACGGCAGACCAGTCTCGATTTCCCGCGATGAAGCAAACATCGGGCTACCAGAATTTCTTCCCGAAACGCAACTTGCGGATACTAGACCCCACACAGTCGCCATGATCAAGTTCGTAGATACACTAGAAGAAGCTAGAAATGTGATGTAGGCGCGACTTACCGGATTTAATCGCTTCGCTAACCTACCGCCACAGCGTTACTTTCAAGACAGGCCCACAAAGCACTAAAGCATCAGCTATGCGCTCACTGCTCGATCTCAAGCAGACTATACAGCAGTACTGGCACTTCCATCCCCACAACAACACACGCAAGCCTTTCGAGCCTACCAACCCCGCCTTTCGATCCTCTCACCACCTAGCGTTGACATACCATCTAGTGCACATCTTCATCGGCCGACCCTTCATCTTCGAAGCAAAAGAAAGCACACATCCCACGCCGCTAGGGAAAGGCCAGTTGGCTATCTCAGACATGCGCGATACGCTTGTGCTTGATTGTGTCCGAAGCTCTCTAGCAGTCATCGATATAATTCAGATTCTGTGCGATCGAAGCGGGCTAGCACGGGCGTCTTACACTGAATCATCCACCCTTTGTGCCGCTTTGATGGTGCTCTTAGCGAAGCGCATGGATGGGCCGAACGAGGAGGTTGAAGAGGCTATCGCAAAGGGGAAGGCGCTCCTGAATAAGATGTTGCTGGGCATATACTCGGGCAACCAGGAAAAGGCAGCAGTTGAGGCGCTCGAAGCAGCTGTTTCCAGATTGAATAGGAATGCGCAGAAAGGACAGGGTGGTCGAAGTAAAACGAACTACGCAAACTTTCAGAATTGGATTGGTAACAAGGACTGCGGAGTGCATGCTATCAGTAGGGACACGGTTACAGCGGATGGACGTTCCGATGGCTCTCCGAATGCGAATCTCGATCATCCACCTCCAGTAGATGTATATGGGAGACCGAGGTTCAGCCAGGCTGAGATTGACGAGATGCTGGTTTTGCCAGGCTTGGAGGATTGGTTCAATTTCTCGGTCGTGGATTGACGCTTTGTGCTACCACCCGCGCTCTATCTACATACGAACTCCGCGATATCTATGCTAAGAGCAAACCTACCAATCGTGTACTTCTCCGCCTCGGATGCAAAGCCTAGAACCACACTACAACACATGCACCTCGACACCCTCCGTCTCGTTACAGGGCAGGCAGAATACGTCCTGCCTCATGGGACTATACGGCCTCCACACGACGGATGGATGCCCGGGGGAGGAGTTAGTCCCATGATACGCGTGATGGGTGGAAGGGCAGTGTATTGTTACTGGGACGCAGAAGCACTCGAAGTCGGGGACGTGGAAAACGAAACGGATCCTGTTTTCAACGGGTTAGGAAATGTGACAGATTGGTCAACATGTCTGTTGAAGGATGGCATGACCGTCGAGGTAAAAAAGTGCGTAATGGGCGATCATGGACGCTTCGCGGCCGTCTACAATGTCCTGGAATATCGAGACGCAGCGAAAGGGCGGGATTCGGCTCCACTACGGACTCATCAGTGCCAAAGATCTTATTCGAGTTGGAAATGTCCCATGTGAGCTGTAAAAAGCTGCGGCAACGACGCGCGATCGGTCTAGGGGTGGGGGGTAGTGAGCCTTGGAACGGGCGAGCTTGGTTGTTCAGCTATGACGAGGAGGTGGGTATTGACCCGGAGCAAAAATTCCAGATCAAAATGGGCATGCTGGAACAGGGCTCTGTTATGATCGCATGGGCGCTGAGTTTGTGGCCATTGACCGTCACCAATGGTTGAAAACCGGGGACAATGTGTTCCTGTTGGATAGGCCAGACTCCAATAGTCAAGGCCTTTGGAGGTATGCGCACATCGCGTGCGAGGCAGAACCTGAGGATGCTGCCTAGCGGTGAATGATGCGTTACTTCGAGTGCGAATAGAGCAGGGATTTCTCGAGAGAAAGTTATTGGATCTTCGGTATCGCTGGTGCGTATGCGTATGCGGTGCTCGAGCCGAACGATTACAATGACAGAGAGAATCTCGCGCGGACTTCTTTTCGTGGTTGGACTGGCAATGAATTGCTGCTTCCTAGAAAATGGAAAGCGATAACCAGGTCACTCCTGCTGCATTGTCGGATATCTCCTTGGAATCCAAGGTGAAGTTCCCATCGGTAAACCGGGACGGATTGCAGAGTGTCATCTCGTGACGCCCGGATCGTGGAAGCTTTAACGGCCGAGGTTCTGTTCGTGCAACAAGGAAACGCCTTAAGTACCAGGTGGTACCTCCAAGCGCGGCGAAACAGGGGACGAGCGCGGAAGTAATCCAGTAGAGCAGGCCCTGCGAATACAGACGGGATGAGGCAAAGATTATTCCGAGGCAAATTGGGGATAACGCGGCTCCAGGTGTGTGTTCGGTACCATGCGCGCAGGTGTCCAGAAGCCAGATACGCAACCGGCAGTAGTGAACGTAAATCCTAGAAGCTGGACGATAAGTATTCCAAGGCAGAGGCTTCCTCTAGGACAAACACCGTTCCAACGAATCAAGTGTCCGAAGATGTCTTCGCAGGTTCAGATAATGTTGCGATACGTCGGCGTCGGACATTGAATGGTGAGATAGATCGGTTTCGATGGTAGCGGATCAAGTCTTCGAGAACGACATTGTGGAACCTGCGATGATCATAGACCGGACTGCTGGAGCTCGTGTCCTCCCGAAAAAGTCATCGAGAAGTATATGCATGCATTGAGGTTGAGCAGATGTGACTCCGACGTAAGGAAACAACGAAAAGCAATACCTACCTAAAGCGAGAATTATAGTCCGGGTCAAAGTCCAAGGGACGAAGAGGAACGCTGCAAAAAGCACCTTGCGCAAGGGTGAGCACAAACGCTGCTTGTAGCACAGGAAACGTCGTGTGGTATGAGAACAAATATTCTCAACCGCATAGACCTCACAACCCAAGGTTGATGTTTATGAAATTCCACGCACGGCAATATACAGGGCGTTGTGGCCGAAAACTTGACGACATCGAAGTCTCCATGTTATTTTTTTTTCCCATCCGGTCCGTACGATCGGCAGTGGCTTTGGACCCAACGTTTCAGGATCGACTTCGAGCGGGAGAACGATGCGGCTCAGAGGGGACACAGTGATAATCGAGAACGAATCAAGCAAGACTGCATGTGATCGCGTGCGGAGGCGAGTGGTCAACAGTTTGGCAGAGTGTCGGGGCATGTTGCTGTCGCGTGGGTCGGAGAGTTGAGGAAATTTGTCGGTTGATCTTGAGTACTCAGGTCCATCTCGAATCGAGGCATCAAAGAACATGATAAGAAAATGTCGAAAGGGAAATGGTAGAAACCCTGAGTTCGATGGCGAAATGGACCAAGCTGCCATAGCGTCTCCTATAACAAGCCGCGGAGAGGCATAGATGATGCCCAAGAGCACATCCAAACCCAACCAAGCAGCTCGGCCGTCCAATGTGCCGTTGCACGTTTTCGAAGCGAACGGAAGGATCATTGTCGAATTTCGCGTCGCCCAAAGCGTTCGTACCGAGACCCATAAACAGCCTGATATCACTTAGGCGCTGCGATAACGCCGTGATCGACATGTCTTGGCAGGGGGAACATGGCTCCTTTCGGGCGATTTGCACTGGGGCGATGGCGTTCTCGATCTTCGGCCCTACTTGAAGATGTCTATTGACAACTGGGCGACTGCACAACAATGCGATAGGCACCAATTGAAGGCGCAAGAAAAGGTTCGAATCAATGTTGGGGAAGCCGTTGCGCAGCTCGAAAGGCTGAAACCTGGTGCGATGGTCGGCGGTGTGGGAGGACTGCGGTGAAAGGCCTCCCCGCCTTTCTGCACGACGCATGCAGGACGCAACGAGAGTGGCCAACAAGCGAAATAAGGCTCGGCGCCTTTCGAACAGGGAGCAAGAAGCTTCGGCCCAAAAAGGCAAGCGAATTCAAATGGGTAGCTAGCCCTATAGCGAGCGACCATGCTTAATTTCCACCAACCCACGAACGAACGTGCGTGCGATGCTTGTCATGGTGTTTATCGATTTGGGCGGGGCGACGGGCGAAGAGTCAGGACCCAGCGTGTCGCGCTTTGTGTGACTCGGCGTGCAGAAGCTTGAAGTCGCCCTGGGGAATGGCGGTCACGAGTTGTGGAGGTGGACAACGGTCTCGAAGGTGCCACAGCGTATACGCTGAGGCTGCAGATGGCCACGATGGTAAATCTCCGCCGAAACGCATCCGGACACTTGTCTCAAGGCCCAAGGCAGAGAGGGTCGGTGATTTTGGGTGGACGACATGCGACACTGGTAGGAGGGCAGTCGGCAGGGAAGGGCTGACAGAGCAGCAGTTCCCCGATTCTGAGCAGTGATCGTCAGGGCGGCCCCCATGTTGTTTCCTTGTTGGCATCTTCACGTCACTTCGAATGTTGTCGGCGGTGGAAGGACGGCGCATTCGGCGGTCGAACTTTAGCCGACCCGTGACCTGTTCCGGCAAAGCGCACACAGCAAACAACACACCAACGACACAGGCCCACCGCCACCGCCAGCGCATTGTGGAGGGTGTCGAGAAGTCATCTCCAGCACTGGTGCTGTGCACATCCCAATCCGCGAGCGCCATCCGGCACCCAGATATTCGCAATAGCCGCCCGGCAGAGCCGTCAGCACAGCGCAATCATGGAGGCTCGACTAAGCAACTGGCAGCCCTCTCGCACACCCCCGTTCATCTGAAAATACGACCGCCACAGAGCACATTGACAGCCAGAACTGCCTTTCTCGGCCTAGCATCAGGGGCTCGAGCCCATCGACTGGCCACCGTGCTGCAGGATTGCATGGTTCCTGCGCTAGTCAATGCACCGCCAAGACCACTCGCATGGCCCGAAATCCGTCTACCCCTGGTGCCCGCTGTTTCTCTCCTTTCGAATGGGGCGCCTGTTTCCGGCCGCACCGCGGTCGCCGCAATCTCCCTAGCCTACATAAACATTCCACGGCCTCGCTGTCGACTTTTCTCTTCACTTCACTCAAGCCAATCTACAGCTCAAGTCCTACCTGACCTTTCGGTCGTCCAGTCGTTTACCAACTTATACTATCCTTAATAATACCCTCCGCCAACCAACCAACCACCTTTCTCCTACCCCCAAGTTCAATTACTTAATCAGCCAAAATGCGTGGATTCATTGCTGCTACTCTCTTCACCGCCGCCATTGCGGCCCCCAGCTACGGCCAGCCCAGCTACGGCTCTGGTTACAGCACTGGCGAGGAGTCCTCCGCCCCTGCTGTCTCCTACCCGGCTGAGACCCCCACCCCTGAGGTATGTTTTTTGTGATCCATTCGTATTCATCAATTGCTCACATGAATTCAGGTGCCCAGCTACCCGGTCTCTACCCCCGAGGCTGCTTCCTCTACCGCCTACGTGCCTGAGGTGCCCTCGGAGACTCCTGAGGTCCCTGGCTACGGTACTCCTTCTTCCTCCGCCTACGTGCCGGAAGTCCCCTCTTCGTCCGCCTACGTCCCGATGCCTTCTTCGTCCGCCTACGAGGTTCCCTCTTCGTCCGCCTACGTGCCCGAAGTGCCCTCCTCGTCTGCCTACGAGGTCCCGTCGTCGGTCCCGGCTGTCCCTGAGACTTCGGCGTACCCCACCATGCCGGTGCCCGCTCCCAGCAGTGAGTGCACAACTCAGACCACCGTCACTGTGACCCTTCCTTACGAGACTCCCTCAGGCACCCCCGCTGTCCCTGTTGTCCCCAGCGGTACTGCTCCCGGTTACCCCGTAGCTCCCGTCCCAACTGGCTCGTCGCCTTCTTCGGCCCCGTACCCCGTTGCCCCGGCTCCCTACCCTCGGCGCCCGCTGGAAGTGGCTACATGCCCGCCCCAGCGCGCCTGTCGCTTCCGGCACCGCCCCTGTTGGTACTGGGTACCCCGCACAGCCCACCACTACTGATTATTTCACCGGTGCTGCTTCCGTCAACACCGTTGGCTTCGTTGCTGGTGTTGGTGCTTTCGCTGCTTTCTTCTTGTAAATGTCATATTTCAACTGAGCTTGCCTCCGGGCAGGCTATGACTTTGCACGATTAGCGCTCATGGTTCGATTAGAAGAGGATTAGGAGCGGGGGATGTAATGGGCGTGCGGTAGAGTTGTAGTAGACAATCCAGAACTTGATCTAAAAACCCAGAACCATGTGTCTTGCTTCTCCCCTACGTGATGATTCACATTCTATTGTCATGTCCAAGGTGTGTTGATCTGGCTCGCAATGCATCGTTACGGTCGCAGAGCATTCGCTGTTTGTAGGCTGTCTCTTTGTACTGTCTCGACATCTCCATGACACTATCGACAGAGATCCAAATCGTGAGTAAGCTCGCAGTTGTTAAGTCGTAGTTTTTATTCACTTTGGGTGATTTGCGCTGCGCAGACGTCGACCCTCAAGCGTCGCGACTGCCATCCATCTCGCGCTAGCGCCCTGTCAAGGCTGTCGCCCACATTCCCTCCACGTTCGCCACGTGCTACCTACACAACCTTAAAAGTATATACACACTGCCTTCCACAACGTCGAAATAACCTTAATCCCCACCCCACCTCATCCCGGCCCTCCCCGCTTCTATCTCGTTCCAGCTCGCCATCGCACGCCAGTGCGTGGCCTGCCCCTTGTCACGACCCGCCGCAGTGTGAGAACGGGTGGCCAAAGCCTGCCTTCATGCCCGTTTGGAGTCGCGGGGCTGGAAATGAGATAGCGGAAAGAGATAGGCTTTAATTTCAAGGTAGGAGTGAACGGGTGGTCTGGGAGGGGATGGTTGGATTAAGGTTGGGAGGCCCTGGAGGTTGAGTGGGGAAGGGCGTTTGTGTGACGCGGCGTGGTGGGCGCCGCGAGGCAAGGGGTGGTGGGAAGAACAAATGTGCATGGTGGCTGGGATTGGGGGGTTTGAGTGGTTTAAGGGTTTGGAAGGGTTGGAGGGTTGAGTGTCGTGAGTGGCGGTATGAGATAGATTGGTGGTGGTGGTGTTAATGTCGTAGGTACACTGCGCGAATATCGTCGTTTAGATCTTATCGCGACTACATTTGATCAATCCTTGTGCATGCTGTTTCATGATGGTCATGTAGAGTCTTCTCGCTTTACTTGCATGGTCGAATGGGCGTATATTTTGGATGCGGTCGCGCTGTTTTCAAGGGGTGATTGTCATGTAACATGTCGCTCGAAAAATCGATGCACGACAGTACGCCAACGACCATTGTTGCGGTTCACATATATGAATATACTATTCTTACTGTAGGTCCAGCCATCTTTACAGCCCACAAACCGCTCAACCCGAGGTTTTGCTCGACCTTGTTGCGTAGTACCGTTGTTCTAGCGACAACCTCCAGCATCGCAGGCGAGGTCTACACCATCTCCAAGTAGAGCACGGAGCAAGACTCCACAAGTCGTTTTTAATTTCTCCGTTGTGGTCTCTATGTATTGTTTGGTTCATTCAGCGAATTTGTCATCTGCTGGGGTATGACTTAAGCGCAAACATGCTACCCCAGTGGCCGAAGGAATAAGTCGGAATTATGGCGGTAGCACCTACTGCGAGTGATCACCCACGATACAGTATTACCCTATGATTTTAGACACCCATTGTACAGTGAGTTACCCTAGGGTACACCCTAGGATAAATAATCCCATGTGGCACTTACTAACCTTTCTTGGTAACTAGCTAATCTTATATCTATTAAAATAAGTGCCTTAAGGTAGAATAGATAAGATAGATTAATTAAACTATCTAAAATAGCTAGGAGTAATAAGTAACTATATATACTAGTTATATAGAAAAACTAGTAGGATTCTAATACTTCCCTATAAGGTAATTTAGCTTTATATTCTTAGGTAGCTTTACTAGCTACTCTAGGTTAGTAAATTAGTAGATAGGTAACTATTTTATCTCTTTTTAATTCTAAAGTTAAATATTATATATTTTATATAAGTTACTAATTAAGTTAAAGACTTTAGCACTTCCCTATTTATATATTATAAGGTGTTTCCACGTACCTAACCTAGGCCGGCCTTATAGGTATTTAGTGGACGAGAGCGAATAAATAATAAAGAGGGGGTAAAAGAATATTCTAGTTATACTAAGAAAGGTAAGGTAATAATTATATAAGAAGACTAATAGATTTTTAGTGTAGAAGATGTGCTCTAATTTTAACTATAGAATTTAACTATAAAGAATAAAAAAAACTTAGAAATTATTAAATCTAAATAGGTAGCTAATCCTAAATAGGTTAGGGTTAGTTCTTAGGTAAGACTTACTAAGGGAAGGAAGAAGGGGTTCTTATTAATATAGAAGTATCTTATAAAGTATAGTAAGTTAATAAGGAAGGCCTAAGTAAATCTAAATAATAGATTAAAACTTAGGTTAAATATAAGTATAAAGGTTTATCCTTATATTCCTATATAGGGATCTTACTTAGTTACTTAGGAGCCCTAAATAACTAAGTAGGTTACGTAATAGTTCTTAGCTACTTAGGTATTTAGGAACCCTAAGTAGCTAAGTAAGTTACATAACTACTATCTAAGTAACTTAGTATATCTTTATCTTATTATAACTCTAGTTATTATATCTTCTACTTTTATAAGCGCCTAAACTTCCCTACTATTATCTAGTTTATAATATTATCCTTCCCCTTCTTATTCTTTGCCCTTAAAGAATTATGCCTACTAACTATTATTCTATAAAGCGTCGTTACGACCTTATTTTTACTATTAAAAACTATAGCGTTATTATAGTATTAAAGTGCTTATTTTATTAGTTATATGCCTATGTTTATAAGGTCTACATTAGTTTAGAAAAGTATAGTAAGTGTTAGAAGTAAGGTTTAAAATATAATATTACTATTACTTAGAATAAGTTCTCGCGGTTAGTTACTAAGAAGAAAAAGTTAGAAGTATAATTAGATAAAGTATAAAAGAAGTAGAATACTACTTTTAAAGCTATATATATAGCTTAAGCAAAAGAGGATTAGTTAAAGAAGTAGTTATTATAGAATAAAAAGTATACTAGTAAAGTTATTATAGTAGAAAGTATAGTGTTAGTAGAGTTAGATAAGAATTTTACTTAGCCTACTTAGCCTACTAGTTCTATAGAGCTTTACCCCTCTATCTAGTTAGTAATAGATAATCTCCCTTCTAATTTCTAGAAAAATATTCCTCCTATATCTAGTAGATAGGTATGTCTTTATATCTTCTATTATAAGATAGGGTACTAAAGGTTTTATTTATATTCCTTAACTTTTATCTAATAGTTATCTAGGTTACTTCTTAGTTTCTAAGTATTTTTACTATCTAGGTATCCTTTCTATTTAATAAGATATTATTAGATTCCTTTATAGGTTCTTACGTATATAATACTTTTAACTTTAAATTTAGTTTCCTCTTTAGCTCTATAATAGAAGGTGGTTTTAACTAGTGTCTTAGGGTCTACTAGTTCTAATAGTAATATATAGAATACTAGGTATACCTTTATATCTAGTAGTAATTCTAATCTATAGTTTACTAGTAATATTTATTTAGAAATGTAAAATGGTCTAACCTTAATATAATCTAATTTCTTATATTTTTTCTTTTATGTATAAAGATTCTTTATAAGTAGATATACTTTATCCCCTTTTTTTTTAGCTAAGGTGCTATTTTTTATTTCTAGTTTATATATAAAATACTTTACTATTAAGCTTTCTTAAGGTTTTCTTAGAGTTTATTATATATTTTTTTATATTATCTACTATATCTATGGCTTCTTTTACGTTAATATTTGTTAGTAGTTATTAGTTAAAGAGATTTAGATATTTTCTATATATAGTATAGTAAGGTGTTTGCTTTATTACTATTAATACCTTATTATTATATACTAATTATGCCATAGGTAATAGTAAAACCTAGTTATTTTTTTACTTATTATAGTATATTTATAGATACGTTTCTATAGTTTAATTTATTCTTTCTATTTTTCTATCTATCTATAGATAATATACTATAGATAGTTTTTATTTTATTCTAATAAGTACTATAAATATTATCTAGAAGTTTAATATAAAGAGTTTGTCTCTATTACTAATAATTATCTTTAGAATACTATAGTGTCTAACCTACTTATCTTAAAAGATAAGCTAGTTCTTTAGCTATTATATTCTTTAGGCATAGAATTAATTCGATATAGCTCGTAAATTAATATATAATTACTAAAATGCTATTATATAAGGTTTTTGTGGCTAGGTTAATTAAGTCTAGTATTTCTATAATAAAGTCTATAGCGATGTCTTTAAAAGGTGCTATTAGTATTCTAATTAGTTATATTTCTCTATACTTAAGGTGTGTGCTATATTTATTCTTTTAGTATTCTATATATTTTTAGATATACTTAGTTATAGCCTCTTTTATTCCTCTAAATATATAATTTTGTTATATAAGTTCTATTATTTTCGTAATGCCTAGGTGTCTATACGTTAGGTTATTATAGTATTATCTAATAATCTTAGTTTATAGTTATTTTAGTACTTCTTAGTTAATAACTAAGAGTTAGTTAAGTTCTACTATTAGTTTAAGAGATCTATTTTTATTTCTATAAAGAATTACTAAGTAGGTCTTAACCTTTTCTTCTACTAGATTACTTTATCTACTAAGTGCGTCTACTTATCCGTTTTCTTTTCCTACTATATAGATAATTTTAAACTTATACTATCTAGTGGTCTATAATTATCTTTATTATTATAGTGTTAGTTCCTTTATTATTGTAAACCTAAGTAGGTTTTTATAATCCGTGTAGATTTCTAGTATTAAATAGCTAAGAGTATAGATTCTCTAGTGTTTTAAGACTTTAATAATAGTATAGAGTTCTTTATTATATATATTATATTATGTTTCTACGTTATTAAACTTATATAAGTAATAAGTAATTAGGTACTATTTACTATTTTATTCTTACTTTGCGTATGCTCCTAGTATAAGATTACTTATATTAGTTTCGAATTATAGTAGTTTATTACTCCTAAAATAAA